TTCTCTTCGGCAACCAGCACCATCGCCAAGATCTACCACGTCAACCTGACTGTTGGTATTCTCGGTGTCTCTTTCTACGTTCTTGGTTTCGCGTTTGGTCCGACACTATGGGCGCCTCTGTCCGAATTGAAGGGCCGTAAGCTTCCTCTGGTTATCGGCATGTTTGGTATGGCCATCTTCAGTATCGCCACGGCTACCGCCAAGGATCTCCAAACCATCCTCATCACTCGCTTCTTCGGTGGCTTCTTTGGCGCCTGCCCGCTGGCTGTCGTCGCTGCTGTTTTCTCGGACATGTTCGACAACAGGACGAGAGGTATTGCCATCACCCTGTTCTCCATGACTGTCTTCACCGGTCCTATGATGGCTCCCTTCATCGGTGGCTTCATTACGACCTCTTACCTTGGCTGGCGCTGGACCGAGTACATTGTCTCCTTCATGGCCTTCCTCGCTTTCGGCCTGGACCTGCTCTTCATGAACGAGACCTATCCTCCCCAGATTCTGGTCAAGAAGGCCTCGGAGCTCCGCCGCCGCACTCTCAACTGGGGCATCCACGCCAAGCAAGAGGAAATCGAGATTGACTTCAAGGAGCTTGTCTCCAAGAACTTTTCGCGTCCCATGCGTCTACTTTTCGGAGAGCCCATCGTCGCCCTCCTCTCCATCTACATGGCCTTCATCTACGGTATCCTGTACCTCTTCCTGACGGCCTACCCTATTGTCTTCCAGGGTGTCTACCACATGACTCCTGGTGTTTCCGGCCTCACTTTCTTCGGCATGATCACGGGTCAGATCCTCGCCGGTATCAGCATCCTTCTGCAGCAGCCGTGGTACATGCGCAAGCTCAATGCCAACAACGGTGTCCCCATCCCCGAGTGGCGTCTCCCCAGCGTTATCGCCGGCGGTGTCGCCTTCTCCGCCGGTCTCTTCTGGTTCGGCTGGTCTGGCTACAGCGGCCACGTTCACTGGATCGTTCCCACCCTCTCCGGTATTCTCTCCGGTTTTGGTCTGGCCTCCATCTTCCTCCAGGCCCTCAACTACCTGGTCGACTCCTACCTCATGTTCGCCGCCTCCGCCATCGCCGGCAACACCTTCCTCCGTTCGCTTGCCGGTGCCGGTTTCCCGCTCTTCTCCACCTACATGTTCAAGGGCATGGGTATCCAGTGGGCTTCCACCCTCCTTGGTTGTGTTGCCGCCGCGCTCGTGCCCATCCCCATCATCTTCCTCTACTACGGCCACCGCATCCGCGCCAAGTCCGCCTACGCTCCTAAGTTCGCGCCTGGAGGCCCCGCCGTCGAGGACGAGAGCGGTGATGAGAGTGAGAAGGAGCAGCCTTCAGGTGTTCCCAGGAAGGATGGCGATGCTGCTACCAACGCTGTTTAAGCGGTAAGTGGATGGTCAACTTCAATAGAAAAAAAAACAAAAACAAAAGTGTCCTTTGAGGACAACAAAACACAACATACAACGAAAGCTGTCTTATGAGGACAGTCCACACAACAACAAACACAATCACGAACACACGGTCTTATGAAGACGAGATGAAACGAAATTCTGGAAGGAACGAACTACCAAAAAAGCTTCTTCTGGGTTGGGGTGTGTGTATACAAAAAGCATCATTTGCATCCTCCACTTTTGATTTTACGAGCAACGGCGTTTTATCTGCTTTTTATGATTTGACTTCTTGTTTTTACTTCATTTTTTCTTGGGCTGGCTTGGTTTGGAAACAAAGCGAGACATGATACCTATACCCCCACACACACAGCATGAGAGTAGTATTGGTTGGATATTTTTGTTGTCTTTTAGGAAGACCAAAATAGAGGAGGAGGGCAGGGCAGGAAGATCGGAGGATGAGATGCATAGATTGATTAAGTAATGTAGTAATTGGATGGACAGTAGCGCGAAGAGGTCTAGCCTGGCTGCCTCGGGCCAGCGATGAAATGAAAAGAAGCAATAAATCAAACTCAACTCTGCTGATCCGGGATACATGTGATACACATTGCTGTGCTTTGCTTCTCTTGTATAAGTCATGTGTGTTTGCGTGGGACAGGGGTTAATTGTATGACAGTCTTTTAATTACCCTACAGACGTTCGTCTCCAAGCAGCCAGGTATATCAACATATCAACTTCTTGTTCTCAGTCTCAACCTAACCTGTTCAGTTTGTCTCGTCAGCCGTAAAACTTCTTCTTTAGGTCTCACGTTTCAATCCCAAGAACACACGAGCTAATTGGCAGACCACTACAGCATTGGACCGTACATCGATAGACTCTACACGAGAGTTTATGTAAAATATGATTGGGTTTGTGACTGGCAACGAAGTAACCTCTACTCAATGTTCCTCTGGCCTTGGTTGTTAACGTCAGTTCGACATACTTGATCACAAAGTGCTTAACAGCCAGGCCCGGCCGGGCACTTTTCACACTGATCGTTCTTTCCTTTCGTTCCTTCGTTCCTTCGTTCCTCCATCGACAAACAGCCCACATCCGACGCCGGGCACTCAGAAAATGACATGACACCTTCCTGGCTGCACCTTCCCTGAACTGCTGCTCTCTTTACTACAGGTACCTACTGTCAGTTGCCCGTTATGACCCAATCTTCCATCCCTTTTTTTCTTTTTTTTTTCTGGTTTCTTCCTCTTTTCCTTTTCTGTTTCCTGCGTGTTCTTACTTTTAATTTTTTTCTTTACTGTTTTTCTTTTTTGTTTTTCTTGTCTTTTTTTCTTTTTTTCTTTTTTTTAAAAAAAAAAAAAAAACAGAACACCACAAGAACAGCGCGGTTGGAACTTCCACATGTTAGAGTGCGAGCATTGATGTCAACCTCTCCACACAATAGGCAACAACTTCAACCTCCCCTTTTCAACGAACAGATAGATAGAGCTGGAGAGGATGGCCCCCTAGGTGGTCTAGGTGGTTATAATCATAGACCATGACACAAAGACTGGATGGACCCTTAGACTAAAGCGTTGTTGAAGCCTTTGAAGATTTGGAGGTGCCAGCGAGTCTTCTTGATTTTGATCTTGGCCCAGATATGCCCATGGCGCAGAGATGACAACCTGCCAGCTTTTGTGGACTCTGTCATCTTTTTGTACATTTCGGCTGTGGTAGAATAAATATCTCGTGGTAGTCGATTTGTACCGTCGTGAAATTAATATTTCCTCCAGTCGTAACCTCCACTACCTTTTCACGGTACTTTCTGACGCAGATAGAAGTGTCCATGATCCGTGAGCAACGGGGGCATAGAGAATGAGGCTCTGTGACCTCGTCAGGGGAGTCACAGCTAGCTGCCTGGGTCCGTGTGATCGTCATGGCCGCAGCTTCTGATATCTCTGAAGTCATCTTTCAGGCAGAGCTGAGTTCTTTTTCGAAAGCCTTGTATGTGTATAGGCGAGCAACGTAGGCTGAGTGATGCCGTGACCTGACGGAGATGAGAGAAAGGTGATCTATATTAACACTCTTAGAATGTCATATGCGCAATCCGTGGCCGTCCTTGTTGGCGCCTGATGCCTCTACATCGAGGCCGTAAAGTGCCTCGACACGGTTAGCCTCAGCGCAATGGTCACCAGAGGTAGTTAGAACTGGCTAAGCCCTTCCAACCTTTGCTATTTGTCGTTATCAGTTGGTCTACTTCAGACTATCATCCCTCAGCAGAAGATATTGGACTTCAAGCTAGCGTGTAAAGCGTTGGATGTCAAACTACTCGGAATGTCGAACGGTCTCTCATGAATACGTCAACGGTTAGTTGCCTCGACGAGAACGCCAGAGAGCGTTGTAGGTTTGTGTGAATTGTGATGCATTTTGAAGCTGGCAAGAGAATGATGCAGCTCGGGCAACGAGTCTTCAAGGAAGTGACGTTGAATATGAAGCTGAACAACGTCAAGTGCGTGCATCAACAGGTGGGGCCGGTGGGTCTCACATCCCCCACGTTTCAGCGGCAGGAGCGGTTCGGGCGCTGTCTTGGAAGCTTCCATTGGTGTGGATGCTTCCTTGGCGTTTCTGACGTTGCTGAATGTTTGTTTGACACTTCTGTGACTTCCATTCTTCCTTTCCTTCTTCCTTTCATCTTTTTTTTTCATCCCTCCGCACCGACGATCGATTTCAACCATGAGATCCCTCCTCTCCCATCGCATCCTAACATGTCAAAAACCACAAACCAACGTTCTGGAAATATCATATGCTTATATTAAAAGTCCGACATCGAACCGACTTGATCGTTGCACCGGAAATGGCCGGGCATGCCTGATGTCAGAACCTCACCGCCGAAGCCGCAAATAAAGAAATTTAGAGCAGACTGCATCCAGCACTGTATCTCCAGCTTCTCACGACCGGAGTCAAACAAGCGGCGGCTGGCTGACTCATCCAGCTATCCCATCCCGTCCACGATATCGTTGTCGCACCATGACGAAAAGAGACTACTAGCTGACCAGAAGAAAGCACAAAGGATAGCTCTGGAACTGATTACTGATATCGACTGCTTGAGAACGACCGGCGGTTACCAGGACATCTCCTTTCTTTCCTCCGTTGTTCACAGGCATGTCCTGTCAAGGATGACTGAACATTCCATGTCTTGACGGCTCACTCACAAAGATGGCTTAGCACGCACCCCTAACAATGCCAGAATTTGTCACATTTTTATACTTCAGGGTGTTTCCGTCCGCTTGCCCGCCCTACCACCCCCTTGTTTCCGTTCCAAAGACAGTCCCTTTGTCACTTTTCTGAGCCCAATTCTGACCATTTAGCTGGATCTGGATCGGTGGTTTGGCTGCTACCTAGCTACTCATGCCATGATAAGAGATTCTTGGTGGTCGGGATTTGTCCAAGAAGCACCTGTTTCCCAGTCGAAACCTGTGGATGCATGTCAAGGGATGAAGGGTTGCATGGTGTGATGGACATCTTTCACTCAAAAAAGAACCAAGGTACACAAGTGTGTGTCTATGTCCTCCATTCCAACTCCTCTTCAACGATTCCAAATTCATCCAAGATTCTGCTTTCTTCGCCGCCTTCACAGCACATGCGTTGCTTTCCATATCTGCCAGAGCGGAGAAGCATGTGCACAAAATCAACCACGTACTAGGTTCAACTGATCGACCTTCGGCATCGCCTAAACAACGACATCGTTCAACACCAAACAATGTTTTACACCGAACGCACAATCGCCCGCACCGTCACTCTCGACTTTCTCGTCTCCCACCTCGCTCCGCAACACCATTCCCGCGCCAACGACTACTGGAAAAGCATCAAGCTCCGAGCCCGGCGCATCTTCCTCATCCTGCTCGACCTCGGCGTCCCATCACAAGTATTTAGCTTTCTTGACGAGGGCTGGGATGATTTGCAACTGCCAGTTTCCAGGGAACGGCTGGCCGAGGTGCCGTTGACGGGAGTGTTTGGAGCACGAGATGAGCATCTGGAAAAGAAATTTTATGAGAGGCAGTGGCGGTATTTACTAAGGGACATCAAGGAAGGAGATTGTGTGGAGTTTGGCGAGGAAGAAGTGGTTCCTGTCGAGGTGGCTTCAGGATCCGGCGGTCCAGATGGTCACGGGATTGGAATAAGAAAGGGCAGCATTCAGCATGTCCAACAAGTGGTTACGGGCCATGCTGCTGGATTTGGCCTCGGCCAAGGAGGAAGTGCCGGTGAAAAGCCGATGGCTGTGGAGGATAGGGTTATGCTTTCTGACCAGCCCCCTGGGATAGTGTTCACTCGACGACGCATACCACTTATCGGCTCGAAAGAACAACAGTCGGGTGGACAAGGAGGAACGGCGGGATACGCACCGATGATGACTAGGGAAGACTTCCTCCGTGAGATCGTGGCTATCAAGAGCCTCAACCTACAGAACGAGCACCTGGCCAGTTACTTCGCATCTTACACACATCGCGGAAACGGCTACATGCTTTTCACACCCGCTACGACGGAGCACACCTTCAAGTCGATCTTGACGAGCGGAAACCTTCCAGCCTTTGTCAAACATCTCGAAAAGGGACAACAAAGGCGGCTAGTAATGAACTGGATCCACTGTCTAGTCGACACCGTCTGCTGGCTGCACAGTAAGGGCTTAGCACATGGAGCCATAAAACCGAGCAACATTTTTCTAGCAGAACACAACAATCTCCCTGTTTTGGCGGACTTGCACACGAAAACTAGTCCTACTTTCGGGTCTAGACCCGTAACAGAAAAGGGACTCGCGCAGCACTTCGACAAGGAAGCATACCACTACGCGGCCCCCGAGCTAGCGCGATATTACCGACCTACAGCACCTTCCACGATCGCGAACATGTCACCAGAGAGTCGGAGAGGCACGGTAACTAGCCTTGCAGCTCGTCCTTCCACCTCTGCTTCCGTTTCACGCCCCGTATCACCATCATGGCCATTCCACCATCCCTCTCCGTGCCCGAACTACCATCTGCCATCCCCGTCCTCTCCCACGTCCTCGCAAACTCATCACCTCCAAGCCCTTCAGGCAGCAGACATCTTTGCCCTCTCCTGCATCCTACTCGACATTTTGTCTTTCCTGGTCTTCAAGAAGCATCATGGCACTCGCGCCTTTGCCGCCCACTGCGCGGCTAACCCCAAACATAAAACACCGGGGAGAGGGGGCGCGTTACCGGATTCGAGTTTCCATCGAAACTTGGACCAGGTTAAGAGCTGGATGGCGGAGTTAGTAAGGGAGGCCGAAGAGAAAGTTGCCGCCTCCAAAAGGAAGAAACATACGTTTGGTGGGATAGGTAGCCAGTTACATCTTAGTGGGCTAGGGCTGCACATGGGGCTGGGACATGGTCATGGAGCAAGCGGGAGTAGCAGCAGTGATGAAGGCAGTGAACACGGAGAAGGCGGGAAGAAGAATGTCCTGGAAGGTGTAGGCATGATGGTCAAAGTGATCGAAGGGATGTTGCACCCCGATCCAACCCAACGAAAGACTGCGCTGGAAGTGCAAGGGGGTACGTACCTGGCTTTGAGAGAGGGGTGTGGGATTGAGGAACCACATTGTGTGCATGAGTACGGTCCGTCGCCTTTGGGCCGGTTGACGACCAAAACTCCGTCTCCGACGAGAACTCCGAAGCAGACGACGCCGACACCGAGTATGTACGGCGGTAGAGTGAGGAGCAACAGCGCTGTTTCGACGACCTCAGCTTCAGCCTCAGCATCAGCTTCCAACCCCGTTCTCGGTCCAGGATCTCGTTCCTTCTCCATCTCTGGCTCTGCGTCCGCCTCCCGATGGTCGCATTCTACATCCTCTCGTTCCTCTACCTCTTCCTCCTCTTTTGGCTTCCCTCATGGCTTTTTCGGCAGTATACAAGGACATAGCCATGGCAACAGCCAGGACCAAGGATATGGCCAACCAAGACAAAGAAGAACAAGCAGCCGAGCCAGTGGACCCAAACAGTTACTTTCCGTGCCATCGTCCGTGTCCTCGGCCACGCTATCGTTGCCTACGAGGCCCAGGACCGCGACTCCCACTGCCAGTTCCGCTTCTACTATTACTAAGCACCACCAGCAGCAGCAACAGCCGCGCGCAAGTGTTTCCACTTCTAGAGGTATGCCTGGCCCAAGAAGTGAAAGCACCACCCGTGCTCAGAGCCAGAGCCGGAACCGGAGCCGGCGTGGTTCAAGGTCAAGAGGCGATCATCAAGAAGGACATGGACATGGACATGGGCATGGTAATTTAGGAGAAGCGGGACAGACGATTTGGAAGAGGATTCTTTATACCGGGAGCGGTAGTGGGAACCAGAGCGGTAATGGTCATGCAAGTGGGGGTGACAGTATTTCTAGCCACCCTCACATTCCTGAGGCAGCAGCAGCCGTCGTTCAGCAGAGCTCGACCTCGAAAATAACGGGGAGGTTGAAGAAGAAACCTGCCACGGCCACGGCCAAGGGCACGGAAAATCCTCGTGGCGTTGGTGGTGGTGTTGGTGCTAGTTCTAATTATGGCAGGGGCAGGTCTAGTTCCCAGACGAGCTTGACGAGCTTGACGAGGTCGTGGAGGGGGAGACATGGAAGTGGCGGGTCGGGGGCGACGCTGTTTGGGGTTTCTGCTGGGACTTGATACAGGGTAAGGTAAACGAGTCTAATGAGCAAGGGAAAAGTTGCTAATGTTAGCATTTCTGTAGTAACAGAATAATAAACGGAATGACCGAGTATCTGATATCTCCAACGTGCTCCCACGTTTCCTCACTGAGTGACTCTGATGTGTCCACTATCTGAAAACAACCTCATCGTCGGATTTGATAGTAGATCTTATCTCGGCCATTCAGCTCCAAAAGCTCTAGTGTACACTGCAGTATACGCAAGCCACAACAAGCCTCATCCCCCACGCTTTTCCACGTCCATCAACCACTTGGTCCGACTCGGCGTGCATGATCTTCCGCTGCTGCCAATCACATGGAGTATTCATCCTCTGTATTGTATGCACCGCGTATCTCCGTCCTGCACAACCAACAGGAACGATACTGGCGTGTATCTGCATGGATTCGTAGCCTGGTGTCCAGTCAGGTTGTGTGGAAAATAAATGCAATGCTCGCACGCCGAAGGACTACGGAAGTCCGTTGCATTTATTTCCCACACATCCTGCCAGTGCAAATTCCAAGAAAGGGATCAACATTCGCATGTCCGGTTGATCGAAGCCGAAGGAGGGTGTGAATGAAATGGTGTTTTTGGTGTTGGCGTTGCATTCTGCATCTTGTTTACCTAGTGTAGAGGTCGAAAGAACGTCATCGCCGCTCGGTTAAATACAATCCTGTAATGGATAGCGCCGCATTTGTACCGCCAATACTCATCCATAAGAGATTTACCAAAGGCGCTAGCTAGGAAAATGGGATAACCCTATTGGACCTCATATGCACTAAAGCCGCCTTGCATATGCAGCTTCTCTCACCAAAACTGCCAGGTTTGAGTACTTGCGGTACTTAGGGCGGCATGGCCAAGGAGAAGTTTGTTTCAGCGATGGAAAACTTGAAGACAGGAAGGCTGGAAAGATCCTTCTAGGCTTCGCTTCCAAGTGGGAAGCTTCCTTCCATTTGAAACCTTAGCTTCGCTTTGTTGCATTTCACCATCCTTGACTTCAAGCGAGAGTTGGAAGAAGCGAGCAATGTCAATGGATGGCCGTTTGAATTACATGCCCGGTGTCTGTAAGACCTCCCCGGCGCTAAGGTATGTAGTTGAGCAAACGAAGAGAGTAAAGAAATCAATGTCAGCAAAGCAAATGCCGTGTCTCCATCTGGGCCCAGCTCAAGACGAAACGAAATGTTGTTTCGTTCTGATATTTCGAATGCAGTGACCATTTCCTAGGTACTCTCAGTGAGCGGCAATTTTGCATCTTTTGCCATCCGCCATTCATTCATTCAGGCCCCCAGGAGTCCAGACCCAGACAGGGGTGAATCGAATGCCGTGTAACTTTTTTGTTGTGTGTCGACGGGTGTTTACATACATACATGCCACTACCGACATTCATATCGCTGGACGACGGACGTGCAGTGCAGTGCAATCACGGATAGGGACTGACTGGATGTGTCAAAATGAAGCTGCTTCTGCCACGACACACGGGCGGTTCCGGAAGAGGACGACGACGACGGGAAACTGTAATGACCGAGCAAACCGAGTTTCGAATCGAATCTGGTGACATGCGAAGTCGGTGAATCTGGCGGAGTTTCCATGTTGATGCTAGAAAAAGGAGATGGGATGGGATGGGAGTTGGCGGCTACCGGGTGAATTGAATGGTGTGAAAGAGAGTTCAGAAGTCAGAAGCCAAAATCGAAAAAGGAAAAGGCACGATGGAGACTTGGAGAGAGGATGGAAAGAAGGCCGGTGGTTGGTTGTTGCAGTCGTGGTGGGGCGGGGAGCTTGGAGCTCTTTCCCTGCAAATTCAGGGACGGACGAACCAGAGCACTGTCAAGAACGGTGTCACGGTGGGGATTCGTCGTGGGGTTCGAAACAGCAGGCAACTTTCTCTCTGCCTGCCCAGTGCGGTCAAGATCAACAATGCACCACATCCACCTTCAGGTTGTGCTTGTCCCTTTTGCAAAATTCGATCATCGCCGACTGTTGACTTGCTTGACTCGAAACCTTGGAATGATGCGTTCTGAGACCAGGACCCGTCTCGTGGGTTCTCATAGGTAGCGCTGAGTGAGATCAGGGTGGTGTTCGCCGTTTGTCTGTTGGCAGGAATTGTGTGCCCAGATGTCGCATCTTCATCAGATAGCACATGGTAGGTATTCGGGCGGCGCTGGTGCTGGCGTTGTCGTTATCAGACAAGACAGTTTCAAAGACTCGGTTGCTGTTTGTATCATCACACAAAAGTCCACCGCCACGGGGCGGCATCTTCCCTCTCCATTCGGTCTCTGCCAATTGGAGCACAATTGGAGGAACCAGGACTCGGGTCGGCCCACAGCTTCTAGCGCGGTGACATTGCATGGTGCCAGTGGGTTCCAGGTTTTGCAGGTTGTGCAGCCTGGTGCTGCTGCAGAGGTGCTGCAGAGGTCTCTCACGGAATCAAGGCGGCTCGTCGTTGCTTGTTGCGGATGTTGCTGCTTGCATCCTGCGCCAATGACAGTGGCAATACCCATGCTTTTTTGTTTCTGATAGCGGCGAAGGCGGAAGCCAAGCGCAAAGATAACCAAGAAATGGGCGGCCGACTCTTTTGCCGTGTGGTCGGTCAATTGGGCCGTCCGCTATCAAACTAGTTGTAGCGACGAGTGGGATAAGGATTGGACGGGATTGGTCAAGGGCCTGGCATCTCAGATCTCTTGTTCGCGTGGTGATCGCTTCAAGTAAACGGGATTTTAGTACGTACATAGGGGGTGGGTCCCCCGTCCAGCCTTCCCTGTTAACCTTGTTCTCCTTTCCCTGCTTCTTGGTCTTGACCTTCTCACTTCCATCCTGGACCTTGTCGCATCGCGTTCCCCATATTTTCTTTCTCCGTATCTTTAAAACTCACGACCGCTCGCTCGTTTTCCTTCGCTTGGTCTTCTTTTACAGATCGGTCGTTTATCAGCACAGTCGCCGTGTCAGTCCGTTACTCGGTCGTGCGTTACAGTAATACGGAGACGCGCATTTGGATTTGGGAGATTGGATCTTGGAACGAGGACGATCCAGCATTCGTTATCGGTCGACTTATCCGTCACACATTCGCTGTCGCAAATTTCCAATTCAGTTTGGCAAGTGCGAGTCGAGCAACAAGAGCTTCCTTGGACACACAAGAGACGGGACGAACCTTCCTCAGGAACACACCTCATTTCACCTCCCGCCAAGTACGAAACCACCAAATTTCCGGAAGCGTTTGCGGCTCTTGTCGTTTGGACCCACCTCCTGACTCTCGCATTCTTTTACCTCTTCCCCTTCCCCGACCATCTATAAGTTGTCAGTCGATATCTTTTGGACGGCTACTTTTTCCGTGTCATATCCATTATGAAGCCATCATTCCTATCCGCCGTGGTCGGCGCCGGCCTCACGCATGCCCTCCCCACCATTGAAGCTGTGGGAAACAAGTTCTTCACCAGCAAAGGCGACCAGTTCTTCCTCAAGGGTAATATTTATTGTTCCCATACTTGTGAACCCCAGCTAACAATGGCCTAGGAGTTGCCTACCAACTAACCCCTGCCGATCCCTTAATCGACACCGAGCAGTGCAAGCGCGATGCTGCCCTCATGGAGAAGCTTGGCGCAAACTCGATCCGTATCTACCATGTTGATCCCTCGGCAAACCACGACGGCTGCATGGAGGTGTTCGACAAGGCCGGCATCTACCCCTTGATCGATTTGGATACCTTTGACACCTACATCTTGCCCGTACGTCTCTGTCTGATTCTCGAAAAGAAGCCCGTGATGCTAATAACACCTACAGAACGATCCTTGGTGGAACCAGACCCAGCATGATAGGTACGCTGAGGTCATGGATGCCTTTATCAAGTATGACAACGTTCTGGGCTTCTTCATTGGCAACGAGATCATCATCCAGGCCGACCAGTCTCAGGCGGCTCCCTACATCAAGGCTGCTACTCGTGACATGAAGGCATACCGCGACAAGAAGAACTATCGCAAGGTCCCCATCGGTTACTCGGCCGCCGACATTGCAGAACTTCGCCCCATGCTGCAGGACTATCTTACCTGCGGCGGCAACTCCTCCGAGAACGTCGACTTCTTCGCCCTCAACTCGTACGAATGGTGCGACCCCACCAAGTATGCCGAGTCCGGATATGCCAACTTGCAGAGCATGGCCAAGGACTTCCCCGTTCCCATCTTCTTCTCGGAGACCGGCTGCAACGTGCCAGGGCCCCGTCTTTTCGGCGATCAAAACGCCATCTTTGGTCCCGAGATGGTCAACGACTGGAGCGGTGCGCTCATCTACGAGTGGATCGAGGAGGAGAACCACTACGGCTTGATCTCGTACGGTCCCAAGCTGGAGCCGACCGCCACTGGCCCCAACATCGAGGGCGGCTTCACGCGTGCCGGCACTCCCACTCCCGTCCTTCCCGACTTTACCAACCTCCAGAGCCAGTGGGCTACCATCACCCCCACCGGCATCAAGAGGTCCGACTATGATCCCAAGCACGTCTCTACCAGAGCCTGCCCCACGTCCGGCGTGCAGGGCTGGTTGATCAACGGCAACGTTGCGCTGCCCACTCTCGGCGAGACCTTGACCACCTATGCGCCCAAGCCTACCGTCACCGAGGAGGCCCAGGTTTCCCAGCCTGCTGGAAGTGCCTCGCCTACCTCGACCAAGAACCCTGCTCCCATGAACAAGGAGCTGACGGGTATGAGCGCTGGTCTGGTCGGAGTCATGCTCTTCTTCACCTTTTGGCTATGAGAGAATGATTACCTGGGCTGATGTTTGAACCGGAGAGCCGGGTTTGGCATCAACACCAAACTAATTGTTTTATCTTCGTCATGCATTTGGAATTGCATTTCCAGGATAGCAGGGCATCATTATCATGCATCGCCTAGCTTGAATGGGGTTCATCTTGACCTCGTTTTCCCACGGCGTCATCTCTCTTCTTTATTCTGAGGCCCGCCCCCGGTAGCACTCTTTACGCGCTAGGTGGCAGTCTCTCTGCCTTTTTTTTCCGGATATGGATAAGGCTGTGATTACGATTTGACTGGATGGAGGATGAAGATGTCTTCTTCTTTTGAGCCACGATGCCCGGAAACGAGGAATTTTCTTTTTCCCTTTCACTAGCTTGTCGTTTTTTTCTCGGCAAGCTACGTTTTAATGGCTCGATGTTTTTTGATGGAGATTTTTCTGTTTATGATACCATGAATAAGGAGGGCATACAATCATTTTATGAGGATATGGAAGAGAGAGAGAAAAAAAGACGATTTGTGATCCGAAAGGACATAATCACTAATGAACGCCTTCTTCTTCTTTTTCTTCGTTCTCTGCTTCCGACTCTGATACTCCGATGAAACGGAGAAAGGAAGAAGGAGGGAAGGAGGACGAAAGGAAAGTGATGGATGGCGGTTGAAACGAGTTCATTTCATCTTGTACATAATAGGGATTCATGGATGGGTCAACGAGTATCAAGGAGTAGGAAGGAGAGCATATGATACCTCAGCTGGGAGCTCTCTGTGGCTATAGATCTCCAACAAGTGGATTAAAATTGGAGAAAGAAGGTGTTAGGATAGGGAAAGAGAAAAAGTCCATGGTATTGATCGTGGATAGCATATAAAGATGGTTAAAAAAAACTTTGTTTGCACTTGTGTTTGAGCAGTACGTAGGGATGCCAGAAATAAATTTGATCGCCTTGACATGATGTGATTTTATGAATTTAGCTCAGGATTGTTTCCAACAACTCCAAGTAGCCAGAGGTTATACAGTCCAATACTGGTTTGTTTGTTAGCTCGAGACCTCTGGTCAACTTTCCCAGGCGTTTATATATCTAATTGATCCGTTTCGTTCCATAACCAAAGCGTGATCTTACCTTGCATATGCTATTGAAAATTTGATACGCCATATTGAATCTTGTTAATGCCTTTCCGATCCGTATCTAGCCATTCATTTTATCTTTGTCCGGTTTAGGACAATTCTGGATAAATCTCGTCCAATATACCAAGAGTACCAAGCTAACAAACAAACCAGTATTAGATTGTATGGTTAGGTACGTTCGTGTCCCTTCACTTTTGCCAACAATGTAGGTACATTACCTTGTCATCACTGCTCCTTACTAACTGTCATGTCATTCGACCGGCGATAAAATATTCGTGATGCTACTAATCATCCCATATTCCATGGTATCTCCATGTTTGTCTGGTTCCGTCCACACACTCTCTCTCTCTCTGCCTCTGGACGAGACAAGAACGAAAAGCACACACACAATGGGACCCAAAGTAGATAGAGCACATAAGTATTTGCTATAATAAACAATTTCCTCTCCCGAGAGACTTTTCCACCTCCTCTTCGCTGTACGTACACACATACATGCCTTCTTTCCTTATGGTTGTACTACTATGTTATTGTACCATGGACTGTTGGACCTGTACTGTACTGTACTTTTCGCTTCTTGCTTCTCGCTTCTCGCTTCTGCTTTCTCAGCTGCTGCTCTTGGATAAACTTGGAATCAACCAGTTTCTGTCTCATAATACATATTCATCCAACGAAGGCTCTCATGCATTCCTTTCCCATATCCGTCCATGCCCGTCCATGCCGCTCCTCCTCCTCCTCACCAACCCTCTTCTTCCTCTTTTACCTCTTTAACCTCTTCCTCTGACTCTTCTTTAACTTCTTCCTCATATTCACTCCCCCACCCTACTACGGGCTTCCACACCAATTCCAGGCTCTACCTGTACCCATTCGTCCTCGGCGGCAAGCCATGGTGATGAGGCGGTGGCGGCGGTAGCGGTAGTCTCAAATCCACCGAGCGCATCGGCGGAGGATCGCGACCACCAATACCAATATCCCTATCCCTTGTCCTGGACCTCTCTCTGTCTCGGTCTCGGCCCCTGGTGGAGGATCTACCGTCGTTGTTGTACAGCCTATCGCGGTCGCGGTCGCGCATGTCCTTGACTGGATGTCCTCCTCCACCTCGGATGGTGTCTCTGGGATCGCGCTCCCCCCTTGGCGGTGGTCGGTCCCGTTCTCCGCCTCGTTCGCCTCCTCGCTCGCGGTCGCGGACTCGGTCCCTGCTCATGTCCCTCACCCTAGCGTCCCTGTCTCGCTCCTTCTCGCGATCACGCTGCTGCTCTCGGTGGTGTGGCGGTTCCCTATCCCGATCTCGGTCTCTATCCCGGTCCCGGTCCCGTTCGCGCTCACGCTCACGCTCCCTATCACGCTGCGGCTGGTGATCCTTCTCCTTTTCCTTCTCCTGCTCCTTCTCCTTCTTCGCCTCAGCCGCCATCTCAGACTTCATGATCGTAGGCGTCCACTTAACCTCCTCAATCTCCGCCCACCTCTCCATGACGCCCATCGCGCTCAGCACCGCCTCCTCGATCTTTGTCCACGGCCCAACCGTCATCTTGACCCGCTTGTCGTCCACGAAATCGGACAGTCCGTAGAGCTCATGCCACACCTCGGGTCTCAGACGCTCCATCTTTTGCCACCTCGCAAGCAGGGCCGGGGCCGTCGCCTGGTCGGCCTGGCTGAAGGTTGCGGTGATGTGCTCGAGCATGACGGCGAACAGCTGTGTCGTGAGGATCCGGAACGGTCGGACGCTGTAGACGCGCTTCTTCAGCTCGCTGAAGTGCGGGACCAGAGACTCCCACGTCGCGAAATCGGGCGGTCGGCGGTCCATCATCCGGGAGTGGTTGAAATTATAAAACGCGATCATGTAAGCGAGCACCATTTCGATGTGAAGAACCATGGCGCGCTTGTTCTCCAGAGTCACGGCGGCCGACGAAAGGGTCTTGAGCTTGGCTGGATCGCGAAGCTGTGCGTCGACTGCGTCACGCTGGTGCTTCAGTTTGCCACCGTATGCGCGATACTCGATGTCTCGCTCGCGGAACGGCGCGGCCTCGGCTGATGGGGGAGGGAGTGGTGGTACAGACGAGCGCTCGCCCATGCCTGGAGTGATGTGTCTCGTCGGGGGCGGCCCTGGTGTTGCGTTCTGAGATTGAGTTGACGGGACACGGGACATGGCAGGTGCGCTGGGTTTGAGTGGTGTTGTCATGCCTGTTGGTCTGGCAATAACTGTGTCGCCGATTGATGACTTGGGTCGCTTTGCCGCGACAGATTCTGAGGGTGTATCGTCCGGGGCCCGTGGTCGTTTTCTAGCAGGCGGAGGGGTAGCCTCTGCTCTTGCAGCCGTGCGCTCCTTCCTCATTGCATCCTTAACAGCTTTAGACGGCAGGCTAAGGAGATCCTTTGCCCTCTTGGCATTCGCTTTCTTAAGCTTCAACGTGACAAGCAAGGAAGGTTCTTGTTCCTCCTCTTCTTCGTCTTCCTCCTCGATAGGCTCAGCCTTCACCTTGGTCTTCCTCGCAATGCTAGGTGAATCTGGTAGCTGGGTCTTGATGTCCCTAAGCTCAGTCTTGGACGGTGTGATTTTGAACTTGCGTGCCAGCTCCTCCTCAACAATCGCAGGCAGGGTAGGAGACAAGAGCGCCGGGATTTCAAACTTCTTCTTCGAACTGTCAATCTTCAGAGGCTTCGGTGGGGCCTTTTCTGCCGGCTTCTTTGATTTGGGCTTATCCGACTCGCCTGCGAGTAGGGAAGGGTGTAAAGGCGACAGTAATGCAGGCACAGGTGCTTTTGACGCTGTATCTCGCTTCCTCCGCGGTGAGACTGGGGTACTCTCCTTATATGGCTTCGACCCGTTCACTAGGATCGTGGACTTGGGAGAAGCGCTGACATCACGCTCCCTGTCTGCGGCAGAGCGGGCCTGTCCATTGGTCGTCGGGTGCAGAGACTCCTTTCTGGTATCCTTGTCGGTTCTGTCGCCCAGGCGATTTCGTGGTGCCTCCGGTTTCGGGGGAAGGCGTGGTGTCTCGTGGTTAGTATCCGGCCTGGGACGCTTGGGTTGGTCGCGTTCGGTATCTGCAGCCCGTTTCCGACTATCGACCTCGACCTGAGACTGTGTGTGGGAGCTTCGCATGCTGTCTCCATTGACCGTGATACGGGGCTTTTCTGACTCTCCTCCCTCTGTCCTAGCAGGCTTCGTCTTTGCCTTGGCGTCGTCAGGCTTGACGTTCTCCTTTACCGGTGCACTTCGTTCCACTGTGCCATTGACTTTGGTGTCACCCTTGGCCTCAAGCTTGGCATCCCCCTTTGGTGTGGCAGAAGGGTCCTGTGGTGACTGTTTCCTCCGATTCTGGTAATCCTTGAACGAAAGTTTCTTCTTGGCTTCCCCGTTAGGGAGAGCCGGTTTTGGAGGCATAGCGCTGGGGGCGCTCGCGGGCTCCTCGCAAATGTCATACGAGGGCCGCGTGATGAGGATGCCTCGATCGCAATCTGAGAGGAAGGTGGTGTACTGTAATCGGTGACTCTTTCCGGTGTACCAGAACCCAGCAGGCTCGGGGTACTTGTCCGTTAGGGACAATGTAAGGTGGTGCGGACGTTGTGGTAATATACGCTGAGCCAATTTGTCTGCATTCTTTTCCGCTCCTTCCATCGTTCTTTTCATCGTTGGCACATTGGACTCCGTGGAAGGGCAAGTCGGGGTATGTCGTGTTACTCGTCTCTTTGTGTAGGGTTCGAAGATTAGGCGTGGCAATCAATATTGCGTGTTGGGTTTCGTAGCTGACGTTCGTTGTCGCGGTAAAGGAGTTGTAGACTGAGCCAAAGTAGAGTAAAGCGTAGGCAAGGTTCGGTCTTCAACCACAGAGGGTTTCTATTGTGCGGTATGCGTGGGGTGGTATGAATAGCTATTCAATGCAAACATGCGACGAAGATGGGATGGAAGGCGGGTCGTCGACCTTTTCAATAGCCGGATTTCTGGTTCTCAATAGGTCTGGCAATTCGCACGATTAGCATGCGTCATTCCTCATGCAAAAGACATGGAGATATGGCTAACGCGACAAGTGGCATCGCAGCTTTGCGAGGTCCCTTGGGGTCCTGATCCCAACTTTTGGGTTTGCGGGGCAATTGGAACACACAAAAACAAAGCAGACGCAAGACGCAGCAAACGACCACAATTCGTCACCAGAGACAGAAGTCAGGGAAATGGCATACCTAACCAGTAATCATGTGCTCTGTGAGAGACGCGTAGCAACAGCCAAGATATCAAGCGGCGGTTCAGTCGCTATCGCCGTGTTGTCGTGTGTGGATCGCCAACACCAGCCTGTTTCCTCCTCATTTGCCCGCCCGTCAAAGGGGACGTGATTTGTCTCTATCCTAGCCTCCTATCGACAACCTTGATTTGGGATAGCAGACAAGGGCGCATGTCTCGGTCGGGCAACCGTAAATGATGGCAGCGCATGCGACGACAATCGGTGAGCGTGCCCGAGCAGGTTCAAAGGGGGCGGGCGGGGGGCGTGCCCGAAGGTGCTCGAGATAGAACGCGTTTTCGATAGCGGATGGTTATGGGAGTGCGCGCACAGCGGTGGTGTATCCGACAGCAATGATGTACGTAGAGGTACTGTAGGCGGTTTAGCTGGCAGCCAAGCTATGTAGGTATCGCGAAAGAAGGCCGGAGTTCGGATGGTGTTGCGCAGGGAAGCCGAGGTGGGATTGCTGGGGGCGCGAGCAATGGAATGGAACCTGAATCGAAGTGGAGAGCAGAAAGGTGGAAACGGGGACAAGTGGAAGGGCAGCAGGGTCAAGGCGTGACGGGTGAAGGGTGTGTGGTGTTAGGTAATGGTGGTCGGGCGTGCTAGCCGTGGCCGGTACTGCCTTCGTAAGGGCCCGTCACTTGAGGTGCTGTCGTCGGGTACGTACCTCTACTCTACCAGGATAGATTCCGGATGTCTTGCTTGTGTCCAGTGCCGTATGTCCCGTGGACGGCTATCACTTGAGGTTGAGTGCCGTGTGGTGGTTGCAGGTGTAGAGATGTGCCGTCGTGGAGGTCTTGTCGTCCTGGTGGTCTCTGGCTTCCACTTCCACCTCTTACCCTTGTTGGGTGCGGGTTGTTGGAGATTGGCAGGTGAGGAGTGCCCTGGGACTGATAGTGGGAAAGCGTGGGTGGTTAGCGGTCGGGTCGTATCCGGGCGGAGAGATTCTTGCGGAGAGCGGTAGAGCGGCCACTGTGCGGCATCGCGCTTGACGAGTGGACCACCGGACACCATAGCTACTAAGCGGCGGCTTTGTGTACAGAAAAGACAAAATGCAAGCTTCGTTGGAACTCACCGGTTTGTGTTTCGTCACTGAGACACAGGCCACAGAGCCAAGGAAAGGAAACGACAGGAGTGTTGTGCTTCCCGGTCCCTGAAAAAAGAAAAAGAGATCTGGAGATTTGAGAAAAGGTTCGACGTTGGAGAAGGGAGAAATATCTTGAACAATGTATCATTTACTACCTACAGCTACTCCGCTCCTGCTTCACAGGTTTGCTGCCCTAAGCATCGCTGGACAGAGAAGGAGCTTGCGTGTGGTCTTTGGAAATCCGCATGTTTAGTTTAGAGCACTACCACTTTTTCTCATTCAACTGGGTTTTATCCTTCCCTCTTACAGTCTAGCATATCTAGGAGTCACCTCAGAACTGGGGCGCCATCGTCGCCGACAGACTTAGCGGACCACTCAAAGCTTGAATGGCAAGCTGGCATGCAAGTGACTCGCAGCGGCTAGAGCGGATGACACAACAGCGCAAGCGTCCTAGACTAGAGTAGGCCTAGTTTCTGCGGGTAGATAAAACCCAGTTGAATGAGAATTAGCGGTAACACGGACAGGTAGCAGAAGTATGAAACTTGGTTTACGACGGGAACGTTTTTGGTTAGCGCAAGTGAACAGCTTCTACTTGGCTGCATGGACAGCTTCTGATTCCAGGGCACGTTTCAACGCACGCCCTGTGGGTGGTAGGTAATACGAACATGACTCTTGAACACAATATGTTTATGATTTTACTATTTTTCCACCTCTCTCTTGTTTTTCTCTCTCTTCTACCCAGTACTAGTCTCAAAGTCAAACACCTCAAGATCCATCCGCGATGATGACCATGTCGGGACCTGAGTACTTAGGTAGCGCCGCGCCGCCGCCAGCGCCATTCAGGCACGCCGCCGCACAGGGCTACAGCGGCGGACATGGAACAAGCTCCAAAAGCTCCACCAAGCCCTGTGACTGCAGGCTCAACCCGGCGCGGCACTTGGGGGGGAAGGTGTGAGACCCGGGAGATCCTCACCCCCAGCTCGAGAAGATCCGCGACAAGGGGGGGTCAACTGCACCGTTTGTCATGCCAAGACTTTGGAACCACAGCTTGAAGCTTGACTTTGGAAAAGATGTTCGGAGGACATGACACAAGCCATTTAACATGGAAGCTTGTTAGAAAGGGAGTGGAAAATCGGTCCAAGCATAAGATATATAATCCTCAGTAACTGAACGTATGTTTCTTGCCTCTTCGCAAGATGTCTAGACATCTCTGCATCAATGCCCAACATCTACCACCTCTTATATCAATACCAGAGATGGTTAGAGGTAACCTCTTGAGCCCTCTATAACTCTTGCTTACGTAACTTGCATTCCAGTGTCTCTTAACACTTGGCATCCTCGCCTGCTTACAAAGTTGCAGATACTTTAGGTATCATTGCACTTTGAGAGTGTTGTCGTGCCTGCGCCTTTTCTGTTTTCGTCTTCCAGCGGCTTGAAGCAGCCTTATAAGCCTGCCAGTTTGCCAAAGTGATCTTCCACCTAGCCACAAGTGGTATGGCAACCACGTATAAGGCTGCGTCTCTTGACTTATACAAGTCTACTTTTGGCTTTTAGTTATACTTCCTTTTCTGTACAAGCTTTCTTACAAACGAACAACGTTCATGCCCGTTCTGCTAGGATGTAGCATTAACAAGTGGCTGCTAAAAATTATTTCCGAGTTAGTCTTTCGCTATTGCCTCTAAATAAAACGACGTTGAGATTCGTATAATTGCAAACTTACACCGGTACTTGAAGCGGGACGCTCAATATGCGTACCGTCCTGATCAGTTCGGCGCCTTTTCATTCCTGGCTGAGCCTCAGGTTCGACACTGAGCCCTGCAGTCTTGACCTCCAAGATACTGACGCTAACTTTGAGCATATCAAGTTCCTTAAGAAGGGATTCTGCCCGTTGATTTGACTCCTCGAGATCTAGCTTCCACTTTTCCGTCTCCGGAATCAGCTGTTGGATCAAGATGTCCGCTACGTGCTTGGAAGTGATGTTGTTGAAGCGCTGGTTGAGGTTGTTGATCGCAAAGTCCAGCGCCGAAGCCTTGTGCTGTAACTCTTCAAGCGTTGCTTGCTGCTCCGCCTTGGCTTGTTTGAACTCGGCACGAAGAGGTTCGAGATTTGCCGTGCTGACTCCAGGCTGAGGAGTTGTCGTTCCAGGAGTCGGCCTCAGCTTAAGGTTGTTTACTTCATTTGTGAGCTTGGTTATTCTGGTACGCTCATCATCAACCAATTTCCCGAACGTGAGCGTGAACTTCGTCTGGAACTCCTCCAGTTTCCTGTTAGAGTCCCTTTGGGCCGCCGAAACTTGTGTCACTTTCGTCTCCAGATCCGCAACCTGTTTGACAAGTCCGGAAACATTCGTCTCTTTCATCCCCAGGTCTGCAACTTGCTTGGTAAGCCCCAAGACGTCCAGAGGTGTCTTAGTCTCCAGATCTGTAACGCGGTCTTTGAGCGCCGGGAATTGGAAGGACACAATCTCGGCTGCTTCATCGAGCGCTACGAAATCGACGTTCTCTAGTTTCTCCTCCTGTTTTGCCATCTTTTGCTCAAATTCCGCAACTTGAGTTCGGACCTGGTTGAGTTCTTGTTCTCTAGTTCCCAGATGGGTGCGTAGGTCGGCAAGCTCCTGTCGTAGAGACGCTACCTCGCTAGCAGAGTTTTGCTTTGTAACATCTTGTGCCGTGGCGCGTTGTTGCTCGAGTTGCTGTTCAAGTTGTTTCTCGTACTTCTTTTGTTGTTTGGCTAGCCGTGTCTTGAGTTCTTGCTCTTGAGCTTCCTTAAACTTTCTCAAGTCTGACTGCATCTTGCTGATCTGTTCTTCCAGTTTTGTGCTCTGTTTCGGGAACTCTTTGCTTTGCTTTGCAAACTTCTGTTCAAAATCTTGACGCTGCTTAGCTAGCTCTGTTTGAAGTTGCTTCGTGAAGTCTTCTTGTTGCTTCGCGATTCTGGTTTCATACTCTCGTTGCTGTTTGCCAAATTTATCATCGAGGTCCTTAAATCGAGATTCCATGTCTTGTTGGTCCAGAAGCCGTTTAGATTTGAGACCGTCGAATAGATCTTGCAGTGCGTCGATCTTGGTTTGTGCGGTGGACTTATGACTTGACAAAGCTTGCTCCAGTTCGGCGATCTTGTCGTCGTACTCCTTGGAGCTAGTAGACGCTGGAGGTAATAACGCAGCTGGCAAGTGACCAGACTTCATCAGCTGTAGTAAGCAGGAGAGGAAACCCTCTCTTGCCCTTTTGATACCATCTTCAGCAACGCGCACCATATTCTGGTATTCTGCACGTCGCTTGGCGTCGCGATCCAAGAACTTCTTTTGAAGTTCTGGTACTGAAGGGAAGTCTGCTAGCTTAGCCGTGCATTTGTTGTACTCGGCTTGCCGCCTTTCGAGGGCCTTTTCAGCCTGGGTGAGGTCATATTTGTGCGTAGTAAAACTGATAAGAGAGTCGCACAGTGCCTTGAGACATCTTCCTATCTCTACGTCTGAGGCATTCCTGTTGCCCGTAGGCGATGAGGCAGTGGCCGCTGCAATCGAAATCAGTATTCGTTTTTTCTTCTTTTAATTGAGGCTGTGGATAGCTTACGCGTGTTCAGTCCATGGTCAGGTCGAGCACGGTCACCGGCCGATGCGGCTTGTGTGTTTACTGTCAGGCCTCTTGCAGGTGCATCAGGCAAGCCACGGTCCCGTTCACGATCTCGGCTTCTTTCCTGCTGATCCCGATCCCGATCTCGGTCCCGGTGATGACTATCATGATAACTGTTTGGAGGCCTGTTCGGCAGAGAATTTGCATGACTGGAACTAGGCCTGTCGGAATACCGTTCATCTCTGTAAACATTACGGGGCTGGCTATCGCGACGCTGATGGGGGTCTGCCGATGGTCGGCGGTCGTTTAAAGTGGAAGGCCGCCTCGCGTACGGATCCGGCGGCCTGGAAGACATGGTGACACCAGGCGGATGGATGGGGTGTGCAGTGAGACGAGACGCTGCAATCAAGCGTGCGCTTAACAGACAATGTGTGGCGAAGGCGGTAAGGTACCGAAGACGGATCAAGACGGTAAAGTATTTGTGACAGTGCCAGCGGTACAGACTTCAGTCAATCTCGGAATTGAGCCTGAAATGTGTGTTGATGTTCGATATTGTCGGTTGAAGATTGTAGATGTATGATGTATGCGGGTAGGCGCGTAGGTAGAGTGAAAGTTTTGGAGGCCCCGCACCTCCAGACGGGAATGAGATCAGACTAGGGCTTGCCGCGCAAAGGTACAAATTTGATGTTCTTTTCCTTGTCTAAATGGACAGTCGAACTAATAGTTCTGAATGCATTCCGGAACGCCAGGTCTACAATCGTCGAAGATGTCTGAAGGAGAAGAAAACATGGAAGTGCCTGTCTGTAATTTTGGTGGGGAAATTTGGTTTAAATATTTTTGGGGAGACCACCATGAGCCCGAGGTTGCAGAGCTGCAACTTCTCTTGTAAAGGAAGGCGCTACGGACCCTTGTCATTCTGTCCATTCAATGGTTATGACTGGCCGAACGTCATGTTTATATCTTGCATTGCTCCAGTCCTTTCAGCTCTTTTACAATCATGCATCTACTGCATCGGGACAGGCAGGTTGAGGAGGATGACAGAATGCCTCACATCGTCTCCTTGGGTACCTCAAGAACCTCCTGCAGGTCGCTTCCGGTCCTTGCATGTTTGCCTGTTATTCCACTTTGCATCCAAGTCACGATCCCGTACCAACACTGCCGAGTTCTCAAGAACTTCTACTGTATCTGGCTTAGGACGTTGCCGGCCTCCACGAAATGGGCATGGTATGATGGTCCACCTTTTTACACAATCATGACCCGAACGTCCTGAGCATTCATGAAACCTCAAAGCTTCTGATGCTCCAGCTTGTTTCAATTTTGAAAGTTACTGAATAAAAGAGCCTTTGTTTTGCTCAACTCAGTCGGATTCCCGATGTGGGTTTATATCCGGGGTCTTGTGGGTCCGCAGGACCGTGGAGGTGCCGGCAAGCTCTTCCTCCGGCGCAAGTCCGGGGGCGGTCCCGTCCCGTCCTGCCCTTCTCTGCAGTGGTATCGCTGTTTGCGTCCTCAGCCACAGTGGCGTGTAAGTCGGCGTACGAAAGGGTCGTATTGGTACGTAACTTTGGTAACGAACCACTGGATGCCCGGCCTGCCGGTCTACAGTATGCAATTGGAGAACTCACTGCAAAGTTCCATCACAGCGCGACGCGCACTGCAGCTTTGAACTTCGTCGTCCTTCTCTTTTCAGCACATTCCATCATTCACTGCCAACCATCCCTGCATCCACCTGCGAACTGATCCATCTCCCACCTTAATACCCAAACCCAAGCGACCTTTCTTGGAGAACTCTGTAACAACTTAATATCTTGCAAATCAGTGGGCAACATGGCTGCTGTAAGCTCCCCACCTACCTCCCAACACCACAGTACCTTGATGGAACAATAGCTAACCTCTTGTGCCCATGACATAGCAGGTCGTCACCGTCGGAGAGAGTAAGGACCTCCGGGGTCTCAACCTCATTGCAGCGCACTCGCACATTCGCGGTTTGGGCGTCGATGCCGATACACTCGAGCCCAGAGTTGCCTCCCAAGGCCTTGTCGGCCAGGAGAAGGCGCGCAAGGCGGCTGCTGTTGTTCTCGAGATGATCAAGCAAGGGAAGATCGCCGGCCGTGCTGTGCTTATCGCCGGTCCTCCCAGGTTAGCCCGTTCTGTCAAAATGCGCATACCGTCGTATACTGACCTATCTATGCGAAAATCAGTACCGGAAAGACTGCCCTTGCCATGGGCATGGCCCAGTCCCTCGGCACCGACGTCCCTTTCACCACCCTTGCCGCTTCCGAAATCTACTCGCTAGAGATGTCCAAGACCGAGGCCCTCACCCAAGCATTCCGCAAGTCGATTGGTGTCAGGATCAAGGAGGAGAGCGAGATCATGGAGGGTGAGGTGGTGGAGATTCAGATCGACCGGAGCGTCACCGGTCACGCCAAGCAGGGCAAGCTTACGATCAAGACGACCGACATGGAAGCTATTTACGACATGGGCAGCAAGATGATCGATGCTATGACCAAGGAGCGCGTCATGGCCGGCGACATTATCTCGATAGACAAGTCATCTGGAAAGATTACCAAGCTGGGCCGATCATACGCGAGGTCGCGCGACTACGACGCCATGGGTGTCGACACCAAGTTCCTGCAGTGCCCCGATGGCGAGCTACAGAAGCGCAAGGAGGTCGTCCACACAGTAACGCTGCACGAGATCGACGTCATCAACTCGAGGACACAAGGCTTCCTCGCCCTCTTCTCGGGCGACACGGGCGAGATCCGCAGCGAGATCCGTGACCAGATCAACACCAAGGTGGCCGAGTGGAAGGAAGAAGGCAAGGCCGAGATTGTTCCCGGTGTCCTGTTCATCGACGAGGTGCACATGCTCGACATCGAGTGCTTCTCGTACATCAACCGGGCGCTCGAGTCCGACCTGGCCCCCATCGTCATCATGGCCAGCAACAGGGGCCACTCCAAGATCCGCGGCACCGACTACAAGAGCCCCCACGGTCTGCCGCTCGACTTCCTCGACCGCATCTCCATCATCAACACCCACTCGTACACGCCCGACGAGCTCAGGCAGATTCTGACCATCCGCGCCCAGGAGGAAGAGGTCGACCTGTCCCCCGACGCGCTCGCCCTGCTCACCAAGATCGGCGCCGAGGCCGGCCTCCGGTACGCGAGCAACCTCATCACGACGTCGCAGCTGATCTGCGCCAAGCGGAAGGCCAAGCAGGTCAGCGTCGAGGACGTCCAGCGCAGCTTCAAGCTGTTCTACGACCCTGCCAGGAGCGTCAAGTTCGTGCAGGAGTCGGAGAAGAGACTGATTGGTGCCGATGGCGTGGTCGATTTCCGTGTCAATGGTGCTACGGGGGAGCCGGCGGCTGCTACGGCTGGTGGTGGCGATTCCATGGATACCAGCAGCTAAAGAAGGAAGGAGATGAAATGAAATGGGACAAGCACAAGGATTAATGATCTTGGGGTATAATTCGTTTCGTGTAGGCGTTTAATTGGGATGGCTAAACAAAAAGGCGTCTTTGAATGAACAAAGTTTTCTTATGCTTTGTATGTGCCCAGTCGAGGTTTTTGTCAAAGTCATTATGGATGATGGGGTGGGTTTTGCAAATATCTGTTTGTATGATACGACGAACTATAAACGAAGTCGAAGCATGGCGTAGCAAGAGAGAACTTTATGGCATTGTGGGGGTGATATGACAACCAGCCGCCGGGAGAGCTCTGGGCTTGATGGTCAAGCTTTTGATTCTGTCATCATTTCGAATCGGGGGGTATACTATCACACACAATCGTACAAAACCTAACCATACACATCTACCATGTGATGATCATACGAACGTCGCAACCCTAGACCAGTCCCCCTCCCCTCCGCCGCCTACCGGCCTAAACTCAACCGCCTCCTTGAAGTACCCAGCATCCTGCCATGCCTTCATAGTAGGCCCGTCGAACGGTCCCTGACTCCCTCCACCGTCTCTCCCATCTGTCCACCTAAACTCCCACATCCTTGGTTGTCCGTCTGATGATGACGATGACTCTTCCTCCTTTTCCTCTTCTTTAGGCGTAGGCTCCACCCAAGTCTCGCCCGTCTCAGCTCTGTACTCTCTAACCAACCACTCCCTCTCCTTATCGTAAATATCCGGGTAATCCCTTCCCAGCAACTTATCCGCCGCTTCCGTGATGGCATCAATCGACTCCCTAATCTTTTTCTGCTTGGGATCTTCTTCCCCTTTCTTTTCATCAACATCCATCGCGTCAATCCCCTGTTTCCGCTCCTGCTTCTTCTGCTTCCACTTGGGCACCTTCTTCGGCCCCTTCGTCTTGTCCTTGCCCAACCTCGCCAACGCCTCCAGCGCCGTCTCCCCCTTTTCCAGCGTCAGGATCAAGTTTCCAAGTAGGTCACCAGTGGCAATCTTATCATCCTCCCTCTCCTGTGCCCGCCGCTCCGCCTCGCGCTTCTCGTGCGCCGCCGCCGCCTTTTTGATTTCTTTTTTCGACAGGCCCTCCAGCCACTTGTCGTGCACGGCATTGGCATCGGCCGCGCTGCGGATGTAGTTGCCCGCCTCGTCGAAGGCGCCCTCTTCCTGCTCGGCTTTCATGTTGAAGGCGTCGATTTTGGGCGCGTGTTTCTTGAGCCCGCCAAGGCCGACTTCTTCGTCTACGCCTTCCTCGGCGATGGCGGCTGCTATGGTTTCTTCGTCGTCGTCCGACTCGCCGGATTGGTTATCTTTGTCGATGGTGACCGTGTCGCCGGCTTTGGAAGAGAGATCCTGGCCTTCGATTTCCGAGTCGGCGAGGAAGTGGACGGATTTCTTGTCCTTTTTGCCTGCTGTGGTGGGTTTTGCTCCGTCGTCGTCGTCGTCTTCCAAGTCGCCGAACATGTCTACCTCATCATCCTCATCATTCGCTGCTGCCGCCCCGTTTGAAGGCTTGTTGTAATTATCCATCACCTCCGCCAGATCCACGTCCTCGGCATCTTTGCCCTTCTTGCGGCTCTTCCCCCGGGCTTCTGCCCGGTCTTCCAGGTTGTCATTGTCCGAGTCCGAGTCGTACCCGTCAATGTTGACGGCGCCGCGCTTGGTCGCCCGTGAGAGCCCGCCGATCACGTCGGCGGCGAGAACCTCCTCGTCGGCTTCGTCTAGGTCGTCGTCGTGCGCTGAGGGCGCGAGCGCGGAGGGGTTGCGGACGTCGAATTTGACTTTCTTGTGGGAGGGGCCGCCGGAGGTGTCGTCGTTAGAGCGCGATTCGCCGTGGTGGGCGCGGGCGTAGGCTTCGCTGGCGCGTTTGGGGCGCGCGGCGGAGAAGCGGGAGGACATTGTGAAGGTTGTCTTTAGTGTCGTGTTTGTGTTTGTGTGTTTGAGGTGTTGACGTCAGGATGTAAGCAGTTGTGTAGTCTTCATGGAATGGCCTATTCTGTCTCTATATCGCAGAGCTCGTGTGGATATGTCCCGAGATAGTGTTTGTGTTGCCTGAGCCGACAGCGAATGGTAACTCTACAAGTAGAGGATGGTGTTTGGAGAGAATCACGGATGGCAGAATTGGGAATCTGATGAACTCGATCACTAACATGGAGCTCTCCACCGACATCGAGGTCCAGAGCGTTCTGCAGTGGACAGGCAGCGCTCAAGGTACCTTTGACCTAAGCGTTTAAGAATGGGGAAGCTCGCGCCACAGCACGGTTTCACAGATCTGACGCCACGGCTTAGTACACCTTCTCACCCCGCCAATCCCGCCGAGGCAGGTACCTCTACCCTTGCCAGGGCCCCGGTCATTACCTAACGTGCCTGTAACTTTCGGCGGTGGTGCTTGGCCCAGTTAGTTACGTATGTCATCTGCGTGTTGCCTTCACCTTCCACGCGGTCAGGTTGCTTCAACGCCGTCACAACATCCCCTTCACTGCGCTTGTGCCACCTCGTCGTTCCGGGTATTTATTCTGCGAACATTACCTAGAGATCTCCCCTTTTGATACAAATACCACGTCGTTTTTCCTCTCCAAAGCATCACTTTACGCCATCTCCAGCAGCTACTTCGCGATTATGGTAAGCTACCCTTGTTGTCAAGCTCGTTTACAAAGGGAGCTGTTCGACCCCTCGATATGTCCGGAATCATCTAACACTCTGGCCGTGACAGTACGGAGACATCTACAGCCGCGCCGCTGGTCGCTCTCGGGGCGCGCAACGCTTCGATGAGTACTACCGCTGCTACCCCCTTGTTATGGCGCCCGGTGCCGAACGACCTGAACTCAACTACGGCTCCAAGATCCTGCTCCCGCCTTCCGCTCTCGACAAGGTTTCGCGACTACACGTACAATGGCCCATTATGCTAGAGCTCATCAACGGCTCGCAGGGAGCACACACACACGCCGGTGTGTTGGAGTTCGTGGCGGAGGAGGGTAGGGCCTACATCCCGCAGTGGATGATGCAGACACTTAAGCTCGACGTGGGCGATATGATCCAGATCAAGACGACATCTCTCGAACTCGCCAAGCTAGTAAAGCTTCAACCGCAGTCGGTCAACTTCCTCGACATTAGCGACCCCCGTGCCGTCCTCGAGAAGGCCTTCCGGAACTTTGCGGCCCTCACCAAGGGCGATGTTTTCAACTTTGAGTACAACGATGAAATCTACGAAATGGCGGTCCTGGACGTCAAGCCGGAGACCGCTAAGATGGGTGTCTGCATGATCGAGACAGACGTCAGCGTCGATTTCGCGCCGCCAGTTGGCTACGTCGAGCCGTCGCGACAGACACAAGGCAGCGGTACCAGCACGCCGCGCAGCGGAAGGGCTGTTGGCGGAGGACTTCCGGCGGGTGGTCTTTTGCACAACCAGGGCACCATGGCTCAGGCCATCAACTACGATGCTATTGCACCGGGAGCCACCACCACATCGGTGGGCAATTTCCACGGCGAGGGTATGCGGTTGGCGGCGAAGAAGGGTAGCAAGACGGGAACACCGAAGCCGGCGACGCCGGTGGCGGGCACTTCGATCAACGTTAAGGACGTGGTTCTGCCCAGGAGGAAGAACAACAACGGCCCCTTGCCGCTGCGTCTGCCGCCCAACAAGCTCTTCTTGGGATACGAGATCAAACCTGTCAAGACAGCGGCAGACAAGGAGAGGGAAGCGGCCGCGGCCAAGCAGCCGCACTTTGCCGGCCAGGGACAGACGCTCCGTGGAGGAGCCCCGAAGAAGAAAGGCGATGGTGATGATAAGGCCGCGCAACCGGAGAAGAAGCCAGAGGAGAGCAAGGGGAGGCGACTTGATGGCAGGAATGTCTAGGGGAAACCTTTCGTTTAACAAGCTTGTTACTAGATGGCTTGCTTTGCTTTGATGCATTCTCGGGCGTTCATGGAGAAACAGGGTAATGGGATAGGGAGGTTCAAGTCAAGGGATCACGGAACGTTTGTAGCGTCATTATGAATACACATGGACAGGCAACGGTGCTTTTCAAGATAGAAAAAGGCTGCAGATGGGATGTCCAGTGATGAGCAGCACGATGTTCACTCACGCCATCCAGCAGAGTAGAATTAGTGAAGAAAGGAAACGATGCCTCATGGTCTCACATAACTGGAACATCCGTGACACATATTCAACAAGGTCCGCTGGCTCAATGGCAGAGCGTCTGACTACGAATCAGGAGGTTCCAGGTTCGACCCCTGGGTGGATCGAGTTATCTTTTCTTTTGCCGGTCTCGTATACTGAGATGCTCCCATCTTTTTGTTATTCTCTTTTTGCTTGCTCCCTTGAAATGCCGGGATTTGACATTGGTGCAAGATGGACGGCATGGACATGTTTTTTTTAGTACGTGGCACATATAGTCCCTGATTTTTCCATTGTTGACGGTGCACGAGAACGGCTTGGTCCTTTTTGTCTTTGTCTTGAGCAGTCGCTTTGTTTAAGTGTCGTGCCAGAAAGGTCTGGAGTTCTGTCTGCATCCCGCTTCGGGATCTGTTCTGACAAACTTTTGGATTGTTAAACGAACATATCACTGAGGGCTGAAACGAATAAAGTCATCTATTTCATTTACATGGCATTGAGTTCTGGTGTTGTTACGGCTGCTGGCTTTCCAAGTTGCAGTCCCAAGAGCTCGGTCGGTCGTATCGTTTGAGATTTGGATTTCTAATGGCTCCGTGCATCGTTGATTAGCTAATGTGGGTCGTGCAACAGGCTTCGACTGTCGCTTGCTGAGTCCTGTGATTGGTTGGAATGGACGAAAGCGAACCGAATGGTCGCTTGGCATTGTCCGTTTAGCACTCTCGCACAGTGAGCAACCAAACCAGCCCAGAAGCGCCTCCCATTGACCACTTCTTGTTCCGGACTGGTCCTGTGCTCACTGCGACCATTCATCATCACTGAACCCATCTTCCGACTCGCAACCATCCGTCTTCCAACAACACGAAGGCAACAAAACAAAACCTGGAAATCCGTTGAAAGCACCTTGCCACATTCTTCCTTTCTTTGCACTCAATTCCACAAACAATCAATCGCAAACAAAAACCAACCCACCATTCGATGCCGCTTGCTGAACAACACAGGTAGCCATGCCAAAGGTGGAGGCCCGGCGGGCTTCGGCGAGAAGCCGTACTAGATCTGCACTATCGGCGACGGAGGCGTTAGCGGCGGTAGTTGGTGGCCGTAGTCTGCGGCCACGCCGAGCCGGGAGCCAGGGTGCTGTGGGAGCCGCTGTTGGTGTTTCAATCGGCGGCGGTGCGACATCAAATCTGGGCCCAGCAAGCCCACTAAGACGAAGCGCTCGCAGCGGGGATTCAGCAGGGGCAGCCCGGAACAGCGGTCCCTCCAATAATAACAACAAGGCCAGCAACACCACCCTCAACCACAACATTCGCCCTCGTAGGTCGTCCATCAACTATCGTGAAGATTCTTCCGACGATAGCGACAGTGCCTCTACTACGCCTGATGAAAGCGACAGCGAAGAAGAGGATGACGGAGAACGAGATGCACAACCCGCGCGCAGGTCCGCCACATCAACACGGGGGCGCCCATCTCGGACCCAGCTCAGCACCACCAGCAACAATAACACACGAGGCCAAGCACTAGGAAAGCGGCGCCGTCCCCGGTCCGGCTTTTTCCATGAAGACACCGACGGAGAAGACGATCCTCAAGATGACGACATCGTCAATACTGACCATGAAACTCTCCCCACTCCTCGCAGGGGCAGAGCAACGGCTACATCCGTAGCCAGAGCCAGGGAATCGTCAGTTCCACGTACTCCAGAGCGGAAGAGAAGAAGAGGCACGCCGGCGACTGCCACTCAGAGACGCACGCCTGCTTCGTCCAGGAAATCCAAGTTAGACCTTGTTCGCTCTGGTGACGCCGAGGAAGACGCAGCAGAAAAGAAACCCCAAATCATCCCCCCTTGGCAACATCTCCCCTATGAGCTCTGGCTCTTGGTGTTCAAGTTTGCATCCGCCGAGCGCGATCGGGATGCTGTCAACCTTCTCTTATCTGCGAGCCGTCTTTGTAGGGAACTTGCGGAACCAGCCCTGACGGCGTTGTATTACTCTCCTCCGTTGCTCACCCGGAAAATGGCACATGGACTCGTGGCGCTCTTGTCCTCGGATCCCTCAACGATGAGGTACCGCTACAGGTGGAAAGTGAAGAAGTTGCGGATCGATGTTGAGGAGATTGCTTCCAAGACTTATAAAGGGCAACACCTTGACTGGGACGCCCTTTTCGCCAATGTTCCAATGCTCAAGTCTATCGACTTCTTCCATGCAAAGGACGATGCCCCATTCAGATCTCTTGAAGCGAGCCTGAGATGGAAATACCCAACCGCAATGTGGAAATTCCTCAATGGCGGCGACCCTCCAGGAACCGAGCACAAGCCCATCGAACTCGAGGCCTGGAGATGGAATGGGAGGTTGATGACCCCCGACATGACTTTGCAAAGTCCGACTATCATTCACCAAACTCCGGCTTTCTCAACGCTCAAGAAGATTTGCCTCCAAAACTTCCAGGTGCCCTCGATGCCGCTGCATAACTGGCCAGCCGTTGTCGAAGAAGACGAAGGGTTCGAAAAGTTCTTGATCAGCGAATTTGCTCATGCCATCAACGCTCTTCCTCAACTGGAGTATCTGTCTATCGAATCCTCCACCATTGCAAACGACTATCTGCTCCACCTTCTTCCCAAAACTTTGAAGACCTTGGAGCTCGTCAACTGCTGGGAAATCACTGCCGATGATTTCTCGGAATACCTTCTGACCCGCGCCTACCGCCTTGAGCACCTTTACTTGAAACACAACCAGTCCCTCAGCTTGAGCTTCCTTACTGTCTTAGGCACAGCCTGTCCATACTTGCAAACGTTGAGCGTCGACCTCAAAACCTACAACCACCACGAGTTCTACAACGACTCAGACCCCAGCTACGACGAGGTCCTAAGCGTCACAGAAGTCCCAGAATGGCCAGTGAGTCTGCGCACCCTTGAGCTGCAGAACATGCGCAAGTGGTCCGCCGACGCAGCCGAGAACCTCTTCCAGTCCCTGATCAATGCGGCCCCTGACCTTCCTGATCTACGAATCATCGACATTAACGCCAAACTCAACATCCCCATCCGTCAGCGCTCCGAAATGCGCGACAGATGGGAAGCCCGTCTCAAAGGCGTCTTTCTTCGGAAATGGGAAGACCCCAAACCCCCCTTCACACTACGTCCCCCAACACCCACCCCCAAGCTGATACCGACAATGTCAACGAGCAAAGTACCCCCTTCCGCCACCAAGCGCTCCCGCACCGATAAATGGGTAGCCCAATCCATCGAAGCCCAACAAGGCTCCTCCTCACAGTCTACCCGCCGAAGCGCCCGCATCGCAGCTCTATCCTCCGGCTCCTCATCCGGCGGCGGCACACCCTCGCCCTCACGCGGCAACAGCTTCCAACGTGAGCGTGAAGTATCAGTGACCTCATCACTCTCCCTATCAGCAGAGGCACTCTCCCTTTCACCTAGGGAGGCCAACGTAGCGGGGGAGATTTTGTACAGACATGGCTGGTGCGAGAAGGTGGAGCTGCAGTTGGATAACCAGAAGTTGACGGAGCAGACGTTGACGATGGAGGATTTTGTGGATTGGGGCAGCGGCGATGATGATGAGGAGGATTCGGAGTGGGATGGGATGGATAGGGATGATGATTATGGTGGTGGGGGGTATGCTTGGTGATTTCAAGGGATCCGACTGCTGAGATGGTTGGTTGATTGGTTATTTGAAGCCGGAGCTGGCTTTTACACATAATGGGGATTTGGAACAAGTTTCAGTCGTTGCTCGGTTTTATCATCTGGCGCTCGGTGCTTGGTGGTCGGTGGGATTTTATTATTTGCTCTTGCTACTCTTCATCGATGAGGTTCATCTATCTGGCTTTTTACTGGGGCACTAGGGCACACACAGTACAGTAGCGCTGTTTGTTTAATTGTTGTATGTACGCCTTCATAGCCCCTTTCTTCATTTTCTTTCTCGGGGCAGCGAGACAAGCCCACATCGAAGCACCGGATTGAGAGAAAGTTCATTGTAACACCTGCCGTACATATCAAACGGCGTCTGGCAACAAAAAAGTTCAATGTTCTTGCTCTTAACAACACTCATATATACCTTCCTAACAGACTCTTGAATGTGGTCTAGGGTTAGGTACGTTTGCTAGGTATCTTTGCTCTTTTTTTTCTTTTTGCTTTCATGTTTTGTACTGGCATTACTGGTTGGTTGTACGGGTTGTGCGAGCGTGTTTCATGCATGGGCTCCTCCTATACAGGAATGAGACAAAGGCAGACATATGGAGCTGAATGGAGGGTTAAGTGCTTGTGCAAGTCACATGCAGAAACAGTGACTGTGATATAGATCGCATAGGTGCGAGGTATGTATAACAGGACAACGAGATAACAAGACAACACAGAGACAATAGGAGCACAGGACAACAGGGGACGTTAGGTACAGGCGGACGAGGCGACACGTGAGTCACGATCCTAACACTAGGACCTTTATAAGCTAGCGACCTGAAGAAGAAATGATAAGAGTCAGTCACATTTGGTACTTTGCTTCCTTCCCTTTCCTTTACTTGTTGTTGGGGCCATCTATGTCTGTCTGGCTTGGCTTACTTGGCTAGAGGTGCTGTACTGCGGAGGTAGGTGAGGTAGCTTCCGCACCTAGATAGTGTAGATATATCGGAGCACGACTTCTAACAGAAATAAGGGATGGAATACATAAGACCAAGGGCAAGCTTGGTACCTAGCAATGGAGTGATAACTATTGAGATTACTCGGTTTACATAAGGTACTCTGTCTGCTACCGGGACACACAAATGACTTGTGATAAATACCTGTAAAGATGGGGGGAGGAGTATAACACTTATGTACACTGGAACACTTACTTGAGGTCTGGTAGCCTAGACTAGTTCTAGTGTCTGCTAACATACCGGGTAGGTGGTACACAGGCACCACCTAGACTAGACTACCTACAAACTGAGAACCGCACGGATATGAATTTAAGCTTTCTATCTATCTACATCTACTCCTAAAAGTATTGAAGATAGGTAGCCTAAAATTAGCTGAACCTGCCTGTCAAACACCCTTCTTTTAGTGTCTCACCAGGGATACCTATCTAGAACCTGGACAGGACCTTGGCTTCTTACACATGTAAATAAACGGCTGTGATTGGCTACGCCGGAAAAGCTTAACGGTTAAGCTTATTTCGACGACCCCAAACATGTCCAACCTAAATCTGACGGACGACAATCGTGCTGATATTTGTCTCTTGCTTACTCTGTAAATTTTTGGGGCCCACGGCTCAAGGGGACCTCGTTTCTTATCATGTTATTTGTTTCGATATGCTCCAATATCATGCCCGGCCCGTTCCATACCTGACGATTGCCTGACACTGATTGATGTGTTGAAGACAAGTCGTATTTGCAGTAACCAAAACCGACTGACCATATGTGGAGGTATCCATGCTCCTGCCCCGCGGAACCCATTGCTCTGAATTGCAGCTTCCTTTCTGCAGGCAGTACACAGTAGGAACTCTTCCCCGCCTACGTACCTCCAGCCAGACCTTTCCTAGTGTAAACATTGCCAACAAGCGACCTGCGGTAACTCCTTTTTGGCATCCGTAGAATAAGAACATCGACCATCCTCCTTGATAGGTACCGTGTAATCTCGAGTAGCTCGAATATGTCAACTGTAGGGTTAAAGGCCACTTATGTCCACATCAAAGTACGTCGAAGACGACCGGCAGACGTTTCGGGATCTTTCATCCTGAAAAGTTGACAACTTGACATACATATACGAGTTACTTGGAATTATACGGTACCTTTACTGCTAACTGAACGGTAGCTCGGCATTTCTGAATTGTCCAACTAGGAGAAGGCAGTAGTACCATGTGTATCATATCTTCTCGACATCAGTTACCAGAACGAGCAAAGCATCCCATATCAGAACCACAGAACCACTTCTAGGTCCCGCGAAACCACAAGAAACTCTAAGTCGTAAGACTCATGAAAGCCCAGATCATAGCATCTCTCCCACTCTCGGTTCCCGAGCGTGAACAACGCCATTCGCATCCGAGATAGCAAACCCAAGCAGGCCCGTACCGTCAAGCACTCCATACTGCACGACTGGCTCCTTGGACTTCGTATCCTGCTCGCCATCACCACCCTGACCTGCCCTTTGACGAATTGGCTCAACTAGTTGCTCAGCCGAGGCGTTACTACTGCAGTTAGCAAGAAGCGAAGACAGTTGATGTTGTCGTTGCTTTAGTTCAAAGATAGAGTCGTCATCACTGCTGGTGGACCGTGATGACGACGAAGGCAGTGGTGACCGAAGAAGGAGAGAGTTGGCCAGCTCGAATGGGCTGAAGGAAAATCTTCTTCCGAGAGTTTGCCAGCCCTGGAAGAGGAAGAAGATGGCAATGGGGCCGAAAAGACTGAACGTTACCGCTAAGGCGAGGCCTGGCTTGTTGGCGGCGTACTCCGTGAGATATTGATGGCTCGTGTAACTAACATTTTGTTGAGCAGTCAGGGCCCCTGGCTTATTACCTGCTTTTATAGCATCCTGGTACGTTCTCATCCCCTCGTGGATAGACAGACGCAAAGCCAATTCTCGGTAGCTATTCAAGATATCCTCCATTGGATCGTCGAAGGCTGGGCCACATTTACCAGCCATCTCGTTAGAAGAAACTCTCTCGTATAAGAAGGATGCAGCCCCGGTGTAATCGATGTAGGACCGGACTGTACCTTTGGCATCTCCTGGGTCTTGTGTTGTGAAGTTCCAGCGCATTCCTGTCGCCTCCTCCATAGTAACATTCCCCCATACTATACTACCCGCCTTTCACTTTCTTTTCATCCTGTCTTTACTCTCTCTTCAACTTCTTTTTACCCTCTTCTCACCTTCTTCTTACCTTATTTTCACCTTATTTTCACTTTCTTCTCACTTTCTCTTTATCATCTCTTTACTTTCTCCTTGCCTTCTCTTTACCCTTTTTTTACCCCCTTCTTACCCTGTCTTTACTTTCTTCTTGCCGTCTTTTTACCCTCTTTTTACTATGCTGAAATGTGTCCGGGCGCCCCAGAGCAGATTACCTATGTTCGCAAAGTAGGGGAGTTTGTAGTCTACTTGGCCTGCTTCAGTGGAAGCTAGAGATCTAGACAGTTTGTGTACTAGGGCCTCGAACTCATGGGGACTATTGTACTCACAAGCCATACTCAGAAACAAAGGAATGTAACCGATATATGGGAAGCGTCTGAAGCCTCCTGGTCGCCAAGCATATGCATGGTTGTTGTCGTTATCCAGGCCCTTCAAAGATGAGCCAGTTCTCTCCGATTCCGAGTAGCGTCGAGAATTCGTACGTCCTGGTTGACCATGGAGCGGGACATTTTCCTCCGGCATGTGGACGCCAGAGGGGAAATGTTGTGGGGAATCATCACCACGGTCATTCCAATTGTGATAGTTGTGACCGACATAGGAAACTGTTCCTCTGGATGAATCCATAAGGCGGATTGATCGTGGAGTAGATGACAGAAAGACAAACTTGAAATGTTTCGAGAGCGAAAAATGACAAGCGAGGAACCGGGGAGAGGTTTACAGACCAGACAGGCGACGACACTCCAAGAATGAGATGCTTCATTCCCCCCTAAATAGAAGACATATACATCTCCAACCCACGTAGACATCGGTCAACCCAAGCAGGTAGCTACACAACCCAATTTCTTGCAGCCTACTTTCATGTCAGCTCGTCCGTTGCATATGGCTTAGCCGTGTAACACACCTTTTGCTATCTGTGTTGGTCAAATGCACAACCGTAAATAGACGAGGCTCTGCTCAAGTAGGTTCAGCTTCTCACTAGATTGGATGCCAGAAAAGCACACAAATACTTAGCCCAACACCTCGCAAGAGCCATGATTGGATTTGCAGTTCACCCGTGCATTGTACTTGTGGGCTATTTGACGGCACGGCGTTGATGCACATTCTGGCCGGGCCTAGGCTCATTAGTCTCCCACTCTTCCACACAGACACTATCAGTAACAACGCACCTTTGCGGATCTCCTCTTCCGGTCTTCAATCGCCTCCAAGACCCAACAGCCGAAAGGTTCGGAGAAAAGAGGCGTCTCGAGCCAGTAAGAGTAGCATCGCCATCGGCCGCAGAAGTCCGAGCCCTTATCTTCGCCGTTTTCTCCGCGGAAGTGTTGTTTCTGCCTGATCTTGGTGGCGCTTGAGCTCACAGGGCCGTTGGCGTTGTTGTCCATTCAGTCGTCAGTCTGACATTCCTGGACTTGGGGTATGTATCTGGTGCAGGCAATCCATTCTTCATTTGTATTTCGAAAGTTGAACGGGTAGGGAGAGAACAACCGGTATGTCGGCCTTATGAACTTCTACAAAACCGCGGGATCTTTGAGCTAGTATCAAGGCCACGGGATGGTTAGCAAGATTCAACAAGATGGGATCAGATGATGTGCGTGGACATCTTGCTTTCGGGATTGGACAACTTACGTTGTTCCTTCGACGGCCGTCGAAAATCAATGGCACGGCCATCTGAGAACCGGTCCGATATCGTAGCAGAGCTTGACCGGACGGCCGAGAAACCGGAAGGCTCCCGAAGAAATCATGCTCGCCATGTGCGAGCATTTATGTCCCTAAACGACCGAATGGTAACCTTGGGTTACTGTTAGACACCAGCTGGGCAGCCAGTCAGCTTGAAGGCGCGGTTGCTGTTGTTGTCGGGGACCATACCGGCATCCGTTGAGGTACGGAGCCTTCTGGGTGACCTTTTGGTCGTCCGTGGTTGATGGGCTATAGTGCCTAAAAGCTGGAAGCCGCGGAAGACTGCATTTCCGTAGCCCGCCTAGGCAAGCCACAACGACCGAGCTGCACGTTGGAGGGCCTCTCAGCCTACCCAATGGACACAACAGACATTGTGCTGCTGAGACGAAAAGTTTGTTTTGCCGGAAAGGCCGAGTGTTGGAGAGACCGTTGCTAGGGAAGCCCGAGAAAGAGTTCGGTGTGGTCCATTTTCTGGAGGTCATCCTTGGTTAACGTTGGCAGCGTTGTGACCCCTAACCATAGAGTGCTGTTGACCATGGCCGGCATGGCGGTGCTGTTGACATTGGTGACCTTGTTGGCGTTGACAGCGTTGTTGGCGTTGACAGCGGTGTTGACCATGGCAGTGCTGTTGACATTGGTGGCCTTGTTGGCATTGACAGTGTTGTTGGTGTTGACAGCGTTGTTGGTGTTGATAGCGTTGTTGGCGTTGGCGGCGCTGTTGACGTTGGCGTTGACGGCGTTGACGGTCTTGATGATGACCGGTTCGACTTGATCAGGCGCTGCCGGCCGTTCAAGTGCCTCGATGGCCTCCTCCAATTCACGAAGGTTGGGTATGGGCGGGAGATAGTAGTGCCGAGTGAGCCCATGATGGGCGCTGGCCATGCCGAGAGTGTGAGGAGGCTGGGCTATGTACTCAGTAGCCAGACCTCCTCGGCCGACGAGAAAGCGTTCGTAAAGGCGTGTAACGGCCGAGGTCGAAGCTGGACACATGCTGGTTAGCCGACGCGGCTGTCCGATTGTTCACAATGGCTTACGGAAAGTCGGACATGGGGCTGCCACTGTGGTCTGGCTTGAGGGCCACTGGTGAGCCCCAGGCAGGCCAGGTCAGCTTGAAAGAACGGTTGCTGCCGATTGCCGTTAGGAGCAAGTGTGCTCTTGAGGTTGATGATATTCTGACTTGCCTTGAGGATATCAGTGTTCGGTGAGTTGAATGCAGTGGCATGGGCTGGCCACTTGTCGTGGACAGGAAGAGCTGCGTCACCGTCGAGCAATCAGTCGAACGGACATGACTTGGACGTTCAAGTTCTTGTCCATGGGGGAAGGGGCCATGGTGGAGGACTGGAGATAGGATCAACAGGTTCTTGGAAGCTCCTTCCCATCCTGCGGCGCAGGACCGCTTGGAATTTCCCTTCTTTCGGAAGGAGTGTTTGTCGGGATCCGGTTCAATGAAATGCCGTGCTGCGGGGATTGAGCAATCCGTATTGGGTGACGGGAGTTGAGCCAAACCACCAATCTCTCTCTCCTTCCGGGTCAAAATTTAGCAGCCCCAACCTCACAATATCCTGTTCTCCCTGGACTGGACAGCCTTGCCCAGAATTCGTCAATCTCTGTCTCCTTAGCAGCCTCAACGGGCAATCATATCCCGGGCTTTCTGGCCCTGGAAGGACTTCTGGGGTGGTGGCCATGGTCGTCTTCTCGGGCAGACGTCAACTTCCCCATCCCCACTCCCTTCACCATCCCTCAGCAACCCGTCTCCGGCTGGAATATACTAGCGACGACTCCTCTTACGCCCCGTTAATATCGTATTCTAGGTCCCGGCTCTGGTCCCGGTCGCAACTTTAGTCTCGCCAACGGACAATCAAACCATCTAAGCGAGAAGGACAAATACCTTTCCATCACCCATCGACAGACTGATCAACAAGATTCAGCAATTAGTCAACAACATGAAGACAATGCCCGTGATCATTGAGGACAGGCCGTGCGAATTCCCCAAGCTCAGCAAACGGGGAAAGTACAGGGATAAGGACGACCTCGACGACGACGAGCGGGTGCTCAAGGGTGTTCCCTTCGCCCAGTGACGCTCTCAAGCCGCCTCGCGTTGCTACTCGAGCAAATAGGATCAAACTCATCGTTTGCTCTAGGCAGAGAAGTAGTGTTCCCCGGCTGAGGCTAGAACGTGAGCCGTTGGCCCGCCGTGAGCACCGTACTAGTGGGTTCTGCTCGTCTTAACTTTCAAGTGTCCAGGTGGTCTTGTTGACGGTGCTGACCTAACCGAGCGGTCTCCTTTGCTCCAGCGGTAAACCAAACGATGGTTTCGCGGTCAGCGAGTCACCTTAGTCCTCCAACACTTTCTCGCCCTAGGACAGTTGCGGGGGCACAGCAGCGCTGAATACCTCTAGGGGTGGACACATCTTAGCCCGCAAGCTCAACGTTGCCGAGTATGGCTGGGTGCAGGCCAGCAGTCCTGAACGAGTCGTCGGTGGGTTCGACACGAGTCGAGTAGGTCCCTCTTGGACAAGCTGGAGCTCAGGAATGGCGGAGAAGTCAATGCTTGCAAATTTTCTCGGGACACTCCTTGACCTGGCAAATTGGTCTGGGTGGGCGCAGCGGCGAATTGCTCAAGTTCGTGCGCATTGCGTACAGCACCATCTGAAGAAGCAGGCTTGCTTCGATCTCCTCAACTCGGTGCCTGCTGGCCGCGACATCTCAGAGTGCAAGAATGGCCGCAAGGCCTAGTCTCTCGACATCTTTCGTGACAGCCACCAGCGCCGCCGCCGTAAAGGACGCAAGGGCGCAGCATAGAGCGATAGCAGAACTTTCTATCCTCATTGAAGATCTAAACCGCCAGCTCACGGCTGGGGCAGACTACAACGACGAGAGACTCAGCTCTGCAGGGCGGGTCAATTCCGGGCTGATAGGTGGCCGGGTTGGGGCGAGTGGCTTCAGCGCCGCGGCTCTGGCGGCATTGGCGACTGGATCACCGGCCAGGAGGAGCACAGAAGCCTCGCTGCCCGCCTGCGCCAACTCTGCCCCAGGATTGGCAGATTTGCGACTCAGGAGGAGGAGGATGTCGTAAAAAACATCTTCAACGATCCAACCCCGGCCCCAGTTGGCGAGGTCAGGTACTACCAGGATCAATACGAGGAGAAGAAGACAAGTGAGCTCGGCCAGTCTTTGTAGCAGGAGAGTGCAAAAGTTCTGATGGGAATCCCACCAAGAGCACATGGAACAATTTGCCAAAGGCTGCGATATCCTCATCCCTTTTCCCAGTCGTCTGATCGATTTCATGGACCGCCCTGGGCCGACCAATTGACTGGATGGATAACGGTCCCAGCAGGGAGCAGATGGAGTAAATCGCCAAAGGCTGCGATATCCTCATCGCTTCTCCCGGTCGTCTTATCGAATTCATGGAGCGTCCGGAGCTCATGACCTTGCGTCGTGTTCGCTACATGGTAATTGACCATGCGGATGATGATTAGGATACAGCTAAACGTTAAGTGTAGACCGGCAATTTTTTGGCGTTGGGGATTAGGATACAGCTAGCCGTTGGTGATTGAGATTGGGGAGAGCCATATGAAGCTGCGCTTCGCCCAATTTCTTCGGATCCAGCCTTGCGCGGGCCGGGGAGACTACTGGTTGACCATGCGGACGAGATGCTGGCAAGACGATTGGCCTTGTGTCGTGCCCGCTACACGGTCATCGATGACGCGGGCGGGATGATCCACGACGATTGGAAGAAGAAGTTCGACCAGATTCCCCCGTCTCCGGATGGAATGATTTAACCCACCAAAACCCCGACAGGGACCAGGAAGAGGGCAACATCAAGTATATGCTCTTCTCAGCCACTTTCCATGCCGTTTGGGCGGCCGAGTGAGCAGTCTTCCGCCAAGCGCCAGAAGACCAAGCAGACCAACCCCAACTTGCCCGAGATTCCTCTTGCTGAGGTTCATGCCGCCTTCGTCGAATTCCAGGCCAAGGAGGGTGACAAGTGCTTGTCCGCCAAATGCATCTACTGCAACCAAGTGCGTGCGAAGAACACATCCCGCCAGACATTGGGCGAGATGCTGCTTCTGTCTGGTCCTTGTTCTTCCCTCAATACCACAACACCAACCCTACTACTCCACCAAAGCAAGCATCAGCCAAGGGACGAAGCGACAATGTCCGCCCCCGTCAGCCCGTTTACGTGATTAATTACTATTACATCACGCAGGGTCTGGTGCCGCTCGATGGCCACCGCAACTTTTAGATGTGTAATTCGGCCCTCCGCCAATACCTTAGAGCGGAGAACCTTCTGCACCATTTGATGCTCGACGAGATGTTTCCCGAGGAGTGCGAATGCGAGATTTGTCGCGAGGCTTGGTACCTCGCCCGTGGCAAGGTGTTGTGCCTCATCAATCCCACCCTCAGCGACAGGCTCGTTCGGGAAGCTCGTCGTGTTCTCCGCGCGCACTCCCAGACTTCCCTCTGAGACCGCAAGAACACCCCTCCGTGAAACCACCAGGCCACCTGCCCTTGGAAGAACCACACAGACACGCCGTCAAGTGTACCAACGTCCATTTTTGGAGTCACTTTACGATAACCGCTTGCAACCTCTCCACCGGCTCAGCGAGCTGGCTTTTATGCCCGCCTTCTCCTGGTGGCAGAACAGGCACTGGACTGACATGTCGCAGCTAGGCCACCTAGGGTTGACGGAGTTGCTAGGCGGAACAGCACAAGGTCACCAGATCCGCCGCCGCTCGCGCAACATCAACACTCGATCTTCCGGGCCTTAGTGACCGTGCTACCAATCGCATCGTTGAATACATCTTGAAGCCTCTGCTTGCAAAGCCGGCTCTGAAAGAGTTTCACTCGCTTGTGCTCGAGTGCCCCAAGAAGATTCAGGTGCTGGGTTTGAGGAGGAGCCGGTGTGGAAGAACTCTCTGGCGCTGAGCGAACTGGTCGCAAACCTGGAGTTAGGTAGGTAGGCCACGGTTGGTAAGATTGCTAGAGGTAATCGGGAGCTGTGCTTGAGTATTCGGTGCGCTGATAGCGTTTGGCTGCTGAGTAGGCGCATCAATAACAGGCTGGGTTGCAAGAGGTGCCTGATTTTGTGTAATCGTTCGGTTCTCCAATACGTGAGGTATTGTCGGTGATGATGGCTGTTTGGTAATTCGGCGGTTCGGGGCCGTAGGCGGTCTGCCGTTTTGTTGACAAGGTGCAGGGCGAGAAGTCCCTCGCTCAATACTCTGACTAGAAAGTTGAGACAAGCTAGAGCTGGGGCCAGTGCCAAAGACATTGTATATACAGACCGGAAACTGAAAGTGGTGGAGATTCGTTCCCAGAAAAGAGGGCAATATTCTCATTGCCCACAGTCCGGAGCTGCTGACTCGCTGGGCCTTGTGCGGTAGGTGTCGAAGGCTGCCGGATGCTCGCGGAGTTTTGGCGTGAACTAATTGGCGCAACAGTTAGACGAGACTGTGTCTGAGCCTGGTTGACAGGAAGATGATGTGGTGCTCGATTAAGAGTTGTGTGAGGAGTAGACTGAACCGAATTCAAGGAAGACGGGGGTGCTCGATTGGGAGGAACCAGTCGAGGTGGCTCTGGGAAAGCCAATGGACGGAGAGGTGTGGGAGTCTTTTTTTTTGGGGAGCAATTCCGGTTCCTGGTACACGAGACTCGGAATCAGTCGCAAATCAGAGGCGCCAGACTCTGGAATTGGGAAGCCAAGTTTCCCTCCTCGTCGAAGTGGAAGGCCGGGAGCCCCATGTTGACCTCGAAGTTTGGATCATGGAAAGAGGAATGGCCACTGCTGAAACTCAAGGGAGGAATCTGAGTGGGATGCGGGACATATTGCATGGTGGCTGGCTCAAAATTCAGGTCCATCAAATCATTGCCAGAGGCCGTAGAGCTTACACCCACAATCCTTCGTGGGAGCTACACCTGCACTCCCCAGGGCCGCAACGCCAGGCAATGGCAAGCCGTACTCGCGAGACCGGATAAACCATCCAGAGGCAAAGTCTCGGTCCACAAGATCTCGCTTCCTCTTTATGCACCGAGCGTGACGAGGATCGCGCCTCACCCGCACTCTCCTCGAGACTGGTCAGACTATTCCGGATTTTCTCCAGCAGTACATCTCCGAAAACACAAAGAATCTAACGCCGGAAGCCGATTCCAACAATGCGAGAACAGTAAGGATCTGAAGTTCGAACCTCATTCCGACCTCCCCCAATATGTCAGCCTCCCATCGGATGGCAGAAACCCATCTACTTACAAAACGCATATTGTCCGTGCAGAGAGGTACCTGACAGGGGGGTTTTTACTTTAGCTCCAAACCACAGTAGAGAGCAACGGCCTCAGAATGCCCGGACAAGGGACGAATGTGCTGGGGAATGGGAGTGCCAGTGCCAGTGCCATGTGAGGTGCTGGTGCTGGTGCCGTTGATGCGCGCATTGGGAGTGAAGCACAGGTTGGTAGGTTGGTGTGCTGATGCGGATCGAGAGAGTGAGTCGATCTCTTCACTATCTCACTCATAGATACGAACTTGGCTATCCCACTTAGTCTGAGACTGGGCAGGGGCAATCGTCTGGGCCATGGCGCTGATATTCTTCTCGTAGTGACCGAGCACATTCGTCATTTTTGGCAGTCCCAAGAGTTCAACGATGAGGGCCTTACAGCGCTCATTGTCGGTGGTCTGGGCGCGCATGTTGGCCTCCACTCAAGATTGGCGAACTCATCGTACTGGTACGGGGTGGCTTCAACCCAACCATGCGGGGTGCTGGTGCTGGTGCCGTTGATGCGCGCATTGGGAGTGAAGCCCAGGTTGGTAGGTTGGCGTACTGGTGCGGATCGAGGGAGGTGAATCGCCCTCTTCGCCATCCCAGTCATAGATGCGGGCTTGGCTGTCCCACTCGGTCTCGCGTTTGGCGAACTCATCGTACTGGTACGGAGTAGCTTCGACCTAACCCTCAAGCTTAGTGGGAACGACCTGCTCGACGGGGGCAGGCGCGCCATTCTCACCGTTGTTGGAGGGTTTGGATACCTCTAGACGCTGGTGGCGCCGGGATTTGGGGCAGCGGCCGCGTGCTGGTTCTGAATCTGGTTGCCGGCGTTCAGGTTGGCGTTGGTAGGTACCATTGTCCTGACCGGATCGTGACCGTGACCACCGGAACCACGAGAAACGCCGCCGTGGTCACCCCGAGAGGCGATCGGACCTGTGAATGAGCTGCTAAATGGCCTGATGGCTGAAGCAAAACCCTTTGGCCTCGGCGGGAGCGGTTAATAGACCGCGCAGGCAAGGACAGTAAACGCCTTCGCATCTCGACGAGAGCGCGGTATTGGTCTGGTGGTCTAGTTATTTGCTCGTTGGCCTTTATTTATCGTTGGCGTTATTGCGCTTTTGTTGCTCATTAGCGGAATCGAAGCGACCTACGCCGGAGTGGAATAGTGAATGCCCTTGAGCTTGCTGGATTCTTTGTTGCCGCTCAAATGGCCTTGGGCATGCGATCGTTGTTATTCAGGCCTCGGCGGTCGTAATCGTGGCTGGCTTGCTAATGACTTTCCGGTGGCTTTCGTTGTTTAAGCGACAAACGTCAAAGCGACAGAGCCATAGCTTCGGGATTGACCGGCCAGTTTATGGCATCAGTCATGATCTCGGCCGACTCGCAACCACGGCGACTTCGGCCACAACTTCCTCACGAGGAAAAGGCACAAAAAGCAGCTATGGTACACGCCATGCTCGATGATCTCTGTCTCCGTAGTATTGAGAAATTGCTAGGTTGCCCAAGAAGGGACGACAACGGTGGCGTCGACAACGCGCTTCAATTTCGACAGCAACGGCTTTGACTGCGACAGGGAGGGCTCCGATGACGACGACTTCGATAACGCAGGCTTCGACAACGCCAACTTCGACAACGACGACCTGCTGGCAGTTAGCTAGTGATCAAACCCCACGGCACCGATTGCCACCTTGACAACATCGAGGAGTATATTCATCGCATCGTCGCACTGGTCGTTTCGGCCACACAGGTCTATTCGATCTTGCAAGGCGGGAAGCGAGACCTCAATCGATTTGCTTCGGCGCAATCTTCCTTGCGGACCACCTTGGCCTCGGCCACCCACAAATGACCACACTTGATGGTCAAGGACTGTCCCGAGAAAACGTGCAAGAACTGACCCTGGGGCGAGGAAGTGCAAGATTGAGTATTATTTCTCATCTCCCCATTGCTGTGGGATACAACCCAGCCTTCGCCAAGCCACTTGTCTTACAAGGCTTACAAGGCTACCAGACCGCCAGGTCCCACCATCGCCAAGTGCGACAGCGAGGCGGCTCGGCCCGGCCCGTATGATCGACCGTCCCGTAACCATCTGCCCGACAAGACGGACAACCAGGAAATCGGGGACATGATTCGTCGAAACCACGAAGACGAAAGAGATTGACGACTGGACCGGAGAGATCTGCCCGATGATATGACCCTGGCCATCTTCGGGAGAAGGCAATCCATCGGGACCAGGACCAGGAAGTCTGGGACGTGATCGTTGAGGCCGCTGACGAGAAAGAGATCGATGAGGTCGCGAGGGAGAAGGAGATTGATGACTGGGAGTAGATGAGGTCTTCGAGATATATTCTGTCAAAGTGAGCCGTGACACACAAACCGGAGGTACATTACCTATGTGCAGCTGGAGAAGGCCCTTCAGGCCGTTCGCACCCTTCGCGCCCTTCGCGCCCAGGACGTCAACCTGTGGCTGATTGCCATTGAGAAGCAGAAGGCCAGCTTGGATTCCACCGTGACCATCATGACCAACAAGGACTTGCATCGTCTCTTGGCCATTGCGCGCAGTGTTACAATTTTGCAGCGTCGAATTTTCCCGTCGTGGGACGAGGAAAATTGCCCGGAGGGCTGAGAGGGATAATGTCTTGTTCGTATTGATGGTGTCCTGCTCTAAATGTTATGTGGACGCGGAACATCGAATGGCGATGTCTAAGTCTAGTCCAGTGAGCGAAAGCAAATGAGTAGCAGTAGCCGCCCTACGCTGTATGAATGCCCATGATAAGATCCGAAACCGAGTAAATGGAAATATTAGTGAAACCTAAAAGGAAAGTAACCACCAAACGCTGCGATTTCCCACGCTTTCCCACCATGTTGCCTCGTGGCACGCTCGTTCTATACCTTGGGTATCTCCAGATCCCAGATTGCCAAGCCCCAACCGTTGAACGCCCGCAAGCAAACATCAGAAACGAGACGAGATGAAACAAACTGAAACCCTTGAAAACCAGAATCCGTAATCCGTAATCCGTGAAGTCGTAACGTCGTAACGTCGTAAGTCGTAAACCAGAAAGCCGAAACCTGAGAAGTACCGATAGGAGCACAACCCATCATTATCCTCCTTGCCAACTCCTGCCACTGCATGAGCGAAGCCGAGGAAGGGTCCAGTCCCAGACTCCCCGACACTATAGATCCGGGAGACCGGGACCATAGCCCTCGGCAGTCATCATAGACAAGAGCTGTTCTTCCACAGAATCGAACCCTTCTTGTGGCAGTTGCTCCTGCTCCTGGAGGAACGGGACATCCCAAGAATCAATTTCCCCTTGGAGCGGTTGCTGCTCCTGTTCCTGCTGAAGCTCCTGCTGCTGAAGCTCCTGCGGCTGAAGCTCCTGTTGTAGCTGCTGCTGCTGCTGCTGCTGCTGCTGCTGCTGCTGCTGGAGCATGACCGTGTTATCTTCTGCAGTTGCGGGTGTAGGTGCAGGCGTGGGTAGGCGTGCGGGCGTGGGTTCAGCGGCAGGTACGGGCACAGGTAATTTCTCGAGGATAGGCAAGGCCCCTTCCGGTTGCACGCCATTTGGCTGGGCGGCTGCTGCTGTGTTTCCGTTTAGGTTCCCATTTTCGCCGAGAAAGTCAAAGTCCAAGTTGACATTCTGGAGGTTGAGTGCCTGGACGTTCTGGGCGGGCTGGAAGACGGGCTGAAAGACAGGCTGGACTGGAGCGGTAACCGTGGCGATAGGACCATTCTGCGGAATACCGTTGGAGTTACTGCCGGTTAGGTGGTTGACCGGAGGGTGGAAAAAGTTGTTTTGCATGCCGTATAAGTCGTTGTCCATGGTACCCAGCAATGCATCCCCCAAACGCAGGTTGTTGTCGTAGAAGGTCGCGCTGTCCACAGAAAGGTTGTAGTCCAGGCCGTTAGGGACGGCAAAGCCCATGGCACCGCCGTTCACACCTTTCTTATTGCCCAAGTAGCCGTAGTTCGGGTGGTTGCTGATGCTGATGCTGCTAATGCTGTTGTTGTTGGGCAACCCAAAACCGTTCCTGGCGTCGCCTGGGTAGGCCAAGGGCGCTGGGCCGGCAGGAACACCAAAGGTCAATCCGTTGTCAACCTGATTGATGCCAAGTGGAAAGCCATCGCCGTCCAAGCCGTACCCGAACCCGCTGCCGGGCCCCTCTGCCCCAAACATTTGCGCCACGGAGAGGTACCCCATGCCCATGTCCCCAGTGCCGGCAGTGGCAAAGCGAGTATAGGCCGGCGGGGGGGTCTCATACTTCTGGTTTTGGGCCGGTACCGAAAACTCCCGAAGGCCGCGGGTGTCAATAGCAGAAGGAGTGCGGGAGGTAACCGGGATCTGATGGAGCTTCTGGTGCTGCTGCTGGGACCGGTGAGGCTGCTGGGACTGTTGCTGTGTCTGGAGTTGTTGCTGCGCCAGGGGGAGCCCGGGAATTCGGGCAGACAAAGAAGACGACAAGAAACCGGGGTTGTGGCGGTTATTGACGTTGCGGTTGTCGTTACCATACTCGCTATCTTCCCGGGCACGCTTTCGCGGGTTAACGTTCGAAACCGGGGCTGGAGCCGCAGCAGCATTCCGAATGGCCTCATTGGCCTTCGCCTCCATTTCGTCGGCGATATCGTAGGCATCGCGCCTAATCTTCCTCGAAAGCGCAGTAACGCGACTCTATTTTGCAATCAAAATTAGTTGATATTCATCGAGGAGGAATACTACCCAGCGTCGAGTGGCCTCCAAATTCAAAACAAAACTCAACTGAGTAAATACGAGCCACATTTGCTGGTGGACGTAGAGGATTGCTTTTGCATAGTAGCCGTCGGCAAATCCATTTTATGAGAACACCAAAACGGTCTATCGATATGCTGCCGCCGACTGTATTTCGAGGATAAGATCGAGAGGAGTTGCAAGATCAAGAATATTTTAAAGAGATCGAGGGGTATCAGATCGAGGGCTCGTGGGTATTACGCTGGTAACTACCATTTTTGCGGTATGATTCGTACAGTTGTAAATGCCATGTAGCTGTTTTCAGGTCGGACATCGAGGGTGAATTCTTGGTGATGACCGCAATCCGAGATCGATGGCGATAAAAAGTGTCAAAAACAACCTGACGGATTTAAACCCAGGTTTGGCAATGTTGAACACTGCAACGATGGTTGATTTGGATAGGAGAGAGACATTGGAATGTAACTTCGATCAACTGGAATGTCCGCCGAGTGACTGGAATGTAGCAAGCAAGGAAGCTAAGCTATCCCTACGAGTTCCTTTGTTCGGCGCTATGTTTTGGGGAAAAAAGCAAACAAAGACCGAGCGACAGCCAAGTAGGCAACATACCTTGGTGCTTTCTTCACTGATTGAGCCCATATACTTGGTTACACTGGGCAAATCGTACTGAATCGCCTCTCCGTTGACAATGACGCCGCACAAGAGCTTGTACTCGCCATCCGTCAATCGAAATGCGGCTTTGGAAGCTTTGGAAGATTTGGGTGGCATCGTAGCAGGTATCTCGATATTTTGGAGATTTAATTGTTGTTGTTGTTGTTTGGTGGTAAGCTGGAGGAGGCCTGAGGCGTGGTTGAGCTAAGTTTTAAGCGATTAGGTGGTCTGATTGATTTGTAAAATTGTTGAAAGATGGAGAATGTTGAGTGATTGAATGACTTACAGTAGATTATTTTCTGGATGGTTGATAATATATTGCCGTGGTTGGTGTGAAGGTCTGCGGAGGTTGAAAAAGAGGTGGGGGGAGAAGGGGTAGTGGCAGTGGTGGGAGAAGAGGAGCCACAGTCGGTGTTTTGGTGTGAAAAAAGAGGAGGAAGTTGGAGAGCAAGTAGACAGGCGTGAGTAATTATGAGACGCTGTTGTACCTTAATCACTCGGGCACCTTTATTTCGGGCACCACGTTTCCAAAGAAGAAGAAGAAAAAAGAGAGAGTCTGGCTAAGTTGCAAACCAGCTGTGTACCGTATAAACTCTGGAAATTCGGAAACGAGGTCAGGCATAATCGTGCAGATCCTGTAGGGTTAAAGGTTTGCCAGTTGCGTTTGGCTGTATGTACGCGGATGTTGACGCAAATGGCAGAGATTTACTTTAAATCCGATATGTGCTGGTCGGCGTCAAGCGAAGGTTGCATGCCTTGGGGTTGGGGATATTCCAGGGAAAAGCACAAACTTCAGCGTCGAGTCATCCTAAAGCTGCAAAGTGGACAGATGGTCGCGGACTGGAAATTTCCTTTCCTGCAGGAGCTGCATAGCGGCAATTACTCGGGTCTTTGCAAAAGGCATGCTGACGACAACTCGTCGGCGAGTTCGATAATGATAGTGAATGAAGTGCCATATATGACGCCGCAAGGATGTGGGAGAGCAACGGATTGCAGAAGAAAATCTGCTGGATGGGAGTAGTGTAAAGGCGAGATATACCGAAAAAACTCGACAAATCTGGCGAACTAGACTTGCAGGAAGTTTCCTTTCTGGGCCACATAGTGCTGCCGGAGCTGTTGGGAGCAAGTCCGAGCCTGAACGTTGAAACGCAGGCAAGTAGGAGTGATGCGAGTGATGCGCAACGTCGAAGAGTTTTCAGTAACGGGACTGGCACATGTGCTGGCATGTTCTGCTTGTCGTTCTGAACGTTGGGCGCTCTGAAAGGTAATTTTCTGCAAGTCTGGTTCACCAATTCGTCGAGTTTCTTCGGTAGAGGGTTTCAACGAAGAGAGCTTGCCTGGAGATGACGGGGTCACTCCAATGTACACTGACATACCGAAGTGCTGCTCTCCTATTGTTGACAATTCTGAATACCGGCATTGTTGTTGGCGAGTCGCTGACTGGGAAAGAAGGGCTATAGCGTCAGAAAAGCAAAATAGTTGGCTCGTCGTGATCGGAAAGGCTTCGGCAATCAGGAGCCTGGGAAGGGGAATCACCTGTGCTCGAGATCTGGGCTGCCTAAGAGCGTAGTCTTTGCGATGGTTGCTTGGCTAACTGCTTTTGACTTTTGTTGTTGTCGTTGTTGTCGCTGTTGTCGTTGTAGTGTTTGAGGAGGCGGACGACGATGAGGAGGAGGGGGGAAGGAGGAGGAAAGAGGAGGACGAAAGACCGAGGGAAGAGCGAATCCAAGCACTTTAGTTTTGGATTTGCCCACAAGGTCACCAGTTTGGCGACGGTTGTCACCAAAAGCGGATCCAGGGCTGCCGTACCTTCACCCGGGCGGCCAAGAAAACGCCAGAAAACCGAGAGACCTAAACTTGACCATCTTGGAGTGCCTAGGACTTGATCATGACCCGACTTGGTGTACGGCCGTGACTGGAGCCAGTCAAAGCAAGGATAGATGGGCTAACGTGGTAACTGGGGAGGATCGGAACTTACCAAACGCCAAACCCAACGTAGGCAGTGCTAGATTTTTGGACATTCCTCAGTCCTTGGCCGCTATGGACATCTCCCCAGGTGGATCGACGAGGTTTGGTATCGTTGCGTGTATCGAAAGGGCGGCTACGAAGCTACCAGGCCTGATATCAGGCTAGCAGTGAACGCCATGGCGGTCGAGTATCAGAAGGAAGGTGGTCAAACGCCGTGGGCTGATGGAAGTGTCATAGAGTAGAATGTGGCGAGTAGCTGTGGCTGGCCAAGGTGGTATGGAGGTACTGACGGGCCAGGCCGGCGGGCGAGCGGACAGGCAGTGACCATGATGGCTGGTGGTGATTCACTAACTTGCACCTGTAAGCTTATGAGGAACGGAAAAGGCAGAGGAAATCGAGCTAGATACGCAATGACAGGAGAAAACAGAGATGAACATAATAGAGAGCACTAACCATGGAAGAGTTTGACCTATGGATGCCGTATGATTCCAGGTAGCTCGCGGCCAGCGATGCGGGCATGTGGGTTGACGGCTCGGAAATTTTCTATTGAAAGAAGAGCAAACGACGGAACGTGTAGCCAGAGGCAATTCTTTAGATCAGAGTGGAAAGGTTGATTGCAACATGGTTGAGAGAAAAGAGGAAAATGCGTGCCAGGCCCATCAAAAATTCGGAAGGCAGAAACTTTAGATAGGGTGCACCTTCCTCTTGCCACAGTTCCATGATCTATCCTTGAAACCACAGGAACAAGGAGAAAACAGCGAGTGTCCTGGTTGAACGATCCCGAACCTATACCCGGAACATCAGCCTGGGCTTCAGAACATAAAAGAGCACTATCATCAAACGGGCATGCATGGACGTACCTCACTAGTAACCATCATTCATTATTTTCGTTAAAGCTATAATCGTACAGTGGCAGTGACAAATGCCAGCAAAGATAAAACAACTATCCATCAAAGCAGAGGATAAGAGAGTTTAACACTCAAAGCAAAAGACCGACCCGACCGCCCATCATCGTGAAACCAAGAAACCAGACATCCATCCATAGCTATCCCAAAAGCAGGTGGTTTAATAAATGTCAAACTGTAGGTATCCAAAGCCCTTGTACCCCAAAAAGGAAATAAAGGATAGAGACAGACAATAGAAACAAGAACAACGAAGGGGAAAGCCATTCTATATCCATATCCATTACGGATTTGTTCAGGAGTGACCGGCACTGCTCCCTCAACATCAGCATTGATACTGCTGAGCATCCCAGTCTTCCTGCTTGATCATGCCGGTGTGATTCTCATGTTCCATCATGGCAGCGTGTACTCGAAGTTGTTCAGCAGCATGCTGTTCGTTCTGCTGGGAGGCGCTAACGGCGAAAGCCGTGGCGTATGCATCCAGTTCATATCCCATTCCATAACCAGCGTAGGTAGGTAAAGTGGGCTGCCAGGATCCGGTGGTGGTGGTGGTGGTGGACGAGCCGGTGAAATGGAAAGGAGCGCCTGTATGACCGAGAAGCATGTCGGTGGGACATGCCGGGACTGCTGCCGGGGTATAGATGTGAGGTGACGTCGTGAGAGCATCCGAGTCGCTGCAGGGAGTGAGGAGGCGCATGCGCATTCGTGATTGTATATCGGACATGGGCGTGGCCATGGAGGTCGGTGTGGAATAAAGGTTGTCGATGGATGATGGTTCGGGAGGTATGAAATCTTTCTCGTCCTTGAGAGGCGGAGATGGCATCGCGGGGGCGGCTTTGCTCCTGGACACTTTTCCTTCCTCCTTCTCTTTCTCGACCTTGACTGCCTTTTTCTTGGGCTTTTCCTCCTTATTCTTTGCCTTTGTAACTCGGTTCTTGTCGGGATTCGTACGGTTTCTCGGTCGGGGTTCGGTGCCTAGCATGGAGGCTCGGAATCGCGAGTAGCGCATGCGGGCGGCATGGCCGTTCGAAATCGTTTGGGAGAGAAATGGGCTGGCGGCTACCTCGTTCCAGTCGATCTGTAGAGACGATTTCAAGTCAGTAAAGCAAGTTTCAGGCGGCAGGATGGTGCGTATAACAAATGGGACAAATGGTCACTCACATCCTTCAGAGATTTTTGCTGGAGGATAGCAAAAAGGAACCTCGCCATGGCATTCTCGGTGGCAGACATGTTGGCGATGACCGGACTCTGGCTTTCCCTTCCTGATGCCTGAGGATGTTGTCTTGGTTTTTGGAAGGTGGTTTCAAAGCCAGCCAACAGCGAGAAAAGGGAAAGTCTGGGGGAAAAGCGAGGAGGGGGCAGCCACAATATGTATTGGCCGCTAGGAGTGCTGAGACCTGTCCAACCATTCAGCAGCAAGGCAGCCTTGGCTTCGGTCAGAGTTACCCACTGTAGCCGGCGCGCGGGCGTTGTCGAGGTGTGGGGGCGTGAGTCAAGATAATGTAACTCGAGCGATAGTGATGAAGGATGATACTAGGAGACAGGGCTGGCTGTTGGAGGGGAAGGGGGAGAGACGATAGGTTTATGTCTGTTTCACCAAAACGGTAGGCAAGTCAATACGGGGCGAGGGTGGTAGCTGGTCGGAGAGGCAACGTGAGTATCGTGTACCAGGCACTACCAAAGAAAAGGCGTCGATAGCAAGGACTAGTATCGTGTATCGGCAGCAACCCGAGGCAGATGGCCTCCTCCTACTATGTAGTCTCCCTCTCCCTGCGAGCAGAGACAGCCAGTCACTTCACGGCCATTGAGATGGAGAAGATTTCGGGGGAACCGGCTGGAATGGGTGCGTGGTGCATGAAAACCTGTTTGCAAAGGGCAGCATTGATGGTTCAATGGGTAGCAATCAGCGTTAGAAAAGGGCAGATCCTGACATGGAACGAGGCACCAGCATCATAGGCCACCTGGAGGCATCGGTATTGGTATTCAGCTAAGGTAAGAAAGACATCGCCATCCACTAGGCACTAGCCCACACACCCTCCCGTCCGTTGTCCTGCCAAAGAAGAAACGTTGTTTGCTTTCAACTTTCCCGAAATGGAAAAGAAGCAATACAATGAGGGAGACAGAGACGGGAGGGAGACGCGACATGGTTGCGAATCAAGTACGACATTCAAAGAAGTAAAAACGGGAGACAAGGATCCTCCTTAGTGTGTCTGGGACAAAAACAAAAAAGCACTTTACGCGGGACATGGTGACGCCGCGTCGCCTCGTTTCGATTTTTATTCGTTTTCTCGATTCCCCATCCAAGGTCGTGTAAAGTGGTGGTGTGTGGTGGGGTTGCAGCGGACGGACGCCATGCACGTCGGGAATGAGATCCAGGGACGGCAAGAGTAAAAGGCAGTAATACAGTGAGACTATAATGTGAGTCACTCGACTCCGAGTTGACAAAACGGAGAGAAATGGTTGTCTCTTGATTGGTGAGATAGTTAACTTGTAACCGGGCGGAAGAAGAGACTCGAACGGAGAAGGGCGGATCAATGGAAGGGAAAGACGAAAGCTGAAATGCTGAAATGGTTGTGGGCACTGCAGGAGTGAGAGGCAACTGCCAGATGCCTGCTGGTTAATCCTGCCGATGTGTCTGTACCCCCCATTGGAAAGATACCGAAACTGGACTCGATAGAAACCGGAACTTACACCAAAGACCTAGGAGAGGTCACTCATCGCTAGGTATTCTTCCGTCCTGTTTGTTGCCTGGACAAAGTTGTTTGCAGTTATGAACTATTTTCTCCCATCTCGCCGGAAACGGACAGATAGCAGGCGTGCATGGTTTGAGAGGGTGGCATCAATCAAGGGGGCGATGACGGGAACCAGAATGAGATGAAATGTTTGGGAACTTGGGTCGCGGGACGTCGGAGGTCCTGGAAAATTACGTGGTAACAGCGCGTCGCAATCGGCACTGTGGCTGGTCCTCCGCGCGATGCTGGCGCCAAGTCACTTGATCAGGCGATCCACTCACCGAGTCTCTCCGTGTCGTGCCTGTGTTGCCGTCTTGCGTGCGACTATCCGTTCCACAGCGCCAGGCAGAAGTGCCTTGAGAGCCTGAGGCAACAACTCTCTGTCGTTCTCTCCGATGTTATGCACGGACCCCGCACTCACTTCCTTTCCAACCAATCACAAATCAAAGCATTGTTGCCTCCCCACAAAATATGCACGACATTGGCCAATCACGCGATTGGATCGCCGGGCTCGGTTGAATGTTGCAGCCGTGGCTGATTTGGTTTGGGAACGTGGGCGGGACACACTGAAAACCCCATCCTTCCTTAGCAGACCTTAGCAATTTCGCCGTCGACCCTATCTCGTTCGTGGACTTCCACTCAACCAATTCATAACTGCTGTCCCGTCCAGCCCATTGCAGTTGTTACCACTCGATCGCCTCGCCCGCGCCTCTACCATCGCGTTCTTAACAAACATGAACAAGAACTGGAACGACCGGGCCGACAAGGACCTCTTCTTTACCATTCTTAATGTAAAGAACATCGGAGTCATCAGCGGTTCGGAATGGATTACCATCGGCAACACCATGCGGGCCATGGGCTATGGCTTTACCAACGAGGGATGCCGGTAAGTGCTCTGTTGTCGTGTTATTCGTGTCATGTGTTATCTCCATAACAACAGCCTCAAATCAACAAGGAGCTTGACTCGCGTGCCAAGTTATCAATTACATACTATTACTCTCTGTATCCGGTATCCATGTTGACTATTGGCATTGTCGCTGTCTTCTCTCTCTGTTGTCTTGTGTACCTCCTTCAATGTGTCAACATCGTCATCGATTGTCTTTGCCTGTTTGTTTGCACCAAGACTGCATAAACATGTCGAGTTCTTGACAACAGGCCATTGTTACTACACTATCCATTGTTTATCCCTTAACCATCCTTAACATGATTCCCCATGTTGTTGGGTTGATAACGCGGATAGACCCAATAATCCTGAACATCGTCATGACATGCCTCAGCCGGCTTCCTTTGCCCCCAATACATAACAAGATCCATGAGCTAACATGCCCACGGCAGACAACACTTCCAAGGCCTTCGCCGCGCCCAGCACAAGAGCGAAGTTGGCCCTGCAACCGCCTCCCCTGACCCTAACCGGAGGGTAGATCCCACTCTCAACCCAATCACGAGGAGGCCGGGACCTGGACGTGGTCGCCCTAAGAAGCAGCAAAACACGGCCCAGGGGCAGTCCCCCGCCAGCACGGCTTCGGTCTCCGAGACGGGAACCACCGGTCCCAGTGTTACCCCGATTCCTCCCCCGGTTGTTCCTGGTGCTCCCGGTCAGAGCACCACCGCGATCCCCGTTCCCGTTGTTCCTGGCATGCCCGCTCCGCCCGCTGGTATGCATCCTGCTGCTATGGCCCAGGTTCATGCCCAAGCCCAAGCCCAAGCCCAAGCTCAGGCCTACGCGCAGCAGCAGCATGCCCAGGCTCAGCTTCAAGCTCACACGCAAGCTCAGGCTCACGCTCAAGCCCAGGCTCAACAAGCTCGCGCCCAGCAAAACGGACGAGCCGGAAACCAGGTTGGCGGTCAAGGGCCGGCCAACCAGGCTGTCCAGGCTCAGTCTGGCGGACAGTCGGCCGATGGAGATGATGTTGCCGTGGACCCTAGCCTCGAGGACGGCGACGACGAGCAGCAGCACCCCAACAAGCGACGCAAGATGGAACAAGACCCTCTGGACGACGCGGCGGTGATGAATGCCTTGGCTGCTCACAACGACCCAGCATCAACCGCCCACTTTGCGCCAGAGTGAGTTGATCTTTACGTTGCCCCTCCTGTCTAATGCCTCACCTACCTATGCCGTTGCGGCGCTAAGATTTCCTTCAAGCTTCAGCTACGAAGAGGCTTAAGGTCCCGACTTTTGATTGCGGGGAGGGATGCGGTAAGAGTAGGTGGTCGATGGGCGTTTCTGGTTGTGTTTAATGGGATTCTGTGTTTCGGCTTCAAGGTATCTGGTCCCGGTCCCCCCTCCGAACGTGTTAGGAGGTGGCAGTTGGTGTGTGTTTTAGTTATCGAGCAGGTATCGAGTACGTTTTTCGACGTCGACGATGGTATTTCGCCGCTCCGACTTGTCTTACAGTATGGCTACGAGCATCATACTTACATGGCAACGGTCACGAATTTTGCTGTGAGGTTCAGGGCCTGAAATGTTTGTTTCGGTATAACTAACCTCTTTTGTTATCTTTCGTTTCCTATTCGTTACGCGTGGTGAAAAGTGATAACAGTGTTCATGTCGAGTCGAAAGTTACCTTCCCCTCTTTCGCGTATAAAATGTGACCACAATCTCAAGCTCTCCCATCACCCATCCCCCCACACCTTTCACGATACATCACCCTCTCGATATCAACTTCAATTCCCTTGCCTTCCTCTAGTCGTCAGCCCATCGCAGCTCACGTTGAACTCAAAAAACCAGCCAAAAGCACCGCAATACGCGCTCTTCACCAACACTCGCCACCATGTCCAACCTCGACGAGACCCCCAAGGAGGGCAAGTGGAACAACGACGCTCACTCAGCTCTCTGCACAGCTCTCGCCGAGGGCCTGATTGCTTCAGGAAGCAGTCCCGCACAGAAGAAAGACCTCATCATGGCCGTCATGAAGGCGTGTGGCCATGAGGGCTTCACCTGGGAGTCTATTCGGTAAGTGGGACTCGTGTGTTTCTATTGGACTACGATCAGCACGTTTTGTTTGTTTGTATTTTTACCAGAAGCGCGTCTTCCTCACTGCCTGTCCTTTTCTCCCACTTTCGTCACTCCCACAAAACTTCTGCACTATCTACGCTACAACCACAAACGCTTCAACTTTTTGTCCCACCACTCAGCCCTTCCTTCCGAGAAATCATCGCAAAATGCCTCGTTGGGATGAGCAGACCCATATCGATCTGATGATCGCCCTCTACACGGCCTTGCAGCCCAGCATGACCAAGGAAACGCAGGACTTCCTCGTCGAGGCCATGCGGTCCAAAGGTCATGAGGACGTCCGATGGGACGCGCTCCGGTAAGATACATGCGGTGAACCGATTTGGTGCTCTTCCCTTACACAGTTTGATCGTCTTGTCTCGCTAAGTGATTTGCAGACTCGACACTATAAAACCCTTCCTTTGTTCCGTCTGGCTGTCTCCGAGTTCTCTTCCCCTTCCCCCACACACGACAAGCGTCAGCACCCTCCACGCCCTTTGCGCACCCTTTCCACAAAGACCTATTTCACCTCGACGACCTCGCTTTGCATTCAAAATGCCCAAGTGGGAAGAGATCCGCGACGACCTCTTCCAGGCGTACATGAACGCGACTGGTCCGATTACCCCGGAGATGCAGGCCTCGATCGAGGAGTTCATGCGAAAGCGCGGTCACGATATGAGGTGGAACGCCATTAGGTATGTGGTCATTGAAGCAGGCAGGCATCTTTCACGTTTTGCGAACTCGGAGGTTCCAGATCCACCGACAGCTGGTCTCGAGCCGGCACTGTCTGTTTGTGCTATAAGTTCTCTCCCCTTCTGCTCCCGCTCCCCGCTCCCTCTCTCTCCCCAGCAACCTACCCCGTCCATCTTTGCCAGATCAACAACTCGATCATCCCAATCTCAACACAACCAATATCTCCAACTCAGCCACCATGTCTTCGCAGCGGTATGCGCAGCGAAACTTGACCAGGTGGGATCAAAAGACTCACGAGGACATCATGCTCGCCATGTTTGAGCATTTCCGTCCCACGGCGGCTGACATGAAGGAGATCGTCGACCTTCTTCATCCCAAGGGGCACACCTTTACTGACGGCGCTCTTCTGTACGTTGAGATGAACCCGAGAGGACCTCCACCTTCCGCTTCGTTTGCTCTCCCATGGAGTACAAAATCCCTCCTCTCTCCCTCCTTCTTCCCTCCTCGCTCTCACACTCTTTCACATCACCAACAACAACATCGCAGCAGCATCACACTGCTAGCACCATCAGAGCCCCGCCTTCTGCTCGCGCTTTGCAAAAGAATCAACCTACTCTCAGCCCTTCAAAATGGAGGAGGAGGACGTCTTCTACGTGGCTAAGGCTTCCAGGCCCACCACCTGGGACCACGACGCTCATCTGACGTTGCTCCAAGCCGTCATGATTGAGGCGCTTCCTTGCAAGTCACAGTGGGATAAGATTCTGAAGCGAGTCCAGGACAAGGGCTACTACTACACGCAGACCGCAGTTTTGTAAGCTTCTTGCCGCTTTTTCTGCCGTTTTTCGCTCGAGTGGGTGGTCACCTTATCCTCACCTTGGCCCCTCTTTTGATCACTATAAATTTCCCTGCCGGTTCGAACCACTTTCCTCCTTCTCCCTCTTGCAACTCACCTTCCAACTTCATCCCCACCATCACCTACAACAAGCACCACCAAGTCTGCTCTCCAGCCTCATCCATCATGGCGGACTCCGAAACCAGAATGACCTGGAACCACAACGCCGACAAGCACCTCATCGGCTGCGTCGTCGAAGAGATCGTTCCCGGCCAGGAGACGTACAGGAATCTTGCCGCTCGCATGCATGCTTTGGGATACACCTGCACGCCCAAGGCCGTGAAGTACGCTGCTACTAACCACCTATCGTTCGCCTCTGCTTTTCTATCGCTTCATTCGTTCGTTCTTTGCTTCACTTTTCAGTCCAACTTAATTACTTCCTCATCAAACAACCCGCTAACCAAACATCTCTCCCACAGGCAGCACCTTCAGAAGCTCCGGCGCAAAGAAGGCGTTTCCGCCGCCGCCGGCTCCGACAGCGGCGCTAACACCGCCACCCCGACCAAGGGCCGCAAGCGTGCCGCCCCCGGCAGTGGCGTCAAGAAGACTCCCGGAACTGGTCGCGGCAAAAAGGCCGCTGCTAAGACTGCTCCGCTCGTTATCAACTCCGATGATGAGGATGACATCAAGGAGTCTCCGGAGAAGAAGCTGAAGACCGAGGAGAGAAAGGTTAAGGAGGAGTATGATGATGGGTGAGTAACTACCCGCCACTGCTGAATACCTACCTTTGCTGAATGACGTTGGGATGAAAGAGAGAGATGCTAACGCTGGTGTGACATGGTAGCATCGACGACTACATGTACCCTAATGAGATTTAATCTCTTTTTAGGTCAACAAGTCGTCTCCGTCTTGGCTGCGGTGGTTCGTTGGTTTTTGCATGAACTACCTACTCGCTGCTGTCTATCTCAACCTCACCAGCAATCATCGGAACCGTTTGCGACAAGTTTAGGGTCACCTTCAACTTGTACGACAATGGATCTGAAGCTTAATGGGCATTGATGGGTATTGGCATATAGGCAGACGGGACGCAAATCTTCTCGCTCATTCTTCACTCGGAATCTGCATTCGACTCACGGCACATATCATGGACATGAACTGGATTGACGAATGGATTGATCGTGGCTTGGACTTCTAACGGACTTTCATTTTCGCTGACATGGACACGGGAATGGGTTAATACCACTCTACTTGGCTTTCGACACACTCGACATCTCTGGAGCACTTTCACCTCTTTCACTTTCGGCTTTTGTTTCCTGGCATGGAGTTGGAAGAAGGGGGATTAGCAGGCGCAAAGGATTTGTTGCTTGGTCTGGTATGGTCTTGGGGGCGTTTGGTATCAAGCATCCGTCGGTATTTCGCTGGCTTATGGAATGGAAATAGTTCATGGTCTAGTCTTGGTCTGGTCTGGTCTGGTCTGGTTTCTGGTCTGGACAGATGGTTCAATCTTCCTTCACAGTATTGCAGGACTCATGGATCAAATGGATGGGATAGCTTTGATAGAACCTCGACAGGTGATGTGTTGAGGATCAAATCAATGATGCTTTTCCCTTACTACCTACCTACCCCTCTCTCAGAACTTGCAGTGCGTGTGACTTGTGTGACTTGTGACTTCCTTGGAACCTGCTGCCGTGCTTTATGGCAGGCAGTGTTCATTCCGTTACATCTAAGCGTGCCCATAGCGACCAAGCATCGGCCCCGCTTATGTCCAGCTGCAAGTTTCTGCCCCGACAGGTGCGCTGCATTTGAACCAGCATTACAGCCTGCACAAACAATTCCCGTACCCGAAATTACCGTTCATTGCAGGTTTACTCCTCTTTCTTTACAGAAACAAAGCTTTTTTGCAGTCAGTGCGTGTTCTGACAGAATAACCGCCGAGTGTCCATCGAGCGTCTGTCGCAAGCAAAAAAAAAGTGGGTCAATTTCAGGGGCTGTACACAGTACACTGCCTAGAAGTCGGAAGGTGCACCCCGCCAACACCAAGGTTTCCTCAACTCGTGACATGGGAGATTTACACTGGTCGATTGACATCACGATGGCCGGCATTTATGATCTGTGAACTGGCTTGTTTGGGTTATGTACGTTCCTTCTGCTATTGTGGCCAATAAGTCATGGATTCCCTTGTACCAACCTGTCTCCATCCGCCAGATGCACAGCCTTGACGTTGTCAGGGACCACAGGAAAACCAGCGGCAAGATGTTGCCAACAACCAAGACAAAGATCTATGACAGCAACCAACAACGATCAAAGAAGTCTAGTATCCTCGCGAAAGAAGAGAGAACCTCCAAACTCCGAGCATGATGCAATGACCAACACAAACGCCGCGCCAATGTGCAACCAACCGGAAGCGATACTCCCAACTCCAAGACCTGTATGGCAAGTGGAAAGAAATGGAAGCAACACCACCTGTATACCTCTAACTCCTGAGCAACCAACTTCAAAATGTCAACAAATCCTAGGCAACCCGCAAGTGCCACCAAGACGGCAAAACCGAAACTCCAAAGAAGTATCGAGAGCACTAAACAAGAGGACACGGAGACAGAGTATTAGACATGATAATCGTCAGTCGTGTACAGCGCGCATGTGGCTCGGTCGTCGCGGTTCGTCATGAGAATCTGTGAACAACATCGTTAGCAACAATCCAAAGCATCAAGGAAACAAAGGGAGAGAGGAACGGCAGGAGAACTTACCTAGATCTCGCCAGGATCAATACCACCCACAAGATCAGCGGCGTCAGCCGCATCAGCGGCAAGAATGTCGCCAATGGCCTCTTCCGCCTGCGAGATGCTCTCCATGGCAAGGTCGATGTTGTCGCCGTTGCCGTTGGCACCGCCGGCGGGAACATCATGGGAGGAGACCGGCTGAAAGTCAGCAGTGGTAGTGGCGTCAGCGGGCTCGTCGATAGAAGCAGCGAGGGCGGTAGCGGCCGCCGCCACCTCGGCCTTCTGCGCCACCATCTCGGCCTTCTGCTTCGCGGTGAGGCGCTTGCGAGGAGTGGCCTTCTTTTTGGCGGGGGTTTCCTCAAAGAGGATCGCGTCGGGATCGGCTTCCTCTGCAGAGCGCTTCACGCCAGAGCCGGTCTTGGAAGGTGTCTCGGGAGTCATGTCGCCAAACGAAAGATTAGCCATGGCCGAGCCAGGAGTGGCAACGGCGTCGCCCTCGTCGCCGCCAGCTCCGGGAGTGAGCATCATAGTCTTCTTGGGGGGACGGCCGCGTCCTCTCTTGGGAGTAGCACCAGGCTCAGAACCATCGGCCTTTTTGGCACTGGCAGGAGCAGTACCAGGAGCAGCGTCGGTGTTGAGGTTGGCCTTGATGCGAACAAGGCGCCAACCATCCCTGGCAGTCTTCGGGGTCTTGTGACCCGCCTTCTCGGCAATCATGGGCCAGTCGAGCTCGATCTTGCCGGCGTGAGTCTCCAAGATAGCGGCAGCGATGCGTGACTCGCCGGCGGTGAGCTGGACGCCGTTGAGGATCACTCCAGCACTTGAGGACATGGTGGCACCCTCGGGAGCGGCGGCTTTGGGAGGCATCTTGATGTGATTCTGTCGGTGGAAAGCTGTTAGTTTTCTGACGAGGAATTGTGAATTCTATTATGAATGCAATGGCTGAAGGAGACGTGAACGTGAGCGAACAACAAGGTGATGGAAGGGCATGATGGTGAACAATTGGGACCGGTATCGCTAAGATTGACCTCAGATTGAGCAACCTACCTTTGAGTGACAGAGGTGATATTCTTGGGATAATCGCGAGCGATTGTGGGCAATGAACAGCCTCAATCCGACGTGATCCTATGAACGACGAGAGAGACTCTGTCAGTCAATGCCTGATCACAATGTAATGGCAATCCTCCTGGTACAGCGACCGGAAGGGACAAAGTCCACGATGGATCCCCGATTTACAGATGGGTAATTCCAATGGACGAGGAGATGGTATACTCACAACAACAAGAGAATGGTGGTGACGTGTCTTGCTTGAAGCAACATCTGACTTGCGAGTGGTAGTAAGGTACAACTACACGAAGAAGCGTTCCAAGTTGTTGCACGACTGGGGAAGGAAGAAAATTCCTGACCAGGAGTAAAGAAAAAGGAAGAAGTAGGTAGTGGAAGCCCGGGGTGGAACCGTTGCCAATGGGAGTGCGCAAAAACAGTACGTCACGAGTGGGAAAACTAACTTGCGAGCATCCTCTCCTCGAACAATTCGGCGTGTGACCACTTAGTCACCTACCCCTAAAGGTCCTCAAGATAAACGTCCCCTTGTTGGCCAATGGGGAAGGCTATCCGGAGAAATCGTAAGAGATAGGAGGATACTGCACGGTAGCTTGCAGGATAGAGGCATACAGTTCCTGCAAGACAGTCTTCGACTAGTCGATTTCAGACGGCAAACTTTCGAAAAGTCCCTCCTCGTGACCATCCGTTGATGCCCCATCCCGAGCCAAGAATTTCCACACCAGGCCATTGAGGGCTGCCCTCCACGGCCGGCACTCCAAGCAAGAAAGATAAGCCAGGTACATTATCCACACCAGCCAGGTACTGGTAGATCGGATCCACTGCATGTGGTGTTTGCTCCCCAAAGAATACCTTAGCGTTTGACAGGGCAAGGCAGGGCAAGAAGTTTATATGCTGCCGGGGTAATGGTCTAGTGCCGGTTCCCTACGAGGAACACTTGGTACCTGGTACCAAACTTGAAGGGTTTAGAGCTAGTTATAGCTGGTATTTAGTTGTTTCTGGACAGGATCGTGACTAGGAAGTGCTCGGAGTGATACCTCTTGTTCTTCTAGGATTGGCGGGCTGGTACGAGCCGTTACTTTAAACCCCAGCGTGGCGTTTGGTTTTTGCAGCTCCCCTCGTACTGATCACGGTCCCATCCCGGGCTTCTACTTCCACTAGAGGTACCACTGATTCTTTTTAACTTGCTTTACGGTCGCGATAATCTTGCTTTCTCGTCCAAGGATTACCAATTCTCCCTTAACCATACAACATTGAAGCTCACCTTCTCGGTCTTGCTCCGGAAGACACTCGCCAATAACTTCTCTGTTCTTGTGAGTAGCCTATCTCTTCTATTAGCTTCATCCACCAGGCCCATTGGTTTGGTTCCCTCGGCTCCTGGTCGCGGTAGTATTGCATTCAGGCGCATTCTAAAAAGTCTCTCACATCGCTAGGCTCCTCAAACAACAAACCTCCAGCAACCATGCCCGCCAAACCCGGTGAGCTCGCCATTACCGGGGCCACCATCCGCGGCATAAAGCCCACCGAGAGTGAGCTCAAAATCCTCTTCGGCCTCATCGAGAACCTCCTTGCACCCATTGAAGCCGACTTGGACGCCGCGGCCAAGTCAGCCGGCCTGAAGGACCGCAAATCCTTCAGGGTCATGTATCATCGCTTTCGCGTCAAGTACGGCCTTCCTAACGGCGCGAAGGTCACCGCCACTGCCGCCGATGCTGCTGCTGAGCAGGCTATTGCAGCTGGTGAGGACCAGCAGATCACGGTTGCTTCCTCGTTCGATCCGGTTTCTTCTTCCATGTTCCCCGCTAGTGCTACTGCCGTTGACGCCGCCGGTATCGATACCACCATGGAGGGCATGGAGGAGCCCGGTAGTGAGGCCGCAGAGGCCCTGGCTTTGGCTTTGGAGGTCAACGCCGCTGCTGAGGCTGAGGCTGAGGTTGCTGCCGTTAATGGTAGCGCCGACTGAGATTTAGGTAGGTACGCATGTCTTCATCTGGTCCTTCCCGTCTTCCTTACTTTTGCAAAGTGAAATCGTCTGGTCACTAAGGTAGCTAATGCTTTCCATCCGTCACAGGTCTAACTCTCTACATGTAGAATTCCGACGACCAATCCCTTCCTCTTCCTTTGCAAACAATCCCAAGCTACTACGCTATTCTCGAAGACGTTTCTTGTCTCTCTCAACTCATCTTGCGCTTCTTCTTTGGGTGTGGTTTGCACTTTTGGAGTTATGTCGGTTTGATTCTGGGTTAGACTAGACGTATGTCACGAGCGGGTGTTGGGTAAGGTAGCCAGAGTCCGGTCGCATCAACAGGTGTTGCTTTCATTATGGGTTCTTTGGTTGCTACCTAGGTATACAGGCAGGCGTTCGAGAGGAATGGAAATGGGCATTTTCAGTCGATTGCATACTATTTGTTTGGCGCAGTCGGATTGGTCTTGGACTCTTGGTCACTGGAAGATTGGTACCTCTACAGGTACCTTATCAATGGCGGTCTTTGGTAGACATATCCTGCGCTTGGAGTGTTTTCCTTATGATGCCTAGTCTCAGAAGCATAGTGGCTGGCATCAACGTCTTTTCGTTGCTTTGCTTGAAAGGGTTTCTGAGAGGTAGTGGCCGTTCAACAAAGGGACCTACCCATGACTTCGCTATAGCAGGAGGTAGGATGAACGTCCATTCATAGAGGTAACAAAAGAAACCAGTTCCGTTCACAGCCATAACTGTCCCTGCCTGCCATTGTGATTTCGAGGGCAGCAATTAATGCAAACTTCCATACCTAAGTACTACGCCTGCAGGATATTGACTTCCTGTCTTGCCAAACATCATTCTTTTAGGAGCAAACATTCTGGATTGGACTCGACGTATCTTTCTTTGCCTGGAGTGCATTGGAGTGGCAGTCCTCATTGGCCTACTGTGGCATATGTAGGTAGGATCAATATGCAAGCTACCGTGCAGTATCCTCCTATCTCCTTGGCTAAACTTTCTCAGGGGCAGAGGGCCTTGCCCACTGGCCAATAAGGGGATGTATTTCTTGAGGACCTTTAGGGGTAGGTAGTCACGCCGAATTGTTTGAGGAGATTCTCGCAAGCGAGGTTTTCCCGAGCGTGACGTCTTGATTTCCTCTTCCCCTCCCATTAGACGCGGTTCACTCCAGCTGAGCTGACACTTCTTTTTCTTTTCCTTCTGGTCAGGAACTTATTTCTTCCCTTCCGAAATAATAATAACTTCTTCGTTCGACGTACTACAACCTCAAACTCGCCTGCTTGGTCTTGCTTTCTACCACCAGTAAGACATCACCAACAGTTTCTTGTGAGTAGACCACATCTTTTTCCATTGACCTCACCCACCAGGCCAATTGCTTCGAGCTTTCTGCTCCTGGTTGCGGTAGCATGGTGTTCATTCTGCTCTTGTGATCTTTCTGACAAGTTTTCCCACGTCGCAGATAGGAGCTCATCGCGCCCCAAGATTTCTTCGTTGCCCACGATCGTCTCCGCGGTCGTCACAGAAATCTCGCCTTCATCACTCGCCAGTAAGTTGATCCATTTGGGTTGTACCTCATTTATACTACGCTCAATTGTCTACTATTATGCCCCTCCATGACCTCGCGAGCCCCTCGAGTGGCCAGCTCGTTGTGGGTTAAGCGAGATCTTGTATCCCTCTTCTCTTGTCGCATTTTAGTTCGGGGTCATTGTCACAATTATCACCTCCTGTTAGATTGATGGAATCCATTACTCAATCCATTGACCAGACACTGGAAGCTAATCATCTTCCATCAGCAGGACCTCCATCAAGATGGCTCCCAAGCCCGCTGCTGTCGGCGAAGCCGTGTACACCCTCAACGGTGTTACCATGACCCCGAGCGACATGAGACTCATCTTCAGCGTTCTCAACAACTTGACCGCGCCCCTCCAGGCTGACCTGGACGCCGCCGCCGCTTTTTCCGGCTACACTCTAGGCTCCTTCAAGAAGATGTGGCCCGCTCTGAAGAAGAAATGCAACATTGACAGTGTCAGCGGCACTAAGCAGACGACCACTACTGCTGCCGATGCAGAGGACAACGGCGAGCCCCTCTCAACCCCCAAGAAGACGCCCGGTGGTGGCGCTCGCGGCCGTGGCCGCTCCTCCAAGAAAGCCGATGGCGTCACCATGGCTGATGGTGGCCCGTCTCCCTTGACTCCTGGAGTCCCCGCAGGCATGGATGCTCTTTCTGTTGCCGACGGTTTCGAGACACCCGACACCCCCTCCAAGTCCACCTTCGGTGGCAACACCGCTTCCTCGAAGAAGCGCAAAACCGCTGCTGGCCAAACTGATGCGGATGCTATCTTGATGGAGGAGACTCCGGCTAAGAAGAAGGCGGTGCGTAAGCCGAGAATGACGGCGAAGCAGAAGGCGGAAGCTGCGAAGGCTGAGGCGGCTGCTGCGGGTCACGTCTCTAGCGATTATATCGTTGTTGGCATGGACGAGGATGGTGTCTCCCAGGTTGAGGAGGCTGTCATTGATCCTTGCGAGATTTGAGTAGGTAAGTTTTCCTCTTGCTTTGTCCCTACAGGTATTTTGCAACGTAGAAAGAGGTCGCTAACGCAATTGCTTACACACAGACACCACGCTTGCCGCAACAAACCGACTACCACTTTCTGCTGAATCCACAACATCAACTTCAAAGATGTCGGTTTACCATTGCTTCCAGGCGGTTTCTTGATGTTCTGTGTTTTCAACTGGGACTTTTGTAGCTCGGTTTTGGTGACACTTTCCGGTAGCGGTTGGGATTTGGGCTTGATTGCAGGTGTTGTTAGAGTTGGTCAGGTGTTATAGAGGCGGATGTTGCTTTCACTTCTGGTTCTTTGCTAGGAAAGGCGTTCGAGAGGAAATGAATGGCATCTTCGGTCAAATGTATATTTGTTTGGCGCTTTCAACTTGGTTTTGGACTCTTTTGTGGTCACTGGAGATTGGTAGAGGTATTAATGGCCGGGCGTCTTTGGTGGACATACAATACATTTGTCGTTTGAAATAGATCAGTCAAAGGCTTTCTGCAGGAACTAAATACTACTAGTACTTGTATATGTGTAGATTATGCAAGGTACCGTTGGCGAGTCCTCCTATCTGAAACGATGGGGAGTAATGATTGTGAAAATGCTTGATTGGCGGCTTGAGGAGGAAAAGAGGAAATATGAATGCGTGCCAGGCCCCATTAAATACTGTGCAAATGGAAATTCAAGATGGCATGTACCTTCCAAACGTCACATATCTTCTTACGGCTTTTCCAGAGAGCCAGCACAGGCGTTCCCCATTGGCCAACGAGGCTACATTTATCTTGAGGACCTCGAGGGATAGTTGGTCACGTTGAATTATTCGAAAAGATAGGTATCTTAAGTGATCGGAGGCTTTCACCCCTGTGACGTCTTGTTTTCCCCCCTCTCACTGACAACGGCTCCACCCGGGGCTTCCATTTGTTTTTCTGTTGTTTCCCCCTTCGTCAGGACACTCTCATTTTCCCAAACAGCAACTCGGACAGCTTCCTCGTCGACTACCAACCGGGTAGGACTACCTTTGATTGATCTTCAGGCGCCAACTAAACAAGTTCCTTCTCGTCAGCCAGGACACTTTCAAACTCAAGTTTAACTCCGTTGACAATCGCCACGAAGATTGCAAGCTCACCACTCACATCACTCAAAGGTAAGTCACACCCAAACTGAGTTGTATCTCATCAACACCTCGTACTTGCCCTAGCCAACAAGGAACTGACCACCTCACTCCTCTCCCACAGATCCCAATTCAACAATCCAAAATGCCTCCCAAACCAGCCGAAGGATCTACCGCCCTACGCGGTCTCAACCCCACTCAATCAGAAATCAAGCTTCTCTACGGCATCCTAGAGAACCTCGTATCCCCCATCGACGCAAACTGGGAGGCCGCCGCCGCCGCCGCCGGCTTGAAGGACACCAAGTCCTGCAAGGAGATGTGGCGTCGCTTCCGCGTCAAGTACGGCCTTGACAACAATCCTGAGACTGCAACTGCCGCTCCCGTCAGCGCAAAGAATTTGAAGGCCGTTAATGGTGCTGCTGCTGATGGCGCTGCTGCCGATAGTGGCACTGGCACTCCCGCAAAGAAAGGACGTGGACGTCCTCCTAAGAAAATGCTGCTCACTCCCGTCGGAGCTGGCGGCAACGAGGGGGGCGACGCCCTTGCCACCCCTGGTACGGCCATGGGAAACTTGAGCTTTAACGATATGACCCCGGAAACCCCGTCGAAGTCTGCTTTGGGAGGTACCGCTACTAAGCGCTCCGCCACTGAGGCGGACCTTGACCCCGATGCTGTTCTTATGGAGGAAACCCCGGCGAAAAAGAAGCCCGCTGCTGCTCAGGCTGAGACTGAGGCCAAGGCTGCTGCAACTGATGCTGGTGGTGCCACTAGTGACGCTAATGGCCATCATAATGTTGATGTTGCCACCCTTGAGGGAATCTCCCAAGCCGAAGAGGCTATCGCTGATACCCTTGCCGCTGCTGCAGCTGACGCTGGTTACACTACTGCTACTGAGGGCGGTGGCGTCGATTTCGGAGAGATCTAGCATCTAGGTAGGTGAGTTGTTTTGTTTTTCTTCATGTCCATCGTCAGTCCTCTCAAAGCTTGGTAGTTGGAAGTTGGAAATTGGAATGGTTGCTGATGGTTTTGTTCATTTCCAGATCTCACCACTACCTCTAGGCACGACCACCCGTACCGGTACCTAACCCTTTCATACACGACGAATGACTACCTACAACTTGAACCCCAACATCAACGATTTTGCCTTTCTCCTATGTAATCGGGATTTTCCTTGGTGGTCATATTTTGGCTGGCTCTTTTGGAGTTTTGGGCTTTGAGCTCTTGGTCACTTGGTGGCACTTGACTTTTCCGCTTTCGGCCTTCGGTCTAGGAGTTGGGACATGAATTAGACATTTGCTTTTCCCGGTGTTGGTTGGTAGTTGCATGGCAATGTCTTGGTGCAAAGGTGGCTTTCATTGTCATTTCTTTGCTGCACACAGGCGTTGGAGTTGGAGTGTCCCTTTTGGTCGGTTATATATTGGTTTGGCGCTGTCAACGGATTGGTCATACTCAAAGCTTGGAGGATCTTCTTTGGCGGCAAGGATAGATTTCTTTGCTCTCATCATTCAGTATGGTCGTTGGAATGATGGATCTTGTTGTGGTCAGTTATCACGTTTTGCTGCTTTTCCGGCATTTAACAAGGCTGATAGACGGACGCACAAGAAAAGGGAATCCATGACTTCGCTATAAAGCAGAGGGTTAATGTCCATACCTAGAGGTAACAAAACAAACCAGTTCACAGTCATAACTATGTCCCCTGCCCACCATCGTGATGTCCACTCTTTCTTCGTCTTTCTTTCCACCTCTTTCCATCTCCATGTATCTCTTTCATTGTCGCTACCTGTTGTTTCTCTTTTCCTTTTTTTTCTTTTTTTTTTCTTGTTGTTGTTGCTGCTCACAATAACGGTAAGACTGCGTTTGTTTTCGTACTGCTGCCGTACAGAGAATCTGGTCGTATAGTTTTATACTGCAAAGCTCGGGCCACTTTTCACATGCACCGTACAGCCTTCTGCACCCCCCTCGAGCGTTCTTATACGGCCATTTGAATTGGAATGGCCATTTGCGACAACGGGGTTCTTATAGTAGGTTATAGCGGGTTAAACGTCGCACGCATGCGCTGAGCCGCTGGGGCTACAGGGTGTAGGAGGTGGATGTACGGCATTGACTGCATTTTCGAGCGTGTATACATTTTGTCGTTTTGTACGATCATGCCGAAAAATGTACGATTTTTTGGCCATATATAACCCTAACCCGGACAAGGCTATGCGAGGCTGATATAAGGGGGTCGCACATTGCATTTTCTCACAGCAACCGACCAAACAACACAACTTTTATACGGTTTTCGTACAAAAACAGTCGTATAGACCCCTTTATACGACAACCGTACTAGAACAAACGCAGTCTAACCACATAAAGAACGGGAACACTCACAGGGACAGCTGCAGACGCACCCGCAGCTGCACCTCCCCTCCCTCCCCTCCTCCCATCCTCCCTTATACACTCACCCCTACACCACCACCACCACCTACATCATAACCGCAACCCTCAACCACAAAAACCTCAACGGCGCCACCGCCGCAGCCACCGCATTCTCATACGCAGTCGAAGACACACCACCGCCACCGCCTTGGTCCAGGAGCAACCAGCCCGGCCACTCCCCCAGACTCTCATCGCGCTCATACTCGGCCTTGGCTGATAGCGACCACATGTACCTGGCGGCATCTAGCAGGGTTTTGGCCTTCTTGGTGGTGGGGGAGAAGGGGGTGCCGGTTAGCCCAGTGGTTGGAGTGGGGAAGGGGGAGGTTGTAGGTGTTGTTGTGGTTGAGGTTGCAGAAGAGTTGGAGAAAATAGAGTTGGACCTGGAGGAAGAGGAGGAGGAGGAGGAAGAGGAGGTGGTGTTGGCAACGGGTTCTGCTTCTGCTCCAATATGGTCCAGAGGCCAGGCAGAGGCACTCTCCTCTTCGGCGTAGGCATTGTTGTCGAGCATAACGAACATGTAAACAAATGCCACCCTGAACCCAAACGCGGTCACACGGCAACATGGGTCTTCGGTTTGAGTACCTCTGCACGCTCTAGTGCCCTCGTTGGTAGAGGTAGTCGTGGACGTGGTTCTGGGCTCCCCATTGACCCCGGGCTCATTCTCTCTTTTGGGCGTGTCAAAAGACCAAGAACAATGAGGTCGGGCACTGCCACGAGAAGATAAACCAAGGACTCTCTCATGTTGTTCCCTCTCATTCTCCTCCTCAACCAGGATGGACCGCCAAAGTAGGGCTCTAGCGACGACCTTGAAACCAAAGGCCTTGGTGGGACAGCATTTAGCGTCGGTTGGGGTACCCGTGCTGGTGTAGTTGGCGGGCTCCTTGTTGACGGGGTGGTTGTTGTTGTTGATGTGAGTACCGGAGACTTGAGGATGGGGATGGCCGGGGGCATGAGGTCTGGTGACAGCCGGCGTGTTGACTGGTGCAGACGCGGGGACTGAGGCTGGAGCAGGGAGGAGGTTGTTGTTAAAAGGAACATTCGTGACTGTAGGCCAAATAGGGGTACAGGGGGGAAGGGGACCGTGGGAAGTGAGTGAGGCAGAAATAGAATCAGCCACGGAAATAAAAGCAGGCTGAAGTTCGTTGGCAACGACAACACGCGGATAATTAGGGCACGGAGCGTTGGGAGCCCTCCAAACCGCCACTTCTTCGTTACAAAGCTGATACTTCGCACATAGATCTTTCCACGCCTGCTGAGCCTCGTCTGCGCTCTTCAAGCCAGCCCGCTCCGCAACCTTGGCCCAGTCAGCTTTGGGTTTTTCTTTAAGATTTTCGAGGATGCTAAAGATGACATTGAGGACGCTGGTCTTAGGTTTCAGGTCACGGAGTCGGGGCTCGATTGACGAAAAGTGAGCTTTGTTTGGGTCGACTGGAAGATTGTCGTTAAGTTTGAACTTCACCCGGTATGTGTGCCACCTGGTGCGAAGCACTCCTTCTGAGCTGATATTGGCTCTTTCGGCGGCCTTGGCCGCATCGAATTTGAGAAGGCCTTTGTTGAACGTGTCACTGGCGGTGATGTTCTCGAGTACACTGTAGATGAGGTTCATGTCCTCCTTGGGAGCTTCTCTGCCGCGGAGTTTGGGGACGATGCTGGGGGATTTGGAAGGCATTGTGAGTTTCTGTGGGAGGAAGACGAAGTATTATGGTTAGCAAATGATAGTCTGGAACGTCGAGGTTGTTTACGTGGGTGACTTACAAAAGCTGATGCTCTATGCTCTCAATAGTACTGTCTCTGCCAGGAAAAGAAAGCCCAAGGCCAAGTTGGAGATCAAGACACAACAAGGGCGGACGGTACCTCAAGATGTTGCTCTCTGATGGCAGTAGAAGTGAGAAAAAAAGAAACTGGTGTCGAGGGACTCGATGTCGACTTTATACCCTGTCTTCTCTGATGAAGGTTCATGAACAATATTGCACAAGCCTTGAAGGATCAAGGTTCCGGCCCTTTTCTGCCAGTAACCTGCCAAACATCCAGGTAGGTAACGAGGCAATGGGTGAACAGAATCATGGTACAAGAACCTACACAGTATGTGGCCTTATCCAGGTTTCTTATGGCATAGAGGTACCTTGGGGGAGGTGCGAGGTGGTATTCACCAAGCCAAACAAAGAACTACGGCTCCCCGTGAAGGTAAGGTCTATAACGTAGCTCTTTTTCGGAGCAGACACTCCCCGATCACTGATACTGGAAGCCTTTTGGTATCTTGGGGACAAATCGGGGAGTTACGGAAACACCCATGCATGCTTTGACAGTAACGACTTTACCATCGTATGCCCCTACCAAGGTAAGAGCAGGGTCCGAAGCCCGATCCCTGGTTTTCTCGGGATGTCACCTCAATCAGAAAGTAAACAAAGAAAAGGGGTAGGAAGACCAGAAAGTAATAAGTCTGCAGTCTAGGACCACTGGACCCTGGGGTACTGCTGCACTAGCTATTCATAGATCTTTTGCTTCGAAAAGTGCCAGGTCGACTGCCTATTGGGCGACCAAACTATGGGCAAAGTACGACAGCGTCGGGCGACAGACGACAAACGCTCCCTCTTTTGGACGGGTACTACTCGTCTGCAGACCTCAGGCACGTGTCCGAAAGGGGCCTTAATGGGTAGGTAACGATACAAAAGACAGCCAAGAACGTCAAGGCTTTGACAATGGACAAGTGAATAGGTTCTTTGCCACTCCGTTGTTTGATATTACATGTTCCATGGACGACTTTCCATAGTTCAGAAAGGGATGACATATCGAGTGCAAAAGAATAATAGGACTTGAGCGTTTGAGCTGCTTTTCATGCCATGTGCGAACATCATCTCCACCGGAACTTCAAAGGAAAGCTCCTGTGAAGGATGTGAAAGCCACTGTGGGTGTATCTGATGAAATGGCCTTATTGGGGGCTGGTTCTGGACATCACTCTCTGGTATTCGAATCCTTTCTGGCGTACCTGCCATCCCAATTGGGCAAACAGACTCGACTGTGAAATTCTTAGCATTGTAGTTGGGTGACCCGGACGATGAATAAAGCGGATGAAAAATTCGAGTCAACGGCCACTGCAGCCTGTCGAGTATAGCCGCTCATCCAATGACCAGCTGTCCGGAACAGCAGCCTCGGACGACAAACACGTCCTGACGGTCCTGCCGCCTGCCATAATAGAGACGGTGTTCAGACAGACGTTGTCGTGAAGTGGGGTCCTGGACGTCCATAAATATCCCCCATCCGTCGACGTCTCTCCCACTCTTCCTTCTTTCAACAACCACAAACTTGTCCACAGACGCCTTCTCCTTCGAAGCACTCGCAGAGCTCATCTTCCTGGCAACTTTGTCGACCAAAAGTGAGTCTGATTCCTCGAGCGTATCTGGCTGCAAGAAACAGCGTCATCCTCTCGCATCTTGCAATTCCACCCGCGCCTTCCACTTTCCTGTCACTCAATCGCACCACAGCCACCAGACATCACACATCAGTCACTTGACAGTCACTCGACAGAATTGCTTTCAAAACCAGCAGTCAACTGACCTGATAGCAGTTCTCCCCAGCCGACCTCATCTCACTCAACCGTCAAAATGCCTCCCAAAGCCAACCAGGACATTGCCGGGCAGATGAACTTCCTCTTGACTTGCATCAAGCACTCGACGAATGGCAAAATCAACTGGACCGAAGTGGCCGAGGAGCTCAGCATCGTTTCCAAGGCGGCCGCGTAAGTCACTCAACTCACTCCGTCACTCTTTTCTCACTTTTCACTCCCACCCCTCTCGCATACCAAATCGAGCCAAACTGACACTTTTCCGCGTTTCTAACAGCGCCAAACGCTACGAGCGCCTCCTGAAATCGCACGACATCCAGCCGCCCAAGAACTACGGCTCCTTGACCGATGACGTGGGCGCCAGCGGCGCGAGCAGCCCGGTCAAGGCCAAGACTCCTCGGGCTCCCCGCACCACTAAGCGCAAGAGGGCCACTGCGACCGTGAACTACAACGAGGATTCCGGCAATGAGAATGGTTCCGCTGACAACCGTGAGCCCTTCACGTACAAGGCGGAGCCCGAGGATTCCGATGACGAGGAGAAGAAACGCCCGCTGAAGAAGGAGAAGACTACTCCTGATGTGCAGACCAAGCAGGAGGAGGATGAGGATGGTGAGTCTGACTACTTTTCTTGTTTCTCCGATGATGTCGATCTTCTCGTTGTTGAAGACATTGAGGCAGAGTACACCCGGTACAGGTGTGAGGGAAAAGGATACGATGTGCTAATGGATGTTGTTGGGAGGATAGAGGGCGAGGACAACTACAAGTATGAGGGCGAGATCTGAGAATCCCACATACAGCTGGTCGGCCACTGGGCAGATAACCGATGACACCAAGACGCGGAGGAAAATGGTGGTTCATGTTGATACAGTGCGATGAAGGATCTGGATGGTGTTTGAGCATGGAGTTGGGGCTTTTTAGTGTGCTTTTGCTCTTTGCTCTGTGCCAGTTCATCAGTTGTACTGGGGTCACTGCGGGATTTGATACTTTGGGCATCAGAACAGGCGGCGCTTGGGTTTGGGAAAGATGATGGTAATGGTTGCTCGAACTGTGGAGGATGGTGGGATCATGGGGTGAGCCAGGATGGACCACACAACAAACGACGGGTGTTCGACAGACAAAAGGGAAATAAAGTACCATGACTTACACAATGTCCAAGGATTCCTTTGATTTTATTCGTCGGTTTGGTTAACGACTGCCGTTCTTTGTCTGTTTGTTGACATTCGGTTCATGTTGGAAAAAGGGGCGGCAAGGCAATAACAAGGCTGGTGTATCTGGCAGACTTTATAGCAAGCAATAAGCTGTTAGTCTCCCGGACCAAAGGCATGATCTTCTTCCTCAGTGATATGATTCCAGAGTAACTTGATCTTCATTTCTTTGCTTCTCCAGGCTGAGGATTCCTAGAGATGTGTCGTTGGTAAGGGTTAGGGTTGGGGAACTGCAGCAGGAAGTTGCCTCTTTCATCTGGCGCACTACTCGGACGGAACGCTGTCCTGGAGCATTTGCTGGAATGGGCGATGAATGAAAGCTCGCCTTCATATTCTCTGATTGAGATATGAACCTTTTGTGTGCCCGTCGAAAAGTCATCTCTGTTCCCACATGTTTTGTCAGCCAGCAATTAGGAAGAGGCCGAGGCTGCAACGAATGACGAATACATGCCACACTTCTGAGTCCATTTTTTCAAATAGAGCTCTGAAACACCTGTAATGACAACGATTTCGTCTGATCAGGGAAGTTAATGAAGATGTCAGTCTCGATACTTGTAAGGCTTGCCGCGGGCAACGGTTATGGTCGTCTGCCGGCACCAAGGAGTATCAGCCACTTCCGTCTATATGGGACGGAAGTCGACTATGAACGATGTCAAAGAATGGTTTGGTTCAATGCCACAGCAATGAATCGGAATAAGATGCATGTCGTTAGATGGCCATTGTGACGGAGATCAAGCCCATGGGTTTGGTGTAAGAGTCGAGGTGGAGATGATGGAAGGAAAATCAAACGAAGAGAAATCAAAATCTGAGAGTTGTCAAAGCTGGCAGGTGCAAGTGTAACATACACGTAAGAGACGCACCTGCCATTGTTGCTCGGATTTCTCTATTGTGCCTGCCACAGTTGGAGTTGCAAAGGCCATCCGGCATTGACTGGAGTCATCTGCCTGTCACTGTCAGCCTCATTCAGTAACATTCACCTATCACACCTATTCACCGCAGACTTACACTTGGAGTTTTGTCGGTTCATTAACACATATTTTCCTCCATCACCAACTCACCTCACTCCCTCTTCCGAAATCCGATTTGATAACGCTGACCTTGCCCCGCACCAATTGACGTCCAGGTGCGCTCTTCTCCCTGGTGACAGTAAACAATATACTAACGCTTTTGCACAGGCGCTCGTTCTTTGCCACATTCTCTTGCATCAACAACCTAAGCATTCAATTCGAATCTCGTCGGCCAGCTGACGTTGATATCACAACATTGTCTGTCGTCACCGGATTCTGAAATCAGTCGACGTCTTCGCTGGAAGTGGAAGCGCAACGTTCCGAGTCCCACCAATCGACATCCAGCGACTTCCTTGTTGCTCGGTGTCTCATGGGTGTTAGTGCGACACCCCACCTCGCAGCAATTCTCGCAGCAAATCTGATAGCCGGCTATCAGTTTTTATGCGCTAAACTTTTCAGCACAGTGCACAATTGCCATTCCGGATCCACGATTGACTGGGGCCGACCACACAAGATGGGCTCCGTGCATCACAGAGTGAGACGTGACGGGCATCGCGAGCAACATGGCACCTCTCCTGTTTTTGTGCCAGTTTCTGGTAACGGTACGCGTCTTTTTCCTTTATTTATCCTTTTTCTCCCCTATCCCTATCCCTCCATCTCCCCACACAATTCTGCTTCCTATGGACACACCATGTGTCTATGGGCCTGATGCAACGGAGACATTTCGACAGAGATTTCATTATTGGATTTCAACGTATGGGGCAGTCTTAATAATAGGCCTTGGAAGCTCTGGCTCTGTCCAGCGCCATTGTCTGTCTAGCCAGTTCAAACAGACAAGTTGTTACCGTTGTTGGACGCGGCAACCCGGGCCCCCTTTTCATTGCATAGAGGACTCCTTATGTTTTGATATAGGGCTTGGTTGGCATCACGCCTTCTGCTTCACAATGCCCAAAGGCCGCTGTCAGGGTTACCGTGGCGACTGTCTTTGAGCTCACCTCTCTTTCACTTTGTAATCAATCTTCCCTTTGGATGCTCGGTCATTCATATCCTCGCCCTCATTTCTTTTTCAATCACCGTTTTATGCACCTGCTGAGCTTGTCATATCTCAACAAGACACAAAGCTGTCTTTTTGGGTATACAGCTTCCCTACTTCAGACATATACAGTGGTTATTGTACTGAGCCCTCAAGTTCCCCGTCACAAACTCCCTGCACTCAGAAACCCACCACCCTCCCACATGTTGTCTTGTATGATTCTAACCTTTCTTCTCAGCTATGACATCGAGGTGTCGGCGATACCGCCAGTTACCCTTCTTGCATCGGAACTGGATTCACGCTACCAACTACTGGGAAGATAGAATGGGCAACAAGCCCTCCACCCAGTCTCGGGTGCCTGCTCATGAGTCCGACGTCAGATTTGCCGACCACAGTCACCACCCCGATCAAGACCTCGACGACACATGCCAGCATCCAGCAAAACGTCGACGCCTCAACGACAATAATGGCTTTCCCTTATACGAGGACCCTTACGGCGACACCCCCCGCTGCTTGCGGATTGAGGTCCTCAAGATCATCCACAAAGATTCACCCCGCGTCAAAAATGGCGTGCCTAACGGCATCGTGGCGCCCAACGTGAGGGATACAGCGAACATGCGGGCACGTTGCAAACTGAGCATTTATGGTCATAATGGGAATGAGAAGGTTCTCTTGCACGTCGACAGCCAGTTATGCGAGCTCAAGGTCTACAGAAATCCTGCCGCCGCATCCACACACATGGCTCGACTGTATGCTATCAAGGCTTTCGATATTCCCGAAGACAAAATATACTTGGAGCGGGATGGTGATGATCCCGCCTTTGGCTTTGCGGATTCCTACAGTGTCCTAATCGAAATCGAGTCAGCCGGAGATCCAAACTGGCCACCCAGCAGCCTGATTCCGGCCCTTCCGGCCAAGGGGGAGGATCCCTTAGTCCGTAACCTGCCACCGCGACAGTGGGCCCTTTCCGCCCAACTTCCTGATATTTTCCATACTCGCAACAGGAAGACGGCGAGGTTGAAAGCAAGGATACAGCAGAACCGAGAGACGCCTACGGATTTCGTCATGGACATTGATGTGCGCTGGCAAACACGTATATCAAGCCAACTAACAGGGAACCAGAAGCCCAAGGAGATCATGCCCTCTATTACAGTAATTGACCCTTGGGCCCCTAAGAAGCCCCTGTCAGAATTGCCAGTGAATGGTACAAACGGAGTTAATGGTATCAATGGGCATCATCATGATCCAACAATTAATGACGAGGCCGCGAAGACGGGGAATTGGGAAGTTAACGGTACTTCCACTGCTGATGCCGGAGAAGAACTGGCCGAGGGTGACCTGACGCCCAACCGATCTAGACGTCATAGGACGGAAGTCAACTACAACGTGAGGCAATTATGGAACACAGCCGTAGGGAGGGAACCACGGAAACGGCGAAGAGGCGACGATGAACATCCTCTACTAGACGAGCACACCGTCACCTACGTTTTGCCGCCTGAAACGCCTGAAAACGAGAAGGCGTTGCAGGCCACCTGCCACAAGCTCTCCTGTCTCGTATGCTCGGCTGAGCACGAGCGCATCAGCCAGCTCCGCGCTCACTTCTCATGCCACCCCGAATATGAGTTCAATTTTGAGCAGAAGAAGGGCATGTACGTGGTATCGGTTCAACAACGGGCCACCGGAAACACATCTGGCACTGCAGCATCTCCCTTGGAGTTCAGCAAGATCTATTCCCTCGGCCTTCCTGTGAAACCGCTCGACCTCTCCAAATTCGTCGACGGCGACGACTCCTGGGTCAAATCCCGTCTCTTGCCCGACCCCAACGACCGCCAAAAGCCTTCCCCATCCGCCGGCCCAACAACCAAGGGACCACAACAGCAGCAGCAGCAGCAACAAAAAGAAAAAGCTCTTTCCGCCTCCACCACCCGAAGCCGCGCCGCCCTCGTCAAGCCCCAAAAGAAACCCGTCTTCATACCCCACAACATCAACCGCCCGATCTACGATCCCCTCTCCAAAGTCGAACTCGCTCCCGGCTCCGAAGTCCGCTACCCGCCCCTGGACGAAGGCTGGCTGATCACCAAGCACGCCGACGCCCTGGGCGAGTTTTCCGACGTCGAGCCGCAAGAAAAAGAATACATGATGCAGTGGGACGCCTACATCCTGCAGAAACACCTGTGCTCGGAACAGTACCTGCCCAGAGAGTTTCGCAACTTTGTCAGGGATAAGGCGGCATGGCTGCTGGAGAAGAGGAGCAGGGCGGAGGAGCTTGGTAAGCATATGGCGGTGTTGTTGGCGAGGAGGTATGTGGATGATGCGACGGTTATGGCGGTGACGAAGGAGTTGAATGAGGTTAGGAAGCTGATGGCTGCTGCTGAGGGTGCCAATAATGCCACTGGTGATGGTCCGGCGAGGAGGGAGTCTGAAACACAAGAGCAGCAGCAGCAGCCTGGTGGTAGGAAGCAGAGTGCCGCGGGTGGGTGTGCGAGGTGTGGAGAGGTGGTGCCGCAACCGGAGATGGTGATTTGTTGTAACAAGGTGAGTCTATCCTTCTCTATTTTCTTTTTCATCTAAACCGGAGTTACTAACATGAGACCAAAACAGCACTGCAAACAACGTGTCTATCATAGCCGATGCGTCCCGAACCCGGAAGAGGCGCTGAAACTGGTCAGGAAGAGGAAGTGGAAGTGCTTCAAGTGCGAAGCAGTGGGCCATTAGGAGTGGCAACAGCGGGTCCTCCTACGAAGTCCGCCATTGACTCCCTGGCATCCGACATGACGCAAATACTTTATAAAAGCGCTGCCGAAACATCACAGAAGGTAGTAGCGGAGCCAACAACTTCTTTTTTGCTGATGTGATCAAGGCTCAGCTCTCGCATGGTCCACGTCCAGCTCCGGGAATGAGAATGGGAAGGGCTTTCTGGCTGACTGACACCAGTGTCATTGATGGGGTTGGCCAAGGTTGTGAGACTGAAGCCGAAGCGCGAAGCGAAGCAGAAGTTTCGAACTGGGAAAAGGATGCAACAGCCGACTTGTTTACAAGGACTAGATACAAGCCGAGGTTGATGGACAGATAGATACCCAGAAGTAGGAAGATGGGAAGGAAGTAGAATAGGGTATGCATGTATGTGTCTTGCATACAGCATTCGCATTCGTGATTAGAGCTACCACAGTGAAGAAAGATGGCAACTTACCTTAGTCGCTCTAGAGAGGCATTATAGCATCATCAAAGATAGGTAATCTAGCTAGAGGTGGAGACTTTGCAATGAACAACTTGACGAAGATATATATACATGAGCTGGATCAAGAAGACGGGGAAAAGCTTGGCAATGAGATCCTGTCTGTCTGTCTGTCTGTCTGTCAACTTGTCAAGCTGGGTGTGAACTGAATGAACCCGGTATGTGGACTGTGGACTGTGGACATTCCAGTCAATTTGGCAGAATGACTTGACTTGCTCCAGATAATAACTCCTACAATACCTACCTTATTTGACGTGATTTCTCCCCTAGGTACTGAGATTTCATTCAAGTTAGGTAGGCAAGTTAGAGGGACAGAACAGAGCTGAAATAGACTTGAACTTTATAATAGGTACCCAGGAAAGAAGAAGAAAAGGTTGTCCGTCATTCCAGTCCCTTTTGTTAAATGTCAACCCAAGTACTGAATGGACTGAACTAAACTGGGCTTGAACACATTATGAGCTGGTGCGAGCCTGCGAATCGGATATATAGTAAGTAATGGTTCACTTATATTAATCTTTTAGGGGAATTGAGTGAGTAAGTAGTTTATTACTATGACTACTACTTTTTATATTATACTACGCTCGCTACGCCACTCAACAATTGAGGTTTAGGCATTCCTTGACTACTAAGTAACTGAGGTGCCCTTGGGTTGCCGTCTCCCGTCGGTACAATACTAGAAGGAAGGAGGGAGGGAGGGGGGTGGATTGGAAAAGGAGATACTACCGTACTGTGCAAGAACCCTTGTGGGAGTTGGAAGGGAAGACAAGTAGGCGCAAGTCTCGTTCCGGGGGCGGGAGCTTTGGGGATTGGGATTGGATGAGGCGGGTAAATGGAAGGTGTAGGGTAGCTTGGGTAGGTAGGTAGGTAGGTAGGTAGGTAGGTAGGTAGGTAGGTAGGTAGGTAGGTAGGTAGGTAGGTAGGTAGTAGACTGGAAGCTGGAGTTGAAGAAGAGATTAGGCGGTGGAAAGGGAAGGAATGGAAGGCGCGACTTGACTATGTGTCGTCGGGTGGCATGTTGTGCTGTAGAGCCCGCCGCACAGGGGGAAAAAAAAGAGAAAAAAAAAGAAAAAAAAAAGAGTTTCTTCACGGGGCGGGTGTGACACTAGGTAATGTCTCCTCCTTCCTCCCTTGGATGACAACATGAGCCACTAACTACTTCGATGTGCAGTGGTCTATCACTCGGTGTTCAAGTGGACAATAATACCATTGATTTCGGGACCTACTCAACCTTCGTAGACACACCATAATCAAGAGCTATGCAGCGAGCGGTCTTGCGTATATCGCGGTGTTGATTGACCACAAGGGGATCGGATCTTATTGACCAATACTTATGTAGTCTAGTAGGCAAATAATTATCACAGGCCGCCCGCACCGAGAAACGAAAGCAAAACACTTTTGATCCATCCCATACCATACCAATCTAAAATACAGTCAGTCCCCAGTAACCCAACCCTATGAACATGAAATGCGAAAACCAAAAAACCCATTATGTACCGGTATACCTATGTCTATGTACATACCATCGGCCATATGCCATGACATGCAATTCATACCATTCCACGTAGCAACTTAAACTACTATACTCTATACTACAAGTAGTAGGTAAAGGTACCCTGAACTCCCTACTAAACATACCATACTATACAATCCTCCACAACAATCCTTCACAGCCCATCCATCCATCCATCCCATTCCATTCCCTCAATATTTCCTACCTCTCTCTCTACACGGGAATCTTCTTCCCCCTCCCCTCCCCCTCCTCATCAACAACCACCTTCCTAACCCTCGCCTCCTCCGTCCCGCCCCTCCCCCCACCCGCCACCTCAAACCCAATCCCCCTCCTCCCCTTCTTCCTCGCCGCCTTCCCGCCCGCATCACCATACTGCTCATCAAACTTGCGAATCGCCTTCAAGCTCTCCATATCCTCGCTGATACTCGCGCTAATCTCCCGCATGCCCTTCTCAAAGTGTTTCCTTGTTAGGATTCTCTTCTCCGGGAACTCGTATTTAGCGGGGGCGGGGGCGGGGGCGGGGTGGCCCTCGCCCTTGTCCTCCGAAAGATGCGCGGCGGCGGCATCATGCGCTTCTTTGGCTCTGCACTCCTCCCTTACCGCCTCCATCGCTGCCGAGACACACAAGTTCTTGAGATCGGAGCCCGAGTAGAGATCGGTTTCCTTTGCTAAAACGTCCAGGTCTACGTCGGGGGCCAACTGTTCCTCGCGGAGCATCACCCTTAGAATCTTGGCGCGCTCGGCTACGAGCGGCAAATCGACGAGGATTTTTCTCGGAAGACGGCGGAGCACGGCCTCGTCGAGATCAAAGGGCCGGTTGGTGGCGACCATGATGAAGGCGCGCATGTCGGACAGGCCGTCCCACTCGCGCAGGAACTGCGTGATGGTCTCGCGGTGGGCGGTGCGGCCGGGGTTGTTGTGGCGGGCGCCCAGAAGCGCGTCGGCCTCGTCGAGGAAGATCACCATGGGCGAGAGCTTGCGGGCTAGGGAAAAAAGCGCGCGCACGTTCTTCTCGGATTGGCCGAGCCACATGTCGTTGATGGAGGCCGCCGAGACTTCGAGCATGTTGGCGCCGGATTCTTTGGCGACGGCTTTGGCGAGTAGGGTCTTGCCGGTTCCGGGGGGCCCGTAGAGCAGGCAGCCGGGGATGCGCTCGGTTTTGAGCACGCCGTAGGAGAAGGCGTCGGGGCGTTGGAGGGAGAGGGAGGTGAGCCCGATGAGGGACTCTTTGGTCTCGGCGGGGACGATGATGTCGTCGAAGGTGGTGTGGATGTCCTTGGCGTTCACGAGACCGGCCAGAAGCTTCTTCTCGTGCTGGTCGTAGTCCTTGTTGTCGCCCGTGTTTTGGCTTTGGTTGGACCACGATGAAGAAAAGCCCGAGGTGGGTGAGTCGCCGCCTTCTTGCATGTGCTGGTCGAACATGTTGCTCGCACCACCCTTCTGACGGAAGAGTGGGGAGAAGTAAGGAGGACGGATGCCCGAGTAGATGCCCTTCCAGTGGTTGTCGCGGTCGCTCATGAAGGCGAGAGCGTACTTGAGGTGGCCGAGACCGTACTTCTTAGGAGGCGGTGACCGGCTGCCCAGCAAGAGAGAGGTCAACCGGTACACCCATTGGACGTCAAACACATGTTTGGACAAAGTCTGGAACAGATCGGTGTATCTTTCGTCTACAAGGACCTGGTCATCTTGGAACCTGATCTGAGCATCAAAGTCAATGGCAGCTGGGGTGAGCAGCCTTGCTTCCAGCATGCTCTTGATGTTGTTGATGTTGTCGTAGAGGTTATCCTTCCTGTCCATCCACTCGGTAGAGGGGGAAGCATGGAAGGGAATGATGTGATGGCCCTCACGGCCGAGCTCGACCAGATGATTGCGCCAGTGTTGCGACTTGTCCATGTCACTAGATGAAGAACCTACCAGCACAATCTTCTTTCCGTCCTGCGCCGCCTCCTCGAAATGCCAGTCATCGACAATGTCTCGTAACCTGGTGATCAAACTTTCTTGCAGTTCACTGATTTCTACATAGTCGTGCAGATGGATGATCAGGTCACGCTTCTCATAATTACCCGTCTGAGCAAACCGCTTGGCATCCGCCGCCCTAACGATCGCCTTGAGCGTGTTCTGTATCTTCAGTCCTTCCCAGCGTGGGTCGACAGAGCGCGTGCTTCCGAACTCCTTGCCTGCGCTAAGGAGAGACCGCAACTTGGACGGCATGGACACATGCAGGACACCCACGTCACCATCCGAGTCAGCATCGTCCCGGTTGGCAAGTCTTCCGTTGATCTCGGAAGCGGCGTATCCCAACATGGAAACCGAGCCCCGGACGTTATGGATGTTCTGCTGTAGCTGTGTCCCAAGAAGCCTGGCCAGACTAAACGCATCCAGGTGTATTACATCCGCCTTGAGATCGGTGGCAATGTCATCAATGACATGGTTGGCGACACTACGACCCCTGCGGTTCACCACCGAGAGCACCGTCGTGAGCCGGTGATAGTCGGGCGGCTTACTTCCATGCGCCACATCCGCCACCAGCTCGGCACGTATAGCGGCCAAAAGCTCCATGCAGACAGGATACTCTGGATCCGGCCTGCTGGCTAGAGGACTGCCATGTAGCGCCCCAGAGCCGGGCTGGGCTTCGCAGCGGAGGTTGGCCAGCCATCGCTGTGCCTCCCCGGACAGCGGCTTATCCGACCACCACAACAACCGAACAATATCATCCTCCCTGGAAGAGTGGTGCTTGCGCAGCAACTCTATATGTTCCGGGTTCGCGCCCGTCTGGTGGACGATAGCCAGCGCCTGTAGGAACGCGGTGTTGTGCGCCGCATGCGCCTTCTTGAGCAGCTGGCTGGACGACTCGAGTAGTTGCTCGAAAGCAGCTTCGCGCTCCTCCTCGGGCAGCCTGACCAGCTCGTCCAGCATGCTTGTCCACGACTTGACGTCCTCCTCTATCACCTGGACCTTGTCCAACTTCTTCTCCAGCAGCTCCAGGACGGCTTCGCGGTCGACGTCTTCGAGCGGGAAGAGCAGGGTCTGGGGTGCGCCGATGGGTCGCGCCTCGTACAGCGACACGTTGTGATCGATGAACCATGGGTCGAGCTTCACCCAGGGCGTGCTCGGGGTGCTGCTGGCTTGCGGGGCGACGTTGTTCTCGATGTTGACGGCGCTCATCCTACCAGGCCGTTGGCGCCCCCGCGTTCCCTTGAGCGTGAGCGCTTCCTTGTAGGCATCGGCGGCCGCTTTTGAGTCTTCTGCATTCTTCTTGTCGGCAGAAGAAGTTTCCTCTTGCGCGGACGAGGTGGTGGTCGTGGTAGAAGCGGGCTTGTTATGTTGTGTTTTAGGGTCGTCTTCGGTCGAGATACTGCTCGGCTTCTTATCGTCGGCAGGGTTCGAGTTCGAGTCGGGGTCGTTTTTGAGAGAGGCCGCAGAGGTGCGGAAGGCTCTTACATGCTGGCGACGGGATAGGGAGCTGGAGCTAGTAGTGCCGGAAGCGTAACCGGCAACGGCGCGGGGCAGTCGGCGACAACATGAGGTTTGCGCCGACAGCAGGGCTCGGGCCCCGGCAACAGGCATTGGGACGTATCAATTGGGGTGATTGGCGACTCTCATAGGTGTATTATGTGTGTCGAGATGCGTGTTGCAGTTGACCGGCAGCCGTTCGCTATGTGTGCTTGGGGGTATAATACATGTGTTGTGGATGGTGGGATGGTGAATGGCTGACTGCGGTTACGCGATGCAATGGAGCTTCTGCTGGAGCTGGAGCTTCCCCGGGCAGGCCGCGAAGCGGGCCGTGAGTCCATTGATGTCCGCGCTGTGAACGTGATGTCCTTATCAGTTGCCGGCCGGCAAAATGTCCCTTTAGTAAGCCACTGTCCCCGCTAAAGTCCGCTGAAGCATCCCTGGCAGTTGCCCGTTGTCTGTGCTCTTTGACAGCAACAACACCATGGACATATCACGACTTTGGACAGCATGGTTTTCGAATACGGAGATACGACTATTAATGTTGGATGATTCCTCTATTGCTTTTGCACTATCCAAGAGTCGCGTCACGCCAGCATATCCGTGGTGTCCATTGCTTAATCCACTTCATAAACAATCCATGCGGATAATCTCTAGAACCATCATGACCACCTCAACGCCCTTTGCCCGGCCTAGACTAAAACATGAAACATCTCATCATCCCACAATTCCCCCCTATCCCTCCGGTAACCGAGTGTATCATCAGAGCCCTCGCCCAGCTTCCACTCCTCAAGCCGGGCATACAGATCCCACAGCAGCTCCTCTCTGTTCCTGACTGTGTAGCCTGTCCCCTGGCTTCTAGCAGGAGCGGCACCAGTAGTAGACTGCGTGCTTGATGGTAAATGTTGCTGCTGCTGCCCAGGGACTCTCGCGGGGCCACCGGCGGCGGCAGTAAACCGTGTAGTCACCCGACCATCCGAAATCATCCAGTTGTTCGACATATCCTTGACGATAGCAGTGACATGTCTCTGCACACGCGGGTTGACCCTCGCCTGCTGGGAGAACTCGGAAAATGTGGAAGGCAGTCCTCTCAGAAGACATTCGACTCGAATGAGTCCGGTCGGGTAACCGGGGCGTTCTTCCACATCAGCACAGTCCTTCAGCTCCGGGGAGATAAACCGTCTTATACACTCCCTCGCCCCATCAAACAACTTCGACACCACGTCCACTATGTCCACCAACGCCTTCACCTTCTCCTCCCTTTGTCTCTGTGGTTCCTTCTTCTTGTTTCCAAGGGTAATCACCGCCGGAATGATACTCGGCTGCAAAGCCACACACAACCCGACCAACTGATTCAACAGCGCCAAATCCCTCCTCTGCACCTCCTCCTTCCTCCGCGCCTCCTCCCTGCTATACGCCTCCGCCCTCCCCTTCCCTCTCTTCATCCACATCTGCTCACACCACCACACCACACTCCGCAAAACCTCAACAACATGCACCTCCACATCCTCCCCCCTCAACTCCCTCGGCACGCAACTCCTCGTCAACACTCCCACCACCGCCCCAGCATAACACTCCAACAACACCGACCCAAACTCGCCCTCGTGATCCTGATCCTGCTCCATTCTGCCCGCAACCTGCACAACAACAGGCAGCATCACCTCCAACATGAACGTCATGAATTCCCTGCCCCCCGTCATTTTGGCATCCCCCAACGCCCGCTCCAAGATCCCTCTCTCCTCTTTCAGCCCATCGTTAGCCAGTGCCACCTTGAAGTTGTTGAACAGGTACCAAAAAAGCTGCGACGCCGCGGGTGCGTCCTTCTCGGACAGGCGGACGCCGTAGGCCATGATGCCCGCTGTATGTAGTTGCGGGTCTTGCAAGGGCGGGGAGTAGGAATCGGAGGGGGTAAGGAAGAAGGAGTCGACGACGACGATGCCGACGCCGTGCGATTTGATGAGGGAGATGAGCTCGTGGGCGAAGGCCATGTATTCTTTGTGTTCTTCTGTAGAGGCTGCTGTGGGGTCTGAGGAAAGGGCGAGGGAGCGGAGGAGGGAGAGGTCTTTTTGGATCTCGGTCATGGCTAGTTGGAGGGTTTGGGAGAATTCCTCTCTTTGGCGGCGGACGGACTGGGCTGACGATGCCGTAGAAGGTGCCGATGGGGTTGCACCGGCTTCTCCTTCGCCCCCTCCGCGGAGAGCCTTGCGCATGTAGTGGATCGCGTGGAAGAAGAGGTCTAAATGGATGTTGTAGTCTGGCGTCATGCCGGCTGAAACGTTTGCCCCTACAAGAAAAGGGAGGCCGCGCTGCTGGAGGACTTCGGCGAGGTAGGTCTCGTAGCCGAGGAAGCGCATGGGCTTGATGATGGACTGGACCCAGAGGGAGAGAATGTTTGTCTCGATGTCTTTGAAGTCGAAGACGTTCTTCTTGACGAGAGTGGCGATAAAGAGGGGGAGCCATCTCCTCTCTGCACCGGTCATGTTCTTGGGGATGTCGGGGAAGAGCCCGTACTTGCCGGGCTGGAAGTAGGGCAACACCTGGGTGACTCGCTCCTGGATGAACCGGGCGGCTAGTTTAGCAGCCAGCGTCACCGTCTTTTCGATACAGGCGACCTGCTCGGTTTGCTTGCCGAAGGTTGTAAGTGATTTCAGTGGCAAGGCAAGTAATTCCCTGGCCACCCAGAAGAACTCTTTGGTGAGCTTCTCGCGAAGCAGCAGAATGGCATCCTCCAACTGCCTCGGGTCGACATCCGCAGTAGACTCATTGCTAGAGTACTGCTCCTCAGAAGACTTTTCAATCCAGCCCAGGAAGTGCTCATGTGTGTCGAGAGCCACATGGAGGATGCCCCAGTCAAAGCCCGGAGAGCCAAAGTGCAGGGTAGTACACATCTTTTGCAACTGAGTGACGTTCAGCGTGTAGATGGTTGCTTCGAGAGATTTTGCGTGCTTGAGCACATCGAGAGATGCTCTGGCTGAAGTGTGAAGAATGTCCAGGGCCGTGGCCTTGTTTCTTGCGATAAGCTCGTCCCGCCATGCTGCATCGATACTCCGCATATTCTCTGCAGACAGCGCCCTAAACTGCTGCTCGATATCGGACTCTGCAGACATGTACTGGTCCAAGATCTGGTTGAACAAGTTGTTCCTCCATATGGTAAAGGGCCTGAACGCAGTGCTACCCTCACCATTCGACACGACGAGGCGAGCGAGCTGACTCCATGCTCGAATGTTGATCAAGCAAGCCTCCTTGTGAGCATTGCTAGGAGTGATCAGTCGCTCTATCAGGTCAACACGCGGCCTAAGATCCGGCGGGGCAGCCCAGAAAAGCGTGCAGAGGAGATCATGATGGTTCCTTAAGGCTGCAAGGTCACGTTCATGTATTGTGTCCTCTTTGAGGTACTGTCGGTCATGGTTGGGAAGTGTCCTTGCGACAAGATTCCGGATATCTTTTGTCCGCCCCAGTTGCTTAAGGTGTTGAATGGTCAGAGCCAACAGTTTGATGAAGATGTGGAAGCAACGATCTTCCGTCTCAATGGCCAGAGAAGGGCCATTAGCGAGCTCTTCCAGGAAGCGAGGAGACTTGTAGACCTGTTCATTCCTCAAATGGCAGAGATTTTGCGAGCCGAAAAAGTCGAAGATGGTACCGATGATTCCAGTACACCTGCGCCAACCCCATTGTTGGACGAGGAAGTAGCAGCGGCCGATCAAAGCCCGGCAGTACTCGTTGAAGCTAGGGGACTGGCGCTGGTTGGACTTGTACAGCTCGAACACGCGCTTCATAAGCTTCTGAGGGAGTGTCCAGCCCTCCAAGGGAACGGTGTTTCTCAACCCTGGAAGAAGGATACCCATGTTGTCAATTTCGCCCAGAGGCAACAAGGTGAACATGTCCTGCCAAAGACGCTCAAACACCTGAGCATCCGACCCGGACACGACATCAGGCGTGAGCATGACTGAGTGAACAACATCCCAGAACATACTGCGCGGAATACCGGCGCTTTCTAGGGTATGCATGAGAACGACCCAGCATACAGCAAGCACCTGGTTCGGCCGAATACCGCGTTCTCGAAACGAAGGACGCTGTAGTTCGCCATAGAGAGTCCTAACATCCTCAAGCCCACAGCTCAGCGCTCCAGTGATGGCCACCTTGGAAAGCTTGGTGAGAAGTCCTTCAAGCTTCATGCTTTGTAGGGGATCATCGCCAGACGACTGTGCCATCAGGTATATTGGGAGCATCGCTAGGCACAAGCGGGTAGCTATATCCAGGGACATCTTCTTGGTTTGTTCTCGCAACGACCGCCAGTCAAGCGCTTCGAATCGGCCAACGAAGCTCGCCATGACCTCCGACCATCTGGACACGAATGCATTTTCCCCAATGTCATCCTGAACGCGAAGTGCATCGAGGACATATTCCAGGACAAAGTTAGCTGCATCAGTGGCTTTGCGACCCGCAAATTCCGTATCCTCCTTACTTCCGGTTTCGAGTTGTTCAGCCACCCAGTCGACAAGTATACCAAGCTCTGACGAGACTTGATCATCCCACATGCCCCAGTTAAGTGACTGTCCTTGGAAGAGGAAAGACACGGTCGGCCTTGGCCGACGAATCCTCTCCGAGAACCCGGGCTCGACCGCCTTCTTGACATAGCCGCGTCCGATGATGGTGCTCTCATGGAAGAACGTACCATGATCAAGGGGGAAGACTTCAAAGTGGTGGGTGTATTGCGTCCCATATGGCCCCAGCCCACTGAGTTTGTCGACGTCTTTTTGCTTGGCCTGCTCCTCAACCACGGCAAAGGCAGCTGGCAAAGGGTCATCTGCTCGCGTGTACTGCGGGGCTTCAACATCGACATGCTGAGGGGCTCGTCTCTTGCGATAACGGGATTTGTCGTTTGCAGCCTTGGGCCTCGGAGCGAATGGTGCCACCTCGGTGACAGAATCGTCCTGCCCTTCCAAAATAAACGGTTCCGGCGATGTTCCTCTGCCAACGTCAAGAACAGGCTCCAAGCGATCAAGGCTCGGTGCGCGCTGAGCTCTTCGGTCTTGCCTGAACAGAGCATCAAGAGATCGCTTCTTGTTCTTAAGCCGTTTCTGCGGATCCTCATATATGCTCGTCTCTAACTGCGCTTGTCGTGTGGCCGGGCCGCGTTCATGGATTGTAGTTCGTGACGGATGCCTGGACATTGACCTTGGCCCATCGGAATTGTTTGCCACGGGTTTCCTCGCGCTAGCTTTCTTGACAACCAGCTTTCGTGGAAGAAGTGAAGAAGGCGGCGGTTGAGTGGATGAAGGTTGGTGCTCAACATTGTTCGATACCTCCCCGAGGACTGCTCTAGTAGTCTTCGGCTCAGGTCTCTTCCTTGGAGGCGCCGCAACTCGCGGCCGTGTCTTGCCGGACTTCCAGTCCCGAAGAATAGAAAGTGCGTCGATGTTATCTTGGCGGTTAGCGAACCTAATAGCCTTTCTGGTGGGACTACTCTTCCCCAAATCCGACCTCTTCTTGACCGAACGAGCTGCGATCTTGAGGAACTTTGGGGCATTAGGTTCAATGACATCCAAGATACTGAGAAGCGGCGGTGTTGCTGCTCTCTTTCGGGAGCTAGGTTTTGCGGAGGCACCACCTCTTGGCTTGCGGTAAGATTTCGCCGTGCCCTTGGCCGATGGTAATGAGCCAGAGGCACTCTTTGACCTAGAGAATGACTGGGTTATCTTGGGTTGCCGAGTGGCTTTACCACTCTTTGGCTTCTTTGCCCCTCGGGACAGACTAGGAGAGCCAGCCCTCTTCCTTCGCCCGGCCAACATAGCATCGATGGAGTCCTCCTCGATCATGAAGCCGTCTTCGTCATCATCCAGGGTTATGACCTGACGAGTCGACCGTGTAGGGCTAGATCGACTAACAGCCGGTGCCTTATTTTGTGCTTGAGTTGCCTCTTCTTCCGATTCATCGGCCAGGTCAAACGGGAACTGGGTCGCAGACAGTCTTTTTGGGGACGTTTGTTTTGGAAGAGCAACGCCCTTTCGATTGAGTCGATCTATTGGGGGTTCATGATCATTTTTGGCATTGTGGCGAGCAGCGGGCCCATCTTTCTTCTGGTCCAGTCGCAGCCATGATGCCGGCAGCACACCACGAATTTTCCGACCAGTCTCGCGAATTACATCCGACTCACTGTCTGAGTGATGTGGATGAGACAAAGATTCCAAGTCACTCTCTTCGCTAGCAGGACTGTCGCTATCGTCCCTGATAAAGATGGGGGACCCGACTGGTTCTTCATGTGATTCGACTGGCTGTACAGGTCCTGTACGAGAGGTCGAAGGGGATCTTGCCAGCCTCCGAAGGCCTGGTCGCTGCGTAAGGCCCAGATCTTGCGATGGTTCGATGGGTGCCCGCAGTGTAGTAGGAGACGGAGACAGGTCCCATATTGATGCAGGTGGTATCCTGAAACGTCCAATTGGAGAAGCAGTTAGTGGGGAATTAGATACAGTCCTCTGTTTTTTGCGCTTCGCTGACAGGAGACTCGAGCTTTGTCGCTTTAGGAGTCTTTTATGTGCCTCGGATGGTCTGGATTGGAGACGGTCCAAATCAGGGAACTCTTCGGCATCGGACAAGGCCGTAATATCCGTCTGGTTACCGCTGTTTAACACGCTACTAGCACGTAGATGGCGGGCAGGGGATGACGTCTTTGGCGGCGAAGGCGATAGTGCTAACTCGTCATCGTCATCCCAGAGGATTGGCCCGCTCTCTTCTGTGACCTGTGTAGGTTCGCCGCGAGTTGTCTCTTGACTCTCTTCATCGAGGAAATCTTGTTCTTGAGAGTCCTCTTCATGGGCCTTTCTTTTACGTTGAGAATCTTGCAAGACCACCTTGATAGGTTTGATGCCATGGGACTTCATCACTTTTGCGTACCGAACATTTTCCAGGAGATATGGATGTTGTTGGATAGGCTTCCGCGGGCGGAGAGAACGTCGCCCCGTCGTCTGCTCGCCTTCTTCTAAATCACCCAGCGTAGAACCATCACTTGGGGGCTGGTCGGATATAGCTTGCGATACTTGGCGTGGTCTGGGTGTAATCGTACCGTCTGAGGAGGGTGACGAAGGGATTGTAGCATTGGCAGTTCTGGCTGGGCTCTTGGGTACATCTTCCTTCAAGTATGCTTCCCTCCCAGGTATCGTCTGTGGTATCCTAACCTCCAGAACCGGCAAATCCGAGTTTTTCGCATCCTGGGATTGAGATAAAGAGGATAATGACCAGATGTCGCTTTTCGCAGGAGACAACGGGGAGTCTTGATCGTCATCGGGCTTTTCGCTTGGTACGGGGCTCTCGTTCACGGGTTGAGGAGCTGGAACTGGTTTGGCCGAGCTTCGTGTAATTGGGGAGCTTGGAATATCCCATATGCCCTTCTCCGAGTGTTGAGATTCCTCCTGGGGCGCTTTCAGGATGTCGACATCTCCTTCTTCTGGCGGAACATCCTGTCCCTTTGCATCACTTCCAACATAATTGACAACCGCGCTTTCGGGAAGCTTGACACTTTGCGATTCGGGCTCGGTAATGATTTGGTCCAAGTTGTCAATATCGATATCATCGTCGTCGAAGCTGCTGTCGTCGTCCTCGTCCGAACCCGGCACTTCGCCCAATTCCCTCCAGTTTTTCATGACTTTTGCTGTTCATGTCGTCGGGGACATTCTTTTGCCTTCGTATTGGTATGGGCCCTTAACAAATGTAGGAGGCGAACGGCTGGTCGTCCAGGCAGGCAACGTGCTTTCAATGTTGAGACGCGTCCACAAACACTGGGAGACGCGCCGTGGAAGAGAATGTGGTCTGTGCGCTAGCTGTGTTTAATAATTTTCAATTGCTCACGCGTCATTGCTTGCATGCACTGGACCGGGGTTAAACAGACAGTGCACATGGCACCCGGCCGGCGGGATAGAGCTGTGCTAAGTACGTACCGCAAAGGCTAGCTGGAGAGCCCCGAAATGCTCCCTGGAGAGCCTTCCCCCCCACTTTTTAAATCTAAGTAAGCACAACCAGCCGCCCAGCCGCCCAGCCCAGCCCAGCACACCATACACATCGCTTCCCAACTGCTACCATCGCGCTATCTTTATTAGCGATCGTTAATCTTATATACAATTGAATAAAACTATCGTAAAATCTTACCTTAATATTAAACGATTATTTATAGCGATTATCTATCGTCTTTATCATTTTTTCGTACAATATCCTCGACCTCGTCGTATCGCGTTTATTAATATATTTCGCCCGCCCGCCCGCCTGCCCACCCGCAAGCTGCGTATTAAATAAATTAAACTACTAGCTTAACTGATTAAAACGATTAGCTCTAATTGTAATTGAATAGATTTGCCCGCCAAAATAATTCTTAATTAATTTCGAATAATTACTCCTAAACGGAGTACGACTCCCTCGTCGAATTTTAATCGCTATTAATCTGCCGCTATCAATACTAACTATTGAAATTAAGAACGTAGTTACTATCCCCCAACGAGCACGCTACCTAATTAACGAGGCTATTATTTATATTCTTTAATTGTAATAATATAATCGCTACCTTTAATGCGCTATAAAATTACTATATAAAATAAAGCTTTATAATTGTATTATATAATTGGTTAAAAAGTAAAAAAAAGGGGGAGGAGAGGGTTATTAAACGAGTTCATTATTATTATATATACGGCCGCGTTCATAAAGGTATTAAATAAAACGTTCGAAATACTAATTCGAAGCGACTCGATTACGTATACTAAATAAAAATTGTATTAAGAAACAGGTAAAGTAACTACTAATTTATTACAAAAATTAAGAATTAATACAATTATAATTTTAATATTACTAACTTCGCTAGTAACGTTATCTATTAACAATAAGTACGCTGTAATTATAAAGAGTCTGTCAATATTATTATCAAAAGGTTATTTAATATCGCTAGAATAACCGCTCGTTAAATTACCTATTATTTAAATAATATTCTAGATTCTAAAAAGGAAGATTCGTGATAGGGTAATTCCTGGATTACCTTACCTTTCCTATATTATAGCTTAGACTAGTAATGACAGCCCAGATTAGCTGGGCTGCTATAGAGGCTGCCATGCCTAGTCTAAACTTCTAGACTACAGCGTTTAGGCCACTTAGTAGCCCGTACTCTAGCTCGCTACATAGTATATCCTTTCTATACAAACGGCTAGCTAAGACAGCCTCCTCCTTCCTTTTACATTATCTTTCTTCTTTACTTCTAATACTACGTATTACATATTCCTAGCATCGTAGTATATAGAAACAACAGTCCTATTCGTATAACCCTCTATATTAACCTCCCATATTAATTCGGTTACTATTTAACGTATTAACCGTAATAATTTAATATTGAAATTATGTAATTTTCGAATCCTTATTATAATAAAAGAAATATTAAATATTTAATAGCGTATTTATTGTATAAAATATAGTCCTTATTCTTCAATTAAAATATTTATCAATCTATTAGAATAATATAAGAACCTTTATAATATCGAATACTTTATTAAATATAATAGGGAATACGTAATACGAATATTTTAAACTTTCAATTAGTATATTGAAATACAGCAGAAAAATCCCTATATTCTATTAATCGATAATATATATAAAGTATTATTACTCTTCTTAATTCAATTACTTTTATAGAGTTTAATTAACCTCTTTTTTTTCCTTACAAATTAATTGATTTAACTTCCCTTTATTCAATATTATTAACGTCGATACGTTAGGTTATAATTTTAACGCCAGCTTCGGTCTTTCGAATAGAGAAAAATAGGAAGATTTTAAATAGTAATTTAATTACTTAAAGAAACTCTAAAAGGACTACGAAATCTCTAACCCCGTAATATTTATTACCGATTTTAATAAAGGGTTTAAAAAGGCCGCTATTACTACCTATTAAAATGTATTATATTAATTCTATATATAGTACGTTACAAAGAATATAAATTACTATATTAAAAAAAAAGTAGGTGTAGCCGCCCTTAAATAGCGGTAATAGTAGTAATAATCCTACCCCCGGTATTAACCTATTGAATTTCCCGCTAATTATTCGGGATTTAGATAATTATAGTCCTAACCCCCTATTATACCGAAGCCCCGTAGCGATTAATAATAATAATATTAACAAAGAGGACGAATATATTGATAACGATTTAGAGGAAGATAATCCGGAAGAAATTAATAATATTGTTGCCGCTAACTGCTTTATTTAATAATTTAATAATAGGTAAGGAGTTCGTACCGCGGTTAATAAGCCGTTAATTAAAGTTATCGCTCTATGTAACCGTACCCGTAATGTATCAACTTTTAACCCCGCTCGTCGATTTTATTTAAATATATATGAAGGCTTTTAAACAGTTTAAAAGTAAATAGTTTATACGGATAACGATAACTACCTCAAACGGGTATAATATTTAATAACTTATAAAATTAAATGATAAATTTGTACGTTATCCTCCTTCCTCTCTATAATATATTATATATTTTTTCGCCAATAATTTTTAACTCTCTACGCCTACCTTTATAAATATTACTTCTTATAAATTAATGAATTTAGTAATTACGCCGTCTCGAAGTATAAAAATTTTAGTATTAAGGTACCTAATTAAATTGAATTTATATATAGAGTTATTAAACGTCTCCTTAAAAACCGCTTCTCCTCTCTAGATTAATTATACGAGTATATACGATCTGCTTACTGCTTTTAAAAATAAGAATTTAAATCCAAATATACAATAGCGAATATCCTTACCCTTTTATATAAGTATAAAAGAGTAAGGATATTCAATAATCTAATATTGAAAATACGTAAAAATATAATTATTTATTATTATTACCCTTATAAATACAATTATTTTCTTTTACCCTCTAGAAATTTAATTAATTAACCTCCTTTTTTTCTATATAGGTAGTAATATATACTTTTAAATTTATATAATATTAGTACCGCTATACGTATAACGACTAATTTAGAAATCTACGTTAAAATTTAGATTTCAATTGTAAGAAGGAATTTACTACGTAATATAGGCTACCCTATAAGTACTTTATATTACGGTTATAATATAAATCCCCCGTTAATATTTATTATAAAGAGTATTAATATATATTAATAATTTAGTAGTTCGGTAATAGAAATTAAATGTCGTATTTACACGATTTAAAACCTTATTACTTTATTTAACCGCCAACAAAAAGCGATTATCCCCGACTTAAATCTTATAAATTATATACGTAGAATATCAGAGCGAAATTTTATAAACTTAAAAGTTTATAAATTACGCGAATTCAAAGGTAATTAAGCATTACCCGCCTAGCCTACCCAATTTTAACTCTAAACCGCTGCGCCTGCTATAATTATACTTATTAATTGCGATTAATATAATAACCGCCGCGTACTTTCTTATAACGAACCTCCTTGCTGGATAATATAACGAAAAGTATAAAGAAGAAAGAAGAGAGAGGGGATATATAGAGGGCGTCCTATACCCATAATAATATTATTCAAAATAACTTGTAGCGAACCGTTGTACAAGTAATTAATAATACGGCTAATAATACGGCTAACATTATTATAGCGTAGTTAATTCTAATTCTAACGCCCTCTCTAATTGCTTCGCCCTCGCCTTTTTACCCTCTAATTCCCTTATAGAAAACTCCGGCGCCCTCCCCATCTCCCTATTCCTAAATTTAGTAGTAACCGCTAACCTAGTAATAGCCGTCTACTAATTCTAATCAATATAATTATAAAATACTAACGCTTATTAAATAATTATTTAAATCCCCTATCTCTAATTTAAGTAGTTACTAAAATTAATATAAGGATTGGGTATTAAATATAGTTAAATTTAGGAGTCATATATTTACCTAATTAAAAATGAAGGAGATTCTCATAATTCATATTATAAATTATTGTATTAGGCTAATTAATTCTATTGTTACTTGGGCGCTTCTTAGAGATTTAGACATTGTTCTTCCTCCCTTTAATTAACTATAATATAATTTATAAGGCTATATTATATTAGCAATATAATATAATTAGACCCCTATAACTATAATACTACTTCTAATACTTATACGGGGTAGAGGATAGGCGTTAAGGGATTTAAATAGGAGGGTAAATTTCTAACCACCTCCTTAATACTCTAAGTAGTATTTATACGGCGGGTATTAAAATTAAGGTAGGTACGTACACTCTAAGTCTAGGTAGTACGTATAGTAATAGGGCTAATATAAAGGATAATAATATTATTAGCAACTATAGTATTAACCGCTTAGTCATAGATAATTAATTAAATTAATAATTCTAAATATCTTTACGTAAAAAAATAATACTAACGATGTAGATCTAGCGATACGCGGGCATCGATTATATAGCCTCAATTGTATACGGTATACTAGGCTGGGCTAGGCGGCTAGGCGGCTAGGCGGCTAGCTATACTTACTCAACTTTAAAAAGTGGGGGGGGGGGGGTGGCTCTCTAGGGAGCATTTCGGGGCTCTCCAGCTAGCCTTTGCGAGCACGTACCGTTCGGTTGTTGCCGTTACAGGGACGGACCCCAACGAAACGCTGAAGCTTTGCAGCGTTCTCGAACTGAAGGTCCAGATCGAATTTCGAGCTTGATATTCAACTGAGTTGCGATCATCAACCAAGACGTAAAAGCCAACAACAACAAGTCAAGATGCTCAACGGCAGAAAGATCATCACCATTGGTTTGGTAGTAACCTTTGGCATCGTAAATGGTCCGGGCTCTTTGATTGTGCTCAGAAGGATGAGGTCTGACATCTCTGCAGGATACTATACATTTGCCCCCAGTCTCCGGGAGGAGAAGGAGAAGTGTGAAGGCCTAAACCTCGGGTGAGAAGATGAGCTTTGTCTAGAGTTAAGACTGGGTAGACTAACATAACAATAGTCCCCCGGCTAAGCCCTCTCCATATGAGACCAAGAAGCAAGAGTCGGAGAAAAGGGAATGAGATGGGATGCTAGCATGGAGTAGAGAAACAACTACCGTGACCATACAATCGACCAGCCGTGTTTGCTGAGAAGGATGGGAGTGATGAAGCTTGTTGAGAGAAGGCATCATGGCTTTACTTCATCTTTAAAGTTGACTGTGGCTCATTGCAAATGACGTAAAATATCTTGTATAAAGTGTTTATACATAGTAAAGACCCTGTAAAGCAAACAATAAGCTTTGTGAGACATTGACGAACCTGGCATGTGAGTTCCGTTTCTCAGTTGCTCTTCAGTTGCCAGAATCGTCATCATCCAAAAGTCAACAACACTGCAGCCCAAGGACAAAACGTCCATGGTGTGGAAACCGAGGCGGTTCGTGCCAGCTGTCAAAGGGGTGGGATGGCAGGTGCGGGGCTCCGTTTCTGAGCGCCAGACATGGAAAAGCTGCCCGTCCACCACTTGCCAGGCAGTCCTGGACAGCCTGCCGTGAATTGGCTCCGGGAAGATACGGGGCCTCAAGCTACTGTGACAGTCTCATAGCGCTCTGGTTTGGGGGTGTTTTCACTGGCGGGCACTGCATTCAGAGTGAGGAAAGTGGGCATCAGGCCATCCGGATCCCCCCATTCCTCGAGTTCCGAGCTGAGGCCGCATCCCGTTTCGTCTACGAATCCCGTTCGCCCAAAAAAAAGCTCGTCCTTGCATGACTTCACTCCTCGCACAAAATCACCGTCGACGAACAAGCTCCAGGCCTCCGACCACGCACGCGGGCGACTCAATCGGACCCATCTCCACTCCCGACTTCGAACCCTCGACTTCCTAATCTCTGTCAACCGACAAACCGCCGTCACCATGCTTCGCACTCCTACCGTCTCGGCCCTCGTGCGCAACGTCGCCGTCCGCGCCGCTAAGCCCACCATCGCCGTCCGCGCCGCTTCCACCACCGCCATCTCCAACCCCACGCTCGCCAACATCGAGAAGAGATGGGAGGTGATGCCCATGCAGGAGCAGGCTGAGCTCTGGATGGCTCTCCGCGACCGCATGAAGGAGAACTGGGCCGAGCTTACCCTCCAGGAGAAGAAGGCTGGTAAGTGAGAAGGTTGAAGGTTGGCGAAATGCCGGGTGGAGCTCGACCGTCCAAGCTCCGAGCTAGTTGCATCACCTCCGAGCTAGTTGCATCACCCTCACTCTGCGACAACCCCGAGCTTCAAACAAGCTTCACGAGCTCCAGAACAGCTTTGGGATCGTTGGTCGGAAATGGTGTCTCAAGAGTTGATTGATGGGTTGGTGGGGAAGCTGGGATGAGGCTGAGGAAATAATGGTTGCGCTACATTGGAGGTGAAGAGGAGGGAAGCTCCGACGACAAGCAACATCATTACCACCATCAAGGTCGTCTCAAGAGACACGCAGGCAGAAAGACTGACATGCACTCTCTCCCAACGCAGCCTACTACATCGCCTTCGGTCCCCACGGCCCCCGCGCTCTCCCCCCTCCCGGCGAGCAAAAGAAGGTTCTCGCCTACACTGTCGCCGGTGTCTTCCTCTCTTTCGTCATCTTCGCTACCATGCGCGCCTTCGCCAAGCCCCCTCCTTCCACCATGACCAAGGAGTGGCAGGAGGCTACCAACGAGTTCCTCAAGGTGCGTCGGCTCTTATCGGCTCTTTGTTTCCTACAAACTAACGCATATATCTCTCCCAATAACAGGCCCAGAAGTCCGACCCCCTTACCGGTCTCACCTCCGAGGGCTACAACGGCAAGGGCCACGTTCAGTCTCCCTCTGCCAACGCATAAATTTCCCATACTTTTATTTGTGCTTAGGGGTAGAATCATCCCTCGTTCTCTCGGATATCGGCCATGTTAAACGAGTCTGGGAGGATCGGGGGAAAGGACAGTGGTGGCATTGGAATGCTTTGGGGCGCTTAACACTTGGGTTGGTGTGTAAATACTGTACAGCTGACAATGCATTATCATCTCCTTCAGCCGGCACCTTCGTTTTGTTGTCCGGTGTAAATGGAGGCTATGCGACTTTGGGGTAAACCAGAGGATGATGGGAACAGCTGGATTTGTTCAGTGAAAGTATGTTCCTGGATATCGAGGTTGGATGAGCAGTTGGAACGAGGTATTTCGAGAGTTATGGACATGACACGCATTTTTACACGAGGAAGGAAGCTTTCGAGGTTTTGAAGTTCCAGCAGCTTTTAATAATGCCGTTTCTTTACCCCTACCAGGAGCTTCCCATGAATTGGCACTGTTTGTTTGTTTGTTTACTTGACATGGCAGGAAAAGGGGTAAGCTACCCTGCTCCCAGCACCCACCCGTATCTCTGTAGTCCGTACTTCTGATAAGAGTCACGATGAGCCCACAAGCATTCATGTCCAAGCTTTGGACGGCAGGCACGTCATAGTCCTGCCTCATCCAGATGCTCTTTCTTCGTCCAGATGCTCTTTCTTCGTCCAGATGCTCTTGCCTGCTGCGGCAGTCGTGACCAACCCTCCTCCAAACTGCTGTATTTATTCCAGACTGCGGGGCTGCATCCCTCTCCCGGGCTCTTCCTCCTGGCAAGCATCCCATTCAGTTTATCTTTCCAATGCTTCACCAGTTCACCTTGCTCCTCTACCTGCTTTCTGTTCATTTCCTTTTGTATGCTATTCTTCATCATGCCTCGGATGTGTCTGATGCGTTACACAACAGCCGATCTTGGGGTCAGAACACACTTATCTGTATGCGGGATCTCATATCTCCTAAGAAAATACCCATCCTCACTCCGACTACGAAATTGTTCAGCTCCTGGACTGCCTCTTAAGTGCTACGAGATAAGATCACTCGCCGATCAGCTGTTGGCGACCATGATAGAGAGACATATCCAGCTCCTGTCTAGGTGCTACATCAAGTGAACGTTCTACACCCAACCTACACCTCCCAGACGTCGAGAGATATCACGAGTCCAACCACTTCGCGCGGTGTCTATATGGGCATCCCGATGAACTCAACATCACGATCGTCGACCCTAGCAAAACGTATGATCAATTGCATGATCGAAGCCATCACCGTCCGAACAACCGTCATCGCCGTGGAGTTTGAATCTCGATGTCGACCCAAACAACCCTCCTCCGTCCTCCGTCGTTCACCTTGCCCGGTTTCGGGTTGTACATATCCAGCCGGTGGGTTTCCCCGACAATTCATGTCTAGTCATGCAACGGAACCCCGCAACATCATTGTGCGCGGGTGTTATGCATGAGCATGAAGCCGGCCATGAACAAGAATAGAATTCCCTTCGCGATCAGCTGAACGTCAACGACTTCTATGTCCATAACAAGACTCCATCAGGTCCGTCAAGGAACCCAATATTTCTTTAGTATCTAATAATGCCCAACCTCAACCCAAGATGGATACCGCACTGGAGCAAAGACTAAGGAGCGTCTCACATGATGGAAAATCACAATTTGAGGGTCGTTCTAGAATTCAACCTCCCATCATTATGGAATACAAAGTGGAAGATACTCCGAGCAAAAAGCTCGTAACGACTAAACGACGTCTTGGGGAGGCCGGGAGGAGCCGCATAATTTGTAGAGGTGGGGTCCAGACACTGTCAAAGGCTCAAAGCAGCAAAGCGAGCTCCCGTCGGGCAGCAGCAGCAGCAGCAGCAGCAGCAGCAGCAGCAACGACAGTAGCTGATGATGATGATAACAGGAGGGATGAAGAACCTCGACCAAGGAGCTCAAGAGTGGAAGCTTCTCCATCCTCGTCCATAATCATGTAGCTGAACTCGAAAAAAAAACATATCATCTCAGGGCTCATTGGCGGAAAATAAAGGCTGTGAGTACTAATTTTGCCGATGGTATCATTCGACCTTGAGGACGACGCGGGATACGGGATTAGGAAAAGACCCGAAGCTGACGGGAGGCTGCTTGAAGAATTCCAGATTGCTCCCGTTGCCGCTAGGCTGTGAGAGGCAAAGCCGGGGGAAAAAAGGAGGGGGGCGTGGTTCAGTTGGAAGCTCTGAATGGAAGGGGGGGTCCGAAACTCGGGTGCCAGACTGGCGGGGCCGTGAACACAGGAAGCGGGCGGGTAAGGTCAAGCCAGGGAGGTGTGGCTCTAGCTTCAAGGGATAAAATAAATTCTACGACGCACTTGCCTCCTTGGTAACACAGCGTTGAGTGACAGGCGCACACCACTGTTAATGCAGTGGTGGCAATTGGTGATGTCTCGGTGACTGTTTCGCGGGGCAGCTAACAAAATTTACCGGCGAGGATGACCTTGAACATGGAAGAATGTGCATTGCATCCCGAACGGGCTACTCTCCCGTCACAGTTCTCTTTTTTTTCTACAAATTTCTCGACATTTTTTTGCTGACATGGGTTCATTGCTCATCACCCCTCATTCGCGAATTTGGAGAGCAGCAGCCGTGTCAATCATCAATGTGAAGATGACAGAAAAAGGTACAGCATCCATCCGAAGACGGAGAAGAGAATAAAGAGAAATATCAACATGTCTGCCTCTCCCGTTCTCACCAGGCCCGCTCTTTTGTCGGTTCTTCAGATTCCATCTCTTTCGGCATCATCCCATTTCTCTATTCAATAGTTCATCCAGTCTTACACAGCCCCTCCCTACATACCTGAACTACATACAAGTATCAACCGCCAAAGAAGATTCCGAATATCCGTACCTCCAGCAGTTACTCAAGAACAGACAGACAAGTAACCAGTTCGCCAACCAGTTTTGCGGCAACAAGTTTACAAGGCTCTTCGCTGTCAAGACAGACCTCGCTCTTTGGGTTAAGGCGAGTTTCTAAAGTCCATGACAACACCCTTCACAGGTTGGTAATCTCTCTTTTGTTCGAGCAAGACTCTTTGCAACACATGTTCCATGCGGAAGACTGGACTGCCCAACAAGAAACCCGAAGTGCACATCGCCAGCGGTGTAATCGTCGGTGTGTCTCCACGCCCCCGCGTGTACCTGACCTGCCGAAGCCTGCCTGTCTGTCCGCTGACCAGTCCAGTGGCCAGACGAGCAGCGAGGGGGAACCAACAGAGTAGAGATCTCCGGCCTAATTGCGTAGTTCCCATCGCGATCGGCCAGAGCCAAGACAAAACACGTCCGACTCGTCTTGTGTCAATATCCCGCCCCTCGATTCTTGTTTTTGAAACTCTTAATAAATACCAAGACTAACCTCTGTGTTTTTTCTCTCTGCAAAGAAGGAAGCCTCGACACTTCGTGACAACTTCAACACTCTGGTTGCGTCATTGGTGGATCCCCCTGTCTCGACAACACCACCGTCGCATTCTCCCTCCTACTAGTCTGCCGCCTGACTAGTACTTCGCGCCCCTCGACATAACTTTTTTTTCTTTTGACTCTTCCTCGGAGAAGCCAAACACCTACATCATCTTTATACTATATTCTTAATTTACCACGCAAAATGTCGAGGTTATTGCGAGCAAAGAAGCTGGTCGCGCCGGCCCTCGTGGCAGGTGTCGCTGGTGGCTCCCTCTACTACATGTATAAGCCCCGAAACATCCCCGGTTACGAAGGCCCCGTTGTCCCTCCCCCTATCTTCGGCGCCGACGGCACCTTCAAGCTCCCCCGCTTCCCCCAGGTCAAGTCCCGCGACCAGCAGATTGCCGATCTAAAAAAGAGCAACTCGGGAAACAAGGAGGACGAATATGATGTGCTTGTTATCGGAGCTGGCGCAACCGGTGCCGGCGTGGCTCTCGACGCCGCAACCCGCGGTCTCAAGGTCGCCGTTGTCGAGCGAGACGACTTCAGTTCCGGAACAAGCAGCAAGAGCACCAAGCTGGTACACGGTGGCGTGCGTTATCTCGAAAAGGCTGTCTGGAACTTGGATTACGCCCAGTATGAGCTTGTCAAGGAGGCCCTCAAGGAGCGCAAGTACTTCTTGAAGACAGCTCCCCATCTGAGTTCGTGGCTACCAATCATGCTGCCACTCGACCAGTGGTGGAAGGTTCCTTACTACTGGGCGGGCACCAAGTTCTACGATTTCCTGGCTGGTTCCGAGGGCATCGAGAGCTCGTACTTTTTGACCAAGAGCAAGGCCATTGATGCCTTCCCCATGCTCAAGCAGACCGATCTCGTTGGCGCTCTTGTCTACTACGATGGTGCCCACAACGACTCCCGCATGAACGTCTCGATCGGTATGACTGCCGCCCTCTACGGTGCCACTGTTGTGAACCACATGGAGGTCACTGGCCTTCAGAAGGGCGAGAACGGAAAGCTCTGCGGTGCTACCCTCAAGGACGTGATCCCCGAGAGAGACGGCAACGAGGCGACTCCCTTCAACATCAAGGCCAAGTGCATCATCAACTGCACCGGTCCCTTCACAGACAGCATACGTAAGATGGACGACCAGGACTGCAAGGAGATTGTCGCTCCCGCTTCCGGTGTTCACGTTATCCTCCCCGGTTACTACAGCCCCGGCAAGATGGGACTGATCGACCCCTCCACCTCCGACGGCAGAGTCATCTTCTTCCTCCCCTGGCAAGGAAACACCATTGCCGGCACCACCGACGAGCCCGCGACCATTACCAAGAACCCTCTTCCCGATGAGAAGTCGATCCAGTGGATTCTCAACGAGATCAGCCACTACCTCTCCCCCGACATCAACGTCCGCCGCGGCGACGTCCTGGCCGCTTGGTCCGGTCTCCGCCCTCTCGTCAGGGACCCCAAGGCCAAGAACACCGAGTCCCTCGTCCGCAACCACCTGATCGACATCTCCCCCTCCGGCCTCATTACCTGCGCCGGCGGCAAGTGGACCACCTACCGGCAGATGGCCGAGGAGTGCGTCGACGCCGCCGTCAAGGAGTTCAACCTGCCCGTCAAGCCCATTGCCAACCCTCCCCTGGTCAGCGGCACCGAGCACGTCGAAGACGAGGCCGTCCTCGACGGCACCTGCCAGACGCACCGCGTCCGCCTGATCGGCGCCCACGGCTTCAGCCGCACCTTGTTCATCCACCTGATCCAGCACTTTGGCGTCGAGACCGAGGTCGCCAAGCACCTGACCGAGAGCTACGGCGACCGCGCCTGGACCGTCGCTTCGCTCTGCAAGGCCACCAACAAGCGCTTCCCCGCCAAGGGCGAGCGCATCGCGGAGCTTTACCCCTTTGTCGATGGCGAGATCCGGTACGCGGTCAGGCACGAGTATGCCCAGACGGCTGTGGACGTGCTCGCTCGTCGCACGAGATTGGCGTTCTTGAACGCGCAGGCGGCGCTGGAGGCGTTGCCGAAGGTTATTGATATCATGGCTGATGAGCTCAAGTGGGATGCTAAGAGGAAGGAGGTTGAGTGGAAGGAGAGTAAGTTACCACCCGTCCATCCCTTAATTGCCCCACACCATACCCAGTTCATCACATCTTTCGGTCTCTGGATAGATAAAAGCTAACGAACATCTCCTCAACAGCCGTTGCCTTCCTCGAATCAATGGGCCTTCCCCAACCGATGCTCACCACGACCCGCCAACAAGTCGAGAAGGGCAAGCTGGACTGGTCCAACTCGCTCGAGTGGAAGATGTACTCGAGACACGATAAGCCGGTCGACGAGAGGGAGCGCAACGAGCAGGCTGAGATTGCGGAGCGCGCGGGAACTCATCGTTAATGAGGTCGCCCCCTGACTTAAAACGAGGCGGGTTTATAAAAGAGACAGTTGAGAGAGGGATGGACAAAGACATATGAACAGGAAAGATGAACAGAAGAGATGGCAGAACACAGAACCGAATTGCATGCATTGTGGCTGGATGGGTTTTGGTTCAGGCATGCAGGCAGGCAGGCACAGTACAGGCGTTTTACGTATTTTGTTTGTTCTAGACTGGACTGGACTGGGCTGGGTTTAGCATGCTGAGGGTCACTTACGTTATTTAGCGTGGTGATGTAGTTTCTTGTATATATATAGACTTTTTGAATCATTTATTCGAGTATATGTTTGGACATGTGACAATTCGATTCGCTCTTGGTGACATTCTCCGGGATAACGTGGCGTGCTTGATGCTAGAGTTGCGGTCCAAGTACCATTACAGTCACTGTAAAACCTTCATGGTGGTTTTCCGTAGAGTTAGTCACAACAAGGAAGGAAACACAAAAAAAAAAAAAAAAAAAAAAAAAAAAAAAAAAAAAAAAAAAAAAAGGAAGGAAAAAAAGGAAGGAAAACGGGAAGAAAGAAAGGAAAACGGGAAGAAAGACAAAAGTTGGGAAAAAAAACAAAGAAGGGAAAAGGATATTCACCGAAAGAGGATGACATCAAATGGAAGGTCTTAAGTGTGTACTTTAGGTGGATGTTGGCTTGTGGTTTCATTTATTGAAGAAGTTCAGTTTGCACTTCGCTTGTTTATATTCTTCCATTCTTCCATTCCCCCCCATTCATTCTTCCAAACGCTTCTTCATGCCAAAATACCACTGCACTCACTCTTGAACAATCCAACCAAGAATGAATGAATATCAGAACCCTCCGCTACTTAGTTTACCCAAAACAAAACCACCACAACTCAGGGCATCCAAAACAAATACCTGCATGCAAGAGAAACCCAAAAAAAAAACCTCTCTATAGAAGCAAAAAAACCACACTTTGAAAATATAATAATTACAAGTGCAAAATCCAACTGTTGCTGATGCTAGCTAGCTAAACCTCTTCTTTTTCTTCCTAAGACATAACAGCAACCCCGGCCGGCAGCCCTGATACCCCAGCACCACCGGGACCAGCACCAGCACCATTCTGCCCCCCCCTCTGGTCCCCAACCCTCCAAGTATGTTCCTGCCTCGTCCCCGGCGGCAGCCATCCCCCATTAGGTTTCGCCATGCTCGCGCCTCTTTGTCTCCCTCCTCCCAGTCCTCCTGTTGATGAAGGGTTGGGCCCATCGTCTTTCTTGTTGGATCCAATAATGTCGGCACTGCTTGCGGGTTGAAGTGAGGGCATATACCCGTACCCGCCTATTTGTGTGTTGAGGGAAGAAGAGGGTTGATACTGAGAAGTTTCGGTTGTTTGTTTCGTGTTGAGCGGGAGGATGGATTCGTCCATTTTGCTTCTAGAAAGCGAGCGAGCGCGCTGATCGGCTTTGTTCTTCTCCTGGCTGCGGTCGTACAGATACAGCCCCAAAAAGGTGAGGGCGATGCCGACGGCTTGGACGTTGGTCGTCGGCGAGCGGAACCAGATGATGGCGATGATGATGACGAAGACGCGCTTGAGCAGGGAAGCGACGCTGTAAGTGACGGGGCTCACCATGCTCAACAGCACAAAGGCGAGGATGTTTTGCCCGAAATGGAAGGTGCCGTTGAAGATGAATTCCATCGTCAGGCGGCCGTGGTCGAACGAGTTAGGCGTTTTTGTCAAGTCCACCGAGCCGTCCCAGAGGAAGTCGCCTATGATGGAGAAGCCTTCGGACCACAGCCAGATGGGACACGTCAGAATGAAGGCCATTCCCGACGAGTAGCAGAGCAGGTTGAGCTTGTCGAGCTTCTTGGAGCGGTGGCCGTTGCTGTGTCCGTCTTCTTGCTCGGCGCGCGCGGCTTCGTTGAAGAGTCGTTTGGAGAAGATGTTTTGGGTGACGAAGATGATGGTGGCTATGAGGGCGTAGAGGATGCCGAGGAATTGGCCCTCACCGAACGAGTGTTTGCCGGAACAGGCGAGCATGACGCCGATTGTCAGGGGCACGAGGGAGTAGTAGGTTGCGCGCGGGTAGCGGATGTCGAAGATTAAACGGTAGGCGAGCACGGTGAATAAGGGGGATAGGCCCTTGATGGTGTGGACGAGCGAGACGGGGATTTTGGAGGTCGCGGACGAGGAGAGGAGGTGGCCAAAGATCTGGAAGGCTGCCAACGGTAGAGTGGTGACGATGACATCGCGCGAGGGCTTGCGGATTGGGTGTTTGAGTGCGGGCACGGCGGTGCGCAGCTTAGGAAACGTCGAGGCTAGCCAGGAGGCTATGAGGCAGTAGGAACAGACGAAGGCGAATTGGATCAGTGTGAGGGTCGCGGGTTTGTCGAAGGTTGTGAGAATCGATTTGGAAGAGGTGTTGGTCAGCGCTGAGGACCAGTACCACATCATACAGAGCCCCTATAGAGAAGAGATGAGGTTAGCTTTGAACAGAGGAATGACAACTGGTGCAGATGTTCATACTATTAGCTTGTAGGATACTGGCGCGCGAAGTGCTTCCGCAATCTCATGGGCATTCTGGCTCATACTCCCCGAGCGCATCCTATGTATCGCATTGCTAATGCTCCTTTGCCTAGAATGACCATGGCCATGAGAGTAGGCATTTACGGGCCCTGGAGAGTCTCTGGGAGCCCACGTCACCCTGCTTTCCCTTCTCGGTCGCCATTGATCCGTAGCACCCGCATTTATAGACCGGCCGTTGCCGTTATTTATTGTTTGTGATGTATCGAAGTCGGGAAACTTTTCGGTGGTGTCTGGGGCCGCGCTGGTGTCGGCATGGTGTTGTCGGAGGTTTGGGGAAGCTCTCAAGGACGAGCCAGTCGATGCTGTATATTGCGCCATGGCAATCGTCCAATTGCGCGTTGGCGATGTCTGTCTCTTCCGTAGAAGTGGTGGTTCTTCCCAAGGCTCGAAGGGGGTTTGCGATGATGAAAGCCGCCGGCGGGGAGTCGAGTTCCGTTCCTGACTTGTATTGCTGGAGTCTAGCACAGGATGACGCTGATCATGGCCACTTTGGTCTGTCTCGAGGACTTGGTGGGATTAACGAATAGTGTACGGGTAGAGTATGCGCAGCTATAATGTACAGAGAATCTGGTGTAACTTGAACATGTATTTGTTACAAGAGTCCCAGACCAAAATGCACTTTCTGTAACATTTCCTTTTGGTCAGATGCGATCCAGGCGCTCACTGATAAGAATAAGGTGCGACCGCCCTCGTTCTTGGCGCTTGTGACAGAATGCTTCCACGGGCAAGGACAACCCCTACGAGCCGCTAGTGTCAGGGGAGCAGTCAGGGCCTCAGGGGTCGACCAACTGCTGGGCACTTGGCGGCACGTGCATCATCAACGGTCTGACGGTGCAGCACTTGCTGCGCCACATTCGGCGTCTATTCAGCCTCAAAGGGCGGACGCTGAAGTCACCACCAGCCACACTGTTCCAGGCCGTCACAGTGCTTGGAGCTCGAAACTTTTGGAGCACCAGGCACGCGCATTCCACTTCGCGACGCCTTGCAGCGAGTGTACTTCGAGGCCGGTCCACTTCTTGCTATCGTCCACTTCGTTGCTACTATCACCACATCCTCGTCACTATCATCTGCCCACTCGAAGACGAACCCAACAAAGGCCTTCGTACATTGACAACCCTAATCCAAGTTTTGGATTCATCAGCAAATCATATCAGCACTTGGACACACACGAGAGTATCCAGCTCTCAATCGCTGGTCAAGATGGCGGCCACCAAGATGACCAAGAACCAAATGCGCCGGGCCAAGAAGAAGGAACAGAAGAAGGCCCAGGCTGAGGTATGACTTGGTATCTGTTACCCATCACGCCCACTTGCTAACATAATACAGGATGGCACCAAGGCTCCCGAAACCGAGACCACGAACGGCGAGGCGACAACAGACGTTAAGGAAGAGAGTCCCAAGGAAGACACATCCGTAAAGAACGAAACCGCACCCTCAGATTGCGAAGTCAAGAAGGAAGATTCAGCCCAGAAGATCGAGGTCGATGGCCCCGTCGATGATCAAGTCGGTATCGAACTTTCTGCTTTCGATGAGGACCCCGCTTTCGCAGCCTACAAGAACATCTTCGAGAAGTTTGGTATGAGCCTGGATGAGGACGATGTGGCGAGGGAAGCAAATGCGGGCAACAAGGGTGAAGTCTTCTTCGACCAAGACAACGAGATTCCCAGCGAGGAGGAGGATGCAGGCAAACTATCCAAGAAGAAGCGCAAGAAGCTGAACAAGCTTTCCATTGCGGAGCTGAAGGCCTTGGTCAAGAACCCAGAGGTTGTCGAATGGCAAGATGTCTCATCATCAGATCCACGCTTGCTTGTCCAGATCAAAGCTCAGAGGAACATCGTTCCCGTACCCAGCCATTGGTCCCTCAAGCGAGAATATCTTTCCAGCAAGCGTGGTATCGAGAAGCCGCCCTTCAAGCTACCAAAGTTCATCGCCGAGACCGGCATTACAGAGATGCGCGATGCCGTCCTCGAGAAGCAAGCAGAGCAGACTCTCAAGCAGAAGCAGCGCGAGCGTGTGCAACCCAAGATGGGCAAGCTCGACATCGACTACCAAAAGCTCTACGACGCCTTCTTCCGGCACCAAACAAAACCAGACCTCACCAGATTCGGCGACGTCTATTATGAGGGCAAGGAGTGGGAGGCAGATTATAAGGTATTCCGCGCCGGCGAGGTTAGCGATGCGTTAAGGGAAGCACTAGGCATGCAGCCCGGCTTCCCTCCCCCATGGCTTCTCCAGCAGCAGCGCGTTGGTCCTCCTCCATCCTACCCCACCCTCAAGATTCCCGGCCTCAACGCCCCGCTACCACCGGGTGCCTCATGGGGCTTCCAGCCCGGTCAGTGGGGCACGCCCCCTCTGGGCGAGGGCAACCGTCCCCTATACGGCGGTGCCTTACTTCCCTTACAACAACCCCAGTTTCAAGCACCCGCGGCCACTGCTTTCGGTGGCGAGCCTATCGAACGCACACTATGGGGCGAGCTCCAGCCTCCCGCGGAAGAATCAGAAGAAGAAGAGTCCGACGAGGAGGACGAAGACGAGGAAGAGGAAGAGGACCACGACATCCCGCCCGGCGGCACCGAGACCTCCATCAGCCAGTTCGACGCCGGACACCCCTCCGGTTACGCCAGCAGCATGCACCCCGGTGAGGCGCCCGTCGAGACCAGCATGGCGGGCGAGTTCGACCTGCGCAAGACGCGGCGTGGCTACGAGACGGAGGAGTCGGCCGCGCCGAGGTCTGCGTACCAGGTCATTCCCGAAAGGCAGACGCGCGTCGAGGGTTTCTTTGGTTCCGACAAGACGTACGACTTGGCGTCTGGCAGGCCGGGTGCTGGACCTGGACCTGCCGTGCCGGTGCTTGGGAGAGACGGTGACGATAGTCGCAAGAGGAAGAAGCCCGGTGATGTCGAGGTGGCGCTCGATCCGGATCTGTTGGCTGCGCAGGCTGGGTTGAGTAAGGAGGAGTTGAGGAAGAGGTATGAAGCTGGAAGAAAGGAGGAGGGGCCGGGAGCCCAGTGGGCGAGTAGTTATGATGAGGATTTGAGTGATATGATTGCGCAGGAGAGTAGGAAGAGGCAGAGGAGAGAGGAGGAGAGGAGGGAGGAGAGGAAGGGTGGGAGGAGGTAGATGACCTATCTCGAGTGGAAAAGTGTGGTTGGTGTGTAATTTGTAAACTCCGTACCAGGTCAGTTCAAGTTGGGCGTTGGAGGGTGGTGAAGGGTTTCCATAATGAACTGCATAACATAGGGATAAAAGTGGTGTATTGGTTTGGTGGACTGATACATCTCAGAATGGAAAGATCATGTCCAACAGCATTCATGGCCCCTTTTATTCCTGAATAGTCTCTCGTCTGTAAAGGATAACGCTTGTGTCTAAGCCTCCACGAGCGGGACTACTCGCGAGACACTAGATCACAACTGGGCCGAACAACCCCTCCCCCCCCCCCCCCCCCCCCCCCCAAAAGTTACGACAAAGTCTCTCCGGCCGAAGACATCTGATTCTTGATCCTTTCGAACCCTGCCAAGGTCTTCGAACAAAAAAAAACCCCCCAGAGGAAGGGAAAAGAAAAAGAAAAAGAAAACCTGACTAGAACGGCGTTCCCTTCTTATCTCCACACTCCTGTCGCCTTTTTCTTTCTATCTGGCGCTACTGGCTGTCTGTTTCTTTGCGCGGGCTAAGAACGGAAGTGGGAGAAGGGGAAATATTGAGCGAAGAAAACAACGAGGCACAAGAAAGGAATAAGTAAGAGCACGGATAACCCGAATCAGTTCAGAGATAAGATGGTGTAAGTATACTTAACGAGGGCAGCCGATAACCACAAGAATGACAAGACAACAAAATAACGAAGAGAACCTGTTCAAGGAGAGATGAGATGGAGAATTCCCACGCCAGAGACACTACATGTACGTATATCGTACCTCGCGAGGACCTCCATCGGGAAGAGGGTTGGTTGGTTGGTTGAGGATTGCATTGTTGGCTGAGGACTGACCGTTGTAGTTGGGGGGGCTTTTTCGGCTGTCTGGTTGGTTGGTGGGCTTTATTTTCTTACATGATCTTGAGGCACGTATATTGGAGAGAGTAGAGGTCGATATCACCAGGGAGACTGCAGGGAGACTGTGCTGCTTGTTACTCGGATATAAGTAAGCTCTACCTCTTTCTTCTACTTCTAGCCTGCGTCTGTCTGCCTTTCTACCTATGCCTTTTGCTCTTTCTCATGCTGTTGTTGTTCTATTTTGCCCGTCCGTCTTCTGTGTTTGTCTACTTCACTCCTAGAGGCTAGAGGTAGAGAGGCTAAGGTAAGGTATTGCGTGGTAGACGCACTCACCGCACTGCACTCACTCACTACACCCCCCTTTGGTCCTTTGACTACTACACGCATCATGATCACCATCCTTTCCTCAAGACTACCGAGTAGTCAGTCATCAACAACTTTACCGGTTGATAAAAAGGATGAGTAGTGTACAGAAATAGGCAGGATGCCGATGGAGCATTCGGTTCTATAAGGTTACAAAGTACGATGAATTGGTTTATCACAACCCTATCGCAGAGAAACCTCGAACGGTTGTTGTTTAGCCAAGTTTGACATAGACATCGTCATCGTCATTGACAGTGAATTTCTGGATATATATATGTATCTTCTTCTTCTTCACTGGAGGTGTGGTGTCAATACCCCCTTCTGATACATTGTCTTTTCCCCTCTCTCTTTTTTCTGTTCACCTTCCGTTCTTTCTCCGTTGTGTTCTAACCATTCATTGTATTCCCGTCCGTGTCTCTTAGACTCTCACTCACCTTCCATGACCCTTTCACATCACACACACCTTAGAATAAAAGCTCACTACCTTACCTTACCTTACCTAGTTCACCCATATCATATTTCTAGGATGTAATAAGTATTCTAATTCCTCTAGAGGTACTATCTACTTACTAAGGTACTAAGAAGAAGCTAGCCCTAGAGGTACCTATCGAGTGCCACTCTCCATCCCCGGACCGGACTGCTTGATGATTATGATCAAGAAATTTCAAGCAATGCAGGTAAGGTACTGTATGTACCTCATGGCTTTCCATGTCTCTCTCCGCATCCAAGACTCACTCCATTGAGGCAGGCCTCGGAGATATTCGAAGCAGGATCAAGGCTGCTACCTCTAGATAGACATGGAGGTTCGCAGAGTTCATATGTGGATACCTACCTACCTACCTACCTTACCTTATGGATCGAGGTTTTTTTTTTTTTTTTTTTTTTTTTTTTTTTTTTTTTTTTTAAAAAAAAATTGATACCTGGATGCTCAGGTGCTGGATCGATCCAGTCGGGCCTTGCTTCTTCGGTATACTTTACTATAGCTAAGTCTGTGGTTTGGTTCACGTCCACACCCTGCCCTGCTCACGTGATTCTATTCCCCAGGGCCAGGGGCAGCCTGGACTTTGACTGAATGGGTTGGGCGCAAGCTGTTGCTTACATACCTCCAGTCCTCCACCCACCCACGCATACTTAAGCACCAACGGGGTACATATCCCGTGTGGTCAAGAAAATTCTTACCCATGTCCTCAATTCGGATGCCTGCACTAGTCTCATTTACTCAGCCACCTACGCATGGCCCTTGCGTTTCTCTTTGTACTTGCGGGTCCAAATGGTTGTGACATCCCACCACACTCACTCACCCACCAATCATAATGTCACACCATTTGGACCCACAGGGTACAAAGAGACTGCGCCACGTGTAGCGGCGGAGTGGATGGGGGCTGACATCGGAGCACGACTGTCATGAGAGACTAGCCTGCACCCCGATGTCCCAAATCATCTATCTTCTCTTTCTTACAGTTTACCCCGTCCGGTCTCTCCAGCTTCCATGGAGGCTGCCCTAGCCCCAGTCCCCAGTCCCCAGTCCCCAGTCCCCAGTCCCCTGACCTCCATCGGACCCGACCCGGGACCGGTTCCGTCTTCGATGTCAGAGTTGAGAGCAGGGCAGGGAGGGGAAGGGAGCCTGGGAGTTTTGAACGTTAGCGTTAGCATGCGATGCGGTCCAGTCTCACGGTGTGGGTCACGCCGTATATACGTTATATATATAAAGACCAGACCAGACCAAGAACCCTACCTATTTATGGCCGGCCACCTTATAGTACCTATAAGTAATAGAGAAGGTCTAACCGTACGGTCATCATTGTCTATCCATACAGTGGCCCACTTTTTTTCCTCATATATATCCCTAACCCTCGCCTCTCCCAGATATTAAATGTATTCTTTTATAAATTCCACCTAGAAATCTAGGCATTTCAATATTTTAAGCATTTGCCCAAACTATTATACTCCACCCAAATATATACCTCCAAATAGGTTATTTTACAAGGTATTTTACAACGTATTACAAGGCATTTATCAGCCCGATCGTATATTGTATTCAAATTAATTAATCGTATTCAATTTATATTAATCTATATATTATTAATCTATTTAATTTTTATTGTAAATCTGGTTACTAGAGCCTCCTAGAGTTTCTTAGAGCCTCCTAGCGTATTTATTAGGCTTGCGTGCCAGCGATACGTACGTTGCGCTGGCTACCCTATATACTAATTAGAGTGCTAGCTAGCGTACCTTCTCTTCTTATAATACTAGTAATATCTCTTCTTCTACCCTATATTATATTACCTTCTCTCTCCCCTTTACTTCCTCCCCTTATGGTATTATCTCTTCTTTACATACTTCGTGGGCGGCTTCGTCCTTTCTATAACGGAGTAGGAAGTTAGCAGTTTACTATATCCTCTATTTTTGAATTAATACCTTCTTATATAGATACGTTTTGTTAAATTAACAGCGTTATTCGTATTAAGGCCGTAGGGTTACAGCTTACCTTGGACTATCGGCTATAAGTAAGTTAGAAGCGAAGCTATCTCCGTTATAATATTACTACTTAGAATTAAATTAGCATTATAGATGGTAGAAGAATTTAAGTATTAATTAATATAATTAATTGGGGGGTACGAAGGTTAATAGTAAATAGCGCGGTATTACGAAGGCGGCTACAAAAGTTCTTAATATGGTTGAAATCCTAGTCAATTAGGTAATTATCCTCGTTAGTAAAATTTTTGGAAAATTATTGGAATAGGTAAAAATCTAATTTAGATAGCTTTAATAACGCTTGCCGGGGAATTATTCTAGCAAGTAAAGAATACGAATATAGCAAACTATATTATTTAGTAAATTTACTCATAGGTAGTTCTAATTTATTAGGGGTAGGGCGGCGTATTGTAAATATAGTACCGAGAGCGATGCGATATTAATATATTATTATATTAATAGTTCGCTAATAAATTTAATTAGGAACTTCCCTTAATTATAGTATATCAAGATGTTTGAGTTTGGTACGTTTCGTTTGATATTCGATTACTTTGTCGATTGCGATTTTTATGGTATTAAGTATTTTAAAGCTCTATATAATAGTTTAAATAATTAGGCTAGCGCTTATATAAATAATAATAATTAATGTATTATAAAATTATATAGGGGAGATATAGGGAGGTATATTTATAATAATAAAGCTCTTTAAATTATAATTAATTAGTTTAATTAATGATATAGTACGGTAATTGAAGTTCAATGTTTTATTAATATAATAAATAGCTTATTCCTCTTTGACGGATATGTATGTATTGTTTAAGTATGTAATAATTACCGTTTATTACGTAAAGAAGCTCTTGAATTTCTCCTAAATGGTATTAAAATTTTTAATAATTTTTATATAGTAAGTATGTTTTTAGAAATCGTAAAGTCTAAATTGTAAATATTTTATAATATTAGGAGGAGGACCTAATTAATTAGTATTGTTAATTAATTAATTTAGGCGAATAATTACGCGCTTATCCTCTTTGTTAAATTCCTTTAGATTTGTAGTATTATTAGAAGGCCATAGTTAGGCCTCTTACCCAGATATTGGAATCGATACTGATATCTTTTATTATATTTGTATACTAATTGCGTTGGTATAAGTTTAAATAATTTGGGCGGTAACTTTTTTATTTAATTTACGTTTAATATTTAATACTATATTTTTATGAATATAAAAAATATATAATTAGGAGCGCGCTACTAGATAAATTCGTTTAATAGCCGCCCTTATAGTATTATTGTAGTTTATAATAGTAATTAATAGGGTAACGGCGGCGATAGTCTTATAACCAATGTTGATTTAACTTATTAATTAATTAAATCCCTCCTATTTCTCGTTATTTACGAGCCTAAATACGTAATTAAAAGTATAGCCTAATTTAATTATATTTATAATTTAAAAGAAGGCGAATCCTTTATTATTAGTTTCATACGTATTATTATAGAGTTGTACCTATAAATATTACTTTTAAAACTTCTCTCCCTATAAATTATTTTAAAAGAGAGCAATTGGTTTAATTTTAGCGTCGTTTACTGTCATGGGGCTAGAGCCCAGGGGTTAAACTTGGCTATTACCAAGCTATATCCTACCTTATTGATAGGGTCCCTACTTTATCGATAGGGATGCGAGCCTTCTAATTGGCTAGACCCACATACTTACCTAGCTCGTACGGTCTTAGCATTGGTTGTACAAAACCTTCTTTCGACTATACCCTTCTAGTATAGTCTTTCCTCTCTTTCTTTCCTTGTCAAATATAGCATTTCAACCTTACACGACTGCTCGCTGTGCCTTACTCTTGCAGACTCGTTACATTTACCTATTTAACCTTAAAATAGATTCCTTTTTTATTAAAGAATTTTATAATTTTTTAGAAGGGGTTATAGCTAGCGTTAATGTACTTTTTCAAAGTATATTAAAAGTTTACAAACTATTTAGTTTTGAATTAAATATTTAGGTACTTCTTATATAATTCGAATATAATTTGACGGTTGCGTATATTAAGATAGTTGAAATATTGAACGATAAATATTTTGTATTTAGTATTAAATACTCTATAAATTAATACGTTTTAATTAGGGGTATAAGTATATTTATTATAACCTTCTTTTAATTTAAAGATCCATTTCTTAAGGTTAATCTTTAATATTTTAAAATACCTTCCCTAAGAGTAATCCTTTTTAATAATTAAAATAGATTAAGAATAAGCTTTAGATTTGCAATACGGGCCGTTAGCGTAAATAATATTATATTAAAAAGGACCGAAGTCCTTAATTTTATTAGTAAATCGTATTTTAATAACCTTATATTCCTCCTTTTTAACTTACTTAATAATATCGTTGAATACTTTATTACTAGTATCCTACTAGGTTGTAAAGATGGGATAGCGCCCCCCCTCGTCCTCGTTATCGGTTTCGATTACTGAAACGTTATCGTTATCATCGGGGTTATTATTATTATTATAGAGATTTATAGTCTCTAGTTTTAGTTGCGCTAAGGTAGGCTTAATAAAATTAGGATTAATAAAATTAGGATCAGTTATCAAACTAGGGTTATCTACGCTACGGTCGTACGCGGGTTGGGTTGCTATATTAGTTATTTATATTACAGTTAATTGGAGAAATATATTAAAAGTTAATATATTATTTCGTACTATTAATTAGATATAACCGCTTTGTTTATTTAGTAATGTAATGTATTAGTATTGAAGTAAATTAATTAAATGCGACGAGGTAATATATAAGGTAGTAGTTTGGTAGAGGAAGTAATGCAGTAAAGTATATACTAGAATAATCGCTAAATTAGATTGGGTGGCTAGTATTAGCTAGTACTAGCTAGTATAATACTAAAAGTAGCCTGTGCAGGGGTCAAAATGTATAATAGATTAAAATCTGAGAATTTAGCAGACGCGGTACGAGCGGGACTGGTGCGGGTCGATAGCGGGCGTGCAGGGTTAGGGATATGTATGAGGGAAAAAAGTGGGCTACCGTACGGCTAGATAATGATGACCGTACGGTTAGACCTTCTCAAGTAATAACCTACGTACGTAAGCGGCTGGCTCCCTTAATTGTTTCCCTTGTTTTCCCCCATCCATGATTGTTTGTCTGTCTGCCCTTTCCCATCCATTTTCTTTACTTTGGCAAGGTAGGTACAAACACGTACGTGCCAAACATTCTTTCTTTCGTCCTTGGACGTCTTCCTTGTCTTTTCCCATGTCTGTCTGCCCCTAGTCTCCTCTGTCTTCCATCATGTCTTCCATGTCTTCCCTGTCTTCCATCATGTCTTCCCTGTCTTCCCTGTCTTCTTCTGCCGCCTTCTGCCCCCCCCCCCCCTCTCTCCTTTGTCCTCCACGTCTTCCGATACCTTCCGATGATGGAGGGCGTCAAGGGGCAGGCAGGCAGGAAAACGTACCCGACGGAGTTTGCTCACTTACCCGACATACCGACCCTTGCAAGCCCACGGAACCGCCGACCGACACGGGACGATGCTGAAGTAACAAATGTACCAACCTTACTGTATATATTGGCGTCGCCCGATGACCAAATGCTGAAGTAACAAATGTCCATCCTGTCTTTGACAAACCCTAGGTAAGTAGTCAACAGCCGCCATTCAGGAAACGTTTAATTTAATACCATGAGCAGCACGGAGCCGGCGCCAGCCAGGTTACGACTAGGTAGGGAGCAGTGCCCGACCTTGACACGTGTGCCGCCGGACGGACATTTGCCGGATCCGAGCGGCGATGGTGTCACCTCGAGGATTGCTTGCTTGCCTGGGTCGGTCTCATGATGATGTTGGGGCTGTCATGGGGGTTGCTTTGATTGATTGATTGTGAGCGGAAGCGGTTGCTGGCGAGTGTTTTAGTGGGAAGGAACATGTTGAGGAAGATGCCGTTGTTGCCTGTATCGAAAAGTGTCAAAACTTTGGATGTGGTGAATGAGGAAGGAGCGATGCATACCTCTATGGTTTCATTCCTGCAAGTGCCCGCGAGAACTCCCCTCACAACTAGTTTAGTCTTGCTTGACATCGTTAAAGACAATCACTGTAATCAAAAGTTGGGAACGATGAAGTGAGGTAGCGTAAAATGTTGTTGATTCTTGATGCTCAACTAATTCATTTGCAATCCAGCCATTGTATGAATGGCTCCCCCTTGTAAATAAATAAAAACGCCTATCCTCCTGATCCGCCTGCCAACCAACCGCCACCAGTTTTAACCCCCCATTCTTTCGTATCATAAGAGTACAGTTACACTTTCAAAAGATAAGACATAAGGACATGAACGAAAGTTATGTATGATGATGAAGCCGCCTGCCTAAACCGCGCGCGCGCCTGTGAACCCCGCCACCATGAATGACCGCCGATCCGATCCGAATCCGATCCATCCCGCCGAAAATGCTTTGCTTTGCTCCCCTTTAACACCCCTTTCCCCCTATTAACCATTTGTGCTATAATAGAGTGTAAAAAAAGTTTGTAAAACAGAGAAAAAAAAGCAAAAAGCCGTTGACGTATGTTGAGTGTATAAGTCATGTTCATCGTCATCCCGTTTGCGGCATCTCCCATGAGTGTGCTTTCATTTCCGAAATCCTTTGCGTGAGCAAAGTTCCCCCACACACCAAGTCTATTGTATGTAGTAAAGACGCTAGGAAAAAAGAAAAACGCAAAAAAGCCAAACGATAGAGGGGTATATTGGTGAAAACACAGACCGAAAACAGACACTAGGAAATTGAGTTTCAAAGCGAGAGGTGCCTTTAGGCCTTGGACGCAAGAGACCAGGTGGTTGCCGTGGCAGCACCCTCTGCCCTCGGACCATGGGCGAACATGCGGTGGAATAGATTGCGACGCTCTCCGCCAGCACTACGGTAGGTCAGCTTGACAAGAGTAGCTTCGTCCAATCCAAAGTCCTCCAGGCAGATCTGCTCGCCATCGGCTTCCAGCTTCTCGCCGCCGCTGTAGGCAGCTTCCCAGCCATAAGGATCCACGGTGGGAGGCTTGAGATACTGATCCTGAGAGTGATCAATAGCGAGGAACTTGGAGCGGAGGTTCGAGGCCGAGACAGTGCGAAGCGGGCTGCTGGTAGCGGGCCTGTTGGTGGCCGCTGACTTGTCACCGATGACTCTGGGGTTGCTCGAAGCTGCCCTTCTAACTCTGGGGCGAGTAAATCGCCTTACGACGCCTTCAGGCGTCGTCTTGATATATGGCGTATAGCCTTTTGCGGCCATGCCATCCTTGTGAAGCCTCCCCTCGTGGCCAGCATCTTGATCATTACCGGCCATTGGCGACGGAATATGCTGACCGGGGTTGGACTCTTCCCATTGGCCCAGAAGAGGGGATTCCAACTTGACATCTGCTACATCCACCATGGAATCGTCCGAGTCGGTAGACTCGCCCGAGTTGGTAGGATAGAGGCAGGGGGAAGAGGGGGCTCCATCAAGAGCTGGCATGACCTGTAACCCCTATAAGGGGTTGCTGGTGCTCTGTCTGGCATCAGGCAGACCGATTTCGTACCCATATCCAGCAGAAGGGACGCTAGTGGTCTGGGAGCGCTTGCTGCGGCTCTTCTTTCCCAAACCAAGCTTTTCGCCCATCTTCTTCCAGCCGCTGGTGTGCATGGCCCTGGAGATACCGCTGGGGGAGGTGCCAAAGGTCCAGTCTGAGCTAGGCGGTGTGGTGGGTGGCGTCATGGGCTCGTTGCCAGAAGGATATCCTGAGCTGCTGTCATCAGTGAAGCCGTCGATAGGTGAGTCGGCCACAGTTGATGAGGAAGCCGATCGGCTGGAGGTCTCGCTCTGCCACCCGAAAGTGTGCAGAGGAAGAAGGCCGCTGGCCTTTGATGATCGGTTCGAGTGCGGGCCATCATGGCGAGGAGGAGGTGAGGCTCCACCATGTGTGCGTCGGGGATCGTGTACCAGGTTGTTCCAGTACGAGCGGGAATGGGAGTGAGAGTGAGAGTGGGAGTGAGAATGTGAGTGTGAGTGAGAATGAGTAGGCTGAGTAGGGGCAGGAGAAGGCTCAGGGCTAGGTGCTAGTGACTCGAGGAAAGGTCCGAGTACCGAACCATCCATGAGATCATAAGTGTAAGCCACTGCTTGGTCGAGCTCCGAGGGGCACGGCGGTTGCTCAGCGCAAGAGAGCTGCATAAGCCGGTCGCGGACGTGAGCCGGAAGGTTGACCTCGTGGCTGCTGTTGGGCCGGATATAAGCATTCATGAGCTTCTCCCATAGAAGTCGGAGCTGATGGAGGCCATCATGTGTGGGACGGCATCTCCCGAGCATGATCTCGTCATACGCCTTGCGATACTGGTCAGCGCCGAGGGTGAACTCGAGCGTCTCGAGACAGTGGTTGTGAGACAGGAAGGCGAGGAAGGCGCCAAAGGTATATGGTGGGGGCGCGGTGTTGGACAGAATGTCTCGCAATGAGGGTGGCGGTATCGCCATGGAGGTAGGTCTGGATTGGGCCATGGTGGAATCGGTGTCGGAGTTGTCGTAGTCGGAGGAGGCGCGGGAGGTCGTGAATCGCGCTACTGACTTGGGGCGCGATGGGCTGATGCTCAAGGATCGTAGCCGCGCTTGTGGCATCCTTCACGAGTGTTGGACTTGCAGAGCAACTTGTCGCTCTTGTGCAGCCAGAAAAGGACCAGATATCGGGAAGCGTCGTCACTCCATTCGGTCGTCAGGTCTGTTATATACAGGCCGTTTGCCTAGGTGCAAGGGGTGCAATGTTTTGGAGTGCGCGGTTGGCCGACACCCGTACAATGCACGTAACCTTTTGGCTCCGTTGCCGGCCTAGTAAGCCAATTGCAGATCGGGAAGCGGCAGGTCTCGAAGTCGTCGACTCGTTCTGGAGCAGGATCGTAAACCTGTCTGTCTCTTGTGTCTGTATGTTTAAGCCAACAACACGAGATGCTAGGCAACACAACAGACGCCCAATTCTTTCTTAGTAAAAACCCTGTCCCTGTCGGTTGACGGTAGTGGTGATAATTGTCGTCGGTGATGATTGTCGTCGATGAATTTCGTCGTCCAAATGATCCTCCCACAAAGTTGATTTTTAACTGATTTCCAAATGACGTCTAGAATCGAAAGTATTGAAAGATGGTGTCGCAATCGGGAAGAATCGAATCGAACGACTAATAAATGAGTGCGACTGAAAAGAAGGTGTTGTTCTTGGTGTTGGTGGTGGTTGGTTGCAGTTGCAAGGTGCAGGTGCAGGTGCAGATTGCAGAAGACTGGAAGGTGCGACAGATGGAATGAAAAGGTGCGCTGTTCGGTGAGTGGTCGGTCGGTGGAGTCGATCCAGTGAGGTGACTGAGACGGTGTTGACGATGATGCGGCTTTGCGAGACAAGTTGAAGTGAAGCCAAGGTTTCGGTTCGCCGCCAAGGTCGTTGCGCGCGAAAGGATTGAAGACTGTTTTTAAAAAGGGAGGGTGGGATGTGGTCTGTACAAAAAGGGAAACCAAAGAAAGCCAGCCAGGAACCGTGGTTGACCAAGGACGAATGACGACCGAGTCTCGTGTTGGTGGGTGGTGGTCCCAGAAGAATGGAACCTAAGCCAAAAGTTCCCGCCATGGCAAAAACGGGGCGCTAGGCGCTTCCTCTCCAGTCTCACAGGGGTCCTCACAGGCATCCTCACAGGACAGGCAAACAAAGGGCCACCCGAGAAGCGGCGGCCCCAGGAGTGCCAGGTCGGGTCCCAGCGCTTTGGTGCGAGGCGGCGGCGGGATGACCGTTCGGCGTCGGGCGGTTCCCCTTCTGTTTACGGGCCTACAGGCTGCTGTCAGCTGGCAGCAACAAAAAAGTGCCGTGCTCTTTCTCCGTCTTTTTCTATAAATCCGAGATTGGATCAAGCAAGATTGGTAGATCCGGCTTGGACATCTCAGGAAGTTGCGTTGAATGAGATTGCATTGAATGGCCTGTGCCTCTTTGGCTCTCTTCTGCAGTGAGCGACACCCACGGACATGCACAAGAAAAGGGAGGACCCTCTTGGCCTCTGCTAGGTGGTCGGCAAGCCAAGAGCCGGGCCACTAGCAAGAGGCCAGCAAGTGGCAGCAACACAAGTGACCAGTGAGTGACCAGCACCCTGGACGTGCTTCTTGGAGATGTGGGTGCGGCACGACCCCTGTCGTCTCTGCAATTCGCTGCTTGGGGGAATATCTGCCCACCTCAGCCAAACCAGCTTCTCGCACCATCCTTCGGCTACCCTTTGACCACGCCCTTGCCAGTCTGCAACCCCCCTGCGAAAACCCTGCAAAGCCCTGCCACCTCCCGTCAAGGGATTCGACTGGTTGGTCGAAGGGTTACGGGTTGAAGAGGCGTCAATGGGCGTCATGGTGGGCGACTTTTGGAACAGTTACTTGGGGGACATGGAGACATCTTGAATGAATGATTGCTCTTTGCAGAGTCTGTGGGTCTGGGGTCCTCTGTGGAAAATGGTCACTGATAAGGACGGCTCCTCCTCTGCCTCCATCTCCACCGTCTACCCCGTCTTCGGCCGTCACGTAATTCCCCATTTTTTTAGTGTGGATTCGCTTGACTGATTGACCCTTTTGAGAGTTGCAAGTTGCTGACCACGAGGCAACCGTTTGTCGGACTTGTCACTCTGACTAACCGCTAGCCAGCGTCGTATTAAATCTAGTGGAGCGGAGACTGGATCATCAGCATTGGATTGGTTCCCCAGTTCACCGTGAGAAGTGAAAGGGCACATCCCATCAGCCATCATTCACCAGCCTGGCTGGCTGCACGCGGTCAAGTGTGAACGGAGACCAAGTAGAAACCTTCTAGAAGCCTTCTCTTTTCGGTATGACCTTTTCCATATTGACCAACCAGAGAGCCTTAACGACCACTCCACCGGCTCCACTGGCATACATATTGGTGGGGTCCTTCGCAACCGCTCCACTTGCGATAAAACGATGCTAATTGGATTGGCGTCACACTAGCACTACTCAGTGAACTCACCGCAGTGTTCCGACTGTCGCTCCCTTTGTCAAATTGACCATCACTCTGTCAATCTCCAAGACGCGCCAACCAGAGCTAAGCGACGCCGTCTGCTCAGACCAGGGGCATTGCGCTACCAAGACGCTACAAGACCACCTTCGTCACCACCATCACAAGCCGTGTTCCGGCTGCTGCTGCTGCTGCAAGGTGAATGCAGAGGCCGTGATACCCAGAGAACACCTACCAAATAATAGTAGGATGGAAGGCCCTTGGAAGCACTTTGGAAACATGGTTACGTCGCTACCAAATACCACTTGCCACGCTTGTTGCCTCGTCTCTGTCCGTCTCCCCATTCGCCAGCCACCACGTATTGTGGTACAATGCGATATGCACATGTACCTCAGGTGAGGAGTTATTGAAACCAGGTGTCACCACTCCGATCGTGTGCTGCCTCGTGTAGCACGAGGTTGGCGAGGATGATTCCCCGTCCGAAACTGTAAACACAAACTGTAAATTTCCATTTCTTTTGTTGACATTCAAAGTCGAGGCTTTTGGTCGCCGTTCATTACTACAGTATAGCTGTGAAATCTGTATCTTCGATGCCCGGTCTTTCGTCTCCTCGCTACATGTCGAGCATCTCCACTTGCTGATGTTGATGGGTTTTGTGGTGCCTCAGCCTCGACTCCGCTGGTCTTGGCACCTCCATAACCGAAACACCCCATCCATCCTTCGGCTCGAGGCCGGTAGAACGGTCATGATAGTGCATTTCTCGGTTATGCTCCGTGGTGTTTACCTAATACCCGACGAATGTCTTTCTAAAAAAGATGACTTTGTCCTCGTGTTTCGTTACAGACACAAAGTCAAAAAGTCAAATCTCGATATCGTGAGACGCATTGACGAATGGTCCAAGCGAATGGCGGGCCCGCGTTCGACGATCGAGTTCACGAGTCAGCTGAGAGGAGGACCCTGATGAACTCGCCTGCCCGAACTGGCGGAAACGAGTTTTGGTCTTCTACAGAATCGATACCGAACTGGCCGAGATCTCAGGGTTTTGCCCGGTTCGTGTGTCGCGGGAACGATGATCGCTCCAGGGCTTCGACGAAGAAAGGGACCACATCAGCCAACATTCGAAACCTCATGATTCCTCGGGATCTTCAATCTTTTTCGGCGCTAGGCCAGGCGGACGCCAAAACTCTATTCTCCACAGCCCACATCCCTCCCTGGGAGAGTTGACATCAGACGAGAGTTGCACGGTTTGCTGCTCTCTGCTCTTATCCTCTAACGAACCAAAGCCATGGGACTGAACCATGTGGATGGTGCTATTCGGCACCAACCATGTTTTTTGGGGCTTTCCGCGCGCGGCGGCAATGTAGAAAAAGCGGAAACTGGCTCTCTGTCAAATCATCGGATATCGGCTATTCAGCCCAGCCTTGCCCAGCCTTGACAAGCCTCAACAAAGCGTCCGGTTCTCACCGAGAGTTTGGAGCCTGCTTGAACTGAACAGACAGTCTCTCCTTTTTTACACCTCCACTAAAATAGCCGCTACACAAAGGTAGGAAGCTAGAACAAAGTTTCCTTTCTTGTGCTAACCGCGCGCTCCCGTCGGCGTCGGCAGTCGGGCCGGTTAACTCCCTTTCTTTCCCTAAACACCGGAGCAGTCCTCGGAGTTGCTTATCGCGCTTATCCTCCTCACGGCTCACACCTCGGAGAGCCTTGCATGAAACAGGCAATCAACTCGTACCGTTAGCCTTTTTCCACATTCCCATGAGCCGTCAGCCGAGAGATAGTGTTGGAATCGAAATCCACACCAAGAATGGAGAAAAGAACGAAAACGAGACAAAAGTCCTTCACTCCATTCTTGCTATCTCTACACTAGCAAGTTAACATTTCTTGGTAAAGGGGTAGCATAGCCGGATGTAACCGACCACGGATCGCCAACATGGTTGAAAGAAAAGAAGAAGAAAAAAAAAAAGAGTCAAAGAAAATTTTTTTTCTTCCGGCAACCACAGTCCGTCACCCCTACACTACATGGCGGCGGGCTTCGCGACTTCGCCTACAGCGGGCGAAGGCATGGCGCTATAGCAGCGCTATAGAAGTTGCCCTTCTAGAAGAACCGCCAACTGTCCATGCCAAGCGCTCACAAGACTGGTTCCTGAACGGAGCTGAAAGTTCGCTACGTCCGAGAAGTAGACCAGAAAAAGAATCAAGCCACAACCTGTCAAGGAAACCGTCAAACAAAAAGTTTTTCCTCTTGTTCGGCGCTTAGTACAGCCGAAGAAAACTTTTTCATAGCCGTGATGGCACGATACCAGAAATTAGGAGGTGGCGAATTTTACGTCGTACGTTAACACGTCAAAGAAAAATAGTCCCGACTCCCGAAGCCCCGTTGTAAGCGCCGCCATTGACCATCTATCTCCATGGACCAAAACAATCTACGACATACAGCGTACTACGGGCGGATTGACAAGACAGGTTTGTGTCAAGACTCTCAAGATCAGGCACACACATTAATCAAGCTGAGTGGAAGAGAAAAAAACGAATGGTTGGGAGACTTCAGACCAGACAGGCGTCAATCTGGATGTTGTGCAATACCAATGGGACAGGATCAGGACAGGATCATGATCATCGTGACTCGCAGTGACTCGATAAGGTGGTGTGGTGAGAGAGATGAGATCTGTTTCTGCAGTTCCAGGTGCCAGGTCTCGCCTTGATGGTCGCCTCGCGAAATTCAAATCGTACACTACAACAACAGCAACACCCTAAATCAACCAATTACCATCAATGCTACCTACGCCAGCAACGGCAACCGACAGTCTTCTAGAATTTCCACCGGCTCTCAACCATCTTACGTTTTTCTCCCACTCTACATACTTCCCGCCCCTCTGCCGTCGTGTCATCATTCAGGAGACAGGAGTACATAAAAGAGGGGCCGGGCCAAAGAGAGAAGCAGAGAGGGTTACACAGCGGGAGATCCGCAACAAGTAATTCTTCCCCAAGCGTAGGTTAGGTTGTCATCCGTCACACACATACATATGTACACAGACGGCACACATTCATTGCACAACACTTCAAGCGAGCAACAACCACCAGTCACTTGCGTGGGACAACAATGCACACACAGCACACACACCTGGTATCACGCCCAATCTAGGTTGTGGTTGCTTGTCTCCTTGTTCCGTCTGCAGTGTATGTTAAGTCGTGTTACTGTATCACTGTGATACACTGCTGAGGATAGGCGGTTTGGGAGGGGGGAAGAGAGTGGTGTGTGTGTCACCGCAGCAGTGCACGCATATACCTACACTATAGCACTACAGTAAGGTGAGGTGATGATTCCTGAGGAGGAAGGAGGCGACCGGTACTTGGAAGGTAAGGTATGTACGTAAGTATCGTACGAGATGGAAGCTATATGGAAGTGTATAACGGGTGATTTGCTTGCCCGTGATATTAATTTCAATACTGAAAAAGTCAAACATGCCTGGGCAGTCTAGACTCACTGGCTGACTGCAGCCAACTGCAAACGTACCCGACGGGAAAGTCAATCTGCCACGAGGCATTTTTTTTTAGATAGTAGACCCAGATGAATGAGATCTGGGAATCTGGAACCACTAGGGAGCGGACGGTTGGCGCCAGCGCGGCGCAAGGCCACGCTACCAACAGGCTACATACCTACACTACACTACAATGCCACGTCGTCCGAACTCCGAACCATGTTACGATATTTGTTGGATGATGCCCGCTTATGTTATCAAGATGGAAGGAAATAGGGAAATAATTCCCGGAAGTCGTCAGTCAGACAGAAGAAAGAGAGGTCCAGTGGCTGGCTGTGCCGCCTGCCTCAATGGCTCATCAACCATCATTGTATCCATCTAGATTCTACACCCCCGAGATCGGGCGACGACGCCTTTTTTTTTTTTTTTCATGTTTGACTGCGGCAAGGCGCTTGTTAGGTAGTACTCTACATTGTTCCACCTGCCTCAAGGAGCAAGTTGAGCGACGGTAAACAATTTGTCGGTCGCCCGACCGATGTCGCTCCGGCGGCGGTTCGGGGATGAAAGAGGAGAAAATCTTTCCTGGATACAACGTGAAGTGGCTTACTTCAGCTGTAGCGAATTGTTGTGTTGAGGTTGATATTGGTGTTTTGAGGCTCAGAAGACGGCAGCTGAAGGTAAAAAAAGATGACTGCGTCTGGGATGGCATCTTTGCCAATGGTCATCAGCATTCGTATCGAAGCCAGAGGGGATCAGCATGTGTCCTTTTCCCTCCATTTTTTCTGTTGAGTTCGCGAATTCTCGGTCAATAACATCATCATCGTCAGTCTTCCCCATCCTTGAACTTGAGATGATGGAATCATGGAGTTCCTGACAACCCACAAATCAAACATCGGATGATATATGATCGCACACGGACTTGGCATCAATGCATGGAAGCCTTGTCGTTTTCTTTTTCGCCTTCCATCCTATCTTTCCATCCATCGTTCCCGCATTGATGCGCAGCTAGAAAAGCCCACTGAGCCACTGTTCGTCAAGAATTCCCAATATTTCCAAGGATTCTAGCAGGTTTCTAGAATCCTTCCTCCTTGGGTTTAGACCTGGCGGAGGAGTTTGTCGATCCTGTGGCATGGCACCCCGCAGTTTTGAATGACCCCAGTTGTTTTTTTCCCTTCGTCACTCTCTGTTCACAAGTGAGGTGACGTTCGGACAGCCCCCCAGAAATCGGACATCGGACATCGGGTCCTTCACCCGTCCCGGACATCGAAGCTCAGCAGAGAGTTGAGCCTCCAACCGACCCTTCTTCTTGTCACGTCATTAACCATGATCAATCGCAATCAACGGATCAATTAATGATCTGCCGTGAGATCACATTGTCACCTTCCAAATCCATCAGGAATCTATCACAGGCATGCATAAACACCCATGTGATGACTGTGACTGACGGCAGAGACACGGAACTTGCCTACCAGTCAAATTGATATTGGAAGGATCATGGAATTCTCCGTCAAACAAAGAGAAAGAGAAAGAGAGATAGATAGATTATTGCTTGTCACTTTTTTTTCGGTCGGACGCGGCGCGGAACCAAGCAGCAAGCCACACTGCACGCCGAGAGTGAGAGACTGAGATTCCTCTCCCTTGACAGAATTCCGTCTCCGTCCCGTCGATGACTGTTGGTTCCCGTCCGTCTGTCACGGGCCGTCGTCTTGCCTTTCCGGGATGGCCGTCGTCGTCGTCGTCGTCGTTTGTCTCCGATTTGTTTCACTCAAGCTGTCAGTCAGTCAGTCAGTCAGTCAGTCAGCCAGGCCTCTTTCCGCTGTCATCGGATGCGGTCTCTCTTCCGTGTTATCGATTGGCGATCACATCTGTCAGACTTGTCACCACTCTAAAATCATCATCGGATGAGCAGGAGGCCTCAGCTTCAGCTTCACTTCTTTGAACCCGACCATTCCCGTCTTTGATTGCGAAGCAGCTGTTCCCCCCGTCTGTGCTGACTGTCAAAGCTCCAACAAACATCAGATGGCCTTCCAGCCCTTGTGCCCCTCCGAAACATTTCGCGACAGGACGGAAATTGCCGTGGATTTACCCGTTTGTTCTTCGCGGTTGATAACCTAAACCCCTGATCATCCATTATCAAAGCGCAGGCGGGATGAGAAGTCTGGAGCTTGGGCGCCCATGGGTCAAGATGCCGAGGTTGGTGAAGATGGGAAGTGCCGTTCGATTTTACCCCGCGTGTGATATTATGATTGTGAACGGACTCCCGTCGGACTTTTTGATTGCGCAGTCCGTGCCCCTGCGCTCGCTTGAATGTTGTAGGGAAGTTCCGTGTCTGAGAGTCGTTATTTCTGTCCGGTTTCATCCAGATCCACGATTTGGTGGCTTTTGGTGGCTTTTGGTTCTTTGACGGTTTTAGAGAGTGATCGTCGTCGGTTGATACAATAAGATGAATGTCGGTGCTGTGTTGCTGTGGCAGCGTGCGATGATGTTAATGTTGACAAAACTTCCGAGATGTTGAATGCTGCCCAGGGGCGTCGACGTCACCAGCTGTACTGTTATTGTTAAGGGCGGGGTGCATTAAGCACCTGCTGCTACGCTTGTAAATGGTCGCCCTTAGGCTCTGCCTAGGGCAACAATGCGCTGACGTGCAGGTCCCCAAAAGTTCCCCTCACGGAAGCCTCAATCCACTATCAACGTTGTGCTAACGTCATGTCACGAATCCTAGCGAACTGCCCGTACTCAAGGTCGGCGAGATGTGAAACCTCGAGTCGTCGTCGCTGAAAATGTCAACTGCTACAAGAGATAACACCAAAACGGCCGATCATGCCTTGGGTCGATGTGGCTGAACACAATCCTTGGCTGTCTTCTGAAGATGAAGGTGCCTCTACATATACGGCGCCAACGATCAAGGAAGAGCCTCGTGGTGTTGTCGTCTTGGAAATCCCCTCTTCTTCTCCATCGCCTATTCCTAAGGGTCAAGATGTTCAGGTTGTTCCCGAGTTGCCCGGTACACACCTACCAGCTCCCATCGCCGCGCCTAATGACCGGGCTGCTTCCTCACATTCATCTCCGTCAAACTCCCATACGAATACACCCAGACCTACAACTCCTGCTGGCCCTTCTGTTGTGAATGGTGGTGAAGGTCCATATAATGAAAAAGGTCGTTATGGAACTCCTTCCCATGCACATACAAGCCAGTCATTTGCTGTCCGCAACAGTTCCTCCCCTGTTGCTGCTGTTTCCGAACTCAAGAGACACTCATCAAGCGAGAGTCTCTCGCCTGCTCCAACAGAGGACGGTGGTATTGACGACGACGACGACGACGACGACGACGATGACAAGGACGGTGTAAGTCTGTCATGGCAACTCACACTCTTGGACCACATCGCAGCTAACTTACCTGGTTACAGACCGAACTAAAGAGTCATGTCCGCGATCCACCTTGCTTTCTATGTGTCGTCAAGACTATGCGTGGGAAGGACAGTGTATGTTATGGCCCTGCTATTATCAATCATGAACGGCGGACATGCGTGAATTGTAAAAAGTGTAGGAGGCGTTGCGATCCTTCCCCTGAGCTGGTCCTCCAAAGCTTTCAGGCTTGGAAGGCTGAGCGTAGCGGAACGGTTGCGTCTGAGCGAGCGATGAAAACGCTCAAAGCTACATGCGCTGCGTATCGCAATCTTCAACAGCTTGTTAAAGTTGGGATGGTGCCCAAGTAAGTTCGCCGGCCACCAAAGTGGCGCATCCATCCTAGGTTTCCCTCATCCTGATCAGTTTTGGTACAATCGATTGACATAGCCCATCAATGAAAGCTCTACAGTGGAAACCCTACTATCCGGAGGCGATCCCTTCCTGCCTGAAGTACCGTCGCGAGCTGAGTTTACTGCTCTGATGAGACGGGTGAAATCCCTGGAGGCAAGCCTGCAACGTCAAAACGTTCTTCGAGGACATTCAGGAGCAAGAACAAAAAAAGCCGGACGCCGCAAGCCTGACGAAGTCAAGAAGGACGAAAAGGACCCAGAATTGCCCGACCACGAAGATGAGGAGAGCTATGATGAAGAGACTGAAGACGAATGGTTACCGTAGCCGGTCACTCTAATGAATCTGCAGCTGCTTCATCTCAGCACACTTCATCACAGTAGTATTTTCTCTTCATCACGTCCCGCTCACGGCTATCTCCGCGAAATCGGTAGCTGGGTAGACTCAAATCAGTCCCTGGATAGACTAAACCCACTTTTTTGGGCGCGCAGCCATCTGTGCCCGTCAACCGCGTAAAACTTAGAGGGCGCATTACCAAATCCTCGTTATTATTAAAGCTGTTAATACTAGTGTCGCTACTATTCTGCTGTCTCCTATGTTGATCCGGTTGTTATACGTGAAGGCCTCCTTGTGAGTGTTGCGTAGCTACTTACCGTATAAGTGCCGGGGAGGGTGTTGGAGTAGGACTTGGAGATTCGTCCTCCATATCCCCCCTCCCCCCAATTCAGTTTGCGCTCACCAAGAGTATCTAGCATCAGGGGTATTACCATAGCGATAGAAAAAACGGCAACGACAACGATAGCGACAACGACAGCGACGGAGATAGCAATATCTTCAATCCAATGGCAGTACAAATGAGGTCGCGTGCAAATGTACCCGGACTTGGCTGGCGATATGGTGAGCGAGGTTCGCGGGCGCGGTTGGGAGCCAGAGATTGGCTGCGCGCCCAAAAAAGTGGGTTTAGTCTATCCAGGGACTGATTTGAGTCTACCCAGCTACCGATTGCGCTATCTCCGCCAAAAAGTCGTGTAAACAACGGACAAACATTCCCTCTTCGTCTTAGCAAAAAAACCACTTTGGCTGGGGGATTGACAACCGAGGCATATCCACCAGACTATATTTTAGCTTCAACTCGCCCAAAATTCCTTCAACTCCACCGGAGCCAAGTTAGACCATGACCAGCATGAAAAGTCTCCTTTGGGTTAGGTTGCCGAAGATGCTCCATTATCAGTTCGACGTTTCCGAAAGGCAAGGCTGTCAAATGGAACCCTTCTGGTGCCCCAGATGTTGAGGACCCTACGGTGAAGTTACATACGGAGACGTAACTGCCGTCCAGCCAATTTTGATAACGGACGAGAAACACCCCCCACAAAACCCCCAACTTCAACGACAACCCTTGGAGAGCACGATGTCAGGGCACAGAGGACGGCGAGGAGCCAGAGAGAAGAGGGAAGCATTCAGTGTCACTGTCACTGTCAGGGTCTCCAGGGAAGAAGAAGAAGAAGAAACGGACGATTTCCTTCGTGTAACGTTAACATAACCAGGCCCATCGAAGCTACAGTACCCAACTACCCTAGCTGGGTCAGAAGGGGGGGGGCGCTCCCAAGAGCAGCAGCACACATTTTGTGATTTGAAGGCATTCCCACTCCCAAACCACCCACACTCTCTCTCTCTTGGCATCACTGGCGTCGCCACGGCGCACTTGGCAAAATCAGGATTTCCTCGGCTCAAAGGCGCCGAACAAACCATCTGATTTGCTCCACAACTCTCTGTGTCTCTGTCTTGGCCTGCCTTTCTTTCCCTTTCCCTTCCACCATGCCCTCCCCTTCCACCCTCATTCTTTTTTAAAAGCGTACCAAGACTCTCAGACTAAGCTCTCTTCACTCTAGGGTGACGTGCTAGCTGCTTGGTCCCTTGATGGACGTCCCCCTTCCCGAGATGAGTGAAGGTTGCGATTAGTTCATCATCACGATATGTGGAGCACCCTTGAGACGAGACGATGTGGAGCGAGACGAGCCGGCCGAGGGAAACGTCTAACGAGCACCCAACTGACTGACTGACTGGACTGACGAGATATCGGTAAAACGTGGAGACCCCAAAATCGAAAGGGTTCAACCGATATTGAATGTGTGTGTTAGTGCAGTGCATACAGTGAAAACCCCTGCACGAGCAACCCCCCCTGTAACAGCAACAGCATCGCTCAAAACTACCCTTTTTATAAGGGTAAGCGCAAGTATGCAAATTGCAACAGCAAATAAGGGGATTTGCTCTTAAGTTTGTATGGTGAATCGGAAAAGCGGGGTTTTCCAGAGGGCAAAAATTACTTGGCATGCCAGTTTTGGTGCATCTTTTTGGGCGGGTTGGAAGCAAAGTGGTCTGTGCACGACCCCCCTTTCAGCAACACCCCCTGTTACAGCAACACTTTGGGTCAGATTTTTGGTGTTGCTCGTACTAGGGTTTTCACTGTATCAGTGAATCAGTGGGATCAGTGACGACGGCATAAATCCGAAAATGTATCTCCGTAGCGGAGCGATACGGGATCCACCTTCACCCAAGTGCCCCAAAGAGGGTCACGGCAAGAGGGGACTCTAGAGACCTTAAGCGAGGGACTTCTAGAAGACCCTGGGACTGACTGGAGTGAACAAGCTCGGCTTGCCTCGGTTATTGCCTGCTTTGGTTTGGTTTGGTTCAGTTTAGTCTGTTTGTTTTGCTTTGCTTTGCTTTCGGTTCAAGGGTTGTGAGTCCAACCGAGCACTCAGTTCGAGTGTCATTCAAGTAAGGTAGGTAGATTTCGAAGGTGGACACACGGATAATATGGCGTAATCGATAAATAGGTTACTACCTGATGAAGAAGAATAAGGTAAAGAAAGAGGAAGAAGTGCTGCCCGTTGAGTATCTATCCTCCGAGTTTGCACGAATGGGAACATGAAAGGGAGAAGAAGGATACCTAATGGGTCATACATTGCATTCAACCGTAATGGTTTCTCCTTATCGGTACAGGTAGCAACCCGCATGTTGTCGTGGCAGGGCATTTGATGCGCAAGGAGGCGAGGCAATGATAGAGAAATGTTCGGAACTTTCCAGTCCACTTCCCCACGGGGGACTCCCGTCTTATTTTGACAACATTGAACACAACCCCTTGACTCCCTGCTTCCAGCAGTCCTCGACAAGCAGTCCGGACAAGATGTCGGCGGTCACGGAATGGGGGTCTAGTTGTCGTATTCCCGTTTGTCATTCCCGTTCATTGTGACCGACAGCAATCTCAGGCTCCAGAATAACCTAACGGTCTTTTTGATGAGTGCGACATGCCCACTGGGGACACTGGCAAATTGTCACTTGACAGTCCACCTCCACAGTCCTCATCATTCCTTGCTTCCTTCCCGTCCCCCATACATACATACCCCCACGGCCCACGTTCGTTCCAACCCGAAATGTGTGCTGCTCGCTTGGTGTTTTTGGCCACGCCGAGTCTTGCCGATGCTATTCGGCCGACGACGGCGGTGGGAAGAACGGAATCATTAGTGGCCACGGATGAATCCGGATACGGACTGTAGACGGAAGCATGAAGAAAGCATGGAAACTCGGCGATACCGTCAATCGTCCGGTTCTACTACGCAGTAGTGTATACCTACCTTGCCACCGTACTACGCATGCCATGCACGGAAGAAAGAAAAGAGAGCAAGCAAACACAAAATCTTCTAGAACTTCCCAGGCATGTCAAGCGCCGGGGAGAGCCGTGGTGGCGCCAACAGTCCAAGTCCAACAGAGGTTCATGTCCGATGCATCATGCACATGCCCCTTTCTTTTGTTTTGTTCCTGGCTCGCTTGTTCCCGTCTTTACTGTCAACCTATGCAGTGTTTCCTTGTCTCCTTGCTTCTTCGGATTTGCAACGTAAGAGGTTAGCACGAAAGGCCTCAACGCCACCAACGAGCGGGATAGTCCGTCGTTGGCGGGTTGGCGGGTTGGCGGCGCATGCGGCGGCGGAAGAGCCTCATCATCTTTGCTCGGGACAGTGACACACTTCCCGTAACGACTTCCAAAAGTGTGTCCGTTTTACCTAACAGTGGACCATGTGTGATATTTGTGCCTGGAAGGACTGTGTAAGACACCAGATCGATCTCGCAACTGCTTGCCATAATTGGCGCGCGGAAGATGATCTTTGGAGATGGTACGTAGGGAGTGTTCAGGACATCCAATGGTTGTTGGACAAGTGATCACGGGCATTTCCCGTTTCCTGAAGGTGAGGTTGTGCTTTGACGGCGAGTTTCATGTATATCTACTTCTTAACACTCCTCTTCACGGAACTGAATTCGGAATTGGGTTGACTACCGGCATCATGATGTCTACCCGCTGTTGTGCTACGGGAGATCCTTCTGCTTTGAAACCTGCAACTTCTGCAAGTCATCGGAATTGGAACCAAGACACTGCAACAACTCCCATTGTCGAAAAGACTTCTGGCTGCAAGACTGGACATGGCCATGACCGATGTTGAATCCATCAAGGTCCTCACTTCCAAGTCCACCGCGAGTGGCAATGGTGGCAATGGCAAGATCACTTACCATCTTCCAGTCTTCCTCGCTGTCGACTTTTTTTTGACTTTCTTGCGAACATTCATGATGTTGACCTCAGCCAAGAATCCAACCGAGATCCCAAAAGATCCAGCGAGGATAACACCTTCCTTGAAGAGATAGAAGTAACATGCAGGACATACGGCACGCGGGTCGGGGGTCGGGGCCGGACGCTTCTCGAGATGACAAAAAGAGCGGGGAAGGCATGTTCAATTGTCCGTCCGTCCGTCCCGTCCCGTCCCATTATGACTGCCCTGTCCTGTCCTGTCCGTCCGTCCGTCATGTCCGTCATGGGCGATTTCATGCTTGGTTGAGATGTTCTCGACATGGAGATGCAGGGCAGTGTTGTACGGAAGGAGGATTTCATTTGAGATGGAGATTGTGCAGGTTCCAGTAGGGATACTACTATACGGAGGAAATGTCCATGTTCCCAGGGTTTCATCCGTGACTGGCGAGAATGGATCTTTTGCACTGCATTACGAGGTAGCAAGGAGCGACAGTTACATCTCAACAGGCATGTTGGAGATTAATCGCACGACAAATGGGACGAGAAACAAGAAAAAGGACTGTCGATCACCGTTGAATCTTGTCATGCATGATCGTATCTTCTATCCGCTACCTACCCACCTCGTTTACTGTTCCCAGTGCCGTTACCTTACCCAGGTGCAGCTTCAACGCCAACTGGTTTGCATTTTGTGATGTGTCAATCGTACATATCTTGCTGCCCTGCATCAGCTGGTGCTTCGCAAGTGAAGTGGAAGTTGAACACTACCAGATACCATTATTCCAACGTAGCAAGTGAGCAATTCGACATATTCAACGATATTGGCATTCTACCATGTTCTAATATCCTTTCAGCAAGACAACGAACTCACTTGAGCCTTGTAACCTCGGTTATCGGTCAATGAACAATGTCTCAACTCCTTGACATATAGTCTAGTTCATCCCAGACATATTTGCCCGTAAGGTTTGAGACGCTGTCTATATCGATGACAGATGCTGGATGTTGGCAAATGAGGTTTCAGCAGCATTCTGCCAATAGGTAAGGAAGGGAATGACGTAAGTAGGACATGGCATTCCCTTCGTCACAAGGTAATGTGATCGCAACCTGGTGATATGTCCATGATAGACAAGGTCGTAGAGAAACAGTGATCGATGTTGCGACACTTGGCTTCAATGAAGTTAAGTAACGACCAGGACGGGATGGGACCATGGATACGACGGAATCTGGATTGTGGTCGCAGCAAGACATGGATATCGGAAGTCAAGTGCCGCAAGCCATGTCCGATGAGGGTAGCATCTTCCCATCGCCGACCAACCCTGCCAAGAAGCAGAAACATACGATTTGCGACAAGTCGTACGTTCGTGTAGGCCGGGAGATGAGGATATGCTATACCAACTTCTCCAGTTAATATCGAGTCGTCGGCATCCAACGGGATTGTCGGACTCGGACACGGCAGCAGAAGAACATCTTAACTACAAGCTACAAATGCCGAGCGGGGCCGGACTGTCCGGACAGACTCGGAGTAGAAGTCCGGCGGACACTCGTAGCTATCGGCCTCAACACTTGAACACCATTGCGAGTAAGAATGAACCGCTTCGTCGCCATCATCAATGATCACGAGAACTCTAAAGTACAATGAAACCAAGCCTGGAATAAAAAGAAGAATAAAAGGTAAAAAAAGAGTGTGTACCGAACTTGAAGTACACTGAGACAAACCCCGTAGCCCAACGGGAACCGCGACCACTATTCTTCCCCCCAGTGCCCTCACGATCTCATTACCCCTCCAGCTTTGCTACTGCTCGGTAGCTCGATCTGATGAAGGTCGAAGAATATCGCATTTCCTAATGTTGTGAGATCTTGCAAGTCATGCCATCGCTGGTCTTTTGTTTTTGCCTTTTGGACGGCGCATATATGTATGCAACTTTTCGTCTCTGGCGAATTCTTAGTGTGGCTCTCTTTTTGAAGCGGAGCGTCGCTTTTCTTTATACTCTATTTTTCGCGGAGTCTCGCCTTTGTCTGAAAATTTCTGGCCTGTGTTCGTTTCGAACCGGCGAAGTCTTGGGTTTGTACCCTATCGATCACAGCGGTGGGTGAGACCACTGCGCCATTCTGCCATGCGGCAGCTGGTGCTAGGCACTGGGTTTGTCTCTTGGTGATGGCAGGAGGGGCTGGGAGACCTGCTTATATACTGCAGGTGAAGGGGTGACTTGAGCGGGAAGGTACGTCGGAAGGAGGAGTGAAGCTCGGTGACGGCCCGGAAGTGCTGCAGCCTGCGGGTAGATAAAGAGATAAGGTGGGTGGATGGTCGAAGGGAAGGCGCGACCGCGACCGGAGACGGGACGAAACACCACGGACGAGATCATACGGGAGCAGGAAAGGGATTTTGTCGCAAACTGATGAAAGCTTCAATGAAGGAGATACCAACCTCCTGCATGATAACTATAAATGTAATGATAAAGACTCAGGATTGCCATTTCCATACACTGTCTGTCGGTCTGATAGATGGTCTGGTTTACCTGCAAAGGAAACAGAGAACTTTACGGGGTGACACTCGGCGATATCTCCTTCTCCCTTGGATGACAACGGGAGCCACCACTTCGGTGTGATCTATTACCCGGTGTTCATTCGGAGACGACCATCTCGCCGCTCATCTCATGTAGTATAGTATGTTGCTCCCTAGGCGTGGTGTTGGCCAGTTCCAGTTCCCTTTCCCGCTTTTACTTGGTGTAGCTGCCGGTAATTCGAAAGGAGCAAAGACTTTCTCAGAGACACATGGCTCATAGCGCCGCAGTGCTGTAATATGTTCCAACTAGCAAGGACGAACAGATCCGAGAAGAGAAGTGTGCATGGCATGTTCGTCGTTAAATGCCTGGTACGTCCGCAAAACATCGTCGACGCAGACCTTCAACCCCCCTCCCCTCCTCGCTCGTCCACGTCCACACTCCTCCACCTCTCCAACAACCCTCACCTACTCAACCAGCCACTCCTCAACCTCGACCCCCATACTCCTCCCCAGCCCCCTCACCACCTCCCACCCAACATTACACCTCCACTTCCCTCCTCTATCCATCTGATCGCCCGCAACGCCTCCCGCTCCCGCGCCACCAACTCTCACCAACAACCTCAAACTCGCCAACGTGGCAATAGCCATCTCGATATCCGCATCCATCTCCCTGCTACTCGAATCTTTGTCCAGCCACTTGGGATCCCACTCCCCCCTCACAGCCGTAAAAATAGCCAGCATGCGCTCCAACACAAACGCGTGAGCGCCGAGCAGCTTGCGCGCAATCTTGCGGTGCTTGCTCTGCGCGCCGCGGTGTCCACCCCGGCCCATGCCGACCGAGAGACCGCCACGTCGCCGACGACGGCCGTGGTGGAAGGTGGAGAAGAGAACGAGGTCGTGGCGGGTGGGGTTGTGCGAGGCGAGGTAGGAGGCCAGGAGCAGGAGGCGGGCGGTGGGCGGAAGGAGGGTAGAGAGGTCGGTTGTGGTTGCGGAGACAAAGAGGTTTGCTGTGGATTTGGGTTTGGAGGGGGTTGTTGTGGTTGATTGGGCCTTTCGGGGGGTGTTGGCTTGGGAGGGTGGTGCTGATGGCAGGGCGGCAGTGTTGTCTTTTGTCTGAGCCTGGGTTGTTGTTGACGACGAGGAGTAGGACCGTATGGCTACGATGCCGGGGTCCAGGAGGGATTCATCTTGGAAGTGGACGCGGGCGGCTACCATTAGCTTGGAGAACTCGCGGGGAGCGTGTGTGCCGGCGAGGATGGGCGCCGTGAAGCGTGGCCAAAGGGATGTGCAGGCGTGTTGGAGCGAAGGAAGGGTGCGGGAGGCGGCACGAGCCAAAGCATCGTGGATGGCTCCGGTGAAGCGGTTCCATAGCTCTGTTGTCTCTTGTATCGTCGTCGTGGGAAGTGGTGCCGTAGGTAACGAGGTCGTGTTTAGAATGGTGACGAACTCATTCTTGGTGTAGTTCGGGAACTCTATGCAAGGGACGAAGGAGGTTCGAAGGAAGCTGGCAGGAGGCGATGTGACGATGAAGACGCTGGTTATACGAGGGATCTAAAGAGAGATATTCGTTAGCTCAACTGTCTCTGTCTTGAAGAGGTGTACCAGAATACTTACAATCTCGGAGAGCCTAGCAAGTGCTGGGAGGAGCGTGATGGGCGCCTCCCGTTGGCGATCGATGCCGTCAAAGACAAGTACGAAGCGGAAATTGGCCGGATATGATGGGTATTTGAGCATCTTGGACAGCTCAACAAGCATTTGCGAGACTGAGTCGCATCTTGTAGCAGCACCTTGCCATTGTAGGGCTTCTGCGACCTTTGCGATGGTTGATTCGTAGATATGGCGGGCTGTTATGCATTCGATCGAGCTGATGATGACGTATCTTAACAGGGGTTCGTTTTTCTCGGTGTCTTGTTGAAGAGCTTGCAGTAGAGCAGCCGTTATGGCACTCTTGCCGGTGGCTTCGGTGCCGTGTATTACGAGGTTTTGGCATGGTGCTGCGTGAGGCTATCAAGAGGTTAGCAAGCGGAAGCTGAGGGGTGACGAAGCTGTGCTTTGGTCATTACATGCAGGAGAGTTGCTACGGCCCGTATTTGAGCGTCACGACAAGGAAATGTCTGGGAGAGAGTGGTGAAGAGCAGCTCGTCGGGGAGCTGGAAGAGGGAGTCGCCCATGGTGGAAAACCTCGAGATATCTCCGGAGTGGATTGTTTCTAGTTCGGTTTGGGTGGCGGCTAGGGCTGGTAGAATAAGGCGTCTCGATTCCACTTCTGTAGTGTTCTGGATATATCGAGACCGGCGTGGGTTTGTTCTCCAAAACGGTTTGGTGATACAATTGATGGAGGTTGCCCTGGCATTGGGATGCAGACGCGTTACGCGCCTTTCTCTTTACACCCCTGTAAGGTGACAGACAGGGGTGCCGCTATAATGACAGCCAAAGACCCTGCCATTGTCACTGGCCCACCATTCACCATTCAATTTCATCATCAGCACTATCACAACTCTGCAATTCTTTACAAGTTTGACTTTCAGTGACACTTGAGCTGTGATGGTCTTGCGGCCATCGGCTCTTCTACATGGAGATAATCATCATGGCTTCGGCAGTGATCTTTCATCCCCGGGTTGCCAAGCGTCCAGCGCATGTTAGACCCGGCGCACATGAATCCGAGAATGGCATAACCGCCTGAACTTTGTCGATGGCGGCATCATCTTAAGACCAACGAAAGTCCATACTATAAAACAGTCTAGTGCAGCCCAACACTAGTATATACCATCACCATATCTGGAAGAGATGCTCCGGGCTTACCGACCCCACGGGGTTCGAGCGGCAACGGACCAGCTTGGCAGCCGGAGATTAGGAATGGCGCCGGGCTTCATCACTCCAACATATGCAAATTAGAGCCAGGCCAAACCATTTTCCATCTATATCCGACGACATCCGAAGAATCATCACAAGGACTTTGGTGTTTCTCTCTCCTCAATTCGATACCTATATGTTGACTCCGAGATTGTAAAAGTATACGGTGTTGGCTTATTATGGACAGTGGCTTATTATTAAGGATCGACAACAGCCTCTCACTTACAACAACCTTGTTCCCACGACGACTTATTGACACCCCGGTTATCACCCCACCTACGATGGCAATATACGAGGCTGTAGGCACTCCGGGGTCCTCAACAGGATCTCACGGCGACAAGCCATATCATTCTAAGCGACCACACCACAAATCCAGAAAGGGGTGTCGTACATGCAAAGCTCGCAAGGTAAGTCTTGTTTAAACATCACATAACCGATCGATTGTCCGTAAGAGAACATGTTGCCTGTCCTGTGCTGTCCATCATACTAGATACTAACCCTTCTCTCAGGTCAAATGTGACGAGGCCCGTCCATCATGTACTGCTTGTGCTCTACGAAGGGAGACATGTGTCTATCCCACGACAACTCAACTCGCATCGAACAAACGCACAACTTCAAGCTCGCCCATCACGAAAGTATTGAAAAGTATTGAAACATCATCTCCAGGTTCCGACACCTCATCAGGCGTGGTCATCAGAGAACCTTTGTTCATCCCCCCAGACCGCACTGAACAAGAGCTGAAGCTCCTATGGTTCTACGGCCAATCAACCTTCAAGTCCTTCGCCGCCGACTCCGGGCCCGTCGACACCGTGAACCACGTCCTCAAAGTAAAACTAGTCGAGCATGCCTTCTCCAACCCGTTCCTGATGAACACCCTTCTCAGCCTGACCTCCCTACACCTCCAACACGTCGGCATTGACAACCTCAACGTGCCCCCCGCCAAAGCTCTTGTCTACCGAGCCCGAGCCTTCGAGACTTACCGCAAAGCCATCGAAGAAGCCAACCCGTCCACTTTTCCCGCCCTAGCCGCCTGCGCCCTCCTCCTCTGCGGTCTCACCTCCCAAGTCTTCCGGGACACGGAAGACTACAAGCCACTCTACATCCTCGACTGGATGAACGTCTGGCAAGGCATCGGTTTAATCGTCCAGATGACCAGCGCCGAGATGGTTCACAACTCTGGCATCCAAACCATCTTCTACCGGCCGCTGATCGACCTCAACGCGGCGGCCGCGCACATACCCAACTGCTTAGTCTTCATGGTAGCCTCAGTAAAAGAAGGCGATCCAGATCACCGCGACAACCTAGTTTACTACAACATCCTGCGCTACCTGGGGTCTCTCTATCAAGAACTCAAGAACGGCTTCTCCGATGTTTTGTTCATGCGCATCCTCACTTTCTTTTCGTACATGCCCAAGTCGTTCATCCTCCTGGCCCGGAAAAGGCGGCCGCGCGCGTTGGTCATCATCGCGTATTACCTCGTCTTTTCCAAGATGGTGCCGGTGTGGTGGTTCCGGGGCGTCGATCGGGATTTACCGCATATACTGGAGATTCTGGGACCGGAGTGGGATCCCCTTTTGAGGGTGCCCAAGCAGGCCGTGGGCATTGAAGGGGGGCCGAGTACCTGGATGGAAACTGCACAGCTGTTGCTTGGTGATAAGAACTGGCGACCACCACGAAGATTGAAACACGAAGGGAAACGACCAGGAGGAGGAGGAGGAGGAGGAGGAGGAGGGGGAGGAAGGCCGCATGCTCCAAGCTTCCCGTTGGCTTGGGTGGATAATACGGGGAAACCGATGCCGAGTCATCTGTTTCTGGATGAATATGATCCGAGGGCTGTTGTGGGTGCCAATGCGGGTGCGGGTGCGGGCCCTACGCCGTCGCCCACGCCCACGCCTTCTCCGTCTGGTGAGAGCCAGGAGGAGGAGGTGGTGGTGGTTAGTCGACCTGTGGATAGCCCTTCTGTTTTGTGTTTGATGTAGTCATCGCGGCGTTTATTGGGGATGATGGCTTTGGATGTGTTTGGAGTTGGATCGATACCCATTTGTTTGAGCATTACTGCATAGAATATTTGTCTTTACCGTTCCTTTAGCCTGTCTCTACTGACTAGAAATGGAACATGGTCACATTTGATATCAGTCGAAAGGTTGGGACATGTGCATTTAACTCCCTGAACTGGCCTTCGAGAGTGTCGCGGCACCAGCCTGGTTGGCAACCAAAGTGAAGCCGTGAATCCAAGACAACTGTCGGCTTTTTTTGTTCACGCCTGTCAACAACAACCACTAAAGACAAACATCAACCCACTGCTATGGTCAACCTCGGGGCTATGACCACTACATGGAATTCAGAAGAACGGCGGTCTTTCACAGCGAGCTCAAACACTCGGTTCAGACAGGGAACACCTGGAACACACATCGCAACCCTGGGCCGCTCCTTCCTTCCCAACTCGATCCCGGTTCTTCGCCCAGGCACCAAATTTTCCCAGACACCTCGCTCCTTCCTTCTCACCCTCCTAATCAAAGGTACATCAGGCACTTTTCCCAGTCGTCCTTCCGCCCAAAGAGGCACACAACAAAAAGCACAGCCAAAAATGGTTGGCTAGCATAGCGGCACAAGCTGCTGGGCACACAAAGCCGAAACAGAAACGCAGAAGAACAGGAAGCCATGCGTTCACTTCCTGCAAAGACCAAAGATTTTCGGAGCACAAAAAAGAAGCTCTGATTACCGCCCGACGATGGGTCAAGACAAACCGTCTACGAAATGACGAGAAAGTCCTCGACACAAAGAGCGACACACGAAGAGCGACAAGCCGATATGATGAGAAGCCAAAGGATGCTTCCTATAAAGATCACATGATGATCGCAAGATATTCAGAGCTCAAACGGAGTTCTGAACACCACCCGATGATGGGTCAAGCTAACAAGCTAGACAAGCGAAGCAAAGAAATCCTTTGCGAACAAAAAAAAAAAAAAAAAAACACCAGTTGGATATGAGAGTCTTGGATAAAACCTGAGGAGGTAAAAACCCTTATTTTTTGCCCTTTTATCTTTTCGTTTTTCCCTTTGCTTCATTCACACTTGTCTCATCCGTCTAGCTCTGCCATTCCTGTCTTCATATATCATTTGCCAACATCTCCTCCGCCATCATCTCAATCCCAGCCGTCCCAACCGGCATCACCACCATCACCATCATCACAACCCAAACCAAGCCTCACTAGCCGATAAATTCGCCGGCACACTATGTCCCACCCCCTGCGCCCAAATCCCCTCCACCCACACCGTCCCCTCCTTATCCGTGTAATCGCTCGTCGTGTACCCCTTCGCCGGGTAATCCTTCAGTTCCGTTCCGTATTTCCCCTCGGCGCCCCATTCACCGTCCCCCCTCCTTCTACTCCCGGAACACCCCCAAAACATTCGTCCACTACTTCACCTGCTCCCCATAATTATTCGAACTAACCGTCCCATCAGCACTTCCATGCCAAATCTGCATCCTCGTGGTCTCCTACCTTCATACCCACCGGGGGTACATATTCCGTGCTGCTGTATTCCCCCACTGCTGGGCGGGCACTCGCTCGTGAGCTGCCTCCAGTCCTCCAGAACAACTATTATTCCGAATAGCTCGCTACACCCCCCCTCGCGAGCTACTACTCAACAAACATTAAACCCGCCGCTGCACCAGACTCCCGGGAGTAAGCGCTCACCACGCTTAATATCAACCCGGGGTAAGATAAGTACATGTAGCCGCGAGGACATTAGCCATCCATCATAGCCCCAGCACCTGAACTCCCCCCCCCGTCACGTACACACCCACCCCCCTTTTCCACTGTGGTCCCAAATCTCTCTCCATCCCGTACATAATCATGTTGGCAATAGCTAGCCTGCGAGTCACCACCCCGGCCCAAGTGCGTTAGAGACTAGACTAACTGACGAGAGGAAAACGTCCCAGTAGGTTCCGTCGGTTGTGAGGGGAGGACGGCCAGATGAGTGGTGATGTAACTAACCTTTTCGGTCCAGTCGGAGCCGGACGCCCATTCAGGGGATTTTTGGGTGTTGTGGAAGTAAGACTGGCTGGGCGGTGGATTGGACAGGACAGGAGTGGAGGAGTATGATTAGGAAGGGAGTCAGGGATGTAGATGTACCTGTTTGGAGGATGGTGGTAAGGCGTCAGTTCTCCCTGCTGAGTTTGGTTTGGTTTGGGGTGATGGGCAGGATGGATGGAATAGAATGGTTATGGGGGAGAGCAGGGGGATGTCGGGATGTAGTTTGAGTACTTAGTGACAGAAAGAAGAAGGACAGAGGTGAGTGAGTGACAGAACTAAACCTAATAAAAGAGACGGAGAGGGAGAGGGGAGCTGCGAGAAAGAAGGTTGTGTGTGGTGAAAAGGGGGTGTCAACAACCAGACTAGACTACCTGCCATCCCCCAAGCTCCTCCCTCCGCTTCCGTCACTCGTAGACAGGTGACCATATCCAGCAAGCAAGCAATCAAGCTATGAAGAAGGAAAGATAAAACCCACATATCAACCTTGCTCGTCGCATTATTCGGATAGTTAGTTCACCTTAGTCAACTGACTGAGCCCCCAAGGCCAACGGGAGTGGCTACCAAAGCCCTAAAAGAGACTTTGGAGATACATCTATCTTGTCGAGCAAAACTGCAAGTCTCTCCTCCTCCCCAACGGGTAAAAGACAAGGAGATTGGGAGGGCAAGAGTCGTAGGCCCCCCGGCCTTCTCTCACTTAACCAAGAAGAGATGGAGGAAAGGAAACCATGGTCTTTATACCTACCCATCCCTAGTACCTAGACTTCATTGCAGCAACTCGATATCCATCATGAGCCACAGCTACTTCAGTAGCAGAGAATAATTCCACCGATCCTATGGACAACCACGACCGTCAAAGACAAATCAAGCTTTGCTCATACCGACATGAGTAGATTAATCTGGGGTAATGGAGTTCTCTGAAGATCAGGCAGTTGAACTGGATGCCGAGCACTATACATGGGAGAGCTAAGCAGACGTGGGCAAGGTGGTGAATGGCTGGCTGGTCATGAGAGGGTTCAGGAAACGGCTAAAGACGAGAAGAAAATCAGCCAAGGAACGGGGATAAGAGCAGTATAAGCTCACCCAAGGACATCTCACTCGTGCTCAACATGTCACATCACATTCAGAGCACATCGGTTGAGTTCATTCACGTAATATTCATAACAAGACAAGAGCTTTTTATCGCGCACAAAAACAGGCAAGGTATATAGAGGAAAAAAGGAACTTCATTTGATACACAGCTCATAGGAGGAACGTCCCGAAAAACCTTTCTTTACTCTATACACAGGCCATCGTTTCCGTCCCGATTTTGAACTCCCGCATTAAACGCTTAAGCACTGCCCTCAAGCTCAGCAAGGATCTTCTCACCCTTGGCGCGAGCAGAGGCGAAGTCGCCAACCATGTAGAAGGCACCCTCGGGGAGGTCATCACCCTCACCAGCGAGAATGGCCTTGAAGGAGGCAATGGTGTCCTTAAGGTCAACGAGCTTACCCTCGATACCAGTGAAGACCTGAGCGACAGTGAAAGGCTGGCTGAGGAAACGCTGGATCTTACGGGCACGCTCGACGGTGAGCTTATCGGCCTCGGAAAGTTCGTCCATACCAAGAATGGCAATGATATCCTGGAGGGACTTGTACTCCTGGAGGATCTGCTGGACGCGGGTGGCGGTGGCGTAGTGCTCCTCACCGACGATACGGGGGTCGAGCATACGGGACTTGGAGTCGAGGGGATCGACGGCGGGGTAGATACCCAACTCAGAGATACCACGGGACAAGACAGTGGTGGCGTCCAAATGGGCGAAGGTGGTGGCGGGGGCAGGATCAGTCAAATCGTCAGCAGGGACGTAGACGGCCTGGACAGAGGTAATGGAACCCTTGGTGGTGGTGGTAATGCGCTCCTGCATCTGACCCATGTCGACGGCGAGAGTGGGCTGGTAACCGACGGCAGAGGGAATACGACCGAGAAGAGCGGACACCTCGGAACCGGCCTGGGTGAAGCGGAAAATGTTGTCAATGAAGAGCAACACTGTACATCTCGTTAGCAACGTTTCCCCGTCAAGCGGCAAAATTTTCCCAGAACAACATACCATCCTGACCCTCCTCATCACGGAAGTACTCGGCAATGGTGAGACCAGTAAGGGCGACACGGGCACGAGCTCCGGGGGGCTCGTTCATCTGACCGAAGACAAGAGCGACCTTGGAGTCACCATCGAGCTGAATGACGGAGGTCTCCTGCATTTCGTGGTACAGATCGTTACCCTCACGGGTACGCTCACCGACACCAGTGAAGACGGAGTAACCACCGTGAGCCTTGGCGATGTTGTTGATGAGCTCCTGAATGAAGACAGTCTTGCCGACACCGGCACCACCGAAGAGACCAATCTTTCCACCACGAGCGTAGGGGGCGAGGAGATCGACGACCTTGATACCAGTGACGAGAATCTCGGCAGTGGTGGACTGCTCAACGAACTCGGGAGCCTCGGCGTGGATAGGGCGGAACTTGTCGGTCTTGATGGGACCGCGCTCGTCGATGGGGTCACCAGTGACGTTGATGATACGGCCAAGGGTGGCAGGGCCGACACTACACTTTTGCGTCAGTAAAACAGCTCCCTTCGCGGTTGCTTGTCCGCGTTTCGCGGCAAGCTCAGAAATGGGGAAACCCACGGGATGGTGATGGGAGCACCAGCTGTAATATCATGTTAGCGAATCTGTCCAAAATGCCTGATATCGGGATAACAAGAGGAGCTTACTGTCGGAGGCCTTGGCACCACGAACGAGACCCTCAGTACCGTCCATGGCAATGCATCTCACGACGCTCTCGCCAAGATGTTGCTGCGGGGCTGGTTAGCGCATTCGTTGGGCTAAACTAATCCCGCTGATCGTCCTCGGGGTTGATGAGGCCATTTTCTTCCACGTACCGAGACCTCGAGGATGAGCTTCTGGCCATTGTTCTGGGTCTCAAGGGCGTTGAGAATGGGAGGGAGCTTGTCGGTATCGAACTTGACTGTTGGGCGGGAGCGGGGTCAGTATACAGAGCGAGCGTCGTGACCGGACGGGGACGAGGCCACGGCGCGGGCGTAGTTGGAGGTTGTTGATATTACTGACCATCGACGACGGCACCTGTGGTGAGAAAGTAGCGCGGTTAGCAAGCAAAGTTTTCATAAAGCCGGTATATCCCGGAGATATGTCGTCGACGGGTAGGGTTGGGTCCCGAATCCCGTGTCGTCGAGGTTGGGCGACGAGGACATGTCGTGCCCGAGGAGGGAGATGCTTACCAATGACCTGGTAGATCTTGCCATCACCAACACCGGCGGAGCTGGCGAATCTGCTGAGGGCAGGGATACGGTTGAGGGCAGCCGGGCGGACGGCGCGACGAGACGCCGCCGCAAAGGAAGGACGGGCAGTCCGGGCGAAGGCGGAAATGCCGCTATATTGAGAGAAGAGGAAGGCCAACTATCAGCTTTCCGGACGTCGCTCGGGTCTCCAATTGGGCGTGATCCATGTCGAGAGAGGTGACGCGGCACACGGACTCACTCACCTCTTGAACATCTTGACGATGATTAAGCGCGACGATGGTGGATGTGGGAGGAAAAGGTGGCTGCTTTGAAAGGGAAAGAAACGGGTTCGAAAATCTCTCGACGAGCTTCGGTTAGAAGCTGCGGAGCTCCCAGCAAGACCACGTGATTTGCTCGGAGCCAAAAAGTGAGGGAAAAGTCGAGCAAAGTCGTCTAAAAGTGGGGAAGCTGGCACCTCTCGTCCAATCGAGTGCTGGCAACACTCCCGTCCTTGGCCTTGCCTCACTTCCAGTTGTCGTCCACATTTCAGGTCTTGCTCTTGCTGTGATGGAGGTTGGTTGGTTGCCATTCAATCTGGACTTCTTGGTGGTTGCTGCTACAAATTGCCATACATTCACCATCCAGACCACCTAGCCATTTCCACACTACTTCCGCCGCCTCTGCCACTGGTTGCATGCACACTCTCTAGACTTTCCACTTCCCCAAGGACACCTTCGTCACTTTCCAAGACCTGTTCTGGAGCTGCCACGCCTTCAATGGGTCAGCGGAAACTGGAGTTTTATGGAACTGCTGCTCCCCAGACAAACGCACGGTTTCCATTGCGGTTTTTCCCGCTCCTCCCAGCTCGTTAGTTCGAAAAGGTCTCCCGTCGCCGCACGTCACTGGCCCATCTTCTGCAGCAAATCGAAACATCCGCCGCCCGCACTTTCGTCCCGCACTACACAAACCGCCAATTTTGATCTTTTTTTCCCCCAATTGCCAGCTTGGGAATGCGCCAATCACCGTAATGTTCCGAACATCGACGTCGTCACCAAACATCACAACCACCACTTTAACAGCAGCTAGCTTCAACAACATGCAAATCAACGCCACGATAACAACAGCAAAGCAGAAGCTTTTCGATGTCTGAACTTGATGCATTGACATTTCTCTTAGATGTCTTTAACCTCTGGAATACGACTTTTAAAAACATGAAGCTTGCCGACCGATTCATATAAATAAAACAAAAACAGCACTATTCATGCCGACCGGTTTTCCCTGTCCAAATCTTCTATGGCGCACGACAATACGTACGATGCTTTCCTACGCTTGTGGCCGCCACCCGGCCGCTGTAATTCTCATCACACGCACTTGAACAACGGATGGGATATCTGGTTATTCACACCTTACTCTGAAAGGGTGGACTCGAGTGCAAGGACCTGGGAACCGTAAATTAGTCAACCATTCAGAGCCAAGATGCAATGGGCTGCAGCATAACGAGGGAAACTTACAATGGCTGTCCTGGCCGGAATGTACACATGGGTGCTGTTCTTGCGGTTGTTCCACGGAAGGTCGGAAGTGAAGAAGCGAGTCTGGGGATCGAGACGGTTGAAGCCACCGTGCTCCTTGGTATCAGAATCGAGAACGATGCGGTAGGTGCCCTCTTGCTCAATACCGATGCGGTAGTCGGTGTAGCTGTTGGAGTGGTGGAAGTTGAAGACAAAGACCAAGCCGGCGCGCTCAAAGACGATGACCTTATCGCCCTCGTGCTTGAGAGAGATGTAGGCCTGTGGGGCGTGCAACCAGCCGTACTTGTCCTCGGTCAGGTTCATCGACCTGTCAAAGTTGTTGAGGTACTGGTAACGCAAAAGACCATCTTCCGTAAGGTTGAGCTGGCGCCTGGCGTACCAGAACGAGTTCTGGTTGCCCTCACGGGGGAAGTCAAGCCACTCGGGGTGGCCGAACTCGTTGCCTTCAAAGTTGAGGTAACCCTCACCTCCCAGGGAATGGGTAAGGAGACGGATCAACTTGTGCAGTGCCATGCCGCGGTCAATGACCGGGGTCAGAGGCGTGAGGGTAGACATGTTGGTGTACAACTCGGCATCGCAGAGATGCATCATGAGGGTCTTGTCACCGACGAGCCTGTTTGAGCGTTAGCTTGAGTCGGAATATGTTGCCACGAGGTAGGTCACTTACGCTTGATCGTGACTCTCACAATAAGCAATGGTCTTCTCGCCGTGACGCCTGTTTGTCAGGGTCCAAGTGATAGCGCCAATATCCCACTCCTCGTCCTTCTTCTCCTTCAGGATCTTGATCCACATGTCGGGAATGGCCATCGCGAGTCTGTAGTCGAAGCCAACACCTCCTAGGGAGAGTGGGAGACACAGAGCCGGCATTCCTGATACATCCTCGGCAACGGTGATGACCTCGGAGTATAGTTGGTGAAGCATCTCGTTGGCGAGCATGAGGTAAACAACCGCCTCCTCATCAACGTCAGGGCCGAAGTACTCGTGGTAGCCACCAGAGAAACCACTGGGTACGGTTAGCCAAGGTCAAATTCATCATTGGGAAACAGATAACTTACGTTCCGATACCGTGGTGGAGGTAAAGCATGCTCGTCACACCATCGAATCTGAAACCATCAAAGGAGTACTCATCCATCCAGAACCTAAGGTTGCTGAGCAAGAACCTCATAACCTCGTGATGACCGTAGTTGAAAAGCCTGCTGTCCCAAAGATCATGCTTGCCCCTGCCGCCACCATGGAAGTACTGGTGATCGGTACCATCAAACTCGTTCAAGCCATCAAGGACGTTCTTGGAGGCGTGACTGTGGACGACATCGAGCAACACGGCGATGCCCATGGCATGGGCAGTATCTACCAACTCCTTGAGATCCTCGGGCGGGCCGTATCTGCTGCTTGCCGCGAAGAAGCTGTTCACCTGATATCCGAAACTGGCATAGTAGGCGTGCTCCATGATGGCCATGAGCTGAATTGCGTTGTATCCCAGGCTCTTGATGCGGGGAAGCATGTTCTTGGTGAAGTTCTTATAGGTAGCCACCTTGCACTCCGGGGAGGAAATGCCGACGTGAGCCTCGTAGATCCTGAGGCTTTCCGGCTTTGACGGCCTCTTGTGCTTGAATGTGTATCTTTCGGATTGGGGAGGGTTCCAGAACCGCGCCTCATATGCGGGCGAGACTGAGAGGTCCTGGGTGACATATTTGATCCATGCTGGCAGTCTGTCGACCCATTGGCCGTCGGGGAGTTCGAGGGTGATCTGTCAGGAGATAAGCATTAGTACATTGTGACACAATTGGCGTGGCATAGGCCGAAATGTTTACATACCTTGATCTTGGAGTTGTGGGGGATAGCTGGTTGCCCGTTGGCCGTGGGAGGAATTGTGATCTCAAAGACGCCGTACTCGTTCTTCTTCATGGGGTGAGCGTTCCTATCCCAGTTGTCTAATGAGTGTCAGATAAAGTCCCCTAACTCTCAGTACCTTGCTCTTGGGTCATGACACTTACTGAATTCGCCAATAAGGGAGGCTTGTTTGGCATTGGGGGCCCATTCTCTGTATGTGATGCTGTTGTCCTTGTTGACGTTCAAACCAAAGACCTCGGTACCCTGCAGTCGTACGTGTGTCAGCGGCTTTGGTAGCTTCAACAGGAATTGGGACGAAGGCAGGTTTATGACTGACCCTGCTGAACTTCTCCAAACCGCCTTCTGTCTTATTGATGGTATCGATCCAAGACTGGGCTTTGGAATAGCGCCTCTTGAGAGTATCCTGGAACGGCTCGAGCCAGGGGTCAATGCTCAAGACACCTGCATCGTCTGTATCAGCTTCTGGCGATCTTTAAGAGGAATGAGGGAATGAGGGGAGACATACCGGTGCCATCCTTGGGAATACCGCTGTTGGCAACGGTGCCGCCGTTAACCAGCGTGTTGGAGGAGTTGTCTGAGATGTCGTTCATGTTGACAGCTGCTGTGGTTGGTGTTAGGTGTAGAAAAGGACAGAAGCACGCCCAGAAACAAGTCTAGAAGAGTGGAGGAGAAGCGATGGGTTTTAAGCGCTTGGAGGATGGGGTGAATATCAGGTACCACTCTAGTTAGCCCGTTTCTCGGAGCTTCTTTAGTAGTGGAAAGCGGCCCAATGGAGACACACTTTTGACGTCTAAGTTGAATGGGATGTCGTAGAGGAGGGGACGGGAGGGGAGAACAAGTAGGTGGTAGTCAGGTAAGAGTTGGGTCGGAAGGTGCAAATAACAGAGACTGCTCGCTTATTATAACGAGAACCCAATCACTCTTTTAGAAGCGCTTGCAGTAGTGTAGCCCAAGATAAGGAAGATTGTCTCGAAGGCGAAAAAAGATGGATGCAATGAAGTTGTTGGAGGATGGAATACTACCTTGGCTTTGCTTGTTTGGGTTACGGGCAGGGGACGGCGGAAGAACCCTCTTTGCGTGCTAGATCCACGGTGATGACTCCGGGTCTTTTTTCTCTTTGGACTTGGACGAGTCCCGTTCGAGGATAGACTAGCTTCTGGTGTCTCAGTAGTTGGTAGTCAGAGTAGCAGTGTTATGCCCATTGATGTTTAGTGAGTGGCGGCGACAAAAGAGACGATTTGATGACAGGAGGGGAGCTTCAACAGATTTGGACATGGATAACTGTTGACTGTTGGCCTGGGGAAGCTGTCCAAAGAGGTTATGCTTAATTACATCATGGGCTCCTGATGCAGGTTCAAAACCCAACTAGCAAAAACCTAACCCAATCTTATTGCCTAGAGCCACCTATTTTTTCACCTCCCTTGTTAGCTTCAGGTCAGTGAAAAGGCCATCCTTTCTAGCTTCCCATTTACCCCTGATCGGGTCTCTTGTTGAGATGCACGATATCTGTCTTCACAGACGCAGGGCAGGTCGCAGTCAGGTCGCTTTCTGTACGCCGTCGCATGTATGTCATTTCATTCTGACCAGAGGCGGAAGCATGGTTGGGCTTCTGGGCGTTTATCAAAAGCTGGCGAACTGGAGCTCTTCAGGTGGAGCTTCTTTCGCTTCATGGAGGGCGGGGGCGGAGGGGCAACTGGCTGGAGGCAACTGGCGGGGCTCAGAGGTCGGCGAGAGGAGGGGAAGCTGCTCCCCTTTCCGTTTCGGGTTCTTGCTGCCAGTCAACGGCCTGACAGCAGTCTGACACTGCAAGGCAGGTCCTGGTCAGCTCAGCAAGCACCAAAGTTCCAGGCTCAAACCATTTGCCGGCCCAGCTGTGCAGTGGCAGCTGCTTGCCAGTGCAGGCACCCCGGTGCAGGTGGGCTCCCCGAGCATCTCTCCCCCGCATCTCCAACGAACCTCCGCATCCGCATCATCAGTGTGCTCTCATTGCCTGCCCGTGCACTCTGGAGGTGAGCACCCCTTGCGGCCAGCCGAGTCATATCTCTTCCTACAGCTCAACACACGTACCTCTCCCTTTGCTTGAGACGTGATTGGCGTCGCGACGACTCTCCGTCTCTATTCTCTGTCCTAATTGGATCGCAAACACCATAACCAGACCTTGTGATGATGCATTGTCTGTAATTGAAAGCGCCCCTTGTTCACTTGCTATTGTCGCATCTCCTTCGCAACCCCTTCGCAACCGTGCCTCTACGGCAGACCGATTCCGATTCCGATTGCGATCCCGCTCCTCGACCCTCCACCACGTCCCCGAACTGCCACCTCCCGTTGACACCTCCCGTTCCATCAATCTGCCCTCGACCGTGACGAACCTGGGCATGCCTGCCGTTCCGGCCTTATAATGCTGGTCCTACCAAGGGCCGTTCGCCGTGCCTCGTCCGTCGCTGTCCCAATGTTCACCGCAAGAACCCTCGCATCGCAGCATCTCGCCCGGCTGCGATATATATCCTATTCGTCCCGCCTTTCCCTTTCTCCCCGTCGCTCCCAATCCTTCAACAATCAGGGCTTTACCTCGAGCTATGACCCGAACAACGAGAATGGCCGAGGCCCGATATTCTCCAACAAGGCCAGCTTTGGCGTCCCCCAATTCTACCCGCGCGATCTGAAGCGGCGCGTAGACGATTACGTGGTCGGACAGGATCGCGCAAAGAAGACAATATGTTCCGTCATCTTCAACCATTACCAGAATATTCGCCGTCGTCAACATCACGAAATCCAGGACCAGCGCCAGCGTGAAAAGTTGCAGCGACAAAGATATGCTCGAGATAATAGAGACAGAGATATTGAAGGCTACAGTGGTAGCAGCAGCAACAGGGACATACATCCTGTCGAAGGTGGGCGACGGTCATCTGTTGAACCCTGGCTTGACCCTCCCCCGAAACCGCGGCGGCAATGGGCTGATAAGCGCATACTTGAAGACGAGTTTCCGGGCCACCACGAGTCCGTCCTGGGGACACACCGTGACCGAGGTGACCATCCCATGGTTGAGAACCACTTTGAGACGCCCTCTATTGATGACTTTTACATCCCCGAGGACCCCAATGCTCCTCAGCGCGTAAAGATTGACAAGAGTAACCTCTTGCTGATAGGACCAACCGGTGTGGGCAAGACGTATATCCTAGAGTGAGCGGGACTCTCCCTTTCTTTGTGCTTATGCCCCCGTGTCGCATGCTTATCTGCCATGTACCAGAACCCTGAGCAAGAAGCTCAACGTGCCCTTTACGATAAGCGATTGTAACTCGTTCACACAGGCCGGCTATATCGGACAAGATGTGGAAGCATGCATCGAGCGTCTCCTCATAGAAGCGAACTACGACGTCAAGGCCGCCGAACATGGAATAGTCGTGTTGGACGAGTTTGACAAGATCGCAAGACGGGAAACTGTCAACGGGAGAGATGTTGGCGGTGAGGGTGTCCAGCAGGCTCTCTTGAAGCTTGTCGAGGGTACCAAGGTCACCGTCAATGTTAAGGATCATCGGTCGTCACGGCCGCCGCCGCCTCCCAACCTCAACATCTCGACACCCGGCTACGGACCAGCTAGCACCACGCCGTCTGCTACTCCTGGCAAAGTTGAACAGTACATTGTGGACACCAGCAACATTCTGTTTGTCTTTTGCGGTGCCTTTGTCGGGCTTGACAAGACTGTCCTTAGGCGGGTCGCAAAGCCATCGATAGGCTTCGGCGCTGAAGTCAGAAACCATCGTGGCTCTTCCATGTCCGGCAGTCACGATATTCTTCCTCCCGAGCTGTACAGCCATCTACCGCACCAGCCTCCGACGATGCCGGTCGACCTGTCAGGTGGAAGCCTGGCTTCTTCGGGCGGTAGTGGCTTCACTCCGCTTGATCTGGCCTCACCGGCCGATCTCCAGGCCTTTGGGTTTATCCCCGAACTCATCGGCCGTCTTCATAACATCTGCGCTCTAAGTCCTCTCTCTCTTGACGAGCTCTACCGCATCCTCACGGAACCGCGTAACAGCCTGGTAGCGCAGTACACAGCCCTCTTCGAGACGTACCCCAGCAAGCTGTACTTCACTCGCAAGGCGCTGTATGCCATTGCCGAAAGAGCGGCCAAGAACGAGACAGGCGCCAGAGGGTTAAAGATGGAGATGGAGCGCGTGCTGGCAGAGCCCATGTACGATGCGCCCATGCCATATGTGCTCATCACAGAGGGCTGTGTCAAGGGGACGGAGAAGGCCGGTTACTGGGGTAAGGACGGTAGGCTAGAGCTAGAGAGGATGATGGCGGAGGAGGAACAGAAGGGGCTTGGACAGGGACCGGTAGAAGGAGGGTTTGAAAGGATGAGGGAGGGGGGACAGAGTGGTGCATAGGTATGGCCTGGGTTGCTATTTACTTTCCCTTTGCTCTAAGGCGTTGGTTTGGAGGGGGTTAACGGTCCACGGTACCGTCTCGCGACGGGGTCAGAATGCTTGGGGCACACAGTACATACGCATTCGATGGATATAGTATAACAACGGCATAGCAGCAGAGTTGTAATTGAACTACTGTACAGCAAATCTACATAATCACCGGAGCCGTCGTCGTCGTTCTGATACTCGACCTCGACAACCTCATCGTTCCCCGGATTGCATCATAGGGTAGGACTGCGTTATCGGAGTGCTGATAAGCGCTTATCGGCCGAAGGAGGGGAAGAAAAGTTCGAGACTCGAATGGCCAAGTGGAGACTTTAACCTCGAAGCAGTCAATCAGAGCTCCGCTATCGTGACCCTCTTGTCCCTGCTCTGTCATCCGACGCGCTCTGGCTGAACGAACAGTCACAATCGCAGAGGGTGTTGATACCATTCACGGCCCAATTGACTAGCCAGTTATTTCTCCAACACTCCCGTCCCTATCGCGACCGAGTCATTCCGCACAACCTATTACTCGACCACTCTTTCTCCTGTCCTCGATCGGGATCAAACCCAATTCGAAACTCTCACGTCGTCGTCGAGCGCCGCTCTCCTACCTACGAGCCTACCTACCTACTAATACAACCGCCCAAACCAAATCAAACCTAACCAAGCCGCTCGAGCCTACAATTCCTCACAATGGCGACCGAAACCTCAACCCCGACCACCCCGGCCACCGCGACTACAGCCGAAATCACCCCCCTCCCACCCTTCTCTCCCGACCTCTACCAACGCGCCTGGGCCTCCATCCCGCACCCCTCCCTCCCGCTTATCGCCACCTGCCACGCTCACTCCGTCACCGTCTTCTCGCTCTCCACGCTCTCCAAACACTCCGTCCTGACCGGTGGCCACACCCGCTCAGTACGCTCGGCCGCTTGGCAACCTCCCCGCGGCAAGGTCTCTAAAGAAACAAAGAGGCTGCGGTTGGTTACCGGCAGCTTTGATACCACGGCTGGGGTGTGGACTTGGGATCAGGGGAGACGGGAGGAGAGGTTGGAGAGGGAGGTCAGGATGCAATCTGGAGAAGATAATAAAGAAGAGGAGGAGGAGGAGGATGAATGGGAACTGACCCTCGTGCTAGAAGGTCACGAGAACGAAGTCAAAAGCGTCAATTACTCCCCCTCGGGCCAGTACCTCGCCACCTGCTCTAGAGACAAAAGCGTATGGATCTGGGAGGACGTGGGGAATCCGAACCCTTCTTCTGAAGCGAAAAAAGAAGAAGAAGACGAAGACGAAGACGAATGGGAGACGGTAGCCGTACTACAAGAGCACGACGGCGACGTCAAAGCCGTGGCCTGGTGTCCTGACGTCCCCGGCCGCAAGGGCAAGTACGCGCCGCCGAAAAGGTACGGGGATGATGTTTTGGCGAGCGCTAGCTACGATAACACGGTGCGGCTGTGGAGGGAGGATGGAGATGGCGAGTGGGTGTGCGTTGCGGTTCTGGAAGGGCACGAGGGTACGGTGTGGGGAGTGGCGTGGGAGGGCAGGCAGAGAGAGAAGGACAAGTTCCCGAGGTTGTTGTCGTGGGGTGCGGATGAGGTGGTTAGGGTTTGGAGTCTGAAGGAGCCGGAAGAGGAGGAACATGAGGAGGGGGCTGCTGGAAGTGGTAACAACCCCTGGGGATTCGGGGTGCCGAATACCATGCGCCGATCCCTCAAGGAGGAATGGGAGTGCACGGCTGTTTTGCCCAAGGTGCATAAGGGCGATATTTACTCGGTGGCGTGGAGCACGGAGACGGGATTGCTGGCCAGCGTGGGAAGTGATAGTGTTTTGGCGCTGTATCAGGAGACTGCCAACACCACCACCACCACCACGCCAGAGAAGACCGAGGAGGAGCAGACGAACGGCGACGCGCCAACAACAACTACTGCTGGTGGTTGGAAGGTTCTCACTACCGTCAAGAGCGCTCATGGACCGTTCGAGATCAACCATATCACTTGGTGCAAGAGGTACGATGCGGGCTCGGAACGCAAGGGCGAGGAGGAGATGTTGGTCACGACGGGTGATGATGGTGTTGTTAGGCCTTGGCAGGTTAGGATACAATGAGCGAGAAGGGACGTTGCGGAGGGTTGTCTGGCGTTGAGTTGATAGTGGGAGGGCAGTCTAGGGATAAAAGCAATAGGCATCTATCATGGTTGCTTAGGATAGACGTAGAGAACGGCAAAGTCAGCCGGGCAGTCGGTGTTATGATACCCCTATATAAAAACGGTATAGGACTTTTTCACACTGCTTTTCCATATCGAGTCGTTGATGGAGAAGTGACCAAGATACATATGATGAGTCCACCGTGCTGAGCATACCATCACCTACCCATGACATGACCTTCACATGTCTTCTTGCCTCTTTCCCTCCAACCTAGTACAACCTCCCTGTATCCATCCGGCCGGGATCCCGAACAACCACTTACATACGCCCAATCCGTATTCAGCCAACATTGATGATACAATACAATATCCGAATACATGGTACAGACAAAGATCTGGTTTCGGGTCGTCAGGGAAGCACGACTCGAACCTGTCAGAATCTCCATGTTGCTATTTCTGAAGACTGAAGAAGACCCCATTCTATTCCGGGCTACCGAAACTGACTCCCTGGCAATTGCTCGACTGCACTGTGAAGGTACTTTCACGTCTGTTGTCGATGTCTTTGTGTTTTCATAGCCTTGTTGGTGTAGTGGTTTGATATACGTTAAGTAAGCAGATGTTTTAAATGTTTCATAGGTACTTACAGGTAGTAGCAAGTTACCTGAAATATCGCTCATTGTAGGTAGACACAAAGCCAATCCCATTGTTGACTGAGGATATTGGATTTACAGATGTTGACCACGTGCGTGACTTCACGGAGACGGAGTGACGCCATTCCCAGTTTCAGGTCCAAACTTCCCAATGTTGCCCGACGCCGTCTTCCAGAGTCACAGTCCTCCCGGTTTCTCAAAGATCCACCAAGAGCTCAGTGGACGTTCGCCGAAGATTCCAACGCTTCTTCGATGTGGCTTGACTTCTTGAGTGCAAGCACACCGTATTTGAATACGGTGTACATTGCTCACTCGCCTTGTGTGCTTTTGTTCTTGCTCCTGTACACTACTGAAGCCATCGTCTGTAAAGTCTGTCCATCCTTTCGATCTTGTCTTGACCAGCGAGTTAACCAATCGCCATCTTTCCTTTCTGCATGCCCATCAGTTTTTCTATACAGCCCTTGGATCTGTTACTAGCTCCTGGTACAAGCTTCGTTGCGCTATCCGTTGCGCTACCGATTATCCGGGTGCGTTGGTGTCGACCCTACCCCGTTATCCGCATTGTTGTGGTTGTTGTTGGCGGCGCTCGGGCGCCCGGATCAAAACAAGCGAACGTCGAACGGACTTGGCGGAGTACCGAGCGGAGTAAACAAGACAATCCCCGACATCACCGAAGAGCCGGCCGGGTATTTCGGAACCACCGGGTAATCCTCGCTCGCTCGACCTCGTTGCGGCTGCGCGACGGTGAAGCTGAGTCTCCAGTCTCCACAAGATCGGGGTTTGAACCCCTCAATTCTGCCACTGCCACTGTGTTTTCTGCCGCGATTCTGCCAAATTCATTTGTGTTGTTGGGGAATTGAATATGGATCGAGGCGGGATTGACGATACTGAGCGTTACCGTATGTTCGTACGTATTGTAAATTACACCGTTCGAGGTCCCTGGGGGAAGGTGCCAAGGGAGCTTCCTGCCCGCTCTGCCCTACGGTTGCTACCCCGTTATCGGGTATCAGTGCAGTGCAACTTCAATATAGCGGCCTTATCAGTCGCACCAGGTTGTTGAGATCGGGTAATTGTAGATGGAGGTAGCAGTTGGGCAGGAAGATATGTGAACGTTCTCGAGATCTTGTCAAGTCCGATCTGCGGAAAGGAAGGCGAGGATGATCTCCGGGGTTACCGGACTGTGCTACCCCCTTGTTGACCCCTTTGGAGTGAAAGTAAACAAAGCAAGTCACTTGAGATCGAAGCTGGAGAATGAGATTAAGTATGAACAATCATCGAATGAATGTATTGTTTGTGCAAGGAGAGTAAATATTTGGTATCACATCCATTCATTATTTCCAAAAACCCAACAACCCAGGTATGCACTGAACAGGAACCGAATACAGATACAATTATGAACAAGAGAAAAACACCATGTAGTATTCGTCAGTAAAGGGAAGAGGAAGAAGAAAAAAGAATAACACCTTCCCATCCCAAAACCAATGAATACTTTCTATCCGCCCTGAAATCCCGTCCTCATGCACGCGCATACATAATACACAGACCTAGGTCTCCGCCGTGTTGGTGGTTGTTTGACTTTTGCTGCTTCCTTTTTGCTTTGCTTTCTTCATCATCGCTATCTCTTCTGGCACACCCTTTACTCGCCCTTGAGCTTGCTCTGGGTAACAGAGAAAGCCATCTCGACAAGCTCCTTCTCCTCCTTGAGGTGAGAAGACTTCTTGCCAGTAGCGACAGAAGCGCTAGGAGCACGACCAGCGTACATGACGTGCTTGCGGTCATGGTTCTTGGTGTGGTTGAGCAGAGTCTCAAGGCGAGGCTGGGTATAAGACCAGGCACCAGCGTTGAGGGGCTCCTCCTGGGCCCAGACAATGGTCTTGGCGTTGGGGTACTGGTCGAGGTTCTCACGGAGCTGCTCCCAAGGGAAGGGGTGGAGCTGCTCGATACGAGTGAAGGCGACGTTGTCGATCTTGTTGTCCTGGCGGTGCTTGAGGAGAGCGGCATAGACCTGACCAGTGCAGAGAATGACACGCTCAATCTCCTCGGGGGCCTTGATCTCACCAGTCTGGTGAGCAGGGTCGGGGAGGATCCAACGGAAGTGAGCGTCGTCAGTGAACTCCTCGATGTCGGAACGAGCGACGGGGTGACGCAAGAGGGACTTGGAGAAGAAGATGACGAGGGCTAAGTGACAAAGTTAGCATCTTGACGAGATACATGCTGTTTCAGGCACGGAAACTTACGCTTGCGGAACTGCCTCTTCAGCTGGCGACGGAGGATGTGGAAGAGGTTAGCAGGAGAGGTCATGTAGGCAATCTGCAAGTTGCAGTCCTGGTGCTGACGCTCAAGCTTCTCGGGGGAGGGGTAGATGCGGGGATCCTCGTTGCAAAGCTGGAGGAAACGCTCGATACGAGAAGAAGAGTGCTCGGGACCCTGGCCGTCATAACCGTGGGGGAGAGACAGGACAAGGCCGGAACGCTGCATCCACTTGCTCTCACCAGAGGCAAGGAACTGATCGATGATGACCTGAGCAGTGTTGACGAAATCACCGAACTGGGCCTCCCACATGTTGAAGCCGTTGGGGTCCTGGAGAGAGTAACCGTACTCGAAACCGAGGATACCATACTCGGAGAGGGAAGAGTTCGAGATGACGAACGGCGCCTGGTCCTCGCTGATATGCTGGAGAGGAATGTAGGTGTCCTCAGTCTCCTGGTCGTGGAAGACGGCGTGGCGCTGAGAGAAGGTACCACGCTCGACATCCTGACCGGTGATACGGACGTGGTGGCCCTCCTTGACGAGGGTACCAAAGGCAAGAGCCTCAGCGGTAGCCCAGTCGATGCCCTTGCCCTCAACAACGGACTTGGTGCGGTTGGTAAGGATACGCTTCAGGTTGCGATGGGCATGGAAGCCCTCGGGAGTGCTACCAATGACGGTACCAATGTGCTCAAGGGTCTGCTTATTAACAGCAGTAGGCATGTGGGGGAGAACCTCGGCAGCAAGCTCCTTGGGGCTCTTGAAGCCGTTCCAGGCGCTGGTGGTCCACTCCTTGGAAGTGGGCTGGTAGTCCTTGGACTTGGAGAAGCTCTCCTCGAGCATGCCCCAGACCCACTGCTTGTGCTCCTCGACGTCCTCCTTGGTGAAGGTGCCCTCCTTGAGGAGCTGGTCAACGTAGATGTCGATCTGAGGGTTCTTGGCCTCGATGCGCTTGTACATGAGGGGCTGGGTGAAGGCAGGCTGGTCGGTCTCGTTGTGGCCGTGCTTGCGGTAGCAAACAAGATCGATGATAACATCCTGCTTGAACTCGGCACGCCAGTCAGCAGCGAGCTGGCAGACAAAGTTGACAGCCTCGACATCGTCAGCGTTGACGTGGAAGACAGGGGCGTCAATGGCCTTGGCGATATCCGTGCAGTAGGCAGTGGAGCGGGCGAAACGGGGGTCAGTGGTGAAACCGATCTGGTTGTTGACAACCAAGTGGATGGTACCACCGGTAGAGAAGGCGGGGAGAGAGTGGAAGCCCAAGCACTCGTAGACGATACCCTGGCCAGCGATGGCGGCATCACCGTGGAGGAGGACACCCATGGCGCTCTTGTGGTCACTCTCGTCGTTGTTGTAGTGCTGGATGGCGCGGACCTTGCCGAGGACGACGGGGTCCTCAGCCTCGAGATGGGAGGGGTTGGCAACGAGGGAGAGCTGGACGCGCTTGCCGGACGGGGTAGGGCGCTCGAAGTTCATACCCAAGTGGTACTTGACGTCACCGGAACCCTCCTCATCGCTACCGGCCATACCGGCGAATTCGGAAAAGATGGCCTCGTTGGGCTTGCGGACAACGTTGGAGAGGACGTTGAGACGGCCACGATGGGGCATGCCAATAACGATATCCTTGACGCCATAGTCAACGGAGCGGTCGATGAGGGCCTTCATACCAGGAACAAGGGTCTCGCAACCCTCAAGACCGAAACGCTTGTCGTTGGGGTACTTGGTGGCGAGGAAGGACTCGAAGCTGGAGGACCAGATGAGGCGGTCGAGAATGCGGCGCTTCTCATCGATCGAGTACTTGAAGGGCTGGGGGATCTCGAGACGCTCACGGAGCCAGTCGCACTTCTCCCTGTCGGGGATGTGGATGAACTCGACACCATAGGAGCCGCAGTAGATCTTCTCGCAGGCGTCGATGATCTCGCGGAGGGTCATCTTCTCGCGGCCATCGCGGGCGAAACGGGGGAGGATGCCGGGGCCGAGGCTGTACTCGGTGTCGAGGTCCTTCTCAGTGAAACCGTAGTATTCGGGGGTGAGCTCCTTGGGCTTGATGTTGCCGAAGCCCTTGGAGGCAGGGGTGTTGCGGATGCCCAGAGGGTCAATGTTGGCCTTGTGGTGACCACGGGCCTGGTAGGCGCGGACGAGGAGCTGAACCTTTAGGTGGTTGGTGACATTCGCACCCTCGCCAATGCCAACGCCGGCGCCGGCGCCGGCAGCGAGACCAGGCACCACGTTGGCGGCACCGGGAACCAGGCTGGGAGGAGGCTGGAAGGCCTGGGAGATGGGCATGTTGCCGTTCTCCATGTTCTTGAAGTAGACCTGCCACGAGACGTGGACGCTCTTGGGGTCCTGCTTCCACTGAAGGTACATCTCGTCGATATAGTTGGCGGTGCTGCCCGTGAGGAAGTTGTCGTTGGGGTCGGGAGGGCTGTGGAGGGCGCTCTCATGGCGCCTCTGCTGGGAGACGGCCATGGGACGGCGGCCGACTTGGGGCTTGAGGGTGGCCCTGGTGGTCTGGGAGACCTGGGAATAGCATCGTTTTGAGGCACCTGCGGTCTGCAGGGCCCGGATAGAACCGCGCAACATGATGGGTGGCTGTTGTGAGGTGAGGGTATTAGGACGCGGAAACCGAAAGCACAATTCAAGCAGCGGGGTTTTGTCTTGTACAATCTGGAAGAGGGGAGATGGGTCTGCGCAAAAGGCAAAAGGAGCGGCGGAGTAAGTCTAGGTTCTCGGTCGTCGTCGTCGACTCTGAGGGGGATGGGGAGAGAAGACGAGAGGATCGAGATTTGGGGGAGGGGGAGGACAGACGTTGGTGTTTTATTGATGTTGATTGGTGTCGGGGGAAGGGGCGGGAAGGAGAGGCGGAAAAAAAGGGCCTCACTGCGTCGAGTTGCTCCGTCCACTGGAGTCGACCTGTGTGAGTGCCCGCGCAAACTGCAAGAGCGAGTGCAGCGGTGCGGGTGCTGTGCATGCCCGCTGTCTCTGTTGAAGTGACAGAAGTAGCTCGTACAGTGAGCATCAGGGGAGCTGCACGGCTCTGCGGAGGACGATGACGGCACCTGCTGAGGCTCCCCCTTGGCTCCCGCCGTTGCACCGCTAGAAATGCGCAAATGCCCCGTGGATGCTTCTCTTGGCCCGTCGCTGTATCATCGTGGAGCCGGCGAACGGGGCGAGCTTGCCGAGTTCTCGCACTGGGAACAAGCGCAAGACTCGACAAGACAACAACAAAGTCTCTCGGTATAGCCGCAAATTTATCCCACCTCAGCTACATACACGACGGAAGTCACGAAGAGGTATCCATCAACTACTCGAATCCTATACTGTAAGGAATTCCCTCTTGTTGTTTCTCCAAAAGTCAAGACGGGATTCACGGTTCGAGCGGTGACCACGTTAACGGCAAGAGCAACCGGAAGTCGTGGAGTTTTTGTGGTTCAGGGAGGAGCTGTGTTTCCATGACAAGTCATCAACAAACTGAGGTGGAAAGTGTGGAAGAGCTGGAAGTTACGGTCAGTCTCGAGAGTCGGTTGTCAGTGCTACTGTAATTATTTCATTACGCATTGGCTCCCGCACTTCCCGTCAACTGAAGGCTCCCTTTCCCCCGGAGAACACGGTTCCCGTCTTTTTGGAGCAACAAGAAGCATGAGTAATGTTACCGTGGAAGGTGGGGAAGAGCTGTGAGACGTGGAAATGTACGGTAACGTTTTCGGTTCCATCTTTGAACCAGCTTTTCGAAGCTTTCTTGTATCGAACTGATGGAACTGCGCTAGACATGGTCGATGGGTTTTGGGTTTGCGTTCACTACACTGACCGCCTTGTGACTTGTGCCCTGTGACTTTTTAGAGGTCATCTTCTTCAAACAAGAAGAGACAAGCGAACAGAGTCTGGATTCGTTTCGATCTCGTCTCGAGTGTTGTCGAAATGACTATGTGTAATTGACCACATAAAATCCTGCATCGTCAGCTGCCACCGTCTTTTTATTATGCGATTTCTTGAACCAGTTGCAGCATCGACTGCACGTCACTGTGTCAAACCTGCCAACTCCCATTGGTTGTCCAAGCTCTGCGCTGGTTTCAGATCCTTGGCATTTCCCAGCAGTTCGTTGTCCAGAGTTCGCCAGAGATCCGACCTGGCAGCTGCGGTGACACTGTCAGTCGGTCCAAAGCCTCCCGAGCTGAAGTCTTCGAGCCTTTGACAGGGCGACCGTGGAATTGTTAGTGCTCCACTGCAGCCTAGTAGCCTCAGCTGCCGCCTGCCACGCATTAAACTCACCACTCACCATCCAGCAACAACATCCGCAACGGCCAACGCCTCACCCCGGATTCAAGACTGACGGGACCTGGATTGGATTTGCTTGGCATTACTACACTGCATCACCACGTCCATCGTCTGTCTGAATACCTTGACGACTCTCTCTCTTCGATATCAGTAAGGCGTAGTACACGAGCACGCTGTAACATATCGCATTAATACATCCTTGTCAAGGAAGATCGCGAGGCTGATCCATCTTTATAAGACACGGGACTCATACAAAAGACAAGATAAAGAACTGGGAACTGGGAAATATCCCAAGGGCGGATAGGGAGGACTGTCGGTCCGTACCTCCACAACTAGCCAACATGGCCTCGATTGAGATTCCCCGGGGGCGGGCCTCTTTCAAAAAGAGAGAAGGCATCATCACATTAACAAAAGACAAGACAGCCCTGATATGGAGCCCCTTACCGGGCACTGGCCCACCCGTCATCTCACTTTCCGTATCCAACATCACAAACCTCCAACAGACCCCCAAGACTAATCCCAAGGTCGTCTTAAGAGTCGTCGAGAAGCCCAAGGCCCCCGGCGCTGAGCCGGCTGCCTATCCCTTTCAGTTCACACATCCCACCGAGGCCAGGAATGAGGCCGATGCCATCAAGGATATTCTCTCTCAGATCATTGCTGAGCTACGTGGCGATGACCCTTCTCTACCCAAGCCGGCCAAGGCTGGCCCTAACGGCGCCGGCGCCTCTGCTGCCATGGCCATGGCCAGTGCCGTGAACTCGAAGCATTTGCCGTTCCGCTGGTTCGAAGACGACATGCTAAAGGCCGATGTAGAACTTCAGCAGTCCCTCATGAAGAAGGACAAGGCGTTGGCTCAGATATATAACGACGCAAGGTCGTCCAAGCCAGATTCTTTATCGGATGCCTCCTTCAACAATCAGTTCTGGGCCACTCGCATCAGCCTGCTGCGTGCCTATGCCATCGAGTTGAACCAAAAGAAGGGCTCATATAACGTCTTATCGACGATCAAGCCACGAACCGAGAATGGCGAGCTCAAGTTGAACATCAACCATGAACAAGTCCAGCTCATCTTCCAACAACACCCACTGGTCAAGCGGATCTACAACGAGAACGTCCCCAAGCTCACAGAGTCTGAGTTCTGGTCTCGCTTCTTCCTCAGTCGTCTGTCCAAGAAGCTCCGCGGCGAGCGCATCACGGACAACGACAACACCGACCCCCTCTTCGATAAGTATCTCGAAGCCGACAACACCATAACCGTCCCAGCCAAGATCACCGCCACAAGCGTACCCCCCATCATCAACATCGAAGGAAACGAAGAGAACCAAGGCGGCTTTAGGAGTGGCAACCTCAAAGACGTTGAGATGCGTCCGCGCGCCAACATCCCCATCATCAAAACGCTCAACTCGCTCTCCGAGAAAATTATGGCCAACGTCGCCCCCACAGACGTCGACCCGTCCGCCGCCTCCTACTCCAAAGACGGCATCGCCGACGCTCTGTCCAAGCAACTCGCCCTGCAAGACCTCCGCGGCGACGCCGAGGCGCAGCTCATCCGGCTCTCCGTCAAGGACACCTCCACCTTCTTCACGGGCAACCAGCCGTCACTCACCGACCAAGGAGCCGCCGACGCGCGCCTGTACGCCGCCCAAGTTCCCTCGGACGTCTTGTTCGAAGTGCAAGCGGACATGGACACTCTCGACTCGGACGGACGCGGCGGGATAGATCTGCACCGGTCCATCGGGGTCGACCCCGACTCTGAAGACGAGAGCACTCTCGACTCCAAAAACCCCAAACCCCAACACGTCGGCTCCCGCGCTGCGCTAAGATTCGCCCAAACCCAAATCCTCGAGGCCATGAAATCCGCTCGGTCGCATCTAACCACCACCACGCACGGTGGCTCCCACAACACCAATGCCTCGGAGGAACGACCGATGTCGTTGCCGACCGACCTCGCTCACCGCGCTACGCTAACCTGCGCGACGACGGCCGAGTTTCTCAAACAATTCTGGACTGTCTTTAACTCCACTTCTTCGTCTACAGACAACAACAGTCCAGAAGAAAAGCAACAAGAACTAGCCTACCTAGCCGACTGTCTCGTCCGCTCACGCCAGAGAATCGAGGCGCTAGCTGAGGAAGCGGAGAAGCGCAGACAGGAGATCATGGAGAAGCGCAAGAGGGAGATTAGAGAGTATTATCAGAAGACGGGCCGGAAGGCGAGGTGGGTGCCCGTTGGAGGGGGGAGGGATGCGGTTTGGGCGGTTTTTGAGGGGGTCGTGGGGGGTTTGGAGAGGGCGGTGGGGGTTTGGGAGATGGTTAGTAGTTCTGGAAGACTAGTGTAAGTAGGTTTTGAGGTTTTGAGGTGTGAACAGAAGAGGGGGAATTCTAGGGGGGAGATGGGTGTTGTTGGGAAAGGGGGAGGGGGGAGGAAGATGGTTAAGATGGATGACTTTAGTGAGGGGAGGAGGTGATAGGGGTTGATGATGAGAGTTGTCGGAGCCGAGAAAAAGTTTGAGGTATATATAGGTAGAGAAGAGAGAGAGAAATGGTTTACAAGTAGGCAGGCTGAAATAATCGGGTTAAGGGAAGGATCAAGAGACGGACGGACTAGTGTTATACTGTAAGGTTGTGTGGTTGAAGACCAAAAGCGTCGAGGATGTGAGAAAGAAAGTACACTGCTTCTTCGGGACTGATATATAGAGATATGAATGAGACAAGATTGTTGTGCGATATTACTTAACACTTTGTAAAAACGAAGAATCAGGTACCGCAAATGATATCGGTTTAGTTAGTTGAAAGAAAAGGGGTACAACAACCTCTTGAACCATGTTGGCAAATGACTTAATTCATTGAAACCTAACCAAAACTCCTTCATGCTCTGGGCTACGTACTAGACTTGTTAAATAAAACCAATTCATCATCATAAACCTGTTGTTGTTCATAACCCCATCCACCCCCTTACGTCCACTCACTCGCTCACTCACTCGCTCACTCACCCCCCCCTCACTCAACATTCGGCACACTCATCACCCCCCTCCCAAACCACTGCGCAACCGTCTTAAACCGATCCTCGCTCCTCTCCAAATCATCCCTAAACAACTCATGCCTCTCCGCATTCTCCTCCTGACTCTTCTTCAACGCCCTAATCGTCGCATTATCTTTAGCACATAACGGGCACTCACCTCCCTCTGCTGATGCCTCTGCCTCTCTGCCACCACCTCCCCTAACGTGTTCAACATTAACCCCCGCAACCCCCCTCAAACACCTCCCATGGAAACTATGTCTACACAAAAAGTGCACAACCGGCAACTCCCTCTCCAGTCCCCCTCCACAAACCCCGCACCTCGTCGCCTGAAAAACCTGCGGCTTGGTCTCCAACTCCTCCAGTTCCTGCCTTCTCTGCTCCGTCTCCTTCCGGAAGGCTTCGACATCCCTTCTATTCTCCCTAATCTCCTTTCTCTCCCTCTCTATCCGCCCCTGCAAGTACGGTTTCAACATCCCCATCGTCGCCACCCCGTGCTTGCTCAGCGTCTGGACTACTTGCAGCGGAGCCATGAGACCGTCGCGGTCGATCTTTTCCAGGATGGCAGAGAGCTCGGCTTCGCCGGCTTCGGAGAGGATGGTGGGCGAGGAGGTCAGGTAGGAGAGGGCGAGGGGGTAGAGTTGGGGCTCCGAGGGCCCGTATTTGCGGAGGGCGCGGATGGCGCCTTTGGTGTCCCGCGCCGAGGTGTAGGAGCGGAAGATGTCGAAGAGGAGGTTGGATTGTTCTTGCATTAGGACGGTGCCGGTGCGGAAGGAGGCGAGGTGGGAGAGGAGGAGGACGTTGGAGTTTTCGATTTTGGGGAGGGCCCCGCCGGGGGTTGTGGGTGGTGGTGCTGTAGTGGCAGTGTCTTTGGAGGGGGAAGAGATGATGAGGGACTTGGCTTTGGATTCCCATTCTTCCCGGTGTTGGTCGTCACCCGGCTTCTCGTTGGCTTTGTGGAGGTACATCTCGAAGAGGGTGGTGTGGATGTCAATCTTGTCGGCTTCTGACAAGGAGTTGGTGCCTTCTTTGAGAAGGGCTTCCAGGAAGATGATGAACTCGTCCGGGTGGTCGATGAAGGAAGAGAAGGCCGTTCGAGGACGGGGAGGTGTATATTTGGGTGTTGCCGGTTCTTCTGGCTTGACCACCTCGGCATCGCTGACGGTTGGCTTGGCTGCCGCCTGGCTGTTTGATGCTACAGCTAATGGGTTCATGTATGGTAGTGGCAGGAGGTTGCTGAGGTTCTGGACAGCGTTTGCAGCTCCGGTTACAAAGCCTCCTCCGTTGTTCGTGACAGGAGCGTCGTTGGCCGCAACAGGAGGGTCAACCCTTGGTTTATATTTGCTGGTATAATAATCGACGAAGAGGCGAGTTGCGTCCATCGAGCAATGCTCGATGAGCACGCGGGCGTACTTCATGAGACAAGAGTAGGCCTATGTCGTGTCAGCTTTCACATCACCATAGTTTCCTAGGACTGTATCAGATATGCTTACCGTGTCGGGATCCAAATGCCAAATAAAGTCAAGCGCATCGTCAAAGGCCTTGGAATCCTCAATAAGGATGTCAACAACAAGATCGTTCTCGCCATGCTTCTTGGCGAGATATGCAGCTTGATCATAGTAGCCTCCTTGCCTGCACATGGAGATGGCCGTGTCCAGATCGAACTTGAGGTCTCCGGGGGACTTGATGAACTTCTCCAGCTTGTCCACGTCCTTGAGCTTGGCATAGCAGTTCAGCAACAACGTGGTATGATCCGACGTCGCTTTGCCACGCTCATGAAGCTCCTCAAGATACTCGATGAGGTTGTGTATCCTCTGTGTGTCCAGGAACTTTCTGATCACTTGAGACGGCTCGGTGGTATCAATGGCCTTGATGTACTGGGTCATAGCCTCGTCGTAGTTTCCCTTCTGGTAAAGGTAGTCGCCGTATTTTCGGAAGATAATACATTGCTGATGTGCGTCCATGCCGGATTTCTGAGCCAGCTCAACGGCAAGGGTATAGAGGTTTCGTTGGTAGAGCATGTCGAGTCTCTGCTGTAGTGATTTCTCGTGATAGCGGAATACCTTTGATGTGTCAGTCTTAGTCAATAACAGGGACACCAGTAAAAACCTACCTGTCCTTCCTGCGTAATGGTAAACAAGTCACCCCATATCTGAACGATGTGCTTGACATCCGACAGAACAGATTCGCTGTGGGCAATGATCCTGATATCCGGATGTATGAGCGTAAATGTGAAGATGCTGTCGGCTGTGGCACCCCAGAACCGCCGTCGCATAGTGTCCGACTCCCCAGTATTAGTGGGCGGAGAGACAAGAGCGATGTAGTCCTGGTACACCGAGACCAACTTCTTGGGCCCTTCGTATGCGATGGGTGGCCCTCTTCCGTCTAGCGTGTAATAGTATATCGCATCGTCCCGGCCAACCACGATATCTCCGGTCTCCTTGTCGACCGACATGCATCCCACACCACAGCCAGAGTCCTCGACCGTCCGGGGCGGCTGGCCATGACCCTTGCCCGAAATTGCCAGCTTCAGTATCCTCGATGTAGTAGCGATGAACAAGGTCGTGATGTTCGCGTCAACGCGCAGTTCGACGCCCGTGATGGGCTCATCCGACTCGTAGATTATGCGCTGCTTCGTGCCCAGATCGTGGATCAAGTCGCCTCGGATAACAGTGACGGCGCCGTTCGCAAAGCCGACAGCTAGCTGGGACAGGTCTTCGGTCGCGGTAAAGGCGGATATCGGGAACGGCTTCTTGCCATTGTTGATAGCAACGGTGCTTAGGCATGTCGGAATGCCTGTCTTCTTGACCGGTTTGTCGAGGGCCCAGACCTTGAGTATAGGTTGGTTGATGGAGTCGCTAGTGCTTGGTTCCTCCTACTCACAAGGAACATATGTCAGCCCGGCATGTTTCCTTGGAGGGTAAGTCGCAACAAACGTACAGCAACGGTGACTAGCAAACTTGTGCCCTCGACCTGGCGCATATGGGTAATGGGCCCCGTCTCGTATGCCTTGAAGCTCCGGACTATCTTCCAGCTGAGACCAACAATGTGAACGTGGCCATCGTAGGTGCCGAGGAAGAGGCTATCGGAGCCGGAGCAGACGCTGGAGATGTGATTGCTCTCGAAGAGGGCGCGCGTTTCGTCGTCGGCGATCTTGATCTTGGTAGCATCAAAGAAGTCAAACGACCTCCACGTCAACGCCATGGTCGCATTTTCATTCGGTAAACTGTTGTTGAGGTTGTCGCAGGAACGGTGGTGGGGGAAGCTGTTAGAGGAGCCTCAGAGGTACCTAATCGGGTGGTACAGCGTGGGCCAGTGACGACTGCCTGCAAGGGTCCGTTGGAGCTTCAATGTCATGTATAACCCTAACCCTTAAGCGTCATGTTCGATACCTACACGGGACTACAAGACCACAAGACCACTGGTAATACGTGCATGTCTATTGTACAAATCGCCGACTAGATACGCCTTGGTGCAACTACGGCATATCGCACAGCTATGGATACGGTGGGTTTCTATCCAACACAGCAATATCCGTTACTCTCCTTGCTTTGACTGCAAGGTCATCGGAAGTGATTTCCAGGAAACACCTTGTTCAGCCACTCAGAAATGCTGTTTAGCGAGGAATCAGACACCTTGAATGCCTGCCCGGCGGTAGCCGACTTGAGGACTGTCACCCAGTCCTGGATCTCGTACAGTTTTAGTGGACTTTCGTCATCCGAGCCCTTAGCCAGGGCCTGGCTGGCCATTCCGTCATAGAGGTCCTCGTCCATAGCAGGACCTTCGTATTTGAGGCCAGAAACGTTGGCGGTCTGAACCTCACCATGGCGGAGGGTGAACTCGATGTTGAACTGATGATGTGTTAGCAGCTTGATCGCAACGAGGAGTGTTTTCGAGACCGCTCGAGCAGAATGCGGAGAAGATGAAGAAAAAGACTTACATCTGACTGTACGTCAAGGTCAAGAGCTGGACGTTCTCTTGGATCATCTTCGGTTGGGCGTGAAGAAAAGGTGAACTGGGGTGTTTGGCCGTATATCCAGGGAATAGACTATCGAGTATAAGTACAAGTCACCAAGAATGAACATATTTTGCTTACCGTCAACTCGTCCATACCCTTGCGGATATTGCCCATATCCTTCACTTCCTCCCCAACACGTTCTACTTTTACGTCTTCACCAAACTGTTCTTGGTACATGGCGAGGAACTCGTCCACAACGCCCTTGGTAAACTCGTCCGTGTTGATATCAACATTCCGAATTGGCGATCTCACGCTCTCCACACCCCTGGCCTTGATGTACGGCTCACCGGGACTTCTCAGGAACTTGCCAATGTTCTTCAACCGTGGGGAGTTGAGCAAACATGTCCCATGGTGAAGTGACCTCAACCTGGTAAGCTTGTAGGCAGACCCAGAGACCTTGAAGAGATCCTTTCCGTTGCCCCTTCCGTCACCGGCAATAACGATGTCGTGACGCTCGTTGACCTTGGCGGTGGTGACTCCCAGATCCTTGAGCGCGCGGACAACCATCTCGGCATGCCTGTCTCGGTCGAAGACAGCAGGTGGGCAGATGACGCTCCAGTTCACATTCCCATGGTCATGAAAGACGGTGCCACCACCGGAACGGCGACGGACCAGTTTGATGTCCTCTGCTTCTTGCAAGGCGGGCAAGTTGACTTCAAGCCATGGGTTTTGGTTACGACCGATGACGACGCAAGGGTCATTGATGTAGAGAAAGAGGACGTAGGAGTCTGGGTGTGAATGTTGGAGAAGGTGATGTTCGATAGAGAGGTTCAGGTATGGGTCCTTGGAGGTGGATTGATAGACCTGGACCTTCTTGTTCAAGAGATCCTGACTGATGGTTGTGCTGTAAGAACGGCGGAGTTTGGTGAGAAGGCCGAACCCAAAACTGGACGAGGTAGCAGTTGTGGTAGTGGTGATGAAGGCCGGACCCTTTGTCAAGCAACGAATGCCTCCGTTTGCGCTGCGCAAGAGCAAGGCGGCCATCTTGGAGTTGTCTTGATGTCTACTGACTTGCGTCAGTCTCACTCATCCCACTCCGCGAGAGCCGGCCTCAGGGTGTTGAAGACAGAAAGAAGTTGCCATACTGACAAGACGACGATGAGAGGACTGGATAATTCTGATTAGGAAGTGATCAAGGCATCCCCGGATGACTTCTGATCCACTGTAGGTACATGTCAAACGGCGTTGACGTCCCCTGTAGACCTCTAGCTTCAGCTTTATCAGCTTTCGCCTTACCCAACCCTTGCTAACCCTGGCAGTTCCGGATGAAGACACCAAAACCCTCCGTGTCGGCGACTAAAGACACAATGTGTGGCCCGTGCTCCGATCTGGATCCTTAGCGCAGCCAGGGACCTTGCGGGAGGCCGATGACGGGGTGCGAGGGGCATCTCTTTTTCCTCCTTGGACAGATTCGCATTGTCTGACTCTCGCTTCCGGAAGAAGACTTAACCTTTGACTCTCTGCATTGATCTTTTGTATTTAAGGCTGTTGCATATCGTGTACATCATCAAAACACCAAAACTCTAGCGTTTGTGTAGAGTGCTGGCCTAGACTTCCATTTTTTTTATTTTTTTTGTGACGATCAACAAAGATCCCTGTCTGAGTCACCACCAGGGCCACCATCACGCCTTCTTTCATTCGTAGCTTACAAGACAACTTGAACTTCTTCCCTCCGCATCCTCTCCGAACCATATCAAACCACCGCAACCATGTCTACCTTTGGCCAGTATTTCCGTGTCACGACGTATGTCTGCAAACGCACTGCAACGCCAATTGGCATCAAACGTTAACAACCCAACAGCTATGGCGAGTCGCACTGCAAGTCGGTCGGCTGCATTGTCGATGGCGTCCCTCCCGGCATGGAGCTCACCGAGGACGATATCCAGCCCCAGATGACCCGTAGACGTCCCGGACAGAGCGCCATTACCACCCCGAGAAACGAGAAGGACAGAGTCATCATCCAGTCCGGCACTGAGTTCGGCGTCACTCTTGGAACACCAATCGGCATGCTGGTCATGAACGAGGACCAGCGCCCCAAGGGTGAGTCTACACCACAATCCTCTTTGTTCTGCTTGTCGCTAACACGCTTGTCGCTACTGTCCAGATTACGGTAACCAGACTATGGACATGTACCCCCGCCCTTCCCACGCCGACTGGACCTACCTCGAGAAATACGGTGTCAAGGCCTCCTCGGGTGGCGGCCGCTCCTCCGCCCGTGAGACCATTGGCCGCGTCGCTGCTGGTGCCATCGCCGAAAAGTACCTTACGCTTGCCTACGGTGTCGAGATTGTCGCCTTTGTTTCCTCGGTCGGTTCCGAGCACCTCTTCCCTCCCACGGCCGAACACCCCAGCCCGAGCACCAACCCCGAGTTCCTCAAGCTCGTCAACTCCATCACCCGCGAGACCGTCGACAGCTACCTGCCCGTCCGTTGCCCCGATGCCGAGGCCAACAAGCGCATGGAGGATTTGATCACCAAGTTCAGGGATAACCACGACAGTATTGGCGGCACCGTCACCTGCGTCATTCGCAACGTTCCCAGCGGCTTGGGCGAGCCTGCTTTCGACAAGCTTGAGGCCATGCTGGCGCACGCCATGCTCAGCATTCCCGCGACCAAGGGCTTCGAGGTCGGTTCCGGTTTCGGAGGCTGCGAGGTTCCCGGCTCGATTCACAACGACCCCTTCGTCTCTGCCGAGAACACCGAGATCCCCCCTAGCGTGGCTGCCAGCGGCGCTGCTCGCAATGGCATTCCCCGCCCCAAGCTCACCACCAAGACCAACTTCTCTGGTGGTATCCAGGGTGGTATTAGCAACGGTGCGCCCATCTACTTCAGAGTCGGTTTCAAGCCTGCTGCCACCATCGGTCAGGAGCAGACTACTGCTACTTACGACGGTACTTCGGAGGGTATTCTCGCCGCCAAGGGCAGACACGACCCCAGCGTGGTGCCTCGCGCTGTGCCTATCGTTGAGGCCATGGCTGCTTTGGTGATCATGGATGCTGTGTTGGCGCAGCAGGCCAGGCATACCGCCAAGAGCCTGCTTCCTCCCCTCAAGCAGACCATCAACTCCGGAAAGAACACGGTAGGAAACGGTGTTTCTGAGAACGTTCAGGAGTCGGACCTCACGCAATAGGCGGCTTTACGATTGTGGGAAAGGGAAAATGTGATTAATGCTAAAAGTTATTAAAAGGGATTTGTCTTTTTTGTGATACCGGTAGATAGACTCTGTTGGGCGTGTTTCTTGTTTCTTGTTTCTTGTTTCTTGTACAAATCAAAAGTGTTCTTGTCCATACCCATCTCAACCTCAGACTGCTTTAACTCGTTTCAATCTGTACTGCGTATATGCGATGGAGATGCCGTTGTCGCGGAGCGGCCCGGCAAATGATTTCCCCTGCAGTACGACCGGCAACGCCAAGTCACATGAGATGGCGCCGTAACAATGCGCTAACTCATACAACAGTAAGCTGATGCGGGGAAAGCAGGGGGATCCAATGGAATCCCGATGCTATGCGACGTCACTTGGCGATTGGAGAACTGACACCGTTTGTGCTCCGTCAACTTCGACTGTTCCGTCAATCCATTCCAATTCACTTTTATGTTTGTACGATAGTTTTGTCCTTGGTCCTTCTTATTCTACAATTGATCTTGTTTGATGGTTGCAAACATGTCGAGATTCGGTTCCCTTCAAGTCCTCCCCCGACGTCTGCTTCGGCACTCGGGCCACCTCCGTGCTGGCCTTCAAGGTGCCCGAACCACAATCAACAGAAGCTATGCGACTGCCAGCGACCAACGGCCGTCCGAGTCAACTCAACCTAAGTTCGATAACCGCGTGAAGATTGTGGAAGTTGGCCCTCGTGATGGACTGCAGAATGAAAAAAAATTGGTACCGCTGGCGACCAAGATCGAGTTGATCGAGAGGCTAGCAAAGACGGGACTCCAAGCCATCGAGGCCGGCGCTTTTGTCTCGCCCAAGTGGGTGCCGCAGGTCAGTAGTTTGTTTACTTCCCCTTTCCACATGTGTGTGGTGCATTCTCGCGACTAACAATCACCTCACGCAGATGGCCAACTCCTCCGAGATCCTCGAACACCTCCTCAAGACCCCTCCGCCCTCCCCAGTCCCCCTAACCTTCTCCTTCCTGGCCCCCAACACTAAAGGTCTCGACTCCGCCCTCTCCCTCCTCGCTCAATACCCCAAAGCCTTCGAGACGGAAACCGCTCGCTCGGGTAAATCCGCCCAAGAAGGCGGCAAGCCGGCCCTCGAAATCGCCGTCTTCGCCGCCGCCACCGAGTCCTTCTCCCAGAAGAACCTCAACTGCTCCATCGACACTTCCCTGCAACGCTTCAAGGACGTCATCCAGCAAGCGAAATCCGCCAACCTGCGCGTGCGCGCTTACATCTCCGTCGTCCTCGGCTGCCCCTTTGAAGGCTACGACGTCGACCCCCACCGCGTCGCCACCATCGCCACAACCTTGCTAGAAATGGGCGCGGACGAGATTTCCCTCGGCGACACCACGGGCATGGGCACCGCCCCCCGCACCAAGGTGCTGCTGGACTGCCTGTCGTCGGCGGGAATCCGCAACGAGGACCTGGCGATGCATTTCCACGATACCTACGGGCAGGCGCTGGTCAACACGGCGGTGGCGCTGGAGCACGGGATCCGGACGTTTGATAGCAGTGTGGGCGGGCTGGGCGGGTGTCCGTACAGTCCCGGGGCGACGGGGAACGTGGCGACAGAGAATGTGGTGTATTTCATGGAGAGTCTGGGGATGGATACGGGCGTGGATCTGGATCGGGTGGCGGATATCGGGGATTGGATTACGAGGGAGATTGGGAAGGCGAATGATAGTGTGGTGGGCAAGGCGGTGTTGGGTGCGAGGAAGAGGGAGAGGAAGGAGGATGTGGATGATGCTGAGGCTCCTATGACGTGAAACAAGGCACGATGAGGGTTATGATGTATATATCGGTTATGAAGTGTATGTATTGTATGTATAGTTTGGTAATGGAATCGGAGTTGGGTGGTTTGAACGTTGAGGTGCGAAAGTTTGCTCTGCTGAGATGACATTGTACATCCGCTCAATCTTTCTGGGGAGATCGACGTTGAAGAGCTCCCGAAGCGACGAGCAACTCCTGTGGCTGAAGGAAGGCTGGTAAGTGTTGCAGAGCTAAACGAATTTGGGTTCTCCGGGAGAGGCCTCGTCAAACCGGGAAAGAATAACAACGCAACTCCTTTACAATTGGTACGACTGGCCGGTGATGGTAGCGGTGGAGGATTGTTATGAACACCACGGGCTGAAGCAGCTCTTGGACTACCAAGCAAAACCTTCAAGTCTCTTTAACAAGAGCCCTGTGTGAACTGAAGTGGGGAACTATAAGGGAGGATGTAAATGGCATTGCCGATTCCTGGTTCTCATATCGTCTGTTGGTGTCGTGAAAGAGGGAGAAATTATGCGGACGAGGGACAAGGACTCGCAAGAAAGAGGTTGACTCTGGCCCAAACCACCAAAAGCACATATAACGGATAGCCGGTAGACAGCGCAACGAGAGTTTGACGAAAACAGAAACAATTGACTTTTTGAATTCCCTTCCCCTTTTCCCTTTTTTTCCTTATCCTTTTTACCTCACCTCACATCCCAACCCTCTCCTCATCCATCGTGGTAGTCAAAAAACTACCTACTACAACCCATCCTCCCTCGCAAAACTATTCGCCACAATAAACGGAAACGCCGCCGTAGCCTCCATATACACCTTGACCGCATCAGCACCGACCTTGATCTTGCCCCAACTAACCGCCTCATCCGGTCTCGCGCCCGCATCGGATCCGTCAAACTCCTGCGCCGTATTGATATACACGGCGCTCTCCGCCCCGTTCCGCATGAGACACGCGTTCGCAATATGATGCTTGACAATCCCCCCGCCCAAAATGATCATACCCGCCCTCTTCGCCCGCACCGCAATCGTGTTGATCTTCCGGATGTCTTCGACGATATCAATCTTCAACTGGCGGGGAGAAGCCTTGAAAGTGTGGAAGTACAGCATATCCCCCAAACTGCCATCCGTCAGCGCCGGGCAGAACACGGGGATGTCATTCTTCCACGCCCAGTAATAGACCGATCGCTCATCGTTAATTTCTTTTCCAAGACGATGAATTACCTTGCTGGGCGTCCAGTTTATTTCGTTTTCAGTCCCCTTGCTGGCTTCCTGCTCCTCAAGCATCTTGTCAAGAATAGGAACCACCCAGTCTTCAAAGGCGCAGTAATTCGAGTTGGGCACGACCAGGTTGCCGATACGGTTGAGTCCCTTGGACCGTAAGTCGGCTCCCGGGGCGGAGAAGGACGACATGTACGTGTCCCCCAGGCACTTGATGAAGTCCTCTTCGATGCCGCCCGCCGTGGTCACGATGGCCGAGACGTGCTTGTGTTGGACCAGGTAGCGCAGGGTGCCGCGGAGGCCGGAGGAGATCAGGTTGGAGGTGTAGCCGAGGAAGATGGTTGTTTTTTCCGAGGTGTCCGGGTCGCGGTAGGCGCGCTGTGAGAGGGTGTGGGTGTTAGTGATTTTTTTTTTTTTGTTTAAAAGGGTATAGATGTTCTGGGGATCCAGGGCGTATGTATGTACCATGTCGTTGATAATCCTCACGGCCTCACACATGGATGACGCTTGAAAGCCCATGTGCTTCATCCCCTGCAAAAGGTCGTCGGCGGTGATGGGCCGGCCCTTGAACTTGTTGAAGTCGAGCTCCTCGACTTTTTGAGAGCCCTCGGGCATCTCGATGGATTTGACGAGGACTGCATCGGCGACGGAACTTGGGATCTGGTTGTCCGCCATTTTTATTGTTGTCTGTGAGTCCTTTTGTGTTGAGAAAGAGTTGGTTAAGATGAGAGTGGATGAAGGTTTGTTGATGTGAGTGAGATATGCGTGTGTCTAAGTGAGGTGTGTCATATGGTTGTTTTATTTTCGTCTCAGGTACCTAAACTCTAAAAGTTCCCAAAACGGGATGCTGGGTCGACCGGTCGAGATCTGATGTGGAGCAGCTAGCTAGGGAGATGGCCCCGGCAAGGTTGGCCGTTCTAGATACGTACAGGAACGCAGGTATAACCCCAGTGACAGTTGTAGTTCTTTCTACGCCTTGTGTTTACTACGTGAGCAACGTTTTGGCTACTTTTGCTCTTTTTGATGTTTGTTATTTGCAAAAGCCTAAATCATTTGCTTCTCGAATATTTTGGGTGTTGACTGTTGCTGGAGGGAGTGATGCTTTAGAGCGACCTGTACCTTGCCTTTGCAGCTGCTTGATGCCTCATGTTCACGCAATGCTCCCAACTTCATGCTTGCACTCTATAACTAAGATTTTTACATGGAACATATTGTACATTGAACAAGCTTTCATGGGCATTGTGCGTTCTGCCGTGGCCTGGGAAAGACATGTCAAAAGTGTGTGGAAGTTGAACATGTCACATGTTGAACCTGATCGCTGATTGGGCGCAAGTGTCTGCAGCCCGGCAGCGCGCTCCAACGGCGGGGCGAACTTTGAGTACCGGTACGAAAGGCAAGATGTCGGTTCGGATAGCGTCAAGAATCGAGTCATCTCGGTTTTGTCCTTCAAGCTACTCAACGCCCATCATGATATATCGATCAAATCGCACTTCTTAGCATCGGAATCCGGGCTCGCCGGGGTCGTAGACGGCCAAACGAAGACTGGGTCCCTAGACTGGATGTTGACCTTGAAAATAAAGAAAGCAGTTCTGGCCGGGGGGTCACAGACCATGCCTGATTCGGTCGGATTTCGATGTGGAGATGATTCAACGCTTTTTTGAAGAAGCTCGGACCATTCAAAGCCAAGTGGAAATGGCTCATGCGAATGCCGGAAAGACAAGACCAAAAACCAAAAAGATGTCTTGGCAAGCCCGGGCGCAGCACTGACATTCTGGGACCGCCAATCAGAGGCTGAGACATGGGGATCCGCAATTGTGCATTCTGCATTTTTGGTGAAATGGCTGCACGGGCCACGGCTGCACGTTCTGAGACCACATTGCTGGAGCGAATCAGGTCTAGCGCGGTCCGCCGACCACCCGACAGTTCGAGGGTACGTACCGGTACGTATTCTGTGAAGTGGCAGTGAGTGACATTTGACGGGGGATGAGGGATGAGGGATGGGGGACGGGAACGGTGCCAACACTGGACTTGGCGGCGGCAAGGCATCTTGGGCACGATTGAATGCCAAAGGCACAAGCAAAGGGGGAAATGTCACGCAGTGCAGGAATCCTGCCAATTCTCTCCATCTTTTCTTGCAGTGGCTGCACGGACTCCTTTCAAGATTCAGCAAGTGTTGAAAACAGAAACGGGAGAAATTCGAGATCCACCCATTTCCCTTCTCCATCCAATCTTGATCTCCCGTCCTTCAATCCAGCCCTTTCCCGGACTGTGCCAATGCCATTCCGTTGACCGTCCTCCAGTCATCGATCCCTTTCATCGAAAGTCACAAGAGCTGTGTACCTAGGTACTTACCTTTACTCCTGCCTTACCGTATCGAGAACCCCGGAATCCCAGGGGCATCCAGAATCTAGGCCGGTATCCGCGTGCGTTCCCAGAGTTCCTTACAGTACCTTACCACGTTACCGTAACCTCGCAGCCTCGCTCTCCAGGGCTCCACCGGTGTAACGTGAAGCTGGAAAGAACCCCCCTCCGTCTCCGCTGGAGTGTCCGCTAGTCCGCTCGCCGACGGGGACTCTAGCAAGTTGCCCTTTGCAGAGGGCCCTACAGAGGACAGGCCTTCCATAGTCATCACTTCCAGGTTTCGAGGGTTTCCGATCTCTCGGCCGACATTGTTCCATTGAGCTTCTTTCTAAAACCGACAGACGAATCCACCAAGCACAAGCGCGGGACGTGCATTGACTTTTTCTTAAGAAACCAGGCAGGGACAACTTGAAGACAAGACATCCAAGAACGGATCCTGACGAGTACGACCGGGTGACACGCGTTTGCCGTTTCCTGAGGTACCTTACTGCTTTGGTGTTCTACTTGGTAGTTCCATTATTCAGCCTCAGCCGCACTTGAGTTCGGTTACTTCCACGTCCATTCATTCCATCCACTTCAACGTCTTGTTTCCGACGGTATTCGCCTGGAGCCCTGGAGCCCTGGACCGACGAGGTAACTGCCCTGCAGGTGGAACTAAACATCCCATCTTCAACATCTTTCGTCGACCAGCGCCACCCCGTCCCCACGTCACATCACTCTAGGCCCGTGACCTCGCTCCGTGTCGGCAACTCAACAACAACATCACAACACCTCACCGACAGCATCACACACCATATTGTCATCGACGACAACAACAACAACAACAACACCACAAAGGAGATATTCAGTATAGACCATCAACAGCATTGTGTGGGCCCCCGGATGCTGCGCCGAGCCGTCTAATCCATACTCAAGGGCGCAGGCCCTCATTGCAAATGTATGTGTCTTCATTATTAAACTACCATATACGCCCGCAGCAAAAGCACGCGTCCCTCCTCCGTAACGCATCAGCCCGACCTAAGCTGCGAAGAAAGAAAAAGCCGACAAGGCGGCTTCAAACGCCAACTCATCGTGCCCAACAACCGCCGCGCCAATGCCCTATTTCCATCACCACCAAGACAACCATCACCGCCATGACCATGTCCCACACCCACACCCTCGCCATCTAGCCGCATCCTCTCCCTCTTCCTCTCCACTGCCGCCTCCTCCTCCTCTTCACCGTGGCCAACACAACCGTACCCCCTCCTACCACAACAGCCAGCACTACCCTCCTCCCCACCCTGTTGCTCACCACTATGATTCCTACAGGTCAAGGTACAACGGCAGTAGATACGACGGCGATCGCCGCTCCCGCTCGCCCCGGGACCGCTCGCCTCCACCCCCTTACAGAGACCGGGGGGACCAGGGAGACCGCGGCCCGCTCAACTCCCAGCACTTCGACGGTGACCGCCGACGCCAGTCCATGGCCGACTCGCGCGGTGGCTTCCAGGGACGTGATTCCTTCGCCGGTCGAGAACCACCCCGCGGCCCCAAGGCCCTACTCCTGGATCCACCGAGTGGACCGCGCGGCGGTGGCTTTGCTGGAGACTTCCGCGGTGGGCGAGGTAGAGGCGGCGGACGAGGCGGCCGAGCATGGCGGGACGACAGCAGAGACCGTGGACGAGATCGTGAACCGCCCGACTTCCGAGACCGCCCCCCTTTCAGAGACGACCGAAGCCGCGAACGCGACCGAGAATGGCACCCTAATCGAGATCGGGATGCCTTTGTTCCGAGGGGTCGGAGGCTCTCACCCCAGGGAAGGCCTCGATCTCCACCCGGTCGTGATATGGGAAGGGATATGGGCCGTGACATAGGACGGGACTTTAGAGATCCTCGAGACTTGCCGCTGAATGTTGACGCCGAGCGCGCCAGGAGGGGTTCTAGGGATGCCGGGCCTTTATCGGCAGGCTCATCATCATCCGACCCCCCTTTCGCACCCATTCCAGATCGCGGCATACCAGACCGTGGCATACAGGATCGCGGTATGCTAGATCGCGGCATACCAGATCGTGGCGGATTTCGCGGCGGATATAACTCACGTGGCGGAAACCGCGGCGGTAGAGGAAGAGGCGGCGACTGGGATAGAGGCGGCCGTGGAAGAGGCATATTCTACGATGACCACAGGGATCACCGTAACTGGCAGCCTCGCAGTCGTTCTCAGGAGGGTCGTTGGGGGCCCCAGAGGGATCTCATGGACGACCGGGACCGCAGAGAACCTCCTGCTCGATATATGGACACGGTCAGGGACATGCGCGATGATCGTGACCCCAGGGAAAGAGACAATCGTGAACCACCGCCCCGACAAAAGCTGGATCGCGTTTCGCACGAGCCGGTCCCGACGACAACCAAGGATGTTTCCCCGCCCCCGCTTGCCCCGTCCGCTCCCGCTTTTGGATCCGTTCCTAGCCGTCAGCCTTCATCGGCTGAGATCCAGTCCGTCACGGGTAAGGCACCGCCGACCGGTCCCAGGGCTCTCATCACCGAAGAAAGGCAGGACAGACCTCCAGCCACCGGCCTCCCTCCCGCCAATATCGAGAGGGGGCCTCCAACCGGTCCCTCCAAGCCGCTTTTGCCCGAAGGAAGCCCTTCCATACCGGTCGGCCCGAGAGCACAGCGGTCCAGTAAGCAATGGATCAACCCGACTCTCGGCAAGAAGATCCCCGAATCGCCAAAGTCTGCCAGGTCTCAGAGCTTTGTGTCGCAGTCGCAACATGGAAGGCCGTTTGGTGGACATCGGCCTGAATCTTCACATTCTGACCACCATGGCGAGACAGAGAGGAGACCTCGTAGTCCCGATGCCAAATCTGAATCGCACCTTGTGGCAGCAGACGGACAGTCCCGTAGCTCGCTGCTTACGGGAGCAAATGACACGCCAATCAGGCCCGAGAGGGGCACGCAATCTGCAAGGGCCTCAGTGGACAGGGATACCAGAGCATCTTTTGATAACAGAGATATGAGGATGGACTCTTTCGGGGGACCCCAGCGATCCTTCAGAGATCTGGACGTTGAACGTCGCGATGAAAGGCCCGCAAATATGGCACCATTGCGACAGCGAGAGGACGCGGACAAGAGTAGGATTCCCGAGTCTAGGGTGCCGGTCAAGCGGAAGCGTAGTGTTCTCGCGATCCCCTCAACTACTCGGCTCCAGCTGCCTACTCAACAGACCTCACTTCCTGGCACCGAGTCCGATGATGACGAAGACATGGATGACTATTTCGAGGCTGAAATCACAAAGCAGGAAACCGAGCTCAAGAAACTCAAGGATAGCACAGCGGGTGTCCCCATCCAGATTGCCAGGCAGTATGCATGCGCTGTTCACGATGCCGTGGCCAAGGTGGTCAGTGACAATGTTCCTCTCGTAGACATGATTGGTGGCGTCCCAGAAGGATACTCGTTCCCTCGACCAGTACCAAAAGCCCACAAACAGAAGGAACCGTCACCAGAACCTAAACCTCAGCAACAGTCACTGTCTGACGCGAAGCCGAAGCGTCCACCTGTGCAAGAGGCTGTGCCTATGGTTGTTCAGGAGCAACCCGCTGAACAGGTTGAGGAACCGGTAGAGAAACCAGCACAGAAACCAGCACAGAAACAGGATGAACATGAGCCGCCCCATGTCTCGGAGCCTGAGCCTGAGCCTGAGCCAAAGCCGGTTCCTGAGCCCAAAAAGGAAAAGGCACCACAGTTGCTGCCAGAGAAGCTGCCAGAACCGGAGCAAAGCCCGCCACGTCAACGTCAACGTCAACCTCAACCGCAGGCGCAGGCGCAGGCGCAGCCACTTCAGCCACTGACAGAACCGGAACCAGAGTCTGTGACGGAGCCGGAGCCGGAACCGGAGGCGGAGGCGGAGGCGGAGGTAGAACAGGAAGCGGAAACTCATGAGCAGGCTCCCACGGATCGGGAACTTTCAGCAATCCCGACCGTCGAGGAAGATGAGGAGACGTCGTTCCACCGCCCTGAGCCTCAACCTAAGATGGAGGAATTGGACACAGGTGGATCAGGACTACCTCCTTTGCCAACCGTCGAAGAGCACAAGCTCATCGACCAAGATGTCGATATGGTTGATGTCGATGACGAGGCACGGGATGCCCTACAACCCATTCGCAAGTCCGTGCCCTTACGCGATGTGAGCGGTGATGGAGAGGGCGTTTCGCGATTTCCTCAGCCGTTTGACCAGCCCACTTTTGACGGTACCAGTCCATCACGCATGGACGAGGACAGCGAGGAGAGGACCGAGGAAGATGTTAGCGTTTATGGCAGCGTTGAGAACATCAGAGAACTATCCACCACACCACCCACTGATGAACTGCCAGTATTCAATGTTAAGCCGTGGTATCAAAGCAGCAAGGTTCGCAAGCTCTCAGAGCAAAGTCCCGGGTTTGGAGCGTTCTTCATGGGCAACATCCGGGATAGGGCCGAGGAGACGGCGAAGGAACAACAGGAAGCAAAGCAGGTATACCGCAAGAACTACGATGCCTACCTTCGGTTCACTCTTTCAGATGACCCCACCGCCGTCAAGAGCAGAAATCAATTCTCGCAGTCGGATAAAGATAAGGCCTCGGGAGGTAAGGGTAACTCGGGGTCTGATCATCACGGTAAGGAGGGAGGAAGGAGAACAACTAGTCGCTTTTCAACCGAACTCGACGTCGAGTATGCGATCCAAGAGTCGATTCGAGAAGCACAGGAGAAGAAAGAGCGAGAGGAAAGAGCTCAACGGGAAAAATATCGGACCGATAAGGAGGCCGTGATTCCCGAGATGATTTGGACAGACGAAGAAAAGGATCATCAACTCTTTGTCGATACAGCGGGCTTGCTGCCCTTGGACAAGCTCGTGGAGACCTGGCAGGCGGTTCCATACCATGTCAACTTCACTGCGGAAGAGGCGGAGAAGTTCGAAAAGGCATACCTCGAGTATCCCAAGCAATGGGGCAAGATCGCCCACGAACTACCGAACCGCGACTTCCACTCCGTCATTCAGTACTATTATGCAAAGAAGAGGGAGCTGAATCTGAAGGAGAGGCTTAGGAAGCAGCCACGAAGGCGGAAGAAGGGACGTGGGAAGCAAAAGTATAACGCCTTGGTGTCAGAACTGGGGAATCCAGAGAATGAGGCGACAGAGGAAAACCAGGAGAACGGGGAGAACAGCAACGGTCGCCGTCAGCAGCCGCGCCGCGCTGCTGCTCCTTCCTGGGGCCATGAGGCCACGCCTAATGCTGACTCCGACGGTGCTACTCCTTCTGCTACTCCCGGCCGCAGGAGAGCAGGTACTACCACGGAACCAAAGAACGACAGCGGTGCTGAGAAACCCGAGGGGGTCAAGAAAGGTGGCCGCAGAGCTCGCCAACCCAAGGCAGACAAAGAGCCAAAGGTCCCGAAGCCCGCTCAAGCTATCGCGCCGACACCTCCAGCGGCTTCGGGTAAGGGGACGAATGCCAGGTCTCGGTCGAATTCCACAAGAGTACAAAACCCTGAATGGATGCCTCCCAAGACCCCGGCGGAACTGGGCGCCCGTGTTCAGAATCCCATGTTCGATGTACCCCCTGGAAGCATGCAACCACCACTGGCGCCCGCTCAACAAACACCCCTTGCCAGTCCCGAAAGAGCACCGCCTACACTGGCCTCAACAACCATTTCCGAGGTCATGGCTCCCCCTTCCCTGCGTCCAGAGCCTCCCGCGCCGCCGGCTTCTCTCCCCACCTTCGAGATTGGACAGCCATCCGGGCCTGAGCGCATTCGCACTCCACAACAAGCATCCAGTTACTGGAGCGTTTCGGAATCGAATGACTTCCCCAATCTTTTACGCTCCTTTGGCACCGACTGGAGTGCAATTGCCAACCACATGGGAACCAAAACTCAAGTCATGGTAAGTACTTCCCGTCGCCTGTGCGGATGTTTGGCCCAAAGGATAGGAACAACTGACTAACACGTGTTTAGGTGAGGAATTACTATTTGAGGCAAAAGAAAGAGGGCAAGCAGGAATGGGAACAGATTGCTACCGAGGCCGATCTCAAGAAACAGAGAGGAGAGAGGCGACCTCCTCCGCCCACTCCCTCTGCAGGACCAAGGAAGCGGTACGATGTTCCTTCCTCGTCAGGACATCGGCCGTTGGCTGCTGCGGAAGCCGAGGAGCCTCAACCCGCCAAATCAGAAGCAGCGCCGGCCAACCAGCCTTTTAGCCGTTTCCAGGTAACTCCGATCCAAGCGTCACCCGTAACACATGCGCTTGTGCAACGATCGCCCACAGTAATGCCGGCGCCTCTACCTTCGGCACCAGTGGCAGCATCGGCAGCTGCCGCAGCAACTCCGGCACCGTCGCCGCAGACACCGAGCGGACCCGGACCAGCGGTCACACAGACTATGTCTCCGGTGCCTCGTCCACTTCGGCAGCCGACCGCCGCCTTCGCATTCGCGGAGAGAGAAGGCGAGCCCATCCCGGTATCGCAAGCTCCGGCTCAAACACCGCATCAGTCGGTCCGCATCTCCCAAAAGACAGCTCCCGTTCCCTCTTCGTCCATGCCGTCCGCAAGCGAGGCCATGCCCCGTTCGGCAGGATGGATATCTGATGCCAACCGCCCAATGCCCCTGCTGTCCCAGCAACATGAGGTGCGCGAAGTTCGTGAAATTCGCGAAGGTCGGGAACGGCAGATCAGGATGGAGCCGCTCCAGCCAAGAGAGCAACCGCGACCGATGGAGCGCCCGGCCATGCGCTTCAAGCAGGAGCCAGAGCAGCCATTGCACCATGGAGATCCATTCCAGAACTTCCTGCCTCCGCAGCGCTCCATGCAGCCTAGGGCGGAAGCGGCGCCCATGGGACGGCAGGATCCCCCAAGGACCATGGCACCCCCCGCTTCGCAGTCTTACACACCGCCTGTCCAAGTTCAACCTGTCCGCAACCTGCTCAGCGAGTCTATGCCCTCCCAGCGCACACCTCCGCAGCTTAGCCCGGCGATGGAGAGACCGCCCGTACCGAGCACGCAGCGCCCTGTGCCGACCTCGATGCAGGAACAATACCCTGCGAACACGTCCGCCGCTCAACCTGTTCCTCCACCTCAAGCTCCGCCCGCTATGTCTCATCCGCCTGAGCCAAAGAAGGTCAGCAGTATCTTCTCCATACTCAACGATGATAACCCTCCTGCGCCTGCCCCGGCCCCTAAACGGGTCAACGATGTTGCATCCATACCTGGAGCGGCGTCAACGTCAACTCCGCCGCCTCAGCAGATGTCTGCTCGTTCTCCCCAGCCGCCGACCACTACTGCATCGGCATCGCAGCGCAGGGACACCGAAGCCTCTGGGTATCCGTACGCGCGCAACCCCCCTTCGGCCGCTCAGGCTGCTATTCCATCATTGAAGCCTTATCATGCTCAGTCGCCACAGCCCCAGCATATGAACGTCGCCAGGTCGAGTATGGGCTCAGGCATGGAACAACAAGTTTCAGCAGCTGGTGACAACAGAGAGTTCTACTCACGACATCAGTATCAACCACAGCACCAGCCGGGCGCGTCAAACTCTCCTGTGTCTCATCAGGTGCATCGCTACTCTCAGTCAGCGCAACATCCTCAGCAACACTCGCAGCAGCATTTACAGCAGCCCCAAATGGCATATTCAAGTCAACAGCAATATCAGGCCTATGCCACTTCACAGGCTCATGCTGCTTCGCCTACGCCGCAATACGCAGCCCATCCGTCGTCGCTCTCGGGCCGACGCGAAGCTCAGTCGGCTCGGGAGGAATGGTCATCGACCCAACAGGGGCAGGCCGCTGTTCCAAGTCTGCAGCAGCGACAGCAGCAGCAACAACAACAACAACAACAGCAGCAGCAACAACTAGGCTGGCCGCCGTCGCATCCAACACCATCCAAGTCTAGCCAGGCTTCTGTGCCGTCTCAAACAGCTTGGGCCGCACAACACGGTCCCAACGTTCAGGCTAAACCCCCACAGATGGGCAGTGCAATGTCTCAGCAGCAACACTCGTGGCAGGCCACACCTACTCAGCAGTCTCATTCCCTCGGATTGAGAGAACCTACTCCACGTGGCCAGGCAGTATATTCGGCTCATGAAGCGCAAAGCCCCACGGGCAATGTAGTGTCGCATCAGCATCATCGCTCGCTCGATGGGAGGAGCCAATTCCCACCGATGCCTGATCCTCGGGATCGCCAAAACCTACGGAGAGGTGAGCCCGTTCCGCCACAGGGCCAGCCATACGTGAGATACGTCAATACCCCTGGTCCTGGGCAGGGTGGCCCTGGCGGACCCCCTGGACAAGTTCCTGGCCGAGGAGAAGCCCCTGCAGATCTCAGGATGCAGCAGATGTCCCAGGCTAGAAGCTATACGCCGGGGCCTGTCAGTGCCGGATTTGATGGTATGGGTCCGCCACCCTCCTCCTCGCTAGGCTACCCAGAGCAAATTAGGGATGCTCAGATACGCGACGCGCAGTTACGGGAGATGGGCTCTAGAGATCTAGGTCGCGATCATCGAGTCATGGGTAGGGATCCGCGAGAACTTGGTCGTGATCCTAGAGAGGTAGCCGCTCAGCAGCGGGAGCAGCATGCGGCACAGTTCCAAGCTCAACAGCAGCATGGCGTCCCCGCAAATGCCGCCCACCCACAGCACATTCAGGTCCAAGGCCATCCTCAGCAGCATCAGATGCCCCAGCACCAGCAGCATGTTCAGCAGCAACCGATGCAGCACGACATGCGCAACCCGGTTCAGGCATCTCATCAACAATATGCTCCGCAACACCACCAAGGCGGCATGATGGCTAGACAATTACGACCTCAGCACCAGTATGACCAGCAGGGGCATGGTCCCGGACCGGGTCAGGGAGATCCTAGAAGGGCTGGCTAGTCGTCTGCGGCAGGATCTCAAGAGGCTGAGGGTTCGATACAGGTCTCAACGAGGTGTGCGACGTGTGGTGAGTATTATCCATTTACCAATCTTAACGCCAATTGCTAATGAGTTTACGTCGGATAGGTCACTACGCTTGGCAAAAAATCGACCGTAAACTGATTTGTAATTCGTGCTATATCAACTGTATGCGTGGTAGGAAATGTAGGAAATGTGGTAAGTCGTCCGGTTCTCCGTGGGTAGTCTCCTTCGCTCACCAGATAATGGAACAGATTATGTCGTTCCTCTGGATTAGAGTCCAGCGATTAGACATCGTCGCACTTGCAATGGGATGGGCATCTTCCATCAGTGGTCTGATATGACCTTACGAGAGGCACGAACAAGAAGAGGATAAAGAGAGGCGAAAGCTGACGGGGGAGAGCCAGTAAAGGAATAAAGCGTTTGATATAAGCCAACATATGCAGGAAAATAAGGAGGAAACATCATGAAGCGCGTGTACCAAAAGCGAAACACGCTCGACCCAGAATCATATCTGAAGGAGAGAAAGAAGCGGAAAGGCGTGTGTCCTCGTCCCTAGTAGGAGGGTGGGGCGGGGCCTGGGCGCTTACATATTTGGCTCTGAGTTGCGGATTCTTGGTATGAACTGGTTCAAGTTCGGTTTGGTTTGGTTTGGTTTGCTTGATATCTGTCAAGACGGCGGATGGATGGATTGGTGGAAGGATGGGGTTCAAATAAATAAACAAATGAGTGCATGCAGGGAGGTGGTTTGTGCAACGGTCATTGAATGAAGATTAGAGAAGAAGACATAACAAGTATAAAGCCTTTGTTGTAACCAAACTATAACTCATCGTTCTTGAAAAGGAGAGTTTGGAAGGACAAAAGATAAAAGGGTGGTGGATAAAATACACGGCTATAAGACACAATGAATGGTTCAGACATACGCATGATGGTTGGGATGATGAGAGTCGAGGGGAAGTTTAAACGTAACTGTGTTCAAATGGTGGTTAGAAAATAAGTGTGATGACGACTACCTTCGAGGTTTCGAGTCCTGACCTGAGCTTTGCTGACAAAAACCTCTCGAGATATGGCTCTACTATGGGTAGTAGTAACCTAATTCCGGTATAAAAGGCCGCGCCAACGCACTGAAAAAACCCCGACCAAACATTCAACCGGTATACATGTAGTTAGTTGGTAGCATAAAATTGTTAAGTATTTGGTAAGCAGGTATATGTATAATCGTGTTCGCAAATCAAAGCTAAAGCTAAACTTGTGGGTATCATCATTTCTCCAAGCATATCAATAAATCCTAGATTCCGTCCATCAAACCCAGCCCAACATCATAACCCCCCCCATCTAACAACACTCTCTTATTTTCCTTGCTGTTATTGCTGTCCGTGTCCGTTCCCATTTCCATCCCCCCCTTGCTGCTGCTGCTGCTGCTACTACTGTTGCTGAACCCCATCACTCCCCTTCCCCTTCCCCTTCCCTTGCTCAAATCCATGCCCTTCTCGCTGGCCATGCTCCTCCGCTTTCTCTTTCTCAACAACCCCCTCCTTCTCATCATCCACATCCATATCCAAAGTCCCCTCCTCCTCATGACCCTCCTCCTCAGGTTCAGTAACCCCACCAAGCCCATACCCCGGCACGCTAATCATCGGAAACCCCATCGGATACGCACCAGGTCGTGAACTCCCATCCCACTGGCCCTCCGTCGGCACGAACCCCAGCCCAGCGCCAGCTGTTTGACCTACTTGTCTGTCTGCGGTGGGGCCGTAGTAGCCGTCTAGAGAGGTGTGCTGCTGTTGGTGGGGGCGGGGGATGAACTCGGCTGTTTCTGTTTCTGTTTCGGAGAGGACGTCTAGGGCTAGGGGGCTGTTTTGTTGTTGGGTGCTGTCGGTGGTGTTGGGGTTGGGGCTGTGAGGGCTGGGTATGTTTGGGCTGTTGGGATTGCTGGTCCTTCTCGAAGCGGGTGACAAACCAAACGAGTTGCGTGGTGGCAGAGAAGTGGCGGTGGCAGTGGCAGTGGCAGTGGCGGGTAACTCAACGAACATGCCCGAGGAATCTAGCTCGGGGACGTCGCCTAGTCCTCCACTATGACTATGACTGTGACCACCGCCACCGCCCGATGTGCCTCTAGCATGATGACCGACCAAGGGACTGCCGACCCCGTGGTGCGTGATCTCGCTTCCGTCAGCGGAAAGTTCGCTCGCGTTACTTTGGTGGCGCCAGTGTTGCTGCTGCTGCTGCTGCTGCTGCTGCTGCTGCTGCTGCTGCTGCTGGTGGTTGCGGGTGCTGTAGTGGTATCCCAACCCGGTGCTTTGGCTATCGACGCTCTCACGCATACCGTTATGGCCGTTATGCCCACCAGCATAAGTATGGGAGGGAAGAGGTGGTGATGCAGCGTCGAAATAGCCCGAGTTTGGATCGGGACTGACTAGTCCGCTTCCGTTGTTATACGCATCCGACCCCGACCTGCCATGTCTCCCACCACTCCCATGTGCCCCAGGCTGCGGCGTCCCCGCCAAGCTGCTAATATTCGTCGTGTGATCGCCGGGGGTATTCGTCTCGGTCGTGAACATCAGAGGATCGGCGCTGGCGTTATCAGCGTCCGATGGCGCTCTGACGTGCAGGAACCGACCGGATTGTTCCATCTGCGCTTGGGAGGCACCCGTCTTGCTGGTCTTGGTGTAGGAGACTTTGGAGTGGTAGCCGGATGTGGAACCCTTTTTGGATTCTATGGCGGATTCGACCCGCTTGAGGCGGCGGATGATGAGGAAGGCGGCGATGATGACGATAATCAACAGAGCGATGGCGCCGCCGATTATACCGCCAAGTTGGGCGCCTTTGAGACCGCCGCTGCCGCCGCCGCCGTTATCCTTGTTATCTTTAGGGATGGCGGAGGCTTTGGGGACGGTGGTGGGGAGGAATTTCGGGATGGCGCCGGAGTTGTCGTCGGCGCCCGTAAGAGCGGGAGGAGGTGTGGGTGTGGTGAGGATGGCGGATATTTGGGTGGTGGTGATGGTCTTGCCGCCGGAGGTGGTGGTGATGATATCGACTAGGGTGGTGCTGAATGGCTCTGTTGAGTAGCATGCGTCGACTGCGCATCCCATGTTGTTCGGGCAGCAGCCGTAGTTGTAGGAAGATGGACAGAGTTTATAGCTGGCAGGGCATGATGTGAATGTGTTGGTTACCCCGTATGGTGCTATGCAGCCTCTCACGGCGTCACAGACCCAACCGTCGGGACAACATCCCTCTGATATTCGTCAGTTAAGAACCATGGGTGGCATGACGGGGGGAGAGAAATGAACTCACGTCCGGCGGTAATGGGACAATAATAATATCCTACTCTCCCGCACGCCGTACCCAATGCCGCTGTTGTCGCCGAGCATGCGTCGCTTGCACACTCATATTGATCTGGACAACAACCTCCTCCCAAGGACTCGGGACATAGCGAATGGTTGACCGGGCAAGTAAGATGGTCGTCTCCTCTTCGTTTCAGTCGTAATGGCTGCGGAGGAGGTGTGGTTTGTGGTTTCTTTGGGACCCTGTGAACTGTCTCCTTCTCCAGCAGTGCCTCCGTTTGCGACGCCATCGCTTCCTGGCCGAAGAGAGCCATGACAAAAAAGGCGACACACGAAGAGCACGACCAAATGCTACGCATGGCCGCTCTCTGTTTCGAGTTTCGAATTGATTGATTGTTTTCCCGTTCTGCTTACTGTTCCTCCCGTGATGGACCAGTGTTCGTTTTCGTCGCTTAAAGGCGTGGTCTATGCGGTCATCCGCTGTGGTTTGTCGAATGCGCCGCGAAGGCAGACGTTGACGATTCACCTGAGAGACGTAAAAGCTTGGAGGAGGGGAAGGATGTCTTGAAGGAGCCGTTTCCGATCGTTAAACGGGTTTCTGAATCAGTGAAGACCCAAGGAAGCAGTAGTAATCCTGCCAAGTGAGGTGCCTATTATTGCTGACAGTTCTTCCTAGAGGCGGAGCAAGTGAAGCGCCACGGGCCCACGGCTGGTATCCGAAGGGAACCGCCAGTAGGGCTGAGACAGCACATTAAACGCGGTGCGCGCAGACGGGTGATGGCAGGGCAGGTCGCCGACAATGGTTTCCGATCCCTGGTAATAAGCGTGATGACGATATGACGATGATGATGGTGGTGGTGAGATCCAAGGAAGATCCAAAGCTGAAGAGAAGAGAAAAAGAAGACGAGGGATGATGGCACCCGAAATCCCAAAGGACTGGGAGGAGATGGACCATTTCCGTCCGGTTCCTGTGGTTCCTGTGCTCTCATCTTGTGAATCAATACCACCTACCTGAAGGCAGCCTAGCTCCAAAATCCTAGTGTAGGTCTACTACGTAGAATACCCCAGGGCAACCATTGAGAAGCTCACATGCAGGCTGGGGAAGCACTCGGAGTGACTGCTCATACAAACATGCTCCCTCTCGAGGTGGTTTGACTGAATGTTTGACCTCGTCGTGCCTCATTCTCACTGACAGCGTGGGTGTTTTCCCTTTGTGGCGTCAGCTCTGGACCACTGGCAGCCAATGTGTTCTTCTCTTGTGTGCATCGCTAGTCTGTCTTGCAGACATTATGATTGGCCTACGAGGTAGTGCCGAATGGAGGGAGAATGGTGGAGGTGTCCAAGGGAGTGCAACTCTATGGTCCGATAAATCGAATATCGATACGACGTTTGTGCTCTGGTATCACTGCAGAACTGCGTCGGCGCGGCGGATACGTGAGGATACGGCGGAGAGCGAGGACGAGGCCACCAATGATGCGGCCCATGAAGGTCATGGTGACAAGCTCGTGCGCATCCCAAGGTGACCCAACTGGAGCACTTTTACTCGGAGTGGAGGGTACGGCCGAAATGAGTGAGATGAGGGATTCTCCTCTAGGGTTGGTATAAATGAGCGGTCCTCCCGCGGACCCAGACACCTCCCCTTCTTATAAGAATGCACAGTTGAATCAAATGTGGGTAAATCTCTGTATTGATCTATGTGTGTAGAAGAGTGCTGTGGAACTAGAGTTAGGGGCTCCCAGAGTATTAGGGAAGTCTGTAGCTAGATTCTGGGTGGCTAGGAGGCTAGTCCTTATTTAGAGTCCCTTTTTTATTGGCCGGATTTAACCATCTAAATTAATATACCTCCCCAATTGAAGTCTTATAGAGACAAAACTGCCCAAAAATAAAATTATTCATAGTATTATATAACTATCCCAGGATTTATCTCCTCATTAATTTTATTTATTTCGATATATACTATTATATTCTCCTGTCTTTTTAATTCCCTATCCTTTATTAAATTTATCCTTACTAGCTTTATAAACGCTATATACTTTTGGAAGTCTAATACTTTCGTTAAACCGTTTGTAAGTATTTTGGCCGTTTTTAAATATTTAATTTTTATTCTTCTAGTAAATACTTCTTATTTTACCTAAAATTTATAGATATTTACGTACTTGAACTTTATTACTAACTTTATAGCTTCTACGGTTAAAACTCTAATAGTTTATTAATTATTATAATCTATAGTAGGGATAAGATTAATTAGCTTTATTATAAGACTAATAATAAAAATTTTTATAAAGAGGGTTTTTTTAACTATATTAATAAATATAATAAATTCTACCTCGGTTGTAGAAGTAGCTATAGTTACTTATTTAGTAGTACCCTAGTAAATTAACTTACTAAAAAATTATATCATAAATTCTTAAGAACTTTTACAGTTTGTAAAGTTATTTATAAATAACGAATTTAAGGCAATCCGGAGTACTTTATTACTTTTATAGTAGAATCCTATATTATTAGTAGTATAGAGGTAATAGGGTACTTTATTTATAGCTTTATAATAATTTAAATCAAGATTATAATTATATTTAGAAAGATAGCTGGCAGCGAAAGTAATATTTAAGCGTATAATAACGGCGGCGTATAGTATTAAGCCTACTTTAATTTGATATAGGTATATTAAATAAAGGGAAATTTTACTCTTAAAGGGAATTAATTTAACGTTAAATATAGGGATTGAAATAATACGTTTAGTATTTGTAAAGTAGTAAATCTTTTATAAATACAAGTATTAAAATAATTAGATTTTTCTTACTTGACGGTTTCAAATAATTTCAATACTTAAGAACTATTATAATTCGTTTCCTCTAATTATATAGTATTATTAATTAAAGTTATTTATATATTTTTATTTAACGGTAATTTTATTAAAGTAATATACAAAAATTATATTATCGATATAATAAAATACGAGGATACTATTATTGATAAGGATATACAGCTCTTTAAAGATTAGTTCGAAACCTATTATTTTGAAAGTACTTACAAACTCTCGTTGCTAAAGGAATAGGGAACGTCGTAACCTATATAGAGCCTTAAATATTTTAAGAACCTTATTTAAAATCTTATAATTTAGAAGTATATATATATAAATATCTTTATTTATATAAGTATTAACGAAGGTATTAATAATATCGTATTAAATAAATTCGAAGTTAAATTGGGCGTTTATAATAATAAAAATACGGAAAGAACGGTTAACAAAGGTAGAGGCGTACGTTTTTTACTTTACCTTCTTTATTTATTAATTTTTACGGATAATGAGGCGGGCTTTGATTTTGTTGAATTTATTGATTTTAAAGAATTTATACGTATATATTTATATATAATTAAGGATTTGCTTGCTTCGAGTATATAGTTCGTCCTTGTTGACCTCTAACTAAATTTTTATTTCTTTATAGTTAGTAAAATGGGTTTACTTTATTTATTTAAAGAGGTTTCTAAAGATATAGTAGTTAAAAGATTTATAATTTTTAAGTATTGGAGGAAAATAGTATTTATAGATAAATTAGACTTTATTTATACAGATTAGGGATTCGAAATCTTCTTTAATAATAATCTTATTATTATAGATAAATTATTATGATTTTATTTTTATAACGGGTTTATTATTATATATTATTATAAATTAATAAAATTTATTAGTATTAAAGGCGGACTTTTAGAGCTCGAAATTTTTATAGATTTCGTTTTTAGTACGGGGGTTAAGATAGAAGCCGGCGAGGAAGGAAGTAGGCGGCGGTCAGTTTAGCGGCAATATATTTGGAAGAGTAGAATATTTATTATTGAAGATAAAGTTAATAAATATCCTTTTTACGAGGGTATTCGAATTCTTTAGCGGGGATTTTAAAAATATACAGTTAGTCTCTCTTTTTTAATAAGTTTAATTAAACTTTAGAAGGGAATTAAGTATATTATATATTTAGGTATTTTTAAAATCGATTCAATTACCAACAAAATCGGGGATTTCTAGTGTTAGAGCCGTTTAGTTATATTTTTAAAATAGTATAGTAAATTCGTTAAAGGATATTTTTAAAGATTGCACTTTAATTAATACTTTCTTAGAGTAGAACGTATTTTAATTAAATAATACATTATAGGTATTAATAATCGAATTATTAACGAAGTTTTAAATATAGTAAATTTTAGAAGCAGTATAGCCAACTAGGTACTTAATTTATACTTTAGGGTTTAGTTTTTTTAGCGCTTTTCTTCTTTTTTGTAGGCGGTTATAGTTATAGCGTATATTTTACAATTATAAATACGACGGTATATAATGTTTGGCTTGCGTGGAATTAGTAAATTAAGTTCGTTTCGTTTGGTAATAAAGGTATAGAAATGTTTGTATAGGGATTTTTAATTATAGAAGAGTTTAGGAGACCAACTTGTAAGGTAAATTATTATAAAAACGATTTTTAGTTATAGATTTTTAGTGAAATAAAATTTTTATATTATTATTCTAAGTGTTTCCTTAATTATACCTCCTGAATATTCTACGCTATTATTTTATATTTAAGTATATAGAGTAGAAGGCTTAGTAATTATATTTTTAAAGGCGAGGAATTTTTTTACTATATAGGACCCGTTGATTTCATTATTGCATTCGATAATCTTTAGTTAGATATAGTACCAAATATTTAATATTATAAAAAGATCGTTAAGGAAAGAGGCAATAGTAATAGTTTTATAATCTATTATATAGTAATTTTAAATATACCTAGTATATTTATAAGTAATAAATATAACGTTGGAATATCTTTGGCAATTCTTTATATAATTGAGAAAATTTATAATTAATCTCTTTCTTGGGCTATAATTATAGTCGCGGGGTTTACAGCTAATTTGTCGTTTAATTTTCAATAAGGTATATAGGTTATAGTATATAGTAGAGGGACTTTTAAAGCGGGTTCCAATAACGTTAATAAAGTAGTTGAGTATTTAAGAATTATAGTAACCGAGGCAGTAGTGTTAAATAATAGCTTCTTTTTTGTAATGTTTATAGCTATTAAGAGAGTTAAATTGATTGCGTTATATAAAGAAAGCGGTTTTAGAGAAAGAGGGTAAGAGGTTTTCGAAGATTATTTAATAGTATTATATTATAAAACAGTAGAAGAAGGAATAATTTGGGCTTTGAAGGTAATTATTAAGTAATTATTAGTTTTAATAGAGATTTTTCTTGCGAAGGAGGTAAAAGGAGACGAAGTTAGTTATAAAGTTGGGATAGAAGGTTATATTATAGAGATAGAATTTCTTAGGCCCTTTATATCCTTAGATTATAATATTTATATTATTATATTCTTTTAATAAGAATATAGGAATTTCTGGCCTAGAAATTATTATTATAAAAAGCGTAACGAAAATTAATAAAATAGGTAATTTCGTTGAAGATATAAAGGGAGTTACTAGAATTGAAGAGGGTACTATTTTTGAGAGGGTACGGTTTTAAATTTCTTTTTCCTATTTAAAGAGTCACCTAGTAAAAAATTATTTTGTAGTTGGCTATTATTTCCTAAGTACTTTCGTTAGAGAATTAATTATTTTTATTATTATTATTATTCTGTTTTATTTCCTATTTGAGGCAGTCGACTTTTTTCTTTAGCTTTAGGTTATTACGGAAGTTCTTTTTGACTTTATTTTAGACTTTTTTAATAGGTTTCTATTTAGGGTTAATTATTTTAGTAGGGAATAAATACTAATAATATTTAGTTAGGTAAAGGCTTTATTAATACGTTTTATAGCGAATATTTAAAGATAATAGTAAAATATTTATAATTATAATTTCGCGCTTCCTTTTATGATAATTTTAAGTTTTATTAAATTAAACATCTTCGTTTTTAATATTACTATCTTATAGATTATTAAAAATTAAGCCTATATTAAACGTTCTTTTATAACCCTTAATTTTACTAATATTAATAGGAAGTCGTTTGCTTAGTTTTTTACGGCGGAAATTCTTAAATATTAAATAAAAATTAAGGGTATTAATTATAACCTTTTTATTAAAGTATTTAGAAATATTAGATATTTAGGTAAGTTTAATTGGCCGTAGGTAGTTTAAAAGGTTTTTAAATTAAATGTTAGCTATAATAGTTTTTAGAATTTTATAGTAGATTACGTAAATTATTATAGTATCCTAACTATTTATTTATTTATTTATCCTTTTATTTCTTTTATTAAGTTTATTTAATAATAATTTAAGGTAATTGTAATATTTTTAGCGAATTTCAGTTTGAGTATCCTCCTTTTAGTAATTATAGCCGTCCTTAATATTAATATATTATTTAATTATAGATAGGAGGGATAGAAAATTATTAGTTTTATAGGAGGGGGATATAGATTTTTGTATTTATTTTCGAATATTAGCGTTGTTAGTCTTAAAGGATTTATAGATTTTTATATTATAGGATTAGTTAATACGGTTGTATTCGTATTCTTATAAATTAAAGGTTGTAAGGTTTATTAATTTAATTGTAGCGTCTTCGGTCTATTAATTTAGGGTTCGGTTAGTAGTCTCTATACCCTTTAGGAATTAGGGTACTTCTAGAGCTTCGGTTTTTACGTTTACGTTTATAATTACTATTACCGGGGCCGGGGGTACGTAAATTATTATACTAACTTTAAATTTATTAAAGACTTCCCGAACTCTTTTAATACAGCGGAGGGCTATAATTTTAGTAGCGTAATTATTAATACAAATAAGTGGGAGCTTTTAAACAGTTAACTCCAGCCTTAATACGAAATTAGTAAAGTCGAGATTTTTAATATAATTAAATAGTTTATTGCTCTAGTTACGAAATTTTGAGGGTTTATTAAGGTAGGAATGGTTGGTCTTTAGGGAGGATTCTTTTGATAGGGATATAGTTGTTTAATTTGGTCATTATAGGGGTAGTTCAAGGGGTATTAGTATGTAGATACTCGTACTTCTGTAAATATTAGTATAAAACGTAAATATCGCGAATTAGATTATTAATTATTAGAATGTACATTTGAATTAAATGTGGGTAAATTTCTGTATTGATCTGTGTGTGTAGAAGAGTGCTGTGGAACTAGAGTTGAGGGCTCCTAGAGTATTAAGGAAGTCTGCAGCCAGATTCTGGGTGGCTGGGAGGCTAGTTTTCATTCAGAGCCCCCTTCTTACTGGCCGGATTTAACCCTCCAAACTAACACTTCTGTGAGATGTGGGATCGAGGATGAAGTCGTGAGGGATGTAAGCGCTTACTACGCACGTTACCAGGAAGTCTGATGTTTTTGTTACCTTATCAAAGAGAAGTTTCAGTGGGAGGGGGATTTGGTTTGCCTTTCTTTTATTCGGTTGCCTAGTCATCTCACCGGACTAGTTTAGCCACGTCCCTCCATTATGAATCTCCAGCGGTATCCGCGCCCCTTGATGAACAACCGCAATAGGAGTGGGAATTGTTTGTGAAAGATGTTGAAAGAAGTGCAAGTCAACCGTGCGTGATATTGGGAAGTAATTGTTAGTGCGTATGATTGTCCGCACGTTCCAGGTAGTGGTCAAAGCGCGCTGATACTTTCTCATCCGACTTGTCTCCACCGTTGACAACAACCTCCACGACAGACGGCATGTTGGGTTGCTTCCCGGCTTCCAACATGATCCTACGGCTATATCGAGTTGTTATATCATCGGGCTGAGCGGTGTGGCACAGCAACGGGTACCACAGAGAGAGGCGCTCACTTCAGCAGATATTCTAGAGTTTCGAATCTCTTTGTGAAGAGGTACCGACAAAGAGGCTGCGAACGGTGTCCTGCATTGCATTCGTTACAGCACATATTGCTCGGCTTCGTGTTGGGTGGTCAAGGTGGTTGATGAACAAGACTTGCCGGCGCGGAGTTAAGTCTCCCCGCTTCGCCAATCGCTATAATAAGGGACGGAAGCCATCACAGCTTAGATTCCGGCATGTCGGTACGATAGTCGAGCGATTGCCTGCTTGATGGTAGAAAGCAGTATGCTCCGATCAACGTCCCCGGCGTGGTCGGTCCGAATACCAGAGTTGTTCACCGAGGTGAGAGCCGAACCGACTGACCTGCTGTGATTGACAATCCAATCTATTTCACCATCAAGTTATTGAAAGAGATATATAGAATATCTCATCACAATGCGGCTCTGATATTTCGGATCACGGTTAATGACGCCAACCCATCTTGAGAATGGCTTCAGGTACGGACTCTTTGTCAGTGGATGGGATCAAGGTGATGCAGTCTTGGACAGAAACAGAAGCCAAGTCCTTTTGATGACGACTCCATCTTCCCCGCGTTCCTCTTTCTGGGGAGCGTTACTCTTTCTGGGGAAAGGTGGAGGGACGGTGGAGGTGGAGGTTCCCGAGGTGGGGGAATCTCCGCACTTTCACGCTTCCTTCTCCGCACATTGGGCGAAATAAGGAACCGGCTGTTATGCCTCTCCAAGAAAATCTCGGAGGCAGACGAGCGAACATCTTGGAGGCTTGTTTTCTGCGCACCCCAACAGAGGACCCTTGTTCACGCTCCAAACCAAACTTGGCCTCCCTCGTGACCTTCACTCACAAGCCAAGACTGTTGTCGTCAACGTGTTGGCCGTAGCCGGCTAATAACCTCAATCCATCTTATGACATATCGTAGTCACCGCTCCTTTGCGTCAAGTCTCCATCTTTCATCATGAACACAGCTTTCTCGCTTTGGTCATGATCTGAAGTTTCCCGAACCTAGGGCTAAAACAAGTTGGATCCATCATCTCACTCAATTCAAGCTTTCCATCGGCACTTGGAACACACGCAAGAAACGATGCTTTCTCCCTAATCAAATCCAACAAGATGGATCCCGCCAGCGTAAAAATGCTTCTTTATACACGACTGGCTCCTCCAAAGGAGCCAAAGAGACGATCAAGAGCCGGTAAGTATCCACCCGGAATGCACTCTCGGCCCTAGTTCCCCCGTTGACTTGGAACCAACCTGCTCTAGGCTGCACCTTTTGGTACGTTGTTCCTTGTACCCTCTCGGTTTTCGTGAGATTGCTGCCCCGAATAACAAGTAGCTGACCTCTGGAAAAGCAAAGAAAAGGTTGGTCGAGCGCTTTCCGCTCTTACAAAAGTCTGTTACTGACCAAGCTTCAACACCACAGAAGAAAAAGTGTGATGAGGGACGCCCGCAATGTTCACGCTGCGTCGAGCACGGGGCGACCTGTGTCTATGAGGCCGTGCGGCCTCGAAGGCGTCGAAAGGCTAGCTTGGCGACATCATCATCAACTATATCCGACAACGATGGCTCTAGGAGGCTATCTCTCTCCCGGAGAATGTCGGACTTTAGCTACGACAGCGATAGCGTGAGCCCTCCGGAATCTACAGAGGTGGACTACCAGTTTCCACCACCGGACCTCCACCAAAGCACCTCTTGGAACGCACCTTCACCTACGCCGAGTTACCCTCTCATCTCTCCCACAGAGTCACTCTTCACACTGCCGGACTTGAGCCATGTCGAAGAACTGGCCGAGGATGCTGAAGATGGTGGCGGCTACGCTGCGGAATCATGGACGAACTACACAGCAGTTACTACAGTATCACGGCCAACGTCTTATTATCCAGACCTAGCCATGATAGCGCCATGTCCGGTAACATCACCTCTATTCGAATTCCACTCCCCGGCATTTTCAGAGTTCACGGATCGCCCCAACCGACGAGCTCTCGTAGATCACTTTTGTAATATCCTCTCCCACCTAATTGTCTTTCGTGAAGAGAGCGGGAACCCGTTCCAGCAGTTGGTGTTGCCATTGACACGGCAGAGCTCGCCTGTGCTCAACGCCATCTTTGCTCTTGCTAGCGCCCATTTGGAATATCGAGGGGTCCAAAACGAGGAGCATTCTCTCTTCTTCCACAACCAGGCCATTCAGGGACTTGGACGTCTAATAGAGCAAAGTGCCAAGTCGAACCGGAATGAAATTCTGGCGACTATCATGCTGCTCATCTACTATGAAGTGGTAAGGTTCTACACCTACTCGTCTGAGTCGGTAGTCATCTTTGCTAACTCAGCCTAATCTAGCTGGTTCAGAGAGGACGATCGAACCTTGTAGATGGTCACTTAAAAGGGGCACTTACCATCATGTGCACCAACCCCGAACCATCAGACTCTACCAGCATTTTTCTCGAACGGGTACGCACACACACATACACACCGTCAACTCTACTTGGCACTAATCACTAACAAATTCCACAACAGGCCTTCCGCTTCTACGACGTAATAGCCGCCCTCTCCAACGGCCGCGCCCCCCTCTCTGCCGCTCCCACCGCCGGCTGCCTCATGCCCTTCCCACCTCTCGGCGCCCCCATCGCCTCCCCCTTATCCAACGTCGACACCCTCCTCGGCATGGCCACCACTTTGTGGCCCATCATCCACCGACTCTCCAGCATCGTCACTCTGAAAACCGACCTCCAAGCCGCCATCTGGAGCAACGCTTCGGCTTCCAAGATCGCCGTCCTGCGAACAGAACTTGAATCAACCACGCAAGCCATCGAAGCCGCCCTATCGCGCTGGAAACCTCAACTACCACCCGGGTTTGTCCCAGATAGAGAAGATGAAGAAGAAGAAGAAGAAGAAATCAACGAGACTCGCCACCACCACTCAACGAAAATCGACGTCATGTCTCCGACGGTGGCTGAACGAAGTCGTCTCCACAGCATCTGGCACAACGCCCTCGCCTACCGGCACTCCGCCTTCGTTTATCTGTATAGGAGCGTGCACGGCTATCCGCGCTCGCACAGGGCCGTGCAGGAGCACACTCATCGGTCTCTGCTGCATTGTGCCGCGACGGTGAAGCATGAGGGGCCCATGGGTGCTTTGCTGTGGCCGCTGTTTGTGGCGGCGTGCGAGGCTGTAGGAGAAAATGATCGGGGCTTGGCGGAGCAAGCGTTTGAGAAGGTTAGGAAGAGGCAGGGGATGAGGAATATTGAGAGGGCGTGGGAGATTGTGAGGGAGGTGTGGAGGAGGGCGGATGGGGCTGAGTCTGGGTCTGGATCTGGGGAGAAGGGCGCGGTGGCGGGGAGGTCGAAGGGGCAGGAGGAGTTGGGCATGGGGGAGATGTCGCTGGGGGAGATGGGAACGGGAGGGGATTTGTGGAGGCAGGTTAGTAGGGAGATGGGGGTTAGTGTTGTTTTTGGGTGAGGAGAGGAAGCTGATGGAGGAAGAGAAGGACGTGATTCAAGCAGGAGACAGCAGGACGTCGAATGGGGAGAGATCTGATTTGGGGTGTTACGGAGTGTTGGGGAAAAGGGTTTTTTGATGTCATATGGGAGATACCAAAACTAGCCGATTCTGTTCTATATCTTTTCTGACGACTTATAGCGATGTGAAGCAAGTGGGTATAAAGGTATCACTACCATTTGCAAGCTGCATGTGAAACAGGGCTGCCTTTCAGTGACGGTTGGACTCCCAAACTCTCTGCTCGCTTGTTTCGGTTACACAAGGAGGTCCAAGCTCGGCACAACGATGTGAAGTAACTGAAGTTGGGGAGAACAGAAGCGGGGTAAAAAGCCCAGGCGTCGACAACGAGCACGGTGCGTTCAAAAATGCTACTTGGAGTTCCAGTTAACATGGAGCAGATCCTTTCAAGAAGGAATCTAGACTCCTCATGCCCTGAATGTCCACGCGAAGGCCGCAGATAATATGGAGTACCTAGAACCGTAGCAGCGGCGTCGATGATCGCTGGCTGGGCTCCAGCGGGAAGGAACACTCCCTGTGGAGTCACAAGCTTGACAGAATGCACATCATGAACTTGGGAAGGTGCGATGAACCAGCGATCAGGGTTTTTTTCCTGTCATTCTCGTGTTTCCACTTGTCCAATTTGTTCCTCGGACCTCATCCGAGATTCTCATCAACTTCAGCTGTGTGCTCGATGTCGTGACTATGTCGACGCGTCTCCCGACACCAACACCTCGGACAAATCTCCCCAAAGTGGAGCACACCGACAGTACCATCTCACTCATGTCGGATTTATCCCCACGCTTTACAAGCCAATTACATCTGTAGAAGAATAGTTGAAGTGCCAGCCTGCAGGTTCTTGTACAGGTGTAATTGGCCGTTGAACGTGGGGATGTTTCCGAAAAAAAGCGGTATCACCATCACCACCAAGCACGAGTCCACGACACCTTCGCTTCATTTCTCTCTCTCTCTCTCTAGACGTAGGTGATGGCGGTGCTGCACCTGATCGGACTGTACACATCACATTTCTCAACTCACCACTGCATTTCTCTCTCCCCAATCACGACGCCGACGCCGATTCGTGTAGGGGACGCGATTCGCTGAGGGCTGCAAATAGAGTGCTTCACGATATCCGCGACATCGGCATTCGATAGTGAAGCATCGTGGCCGCCGCCCGTGGTTGGCTCACTTTCTATTTACCACTCTACACGTGTAAAAGCCGCCGCCGGGACGTCCTTTTGCTTTCCCCGTTGCCCGTCTCCCGTTCGCTAGTCAATGGAACACGATGGGGGAGTTGGGGACACAGCCTGCACACAAAAGCGTTCTAGCCCAGCCCTGTCAACACGTCCCGCCCGCTTTTGCCTCCAAGCCGCGCTCCACGATAACCAACCTAACCTTTTCCTAAATGTGTCTTTTTTTTTTTTTTTTTCTCCGAGCGCTTGTCTTGTTCCTGTTTCTGTTCCTCTTCTCTGCTTCTCCCGGACTCATTCCGTCCCCGACACCAAGCATTGCTCTGGGGCACCACCGCAGATCTCGGTCGCGCTTCGGACGAGGGATCTGCTTGTTGCGATCCACCTTTTCAGGTCATCGTGCCATCTCTTCCTCCACAACCGAGTCCTCCACCTCGTTGTTTCCATACCGGATCCCCAAATCCAACCACGACACATTTCCATTCTTTGTCATCCAGCCATCGCCTCCGAGCACACAAACACGCGCCACCCAGGTACTTCCCCCTTCTTGTTTGAGCCTGTGTTTTTGGGTCGAGTCTGATACGACGTCAGGGACCAAGCCTAGCAAAGAACGAAATCCTGTGCTTGCGCAGCTTCCAGGTTGTCTTCGAGATCGGCATGCACAATTAACCCTTAGAATTATTTCCCCATACTTTCCACCTCTCCTTTTGGCCAGTCCTGCCAGTCTAGAACGAGGGGTCTCTGACGTACCGGTGCTTACACACCACCTGACTACGCCATCTTGACCGTTATTCTTCTACACCCTTTTCCGAATACCGAAAATGATCGTTGCCCTCACCAACAGCATGACCGATGCATAGGTAGTTATGCTATTGCACGCCTGTTAAGCGCGTCTCTGCTTCTTGCACGACACGGCAAGCCAACACAAAAGAGAGAGAGAGAGATTGGACGGAAGCTCGGATATCAAAGAAAATCTTATCCTCACATAGGCTTCCCCGCCATCCTTGGAGGTTCGCCAAGCGTCATCACTCAACACCAACATCACTTATCCCCCATCCCAACAACGGTTCCTCGACTATTCGCGTCAGGTTCCACGGAACTGCTTCGAGAACTGAGAATATTTCCAAGTTTTCTGGCAAACCATCATGGGTTTGCTATAAAGATATGCCCGAAATGACCCTGATTACCGCACCCCTGCCGCCTCCCAAGCAGATTCGCTTTGTAAACAACCAAGGCCAACCCCCTTCCAAGAGGCGGAGGATCAACGCAGCGTACGTATTCCCCTTTTTATATCCCCATCATACCACATCAGTCTTATGATGTATGTTGTCATCCCATGTTGTAGCCCGTATATGAGCTCTGTCTAAACCAACTCATCTTAACAGATGCTTGACATGCCGCAAGAGGAAAACCCGATGTGCCGGTGAGAAGCCGGTCTGTTCGACCTGCACAAAGAACGGACATCAGTGTCAAGGTTATAACGATCTGGTTGAGCGAAAGAAGGAGGACAGCCGGGGTAACGGCCTGACAAAGATGACGAAAGGTGATCACGACCACGTTGCCGGGGTGAAAAGGGAGGCCGAGGATGATGAGCATTCCGATGACAACGAAGAGGAGGACGAGGAGGAGGAAGATCACCACCGGCAATGGAAGAGCAAGACGGCCCCAGCGAGCAAAACGGCCGGCTTTGCCGTTGTTGATGGAGATGCTTCCATGAGGCGTGATTCGATCCCAAACCATAGTTATTCAGGCACCCGGCCACGGGGACCTAGTAATGATTGGGGTCAGGATTCAAGGTCACCCAGCTCTACGAGAACGGCTAGACAATCCAACTCGAACGGCATTCGATCACCGACACAGCACCATAAAGGAAGAAGGGACCGTATACCATATTTCCGCTACTTTGGTCCCACGGCGATTGTTCCCGGTTTCAAGCAGAACCTGCCCAAAGAACCCTCGTATAGGGATCCACGGTTCATGGGACCGGGCTCGTCAGTCGCAACAACACCAACGCCATCACATCACATACAGCCCAGAACGATCCAAGAAACACTCAAGGACATTCCTACTCTGGAAGACATGCCAGTATACTCCAACGACGACTCCAAGCCGGTGCCCGAAATCATCAAAGTCTTGGTCAAGACCTTCTTTGTCCGTCTGGGTTGCAATTACCCCTTCTTGAAGGAGGAACGCTTCATGCGCCAGCTCGAGGAGAAGCAGGTGGAGCCCATCTTGGTCGATGCCATGTGTGCGCTGGCTGCCCGATTCTCCGAGCTGCCTACCTTCACCAATGAGCAGGACGGCAACAGAGTTCCCAAGTCCGAGTATGGTGATGTCTTTGCTCAACGAGTCAAGAATGCCACCGTCGAAATGTTTTCCTGTCCGTCAGTTGCGGCTGTTCAGGCCTTTCTGCTCATGGCATACGAAGCTTTTGGCGCAAACCAGGACAGTGCCCTTTGGATGTATTTGGGCCTTGCCATTCGCATGGCTACTGACCTAGGTCTTCAGAAGAAGGAGGGTGTCAAATATCAAGGGTCCCGTGATCCGTGGTTCACCAGGAGGTGGCTAAGCAAATACAACGATGATTTGAACTCACCTACGGACAATCAAGAAGAGGAGGAAACAATTAGCCCGGAAGAGCAAAAGGAAGTGGAGCAGGCACGCATCGACACGTTCTGGGCAGTCTTCATGCTGGACAGAATCATCTCATCCGGCACAGGCAGGACAGTCACTTTGCGAGATGACGACATTGGTTTGGAGATTCCCGAACCAACTCTCGATGAAGAGGGATGGCCAGATCCCTTCCCGGCTTGTATCAAGATAATTCACCTTTACGGTCGGGCGTCAGATGTACTCAACAACATCAGGGATGCGAATGATCTCACGGAGGAGAGCATGAAGAAGCTGCGGCAAATGGAAAGCGACTTGACGATCATCTACTCGAAACAACACGAGCGGCTGGTATTCAATACCCACAACTTCAAGCACTACGTCGAGGCTGGCCAAGGAACCATCTTCATACTGCTTCATTTCTGGTTTCATGCCATGATCATTATCCTCCACGAGCCAGCACTGCTCACGCCATTCGGTAAGCTCACCAACATTCAGCTGCTGTCTAACAGTCGTGAGCTGGCCAGATCGAGCGCAAAGACCATTGCGGATATTGTTGCTTTTGCCGAACTCATCGATCATCAGAGCTACATTGGTAATCCTTTCACTTCCCAGCCCATCTTCATCGCCGGATGCGCCTTTCTCAAAGAGTCTGCATTGAGTGCTTCGAGCCCACCATCACGGGAGCCATCACCAGGACCGAGCAATAAGAGTACTAGCTCGAGGACACATGGCGGACGTTTGGGCATACCGTCCGATAATAGACCGCGACACTCCTTACTCACTTCAGCCGCGGCCGCGAACTACGCGCGCTGTTCTCAAGCACTTTCACGCGTCGAACAATACTGGGCAGGAGTCGGGTACATCTTCAACGCCCTGGAGCAGAGATCGCAGGGCATTGAGGACTGTGAGACGTTTCCACCGGGAGAGCTCGAGCGTGTGCTTGCTCGGACCCGCCAGGCTTCGGTTCAGCGACTGATGCAGTTCGAGAATCCGATCCCACCTTCGCCAGGTGTGCCACCGATTGCCTTCTCGCTTACTGGTACCACAAACTCGCCCAACTCGAACCTAACAAGGCTCTATACGAACACGTCCGGTACGACAAACTCGCCCAACTCGAACCTGACGAGGATATATACAAACACGTCCAATCCCACCATGTCCAATCCTTCCATGTTGAATCCTTCTATGCCACCAGTCGCTTCGCCTCTTCCGCCTCCATCGCAGCCTACCACGGCCGCGACGCCACCCGGAAACATGATCTATGATCCAATCCGGCAGGACACGCCAGCGGTGATGTTCCATCCGCCGCCGTATCCGCAGCCCAATGTTTCTGCAGTAAGGTATCAGGGCCGTTCCTCTTCGTTCAACCACCTTCGCGATAGGCGTTCCACTTCCATTTTAAGCAGGGGAACATCCCTCAAGTACGAAACACCAGGCTCGGATGACATGACGGTGGGATCAGACAGTCCAACCATCAGCGAATCGAACTTCAACGCCTATGGGAAGAGTCTCAGCCCAGCCTTACCACCGCTCGCACCTCCGCCTCATCGTCACTCATACATGAACACTCCATCAACGCAACATTCAAGCACTCCATTCGACAACGCCCTATTATCTCCTTCATCGGGAACCTTGACAGACCCAGGAGGGATGCACCATCAGAATCAGAATCAACATCACAGTAACCATCAACAACAACAGCAACATCACGGACACAGCGGTCACAACGGTTCCCCTTCCTACCAAACCCAGGCCCAGAATCATTACCAACAGCAGCACCACAACTCATACGGTAATAACAGCAACCACAACAATACCAACAACAGCAACGACAATACTCACAGTGACTACTATCATCAACCAACCTCACGCCCCAGTCCCAGCCCCGGACTCGGTGTAGTCGATCCCTTCAACCAAAACACCTTCTCAACAGGTCTTCACTCGGCTTTCACGCACGACTTTATGTTTGAGTGCGACGAGATCAACCTCCAAAACTTGCCGGATGTGTTGGGTCTGGACGCCGTCGGGGATAGTAATATGATGGAGTCGTTATCTACTATTGACGCGTATGCTTGGTGTGGGTTGTTTGACGAGAGCTTTATTACGGGCGGTGATGGTGGTGGGAATGGGAATGGGTCAGGCAGCAATGGCAGAGGAAACGATGATGATAGCGGAGGAAGGCGTGGAGGCGACCATAGTGGAGGAGGGCATGGAAACAGGCATGGGAACGGGCAAGGAGGTGATGGACGAGGTCATCATCGACAGGGGCAGCAGTGACAGATGTCGATGTCGATGATGACGATGATGGATAGTGGATGGTGAATATGATGGATGATGGATGGGAGGCGGTTGTGAGTAATTTGCAAGTTAAGGGAGCAAGGCAATTGGGAAATGCGTCAGTAACAAATGAAATGGATCGGGTGGCTCGGTGGTTGATGATTAATGATAAACACGCACACAGCAAGCAGTAATACTAGTTTTGGATAGCGTTGGGAATCACGGGAGGCAAAGTTGGATAGTTTCGTGTCGGGTGAATGAGTGGGTGGGTGAAATAAATTGATTTTTAGCGTTGATCAAGAATTCGAGGGCGGTTCAATCCTCTCTTCTGGTGACGGAGCAGTGAACGTAGATGAGCATCAAGCATCAAGGTGCGCATCATAACAAAACATCATGACAACCAACAGAACGACCACACCAGCCCAACAACAGGTAAACATCTTCTTCCCAATGTCCCAACCCTTGAGCTGAGAGACAAAGTGAAAAAAAAAAAATGAAAAAAAAATTGGCAGCGTCTCTTTGAGTAGCGTGTCATCCTTAGTGCAGGGGCCATGCTAATCTTCTCTGTATCGTTTCAAATTGACCAAATTGCCCCGAAGGGCGAGGAAAAAAAGAAGGAAAAGAAGAGCAAAAGAGGGACCGGGTGGGCGAGGTTTTATACCCTTCTGACAGTAAAAGAAGGGGGTCTGTGCACGAGTGAAAATTTTGGGAGTTTGGGTGGGGTTGGTTGTGGGTTTTTTGCCGGACTGTTGGCGGCCTGTTGTCAGACTGAGAGTTGCCAGGTGCCAGGTGCCAGGAGGCTGGCTGGCGCTGTCAGCTGTGCTCTCTCAGCCACGTCTGGTGAGGGAGATGACAATGGGGCTGAGGATGATGAGGATGAGGCTTGAACCGAAGAACGAAGTTGAGTTGAGTCACTGCAGTGCACAGCGCGACCGGTGCTCCCATGTCCATTTCGCTGCAACAACTTTGAACGGGACGGCGAGACGACTGGAACTGGGAACCGCAAGCCGGAAAGTTAAAGAATCATGTGCATCCGGATTCACCTCTTCCCTTCGTCGAGAGAATCAAAAGCCACGATATCGTAGCCTCAACAATCCCAGCGTCCAAAGTCTACTAGACATCTTTGTCAAACACGGGGACACCCATGATGGACCTCTTTTGGTCTTGGATCTGATAAGGGGGACCTTGATGGATTTAGACAAAACAATTGGCGGAAAAGATCTTATCGATAACTGTCGCATGTTCCCTTCATGCCAAAATTTCGAGACCCCGAAATCGGTCCACTCCCGTCCCGCGGCGCGCATCCTAGCGAAGCGAGCTTTTTTTCTGTGACGATGACTGTGTGACTGACACTGACGAAGATAACCAGGGGCAGTTTTTAGTTGCTCACACATGGCGTGACTGATTTGTCTTTGGATTCTTGTCAATCGCATGTTTGTCGTTGGCATCGTTGTAAATAACTTCTTTTCAATTGAACTTTTGTTGTTATCGTCGTTGTCTTCTCGTCCCTGTCAATCCCGTTCACGGCCGTCCCAGCGAATCAATCCACTTATACGTTGTCTAATCTGGGGAATTGACTTTCCGTCCTCGGCCACCACCTAATCTTTGCTATCTACCCTTTCCCTCACCGGTTGAGCCTCTTCTCTCTTGCATCTCCCTCCCTCCCTCCCTCCCATCCGGTGCTCCTCTCCGTCCGTCCGCCCGTCGCCATGGCCTTCCGCACCGCCCTCCGCCGGGTCGCCGCCATCAACGCGGCGCCTGCCACCCGCCTCGCCGGCGCCGGTGCCGCTGCCGCTGCCCGCCGCTCCTATGCCACCGCCAGCCAGCTCACCCACCCCGACCCGACCGAGGACTCAGCCAGCGGCAAGATGGTCCGCGAGCACGTCCCCTACATGGTGACCACCTACTCTCGCCCTCCTCCCGTCTTCGTCAAGGGCAAGGGCTCCTACCTCTGGGACTTGGAGGACCGCAAGTACCTCGACTTCACGTCGGGTATTGCTGTTAACTCGCTCGGTCATTGTGACGAGGAGTTTTCCAAGATTATTGCTGAGCAGGTGCGTCATTCTTCTCTCTACCCTCCCCCCTGTGTCCTAGATAACCGACTAACACCCAATCCCTCTCCCAACAGGCCCAAGAACTAGTCCACGCCTCCAACCTCTACTACAACCCCTGGACCGGCGCGCTCTCCAAGCTCCTCGTCGAATCCACCATCGCCTCGGGCGGCATGCACGACGCCTCCTCCGTCTTCATCTGCAACTCCGGGTCCGAAGCCAACGAAGCCGGCATCAAGTTCGCCCGCAAGGTCGGCAAGGTGCTCGACCCCTCGGGTTCCAAGATCGAAATTGTCTCCTTCCAAAACGCCTTCCACGGCCGCACCATGGGTTCCCTCTCCGCCACGCCCAACCCCAAGTACCAGGCCCCCTTCGCGCCCATGGTGCCCGGTTTCAAAGTGGGCACCTACAACGACATCGCCTCCATTTCGTCGCTGGTAACCGAAAAGACCTGCTCCGTCATCGTAGAGCCCATCCAGGGTGAGGGCGGCGTGATGCCCGCCACCGAGGAATTTCTGGTGGCGCTGGGCAAACGCTGCCGCGAGGTGGGCGCTTTGTTGCACTACGACGAGATCCAGTGCGGCATGGCCCGCACGGGAACCTTCTGGGCGCACTCCTCCTTGCCCAAGGAAGCCCACCCGGACATCCTGACGACCGCCAAGGCGATCGGTAACGGCTTCCCGATCGGCGCCACCATCGTCAACGAGCACGTTGCCTCCAAGATCAAGGTCGGCGACCACGGTACTACCTTTGGCGGCAACCCGCTTGCGTGCCGCTTGGCGCATTACATTGTCGGTCGGTTGGCCGATAAGGGACTCCAAGAAGGAGTCAAGAGCAAGAGCGAGATCTTTGTCAAAGGGTTTGAGAAGCTCAGGCAAAAGTTCCCGAGCTTGATTAAGGAGGTCAGAGGTAAGGGATTGATTTTTGGCTTGCAGTTGAGTGAGGATCCTACGCCGGTTATTAAGGCGGCGAGGGAGAGGGGACTGTTGGTTATCACCGCGGGAACGAATACGCTCAGGTTTGTGCCGAGTTTGCTGGTGACGGAGGGGGAGATTGAGGAGGGGTTGAGGATTTTGGAGGAGAGTTTTGAGGAGGTTATGGTTAAGGCTTAGGAGTCTTGAGTGAGGTGGTTGGGATTTGGAGTTGGTAATGTTTGAGCGGATTCGTTTACATTAGCTGGATGGATGTGTATAGGGGGGTACATAAAAGGCCTGGCTGGGATGGATGGATGGATGCTGTACGGTTGATGGGGTTTCTTTTTGCTAAAATGGGAAGACAAAAACAGTTCAAATTCTTTAACTTACGTGCTCGGCTTGCTATTGACCGTGACTGCTGCGCCTAGGTAGCTGACTATTCTCAGTAGCTGTGATACTAGAAGGAGGTCGGTCAGCAGCGATTAAGCCATACCTACCGGCATATACATATGAGACCGGGAGGGAATGTTGTCTCATATTCAACTAACAATAGCCTCCCCGAGGTCCAGATCTCCGAAGAAAGTTCCTAAACATCAGGTAGCGACACCTTTACCATGTCGCTTCACTCCTCATTGAAAAGTGGTGAGTAGGTACTTGGAAGATCAAAGTCTTCAACATGCTTACCTTCTTGTTGGGGGGTGACTGCCGCTTTGCTTCACTTACTGTTTCCTGGCTGCCTTGTGGACTTGACCAGTAAGTATCACGAAGTGTGACGGAAGGAGGGAGGTCTGTCCTCAGCGGTTTGAAGCATGTCGTCATGTCATGTACAAGACCCAGAAAGAATGTGTCTCGCCTCTATTGTCAATAGTCACCCACCTACCTGGAGCGCCTAGACCCCGACGATCTAGACTCGGGTCACTTTGATCACTCTATTTACCAAGCTGGTAGTACGGTACTTCCTTTGTACATCCATCCGTCAATACTCTCCAACCATCCATCCTCTCTCTCTGAGGGGACCGGAGGACCGACCCTCCAAAAGAGGTGTCCCGACGGAACAAGTGAGAACAAGAACGTGACAGCCAGCCCCTTCTTCATCTCCCACCCATCTTGCCCTCGGCTCTGTGCTGTGTTGAGGTGCCGCTAGCCAGCCAAACCCATCCATCCCATCCTCTCCAGCATGTGAAAACACGTTTTACCTTTAATGTCCTCATAAGCAGCCCACAGCTATGGGTTGGTTGATACACACACCATCCAACGAATAAACACCCATGATAGAAGCTCAATTCCCAGATTATGAGCTTTTCAAAGATAGGAAGAATTATGGGGAAGGAAGGAGATGAGCCCCATCTCTTCATCACTTCTTGGAGGTAAGTACCATCCACGGTAATTCAATGCAATGCCATTAGAAGGCTACTTAGAAGATGAGTGAGTGAGTGAGTGACAGGATGAGGTAGGTTTCCGGATGGATGCTTGCTCGACGGCTGGCTTCGAGAGTACAGTAAGTAACTCGGGAGATAACAAGATGACGAGATGACGAGGTGACGAGATGACGAGGTGAGGTAATATCTCTTGCACAGTGAGTGGCTTGATCATGGTCACAAGCTACCTACCTACATATGATACCTTTAGACCTGACTCATTTGATGCCATCCATCGCCCATCAATTGTTCGTTCACAGTCGTTCGTTCACCTGGTTTGGTGATGGAGTGAGTGCTCTTCCAGTCCAGTCCGGGATAAGGTGTCTCCAAGCTAGGTACACTACGATTTGGCATCTACTCTACTACTGGTTGTTATTGGTCGTGCTATCTATCTATGCTGGTCGATATTATGAGGGATATTGTAGGATGGATGTTCTGGAGATTCGTTCAAACGACATTCGTCGTTGGCGATGGTTGGCAACCGGAAGCCTGTCCGGTTAAGTACATCTAGTAATGATGGGGTTCTAGAAGATGTAATAGAGCCACTTTGAGTAGTAATCTCCGTGTTCCTCCTCCATCCATTGCGGTGACGAAAGGAAGCTACGGTCGATATCCGATTCGTACTTACCTAGACTGTCTGATGGTCAAGAAAGTATGGAAGGAGCTGCCATCACACCTTCCTCCAACGTCAGGAACGGTTTCAAACCTTAGAGCAGCAAGCCGGCCTCAATCATCGATTGGCGAGTTCCATTCGTTCTAGTTTACTCTAGTTCCTCAGTAATGGTGAGGGGAAGTAAACACCATCCTGTCCAACACCACTCATTGGTGACCAAGGCACGGCCCGTGATGAGACCTGATGAGACCTCATGGGATTTTGTGGGCGTCGTCATTTACAGTTCTTAACCGAATTGCAAAGATACCTTCGCGGTCACCAGATTGGTGGTTTGTAGATATGCTGAACCACCGGCCCGGGCCCGGCAGGTCTACTTATCTCCGCCCGGATCACGGACAGCCAGTCATCCACCCAAGACCTTAAAATCGGCACATCGCTAGTGGGGATATGGGGAAAATCTAATCTTCAGTTCAGTTAGTGTGGTCTGTTATATCCGTGCAAGTCGTTCTGAACCAGTCATTCACTCTTCATGTAGTCCAAGAAGTTGAAATTCACCAGTGAGCATCACGTAGGTACCTCTAGGTTTGGTTCTCGTAAATGAATGCAAAAGTTGCTTTTTGCCTATCCTAGTCTATCTATGTACACCGAAACGAGTGAATCCATCCATCCATCCCGCCCAGCCAGATGATTCCTATCCGAGTTTCCCTTTTTTTCTCCTTAGTCCGTTTGGTATCGTCATCAACAAGCCAAGCCAGCTGTGCCTCCCTTTGTTTGTGTCATCATAACGTGAAAAATTGAAATCGAAAACGCCTTGTCATAAAATGTTGTCTTGCTCGTCTAGCCAACCACTTCCTTCTGCTACTACAACTGCCACCACACATGTCCAAAATTCCCGTTGTTTGTTTGTTCGAGATGTCTTGATTTTGTAATATTCAGAAAGAAATTGGGTTTTGAAAAAAAGTATACAACCTATCCAAGTACAACTTGCCAGGTGTAATACGGGTTTATATAAACTTGCGGCAAAAAAGAATGTGCGAATTGAAGTTTGAATTCGATCAGAGATCGGCAAAAAGGTGAAAAATAGCCAGCTAGCTGACTAAAAATCTGAATATTTCAAGATAAAAAAAAACAAAACAAACGGAAGATAGGTGTTTTAGATGTGGGGTATCATCTTGTGCTGTGCTGTCCACTCCTCTAAAATGTTGACTCCTTAGTTGGAGAGGTGAGCGTGACGCCTCTGGTAGCGACCAAGCTTGGGGCCGTTGGCGAGGTGCCTCTTGGCGATCATCTTGAGCTGGGCGCTCTCGCCGGCGGAGCAGCTGGTGCCGGCAGCCATCTGCATGACGGCGGACCAGGCGCCGCTGGCGCAGCGCTGGAAGGAAGTGCCGGCGATGCAGTTCCAGGCGCCCTCGGAGGTGCAGGCAGCGCCGACAGCGTAGGCGCCAACAGTAGAGCCGTTGCCGGGAGTGGTGCCGGTCGCAATAGGAGCGGGAGCACTGACGACGACGGTGGCGCTGGGCTTGGCGATGCTCTGGAGGGTGGTCTGAATGGGAGCCTGGGTGGTAGCGACGGTGGGAGCAGAGGTGGCGACAGCGGGAGCGGAAACAGAGGCGGAGCTCACGACAGCGGCGGCGCTGGAGCTAGGGGCGTTGACAATGTCGGTGGCGGAGGGGAGGAAGATGCCGCCCTGGTCGGAACCGACCGAGGGAGCAGTGATGAAGATACCGCCGGGGTTACCGCCAGCAGCAGCGCTGGTCTGAGCGGGAGCGCTGGTGGTGATGGGAGCAGCAGCAACCGAGCTGGAGCTGGAGGCACCGCTGCCAGAGCCAGAACCGGAACCAGAGCCAGAGCCAGAGCCAGCAGCAGGAGCAGCAGAGGCACCGCAGGTTCCCTCAGGGCCCTTGAGGGGAGCACCCGGAGCGTTAACCACATTAGGGCCGGGCTGGGGGTACTGGACGTCAAAGTTCTCGTCGGTCTTGCAGCCGTTACCGATGTTGGCGACGAAGATCTGAGGGCGAGTGGAGAAAGCGGCGCCGGCAACCTCACGCTTGTTATTAGCAGCGATGGTGACGGGAGCGCAGTTCATGTACATCTCGCGGTTGCCGATTCTGTTGTGCCAGGTCCAAGCAAAGATGGCCTCGCCGGGCTGAGTATCGGCGGGGATGGTGAAGTCGTACTTGCCAGCAAGAGGGCAGTCACCAATGTAGGACTCGATGACAGTGAAGGAAGCGCCCTTGTCGTAGCTGAGAGAGAGCTGGCAAGAACCGCCGCCGTGGGTGGCAGTGCCGGCAGTGGTCATGTTGTAGGTCTGTCCGGGAACGAAGGTAGCAACGCTCTTGCCGGAAGGAGTACCAAAGTCGACCTGGTAGCCCTTGCAAGGATAGTCGGCGCCGGTATCCTTGAGGGGAGCGGTCATGGAGTAGTCGATGCTGCCGGGGTTGGCGTTGGGGTTGAACTTGGACCTGAAGGGGGGAGGGTAGGACATTTCGATGTGGGCGGAGGCGATCTGGGCACCTGCAAGCAGGGTAGCCACGAGGCCGGTGGTGAAGGTGTTGTACATCATTTTGATGGTTGATCTAGTTGTTCTTCTTTTCTCGTTGAGGGAGTGTGTAAAGTCGAAGTCTTGTTGTCGAGTGTTTTTGTGAGAGAGAGTGAGTTGCACGAGTCTTGGGAGTTGATATGGTTGCCGGGTCGATAGATGAGCACTGCTCTATGCTATTGACGCAAGTGAACAATAAGAAGGAATGAATAAGGCCGTGCCGTTCTGTATGGTGGCTAATCAGGTATTGTGTGAATGGTTCGTCTGAAGAATGGGTTGTCTGAGTCAGGACGAAAGGTCGTAGTCAAGCACCAGGCTAGTGATACGCTGAGACAATGGCTGAAGAGCCGAACAGGACTGGAATGTAGAGAAAGAGGTTTTTGAAATCCCTTGACGGGGTGGTGACAATAAGGACAGACTTAAAGTCGAAGAGAGAGAAGACGTGTAAGGGAGTGCCGTGATCGTCGAGTTGGGATGGTGAAGTGTATCGGGGAGTTGGATGACTTTTATGTTTCCCAGCTGTCGGTTCGTCTGGAGTCGATTGGGTGGGAGGGGCCGTTGCCGGTAGCGCACCATGCAGGTACCTTTTTTTGTTTCGAACGCCACCCACTGGGCACCCACTGGACACCCACTGGACACCCACTCGGCGGATCTAGTGTAGCCCAATGTTTACATCCCCTGTCCGGCCTGCGAACCTCGTGTGCCCCCCCTGCATTTTCCACACAACCCTCCACCTTGGGGTCTTGTCACTGCGGGTACCACGCCGTCTGACGACGCTGAGTGGTCTACACTCTCGGTAGAGCAACTCGCTCGCTCGTGATGAAATGGCCACTCTGGATCAAGCTTTTTGGGTTTGGCTTCTGGAAATCTCGCGGAGATCTCCTAGGGTTGCCGTATTTGGAAGATATGGCCGCAAGTGTGTGAGTGGGCGGGTGAATGACGGCCGGTGATACACTGTTGTCCTGGCTCCTGTCCAGTGAATGGCTTGTGATGCCGTGTTGCTTCGATATGTGTGATCGTGTAATGTTCAACCGTACGTGTTCGACCGTGGTGGTGGACCATCACTTGATAGAGACCTCTTCTTGATGAGACTGATGAGACTGATGAGACGAGACGTACGTCCCCCATGGGGCCCTTGGTCAACGTGACTGCCGTTCTTTGGGCTGCGACTGGTCATTCACCGTTGTCAGCCGTTGTTACCGGTTGTCGATCCCTCAAAGCGCGAAAGGATAAAAAAGAACAGGCGCGGGCTCAGCGGCAGTGGTGCAGTAGCAGCGGCAGCAGACGCAGTGAGCAGTCGGGTCAGCGGCATGCAGCATCCAATGATCCAATCCCGCTGCTTTGGTGCCTGGCTTTTTGGGTGATGGTCCAACCTGGAAACGCTGACGCTGCATCAACAGCTGGCGGTCCTTTGTCGTTTGTGATTGGCCGGGACAGCGTGGCAGCCGGTGGAGCCAGCTGGTATGGAGCCGCCCGAACCGAAGGGCCTCCAGAGAATCCACTTCCCTCCTTCTCTCATTCTGAAACACTCGCCCTTCCTCGCTAGACTCGCACGCATGAAAAGGCCTGTGCCACGCCTCCGCAGAGCGACATCTTGAAGGCCCGTCCGGTGTTCCTATTGGTCCCTATTGGTGAGCTTCACCTGTCAAGACGGCCAAACCCTCGGACGACCAGAACAGCGGTGGTCCACAAGTGGTCCGTGGGCTCGTCCTCCGATGGCCATCCGCGAGTTGTTGACGAGTCCCAAGACCTCCCAAATCATGCCATCCCGCTCTGTCCGCCATTCATAAGAGGCCATCATAACATGACCCATGATGCCCGTCCATATCCCATATCCCCGGGCTGTGTTGATCCCTCACTCTGTATTCAGTGGATGGGAGGCCCGGGGAGTGGATACATAGCACGCCATGGTCCAGAAGCAAGTCACTTGTCTAAGGACGCCGCCGGTGGGAGGATGATCGGCAGGGACCACTGGAACCACAGGGACGACAGCGGACTTGGACGAACGGGAGCCAGTATCGACACTTCAACCGGCAACCACTGCCACCATCACTCGGATTCTGAAGCATCTAGCCGCGGAGCAATCGCTCATGGCCGGATGATCAACCGAGACGTTGTTTCTACGCCCGTATTCCCATTATAGCGGATTATAGCCCTCAATGGCCCTTGGGAGTATCTGTAGGTACCTGTTTGACGGGATCATTCATCCACCAGACATGGCAGGACAACTCATGGCTGCCGCGGCAAGCGGCGTATCCAACAACAGAGTCACCGTCACCGCCCAAACGTACGCAATCGCAAATACTGCTTTTTCCTTTTCCCAGCAAACAGAGAAAAAGAAAGAGAGAGCAAAAAAAAAGTCGCTGTGCGGTGTGACACAAACAGGGGAGACAAAAAAGAACAGAATCATCCAGATCCCGAACCAGTCGTATCCCGAATCAATGCCATGACGCAGAAAAGTGGCTGTGTGAGGCGCATTCAGCCGCTAGCTGAGGCCACCACTCTGGATGGAGTCTGGAGTCAAGGTAGCCCTGGCTTTCAGCACGCGGTCCGGCCAAGTTCCAGCAGTGCCTTCAGCTCCCGTCCTCGACCCCAGGTTTTCGGTTTCATGTCTTCGAACCCTTATCATATCAAAAGGTGGAGAGGATACGACGACGTGACGGGGGCACGGGGAGAAGGATCATGAACAAGTGCAAAAAGAGGAGATGGGTGGTTACTACCGCCGTCCTTTCACTGGAATGGAGGCTCAAGACTTCAACAAGGGACGAACACCACCATCTCAACGACTAAAGGGGGGCCGGCCAGCCCTTCACCTCTACCTCGTGAAAGTGTCATACCACAGCACAACACAGCACCAGATGACAGACCAAATCACCAGCGCATCAAACCCACGATGCAAAGAAAAATGATGATTTATGTGCGCTTTTTGCTATCGTAGGTATGGCAAAAAATAGCGCCTGTAAAACCTCATCTCAACCTCGAGATGTACCACAACGACACCACAACGACGGGAAGGATTCCCTTTTCTGTCCTACACTGCACTCACAACTCAGGAGACACTGTCCGTGTTACCAAGTACAAATCCCCCCTCCTTCCCGAACGGGATTCCCTGTCCGACCCCTGGCGGCGGCGGCACATATGTTCACACAGACAGACAACACGGCGGCACATATGTTCACACAGACAGACAACACAGCAGCACATGTTCACAACAATGATCAAGTTGCACACCGAGGTGGTGTTGCTGCCCAGAGAGAGTTCCCACAGCTTGCTTCTGATTTTCAACTAAGCTCAAAGCTCAAGTCAAGCTTCCCTAGCTTTCCCTAGGTAGCTTCTCCAATAGGCAAGGTCATGGAAACAAAAGAAACGCATGAACTTCTATCCCGTAATTCTAGCTCGCGCCTCGGACATTTTTTTCCTTTCTACTACGTACCTACTAAGCCACATTGGATCTTGCGAGACTTGTCAACACTCGCGAAAGTTGCGAAACTTGAGAGGGAGACCCTAACCTTTGCCAATAATGCAAGGTCTAATAGAGTGGTACCTATCACCGGCGCCCTCGCGCGCGTGTTTCACCTTTCAAAAGAGGGACGGGACGATTGGCGGGACGGCAATTGAGACTTGCAGAGAATTATTCCAGTCATCCAATTGAATTGGAAGGGAGTGACATTCATCGAAAAGGCGCGATATTGTTCAATTGCCCTCCCAGATTCCAAAGTTGGATCTTTTCGGATCTGGTGGAATTGAATTGGAACGTTGGAACGATGGAATGTTGGCTCGAAATACACACAGTCAGTGCTGTCTGTATACGACGCTAAGCTTACAACTGCTTGCTTGACATCGGGAAGCAGCATTCTATCTAAAATCCTTACCTTGCTGCAAATGCTCCCTTGTTGGCGGGAGTGAGAGAGAGTCCCAAGAATAGGAATCACTGCCTGCACGTACTTTATATTGCGGCAGCAGTGCTGGGCATCATGGTATGCTTGGTATGGTATGGGATAGGGTACCATCGACAATACTATTTCCACGATTCACGACAGACCATTGCAGCTACATACCATACCTACACTACGTTACTTACCCGTCTCACCGCACCAGAAGCTTTTACTTGCTACCTGCTACCAACTCATGCAAGTCATCTTCCATCTTCTGTACATAGCATCATCAACTGGCCAACTGGGTAGGTAGGTGGGCATGTCGTGATACCCACCCCCGCACTCATCGCATCGTCACTCAGTCACTCAAGTCAGATGCTTACACTAGATGCCTTACCTACATTACCTATCAGCATCCCTAGGTAACATGTGTGGTAGTAACGCGGGGAAAGATCGAAGCATCGAAGCATCGAATCGATCGGATCTCTTTCTTATTTCTTAGTATACGTCAGTCAGACCTGATACGTTCGTCCGTTTGGCCGTTGGTGTTGGTTGGTATGGCATCGCGAGTCGATACAACCACAACCACCGCACTCGGCTAATCTCGTCTTCCATTGCTCCTTCGACTTGATTCATACTCAACCTAACCCATTGATACTCTCCATTTCGACCGAACCAAACCAATACTCGCACCGCACCGCAACGCAACGCAGTTTTGTCTGTGGGCGCCACCAAGTAAGTGGCAGTAACACCCGCCCACGGACTACATACCACCATGCGAGAACGACGAAAAGGATGGTGACAGTGAACAACGGAAAAAGGCTTCCTCCCCTCGAGTCTCAAGTCTCAAGTCACTAACTACTAATGTGTCACGGGCGTCTAGACCGTCGAGTACGAAATGCCTACGTAGAAGTCCTCTGCGCCCGATGGTGTGGCATTGGGATTCCCGCCCGCTTTGTGCCACTTTCAGATTATTTTGTTGGCTAAGCGGACTTATGTCGTTACCCATTGTTTGGTGATTTGGGATTTGATATGGAGGAGTATTGCTTCCTTCTGTCTCGGGGTTGCGTGCCGGGGGCCAGTTGGGTCTTCGGTGAGCTCAGCTCTGCTTTCAAGGGTCACCTTCATAAAACTGATGGGGAATGGGGC